TATATTGTTAAAAATTTACTGCTAAAATTCTGTTATATATTGTTAAAAATCTACTGTTAAAGTTCTGTTAAATATTGTTAAAAATTTACCATTAAAATTCTGTTAAATAATGTTAAAAATTTACCATTAAAACTCTGTTAAATAATGTTAAAAATTTACTGTTCAAATACTGTTAAATATTGTTAAAAATTTACCGTTCAAATTCTGTTAAATATTTGTTGAACCAGAATCGGCATTTATATACTACTTATGCATGACATACATGTTTTAGATATTATTTTATATTTCACTGTTACAATATATTGTATTATACTATGTTTTGTGTGTATAATGTATTATGTACAAAATAATTTGTGTAGCATTATACTTGTGTGGTTAATTGTTTATTATAACTTATTGTTAAAATTATTATTACCTATTACTTGAATACATTTTAATTTGATTAAAACTAATGCAAGTTCTGAAAAAAATAATGAAATTGTTACTCTTAAGAATTAAATGTCAAAGGACATAGTACTGCAAATTTATTTTTAAAACAGCAAATAGCTAAAGGGCTTAGGGTGACATTCAATTCGACCATTGAACTTTCAAAATATTTGCTGGATGAATGTAATTTTTCATTTGTGTTAATAGCTAAAATGAATTAAGATAATTTAGAAGTATGATACGTAAGTTCAATCAATTTTAACATATATAATACAGTAATACCATAATTTATAATTTTATTATAAGACATTTTTTGGGATAATACGGCAGGTATCTGGTCCTAATGATCACCCTTCTACGCCAACATTTTACCTATAGAATTGTTAACTGCCTATCTTAAATCATGTCGTAGACTCACTTTTTATCTTATTTATCTTATTTTTGGTCTCTTAAATCGGCTTGAATTAACAGCCATTGACTCAAACACCGGAAGGGGTCGTGACGACATGTTTTAGAAACATAGAATAAGCCGTCGAGTAGAAATTGCCCCAGTGATTGTATGGTTTCTTCATGTATAAGTCGCAAGCCCTCGTCGAGTGCTAACTTATCGTCGCTTATTTTTTTTTTAGATATTTGGTCATCTATATATATATATAAAAAAAAAAAAAAAACAATCAAAACTATAAAGTATGAAAAACATTCGTTAACATCGTCGATGTACAAGAATGGAAATTTACGTGATTTTTTTTGACGTATTATTCGTGCCATTTCTGACGTGTTCAACGACAACCGCCCAGACGACGATTCAAATGCTTCTGAAAAATCTGAAAAAAAAATTTAATTTAGTTCATTAATTTCGTTTGCGTTTAAATTTGCGAATCTCACAACTGTTTTCAACAGTTTCGTGTATATTCTCGTTAGTTTCTTCAATGGCATTTTCATCAAAGAGTCGTAACTGGTCAATAATCACAGTATTTTTCGTCAATGTCCGTAGATCTAGTAAATCTTCAAAACTCATATCTTCATAATTATTGTATATAAATGGTGGTCCAACAGTTTGTCGAAACTCTTGTTCGTTTACTATTTCATCAAAGGAGTTTTCTGTTGCACCGTTCTTGAAATCTTTTTCTTCTTCAGATTTTTCAGCGTTTTCTGTAGTATTGTTCTCTGTATCTTGTTCATCTTTCGAAACGGATTGTAACGTTTTATGGTGTGAGTCTCCTGCGTTCGTTTTGTTTTTATTTTCACCCATGGAATATTTTTCTTGATCGTTAATCACCGAGGATTCTATTTTATCCGACGATGCCGATTGATTGGTTGCAATGTTAACTATATTTGGTCTTTTTACGGATTTATTCGACCATTCGTGCGATGTGAATATATTCATTATTTCTAATTCCTGGGACGTGGGTTTTTTGTCACTTGTATCCCGGACCGTTTTTTTCATAGTAAAACTAGAATTTCTTGGTAAAATCGAATTATCCTTCAATAGAAACTCTTCAGTATATTTGAATTCTGTAGTAATTATTCTACGGCCTGTGGCCGGACGATCATTGTTAGCGGTATTATTCATATTGAATAAAACGTGTTCTCGTGCACTTTTCATGATTGCTTACGATTATAGGAATCAATATTTTTATTTAAACAACTGCTTTCAATATGAAATTAATATCATAAAAATAAATGTATTTAATACATACGTGAATAGTTGCCTAGTGATATTCAACACGGTTTTAAAATGCGTTTGATTTTACACCGACAATATAAAAATCGAAAACGTTTTTACAATGTTTTTTTTTTTTTTTTTTTAACCAATACCGATACACACTTTCTGGCTGTTTATCATTCACGAAACGTTTGTAAGAGTCGCATAAGTATTATGGGGTTTGCATTCGATATTATTTTTTAATACAAACCTTTCGTCAGAAAAGTGAAAGTTTTTCAAGCTTACACATTATGGATACGAATTTATCGTCATATAATATTGTCGTACACGGTAAATGCACATAAAATTATGACGTATCCTGCAATTGCACGGAAACACTGAAATATATTATCGAATAAAGAGAATCTTAATTTTTATTAGATATTTATTAAATAATTTAATTTCCGAAAAATCGAAAATGCATTATCATTGTTTATTCGTTAAGTCTCAATATTAATTTAAACATTTTTGCAAAATTATTCAAGTATGATTATGCAACCGTCCAATCACGCTAGGACTATTTTATGGGGAGAGGAACGGTGGTGAGAAATATTTGTTACGAGTTGAAGAAACAAAAACAACAAAATTATTTGCATAGTTTTCTCAGTTTTATTTAACTATATATTAATAGGAGTTGGAAAAAAAAAGTCTGGGGAAAGAGGGCGATGTAATAAATCACCCTCGCAGCGTAGGTAAAAGTACAACACTCTTTCAAAATCCATTAAAAAATAAATACTTTTCAGTAATCCAGTACCATAATGATAAATTACTGTCCTTCGCGTCTAAGTCTGCACTTTTGCCACAGGGATCGTTTTTTTCCCTTATAAAATAAAGATTTTTCAATTAAATAATACTCCCTAATATTTATGAATACTTGAGTTCCGGAAAATATAATATTATAGTACATCTACTAAAATAATTTAATCGACTAACGTAGAATAAAAAAATAAAATATAAATCTCCTTGATTATTTTTTACTAAATAAAAAAAAATGTATTAACACAATAATAAATAAAAATGATTTAATCGTTTCGGTCCGAATTTGCATAAAAAATATGTATACATTGCAATACATATAATATTGTCTGTAATTATAATACGATATATTATTACTATTATTATTATACATTATGACAACGCTCCACATTGTATATTTATTGCTTTATTAGCCTATGAAGGTTTTTTTTTGTACAATATTGCAATAAAGTAGAAAAAAAAATTAAATATGTGTACAAATACATTATTATTAATGACGGAATAAAATCTAAACTTTTTTTATTTTCAAATAATAACTATTCGCGTAAGTAATCTAAAATATTATACAATTACTAATATTAGAATGCCTAGGTGACTACGTAAAGTTTAATGTACTTTTCAAACGACCAAGCTTATAGTTTTACCAAGATTTTGTTTTACTCTGTAAACGCTTTTTTCGGTTAATAAAAATACTCAAAACTATTTTTACGTCGTACCTTATTAAACAACATATGCAAAATTTTATTCGGGGGTACTTTTTTTTTTTAGTCTAGAATCTAAGTTGTCAAACAAGAAAAATAAAAGAAAAAAACCGACAACAAATTAATGTCGATGTATTGATTTCCACAGGGTTACACGGCTGGTATACTATTTTACAACCTTACATATTTACCGGGCTGCATTCAGAGCCGATTTTTAATTGCAATGATTTGTCGTTGTTTTCGTTATGAAACTGAATTATCCTTTATCACATCATGTAATATAAGTACCTTCCAAAAATCCCGCCTACAACATTGGCCTATCCACGGTGCCAAGGATGTTCGACATTTTTTTCATTCATTAATAATAAACAGTTACTATAAACACGGAGATAAAAGTTACAAGCGTAGTTACAATGATTTAAACGAACACTCTCGAGGCACGAAACGGATGTGGCAAACCACCAATTGGACGGTTGAAGACGAGTAAAAGATCAAATTAATATTAATTAATGTAATATTCCATTACGATAGGAAACATTGATTAGTTAAAAATGTAAGTTGAACATTTATCGTGACTACAATATTAACTACGATTTATTATGTACAATTATAATATATTCGACATTTCAAAGTAAGTTTTCATAAACATCCCCATTACGTGCCAGTTGGTTGAAAACATAACGATGGGCGTATGTTTTTATTGTGAAATTTGAATTATTTCACATTTTAATTTGCAGTAGGGTAATTATAATTGCCCGAAAATTTACGAAAAATTACAAACAAATATCGAGTACCTGTAACGTTATTATTAGGTCAGCAGTAAAAAAAAAAAACTTTTTCTAAACTCGATTAACATAATGATATTATTATTCCTTTGCGTTTTAACCGAATCTAACCTTTAACTCGTACGACCGAACGATTAATATTTTTTTTACTCGTTTTTCGTTTGTCATTTTTAGCTTCTGAATGGAGCGAGTATTAAAATGATGCTTATCATTTTTTTTTTTTTTTTATCTGTAAACAACTTTTCTACCAGAGATCTTGCTCCGATTTATAAGTATAGCACTTTTTCTGAAATGAAATCTAACTGAGGTTGTACTATAAGGAGGTAATTTTTTGATTTTCCCAGGAGTATTCTCAATAAATTGTAAAAACCGGGAAAAATACTCAGGAAAAACGAGAAAACATTAGGTAAAACGGAAAAATAGGTACAATATTAAACGATTATTATTGAATAAAATATATAATGTATATATGTAATTATTTTACCATAATATGACATATATATTGTTAACAGACCAACACTATTAACCGAACTCCGCTCAGAATCGTTTTTTCGTTAGCAATGGTTAATCGTTGCTTACAGATATGCATTAAATTACCTACAACAACAGTGCGGGCTGCACCCGTACCCATTATCCTAGGACAGTTTTTTCGTTACTAAATCATTTTGAACGTAAAAAATATTTCAGTCTTTGAGTTTGCCGAACGATATTTCTGACGGCTCTTATTCGTCGTATATATTTTTTTTTTTTTTTTTTTTTTTTTTTGTATATATATATAATGCGAATGTATTTTTTTTTTTTTGCAACTCGTAAAATGAATACATTAGACGCCATAATAATAATATATATTATTATAATTATTCAGGAAATAGAATAATATATACCTATCGAGGAAATGCCCGTGTTGGCGGCGGCGCGGTTTGTTATACACGAACACCACCGGCCGTTTACTGTGTACAGACGATCGTTATTATTAATTTTTAATTTTTTTTTTTTTTTTTTTTTTTTTTTTCCCGAAACAAAATCTTTGTGCTCGTATCGTACTATTATTATTATTATTATTATCATCATCATCATCATCATCATCATCATCGGTGAATAACAAAGTGCAAGTAACGTCATACACACACACACACACACGCAGTGATATATCTTATATAATATAATAATTAATATTATTTATAGTTAATTATACGCGCATTCTTGATATACATTTTATAATATTATTCTTATAATTCGCTCAAGGCTGTTCTATGACTCTAAACTCGAGTAAATTAATGAAATACCTCCCTCGTGCTGCGTACGTATGCGTACGTACGTCGTACGACTATACACACTATTATAGACCGTAGGAACAAAAAAAAAACGAGTTGATACTCGATCGGTAGAGGTCGTATCATATTTTTTTGCGATGGACAATGGGTGGAGAAAACGTAGGTGCGGTGGCTATTTAACCACGAATCAATTTCGTTCCATTGCCGATGAAGACGTTCAACTTGGTCGTACGCACATCGAAAACATAACATACGCCCGACGAGAGCCTATACACACGTAAACCGTCATGATGAACAGCTTCAAAGTATTCACCGTGAGTATATATCTGCAAGATAACATGTTATAATATTCTCGACGTTTTAACGCGCGATGCTGTTCTGCAATCCGTTAAAATTTAAATATTTTTCTCCGTTTCTTATTTAAATCTTTACCCGACCGCCGAACGAATATTTCGATACGAATATTATCATCGTGTCAAGGCTTTTGAACTTTTCTCGTTGACTCTCGAAGGTTATTAAACATTCGATCTTTTATTAGAGCGGTGGTTCACATACGTTTTATCGATCATATTAATGTATAATATTAACTTGTACGGCAGACTACTGTGTTATTTATATATGTTCGAAAACTAAAACATTTTACGATAGCATGCGTTCGATAATTTTTTTTCCTCCGACCAATTATTAATATAGACGGTCGTTCGTTGGCTTTCAGCGTTCTGTACGCTTAGAAACGAAAAAAATTAAATAATAAATAAAACGAGGACGCTAATTTTTCGTTATATTTTGTCGGATTATTAAAGACACGCAGACAACTTTCTAATACCCGAATGAATACGTATCGCGATAGGATTTTCGTCAATGACTTTTTTCCAACACCTAATCCAATATTACGTTTCACAATAATATTGCGCTTTTCGTCGTCACCGCGGACATCACAAATGCCATTTGGCGAAATCCCTGCTACCCGGCGGTGCGTGTTTGTACCGGTGTACGCGTCCCGGGATGCGTTATTTACGCGAATCCCACTATTATAGATATTCTGTGTACTTATTGTTGAACACGAATACATTTCGGTCGAGATTTTATAATCGGACAGCGGAACATCGGGAATTTGACATTCCCAATGAGCGACATTGTTTTTGTTCGTACAGCGCGTTGTGACCGCGCGGGCCCGAATATTTCGATGGGGTTCAAGGCCCCATAATCATCGGTCAATATCAATTGTGCACTATCGGTAAAGGCTAATTTTGCAACTCGGGGCGACTTGACGGAAATTCGGCCGGACATCCGGCATTGCGAATCTGTGTCTGATAATATTGCGTTGCGAAAACACGAGTCGTTGTCACGATAATATTGTTCTGCGAAAGAATCGGCGCGATAAATTATTTTCGATTGTGTTGCTAGAACCGCTGGGCGGATTGGCAACGCATTTTGGCACGGGAACACTGTGACGTAACCGATCGGTGATCGCGACAAAACTGTAATCCGTTTTGGCAGGTCGCCTCTGTCGATTCCGGCCTCGCACGCAGATACTTTGCTCGTATAGACATTTGTGTACAACTCGGGTTTTCAATATCGTCCGGGTTGTAGTGCACGGGGAAATTCCCGGATTCTCCCGGTCATAGCCGCTAGCTCGGGGTCCCTGCGGTCGGCCCGCGGGTGAAAAAGCGCGTTTTAATACATTTTCGTTTGTTTTCGACAGGCGTTGGCGGCGTTTTGCGTGTGCGGTGCCCTGGCCGCCCCTGCCGGACAGCCCATTCCCATACTGAAACAGGTGAACCGGCAGAACGAGGACGGCTCGTACAGCTACGGTTACGAGAGCGCGGACGGCTCTTTCAAAATCGAGACGAAATACCCGACCGGTGAGGTGTACGGCAAGTACGGTTACGTGGACGAGGAGACGGGCAAACTGCGGACGGTCGAGTACGGCGCGTCCTCAAGGGGCTTCGAACCGGTGGGCACCGGCATCACCGTCCCGCCGCCAGTAACGGGCGTCGACTCCAACGACCTGCACCACAACAGGGAACACCAGTCCCAGGACGACTACGACGACGGGCAGTACCGCGAGGACCCCAGCGTGTACTACAAATCGGAACAGCAACCGTTCCACCAGACGGCCCCGGTCGCCAGGCACCACCAGCCGCAACAGCAGCAGCAGTGGTTCGCCGCGGCCAACGGCGGTCAAAAGGCCAGATCGGACAACAGGCAGTTCCAGGCCCATCCGTCCGTGCACAATTTCGATCCGATGTCCGGATCGTTTTCCATTTCGTACACGGGAAGGAAATAGAATTTAAAAATAAAAAAAAAAAAATATATCCTCTCGTGATCTTGCGAACGGAAAATAGCGTAATATTATAAATTTTTATTTTTATTATTATTATTATTATTATTATTGATTATTATTATTATTTGTAATTTTTTTTTTAACAATTCTTTTTATAAAAAAAAAATTTGATTAAAAAAAAAAAACCTAATAAAAAACGCTTGTTATTTTGTAAACCGACGTTGTGTTCGTTATTCGCACCTACCACCCCACCCTACCACTGTCGCGTATCGCGTGCCGTACAACGTTACGGCCGCGTACCAATAATACCGACCGATCCGCCGACGACGGATCGGGAACCGACGGCGGCCAACAACCACTTAAAGGCGTTGTCGGTGATTATAAACCGCCGTCCGCCGTCCGCGTTTGTCGTTCGCCTTGGTCGCGCCGAGTCGGGCGAAACGTAAACATTATGTAACCGAAATCGGTACGTGTGCAGGTAATAACAACGATAGCGGACAGACAGATACGCGTGTGTCGCGTATTGCCGCGTTACACGTCGCGGGCGCGCGTTACCCCCCCGGGGCGTATCGGGACATTGAAACGAAAGCGACAACACCCATCCTTGACATTCGCCTCGAACGCCGCGCCTCGTGTCGCGACGCACGCCGCGGTACATTGCTCGCGTTTTTCCCGCGCGTCCCGTACGCCGATAAACCCTATAAACCCGACCGACTACGGGTACGGCCGCGGTGTGTCGTCACGCGCGTCATCGCGGCGTTACACGACCGGCGACGCGGCGCGGCGGGAGGACCGTGGAATTTTTCGTGGGTTTTTTTTTTTTTCGTTTACCGCGCGTGTGTCCTGCCCGAGACGAAACCCGTTTCGGCGTGTAGGGTTGCGGTGAAAGGCGCGCCGGCGGAAACGACGTGTGCAACGCCCCGGCGACCTTGCCGTCGACCTTTAGCGCTCGCAGCGCTCGGGGCCGAATGCCGGGCTATAAAGACCTTTTTAAGTCCGCGGATCCGGACCATCAGTGTTACTCGCCGGTTCGACAGTAAACAGAGAACACAATCACAGAACCATGCGTTTTGCAGTCAGATCAGTGGTGAGTATATTACACGGTTACGGTTTTCGGTTTCATAGGATGGCCCGATGTTTTTTCACATTTTATTCGCGATACAGCTTCGACGACTCGGGCCGTTTTAGCTCACAAGTGCAGCAGACATAACGACAAATGTTACGTGCGCGCGTGAAAACCACGGTTATTCTAAATCGAATAGTATGCGTATCGGCGTGTTTGAGGGGTCGGATGATTTCGATGCTGTAATCTGCGTGTCCGGGCTGAGGACTCCGAAGAGTCTGTCCGGGATTCCTAGGCTTTTTCCGGTTTCCGCGTGGTTTAAACGGTAAAAAGTGCTTATGCTGACTGTATAAGTAGTTTGCGCCACAAGTTTGGCACAATGTTGGTTCTTCCGTTCGCGTGAGATGGTCACGGCCTATTCGCAGTCGGTTTAAAATTGATTCGTCGTTGCGATCGAAAAGTTTGGGTACAGGCCGCTATAATACGGTAGTGTTTTTGATTTCCCGGCGTTTGTTATTTCGGTGTACACCGCAATTCGCTCGGATCCTCGAGGTTTTTTCATCGCAATGTTTTTTTTTTTTTTTTTTATCCCCCGGCGACGCGAGTGATTTGTTTTCACGATACACCCCGTGTACCGATAATATTCCTGGTAATTTCGCTCCGTGTCCGCGCCAATCATTACGGTTATCGGTGCGCTCTGTCGGCACACGCTGCGATATTAACCGCGAATTCGGTGCACCCGTTTGTAGTTTATTTACCTCATCGAATCCGCGGCGCCCGGACAAAAACGACATCACATTAAACCGAAACGGTGAAGACACTCCTCGTGGGCGTGAATCGAAATTAGATCGTCATCACCGTCGGATAAAATAATAGCGACTTGAAAGGAGCCGTGCACATTAGCCGAGGCTCCAGTGTTTTGCCGATTTCAATTTATTTACACCGACTCGTCCGAAACGTATATAGAAAATGTCCTAGGGCCCTTTTCGAGCGGGTTATCCACCTCGGTTCATTGTTTTCTTTTTTTTTTTTTTTTCTTTTTTTTTTTTTTTTTTGAAAATCCCAGAGCGGTGTGTGACCTCGCGGGACCGTCCGATTCTCACGAACCACTGCAGACAATCGCGGTGAAATTAATCAACTGCGTCATCATCATAATCATCGTATACCTGTATATTATATAGTAGGCATTATTATATTCCCGGACTTGGCGCCTGTACGAGCCGTCTTTTGTGCGTCGAAAATAATATAACATAAAAAGAATACGACCACTAGCTAGTAGAAAAAAAAAGAAAAAGAAAGAAATATTATAATAATGTTACAGTTCGTTTAAACAATGTGATTGTACTATTGTATAATATACTTGCAGATAATTGTGCTGTTGGGCTGGTGCGCGTTCAGCTCCGGTCAAGATTACGACGACGATATTGTGGATAAAGTCCATTCGTCCGTACCTCAACCGCGCAGTATAAATCAAGATGTCTCTATACTCAAACAGATCCATAGGTAATAATATTATTGTAATACGCTTAACCGTACTGTGCGAATAAAATGGTATCGTTACAAGGTTCGGGCGTTTTTGACACGATAATGTAAATCTGTGATTTCCAACTTCTTTTATTCTATGCCTTCTTTGTAGATTTTTGAAAACCTCTGGCATTTTAACAAACACGTAGATTGTAAAAAAAAAAAAAAAAACGGTCATCATGGTATCGATAAGCAAACAAATCTTATCAAAAATGTCAACTGCCCCTTGTCACTTCTACCTATACGGCCTTGTTCGTAATTTGTATCGATACCCAATTACCGGTCATTATTATTAAATTTTTTTCTTGGTGGTGACCGCTTGCGCCTACCCGACAATTTGTTTCCTATTTGGAAAACACCGATATAAACGAAATGGTCCGTGTAAGAAAATCCGCTTTTTTTCCTAGAAAATCAGTTTTTGGCAATTTTTTATTACAGTTTTTTCCCATTTAAATCGTATGCAAAAACAAGATCAATCCGATTTTGTATAGGTATACGCGTGTAGACATAGACAACATTTTAATATGAAATTTACTTACAAAAACCCGACGAGTCATACTAAATGGAATAGACAGTTCCACGTTCGAATTAAAATTGCATGTACAATAGCCAGACGAGTACAAACTAAACTAATTTTTCTTCTCCTGAACATTTTCAAAAAAGTTGGACTCGTCTGGTTGTACTACGGAACGTTTCAAACACTATTGTACAACTGAATTATGAGTCAGTATATAAGTTGCACGCTCTCTGCACTTTTTCTAATTACATTCCACAATACGTTCATGTAGTTAAATAGCAATCTTAATAATAATGCAAAAATTATGCAACATAATATCATGATCAATATTTGGTAGTTGTTAATTAAATCTTCACCAAAAACCTTGCCGACACGTTGCTGAGGGTGATTCACGGTGATCTGACACATGCAATAAATTATGTTCTAGGGTTGAGTCACCACTTGTGTCCAGTATCCCTACTTTTTATCGCCTATTATATTTGTAAATAGTGCAATATTATAATTTTATCAGTCGTGGTTATTGTTGTATTAGTATATACATTAATTAACTTACCGAGTGATTTAGTTATTACAAAAATAGTAGGCAGATAGTGTTGAAATGGCCATAGGACGGAAAAATACAATTTTAAAAATATGAATACAAATTTCTCACTCCATAATATCATGTTGTTAAGACTATGAAATTAGTTTAATTAGGTTTAGTTTTGAGTTGTATTCAACAATTGTAAATAGATTCAATCAAAATGAATAGAAATAAATACTTAAAATTCTCATTGGTACGCGACTCGGTTCTAGTTAATATTTTCGAATTTCGTTGTTTTTTTTTTTTTTTTAGTTTTTCTTCTATTAAGTACTAGAGCCTATGATTTGTATTTTTATAAATTTATTTCGAAACGAAAAATCGGTGTTACAAATATTAAATAAAATAACGTTGAGTCATTATTTATCTACTTGTCTACAATACTTTTGAAGTTTATAAAAGTTAAATTGTCACTACAAAGATATTACAATATCGATCGATTCACCGATTTTTCCATCAAGCAGTACTAATGTAGTAATACGGTAATTCATTTTATTACACAGTAATTATTATTTATTATATTTGAATTGATATTTAGTAGTGAACAAATTTGAACTTTAACTCCTAAAAATTGTAGACAATTAATGACTTGTCATTATTAAAATTAAACATAATATGTAACACCAAATGTGTTTCGAAATTAATTTATGTAAAAAATAAAAAAATAAGAAGAAGAAGAATAACAACACAAAACTCGTAATTACTACAAAATATATACACTAATATCGAATAGAACAAAAGTTAATGCGAATATCAAAACTCAATGAATCATCCTGTACATCATTCGGTCGTAATACATATAGGAAGTAGTAATATGCAATCCATTGTGTATGATCAAAGACAATAATATATTGTAATAACTCAAATGTTCAAATACATATACAATAGGTATACAATAGGTATTTACGAGCGGTTGTAATAATAATAGTATGATAGTTGTTCCGGTGTGAAAAAAAATATAATAATATGCCCTGCCATCTAGCGGTTGATTTACAATCGATTGCTTTTTATTGTTTCAACATAATAATAAACTTTTTAATTTTTCAATTAGTTTATTTTATGATATCTTCGACAAAATACGTCAAATGCGTACGAAAGGAAATAATTAACTCTAAAGATAAAAGCTAGTAACAAATAAATTTACTCCGTTAAGTTTAAATCCAAACTAAAATTGTTGACGTTAATCAGTTTCAGAAACGTTAAGATTTAGTAAAAATAAAAAAAAACAAAAACTTCAAAAATGTTAAGTAACTTGTTTGGATATAAAACTAAATCATTACATTCATAGTAAGTTCAAACACATAATACATTAGGAGAAAGTAATATTTCTAAAAACTTAATGGTTCGACTTCAACTTGTCAACTTGAATTGTGAGAAAATTAATTAACCGTAAAAAGTTTGGTTTGTACAACGGATGATTATACAATTAGTTAAAATGATATGATGTAGTATTTGTGGGTACAAGAAGTGAATAATGTTAAAAAATAAACTTATTTTCAATTAGTTACGCCCCCGGACCAATTTAATATTCAGAATTTAAATGCAAATTTTAAACGGTAATTTATATTTCGGAGGGGGTTCGCACCAACAACCCCTTCCACCGCGGCCGATCTAATTCGATACCAAAAATACAACTTAACGGAAGTCGATTTTCACATAGTTTTACCGAATCAATTCTCGTCGTTGTTAACAATATTAATCGAAAAACTTAAATCAAACTACGGCACACGGACATTGTATTGTTATAATATAACGCGCGTAAATCGATTTATTTAAAAAGATTCGACGGAATAAATGGCTAATAAAAAGTAAAAAACGCTGTCCTAGGATAACAGAGACGGGCGCAACCGCCGTTATAGGTGAGAAGTTATATAGATGGCACGGGGGAAATTTAATGTACGCCACGGATAAACCATCGCTAACGAAAAAACGATTATGAGCGGAGTTCGGTTGATAGTGTTGCTTTGTCAACAAATATTACGTCGTATTACGGTCAGGTTAGGTCGCACATTCATTATACAATTGCATTTTTAATAATATTCGTTTGACGGCGTACTTATTTTCCCGTTTTCCCTACGTCGTTTTTCCCCCGTTTATTTGGAAAAATCCCGGAGGAAAAAAAAAAACCACCTCCCCGAAGTAACAACGCCCCGGTCAGATTCCCTTACGGAAAACAGCGCCGCCGCCGTCGAACCGGAGCGGGAATCGCCGGTAGAAGTGTCGCGCGCCGGAAACGGAAAGAACCGCCGTAAAACCGATTCGTCGCGAAACGCCGCTCAGAATCTGAAAAAAAAAAACGTCGGATAGGACAATGTCTACCCAAATCTGTACAGGCACTGCGATATTATTGTCGTCGATATCGTGCGACGCGGAAACAGTGCGAGGACCCGAGGTGCCCGCGTCCGCCGCGCCGTCGCGCCGTAATATTATTGCGCGGCCAACTGACGACATGCGACGGTTTTCTTTTACACACGCGGTCCGCGCGGTTTTTTTCCCGCTCGCGCGCGTCGCGCAAAGCGGCCGGGGAGTCGGAACCGCTGCCGGGAAAACGCTTTTGTCGCGGCGGGCGCAACGCTCCCGGCGGAGTTGCGTTGTCGCGCGCGGGCTCTAGCGCGTTGTCGCGCCGCAATAGAAAAACAACCATTTAAAAACGGGCGCAGGCGACTCGACAATAATAACAATATTATTGTTATTGTTGTTATTGTTGTTATTATTGTCACTGCGGTACGCGAGACTCGGCGCGCGACAATAAAACGCGCGCGTCACGACGCGGTGCCGGGCGCAAATGTTACCGCGGTCGATACGGTAACGTCCGCGGGGCGAACGGTCCGAAACCGCGCACGTCGCAAAGAGTGAAATCGAGTGTCGAGCCTCGCAAAATATCCCGTCCCGGGCACGCGTTTCCGTCTCGCGGTTGAATGTCGCACGATAATCCGTTCGGTTTTCTAATTGTTCACACGGTGGCCATTCACGCGGACAGTTTTGTCCGCCGCGGCTGCCCGCTCTCGCCCGGCCGCGTGTCCCTCTCCGGTTCTCGAACCCCAGACTTGTAGAATTTTTCTCCCCAGCGTCCGTCCGTCTTTTTCTCCGTCTTCCTTTTCGTACTCCCACAGTATGCCGCGGCGCGGGCGCAGACGCGTATTTGACCCGTATCGTCGTTTATCTTCCGGTCACGGTTGCGACCGAAAAGCGATTCTGAACGCGGCTCGCGGCAATCCCATAGCAATAAAGTGACGGTGTAAATGAAGACACATAAGACTCGGTAATACGTCATACCCCTTGATAATACGATTTAGCCGTTGTAGCGCAAAATAATACAAATATTCCCGGTTTTCGGATGTTTTCTTTTTCCGATTTCTCGCATTAATAACAAATATGCATAGAGTATCAACAAATTATTTCCCGCTTTGGTTTTGTACATTTTAGAATCTCAACGAAACGAGAACGTATTGGTTATACTATTGTGTGTGTGTGTGTGTGTTTGTTTTTTTTTTGTGCCTGTAAACAATTTTTCTATCAAAATTCTTGCTCCAATCAATAATTCAATTGGAACTCTCTTGTAGGATTTTGGGTCAAGTTTGTGTGTTGAAGAAGTTTTATTTTTATTTTCCGTGTGATTTCCTTAATAAATAGTTTTCCATTTTTTTTTCAACTGGAAATTTGTCTATAATTTTTATAATTTCTGAGTTACCTTAGCAAACATACTCAGAATACTCAAAATAATGGTTTTATCATTTAACAAGCATCTTTTCTGAAAGGATACTACACTTGATACTTTGAGCAAGTCTTTTTTTGATTTTCCTAGCGGTTTTCGTAGTTATTAGGAAATAACGGGGAAAAAACGTAGGAAAAACGAGAAAATTTACGAAAATAACGATTTTATTATTTTTCAATTTTGTTTTTTTATTGTAATTTAGTTTAAAATAAAAGTAAAGATTTGACATTTGGACAAAAAACACATATTTGCCTTTTTTAAACGTGGTAAAATTTTAAAATTATTTAAGCCATTTTTGGACTATTTATAGACATTTTAATTTTAATAGTATTTTACGTAATTTTTGTTTGGTTAGTACCTACTCTGAGTATAAAATTGTTAAAACAGAAATGCTTAAAAATTTGACAAGAGGTTCATCGTAATTCGTATTTAACGGCTGAAAAAAAAAAGAAAAAATTGAGTGTTTTATGCAGTTTTTTTTTTTTTTCATAACTTTTAAAATCAAATTTTAACGAAAATTATAAATACTGTAGTGTTTTAAAATGCGTGTAACCGAACTTCGCTCCAAATCTCTTTTCGTTAACCATGATTTATCGTTGCTTACAGGTATGAATTAAATAACTTTATGCGACCTGTCTTCTCGACTTCACACCTACAACAGTGGCGCACCTGTCCTCGGTTTCGGATCTTTTTTTTTTATAAATTGTATTTAATTTATCAAAAATATTCTTATTTATAATGGTTTATTTTATTAAAAAAAAAAAAAAAATCTATAATTAAATTAAAATCAGAATATTTTAGTACCCGAAATACGGATTCACGGCAAATCTCGGATTTCGAAATTCCGGATATACCCCATCACTGTCACTGTATGACAGTGATGACCATTTGACAATTTCAACGTTTTCCGTGCCATTTTTCAACGCGTCGAAACTCGAAAGGGAAACGGACGCTTTTATAATACACGCGTCCGTACAAACGCGAGAATTACTCAATATTTCCTGTCTCGCGCATAACATTCGTAATCCTGGGAGTTCCGAAACACAATGCTGGTTTTATGTAAAATTTTACGAATGACGGGCTGCATAAAGTTTCGCGGGAAAAAAAAATAAAAACCACGCGCCCGGTAAAATATAATAAGCGCACGAGTGTATTAATGTAACACGCAGTGTTATGTTATTTCCCGTCTCGCGCAATTAACATTGCGATTTGAACGCGGGAAAATTAATTTTTGAATTTTCGTTAATTAATTTAATTTCGGTGATAATTTTTTTCTCTTTTCTAATCTCGTTTTACAGACACAACGAAGACGGATCGTACACGTACGGGTACGAAGGATCGGACGGATCGTTCAAGATCGAAACGAAACTCCGATCGGGCGAAGTGTCAGGCAAATACGGTTACGTGGACGACGTGGGCAAGCTGCGCGTCGTCGAATACGGGGCCAACAAGTACGGGTTCCAACCGTCCGGCGACGGCATAACCGTTCCGCCGCCAACGCTTGTCGAATTGAAACGCGACAATGACGACGACGTCGACGAACGAGACGACTTCGAGGCACCGGCGCCGCGCCCGGTCAAAAGGCCGCAGCCGTCGTCCGGAAAACCGCGAAAACCGTCGTCGTTCCAAGGTAGGCCCGACGGATTCGTCCAACAACAAGTGCAACAGCAACAACAACAACAACAACAACAACAACAACAACCGATACCGAACTCCGCCACGCGTTCGATAGCTGCCGAATTTGACGGTGACGACGGCGAATGGGCCGCCCCGGCCAGATCGGCTAGACCGCCACTGCCCGCCGACAATTCCTTTAATCGGCCGGTGGCCAACCGTCCCAAGCCGATGCTGCCGCCGGTATCCGGTTCCTTTGCGGCCGCGCCTGAACCACTGCAGGGTCCTTCGGGATCGTATCAGACCGAAACGAACTTTGGCAGCAGGAGGCCGTCGGAAAACGGCAGCAGGAACAAGGCGCCGGTGGTGGTCGCCGACATGTACCAGACGTTCGAAGAGCCACAGGAACCAGTGCAGGTGGTCCCGGTCAAACAGACGAGGAAGAACGGGGGTGCCGGTTCGGCCCGCGCCCAAGCTCAGGCGTTCCGGCCCGCCGCGTCTAACCCGAGGCGGACGAACAGCGGCGTTCTCGACCAGCTGGCTGAACAGTACGCGCTGCCCGAGACAGGATCTCCCGTGTCGCACAGCGTATCTTTTGGATTGGACCACTGAGAGGCGGTTAGGTTAGGTTAGGTTAGGCACGTACGTGTATGTGTATTATACGTCTTCCGTCAGGCGTTTGTGTAAATATCCATAATGTGTAATAATATTGTGATTTGAAATTATTATTAAACAACCGACGTGTTAGTTGTGTACGATTTGAAGACTGTATAATTATTGTTATTTATCTCAAGACATATCGTACACAAGCACTCGACGCGTTGAGAATAAATCGATTTTTTTGGTTTTTATTTTTTTTCTTGTAAAATTATCATCCTTTAGTTTTCCGAATAACATATATTTTTATCCAGTACACATCAAACAATGAAACTCATTCCGTAATTTATTTTTAGTCTGGTAAATTGTAGATAGTTAATTCATAATTTTAAAAACCAAATGTCAATTGATATCGCCAGAAGAAAATGGTTTTTTTTTTTTTTTTTGAAATATACACTTCGATGACGAAGTAGGTATCAATGTAATATTGCACAGTTGAAATAATTGAAATAATGAATTTTAAATTTAAAATACGTAAAAAACACAAATTCCCATATTTATATAATAATAATATCCAACGTAAATAGCTTTACGTTTTATTGAAACGCAGTGGCATTTGTTCTGAAATTCTCTAACAGATAAAACAAGAAAAATGCGTTTACGTGATCTTAACGAAAAAGTCTTTAAAGAGATAATGTTTCAGAAATAAAGCGCATATTAAAATATCGCTAAATATTCAAATCACTATTTAATGTACAAAAATTCGTATTCTATGTATTTTTACACATAAATAATAACTGCAATAATAATTAATGTTAAAAAAACGCCACTGGAGTTGTCTTCGAAATGTTATCATCGAAAAATCTTGTTTCGTATTTTAGATTCCGAGCATAGCGAGGGGAGTTATTGGTTTTACTAATGTTTAGTTTTTTTTTATTTCTTTCTTTTTTTTTTCTAGTCTATGGACACGTTTTTTCCTAATAAACTTGCTCCAATTTTTACGTATAGCAGCAAATTTTCTAAAAGCTCAAGTTATCTAGATGGTACTTTAAACAAGACATTTTTGAAATAAAAGAACTTAAGTGGGAAAAAAACATAGGAAAACGTACAATTTCACGATTTAATTATTTTATAAATAAACCGACAACATTTTCTACATTTTCGAAAAAATGATTTAATCGAAAAATCACAAGATACCTTTTTTATTTCCTTCCTGATTTACTTTCTTACAGTGTTATTGCCAAAACTTTTGAACCACTTTGGGGCTTTTAAGAAATTTTAATTTTCGGGAGTTCTAAATACGCGTAGTGACTTGAAACTTGGTAATAATACTTATGTTGGACTTACCTAGACGTGATAAAGTTTCCAAAATCACCGGATGTCTTGTTTTTTTTATAATAAACGTTTTGAAATCAAATTTAAACGAAAATCGCACAAAAATTACGGCACTTTAAATTAAGTATTATCGAACTGCGCTCGGAATAGTCTTTCGTTAGCAATAGTTTATCGTTGCTTACAGATACATCCCCAGTATCAGCTCTTTTTTTATTTAAACTGTAAAACCGATTTCAAGGTCTTTGCTACTGTTTTACGTGAACGTATTTTTTGACCGTTTAAAAGATATAGATGGCAAATTGTACAGTGGCGGCTCTTTAAGTAATGAGAAACTAGAATATTTCTTGCCGAACACTATAATATTATATAAACGTGCATGTATAATTTCCCTTTAATTTGGAAACTAATTAAATATTATCAGTCATTGTTCTATTAATTTTTTAATTTTTTTTGTTTGTAAAAAGAACTTTTTTCATTCTATTATCACAGTATTTTAATAATTTATTGTTATTACGAGTGCACACGATTATAATTATAATTATAAAATACATAGGCACTGTGGAGTGAACACAGAAACGTATGCGTCATCATCGAATGACATAATCGTAAAACCGGAAATGTTGTACAAACAATAATATATTCATGTTCTCGTATTAATCGTCATTAGCCCCGTTGCTTGCATTATTCTGAAACACGTAATAATAACACTATAATTTCATATCTATATTTCAAATAAATTGTATAGAATATACGTTAACGTAGTAAATAATAATTTAAAACCAAAAAAATTGAAACGTCTACCTCATATTAGTTACAAAATTAATACTATACAATTGATCGTGGTTTCCATAACGTCGAAATCATGGGAAGCGGTGTTCTAATGAAATGTTTATTTACAGGACAAACTTCGTGCCGTAACCTGGGTAGGAAGTTGGGAGAATATAGGATGTAGAGTAATTAAGCTTGTGTACTAAAATTCATTGCAATAAAAAACCTATTCTGAACAGAGCTCGGTAAACTGCTATTGTTATAGTCGTGTTTTTTCGCTTATGGTAGTCAAACTTAGTAACCCAGAAATTAACAAAAATAAAACCGATATGCATCGTCAATTGTTAGATATTTATAATTTTTTTTTTTTAACAAAATTAGAAAAATTGTTCAAATCAAGTGTAATCAATCAAAAATACCCCATTTTTAAGCTATGGCTCAATAAAAATACATCATTTTATTTATTATAAATCGAAAAAGTGTTTTCTAAGAAAAAAAAAGAACAAGAAAAAACCTCATCTTGGTAAAACTAATACTTAGCTTCTTTTTCGAATACATAATTATTTGAAATAAGACTAATTAACAATACAATAATAATAGTAAATTACTTTTTTTAAATCGTTTAAATTATACAACGTCTCTCTGTCGATTCGTTTAAGTTATTTATTAAATTTTCTACCTTGTCGAAAACTCGTTAATTCAAATAAATAAAATTATAATTTTTTTTTTTTTTACTAAATTCTCAATTTGTTTTAAATTATGAGTGAAAAGAGTAATGTATTGATTTTAATATAATGAGTGATTTTATTAACATCTTTTACTTTTCTTCCAGAAATCTCGCTTCAATCAAAAAACGACAAGAACATATTTATTATTGGTGCATTGAGGAAGTCATATTTTGATTTTTCTTGTATTTTTTATTATAATTCGAGAAACCAGGAAAAATGTGTAGAAACAACGGATACGTCAATAAAGTTTACGACAATACAAGTTTCATTATTTCCAATTTCGTTTTTATACCAGATCTTGCTCCAAATTGTATTTGTAGCTTCAAGTTAGTAATCAAATTATCAAGTTATTGCAAGGAACAATCATTTTACAATGTATTTTTTTTTTTCTGTGAACATCTTTTCTACTAGAAATTTTGCTTCGATTTTCAAGTGTAGCTTTTTCTGAAAGAAAATCTGGGATGGTCATTTTTAATTTTCCTAGGGGTTTTCATAGTAAATCGAAAAAACCGGGAAAATTTACGAAATTTGTTATTTTCAAATCGTAAATATTAAAGTCCTTCAAAACATGTATAACCGAAATTAGAACTCCACTCAGAATCGTTTTTCGTTACCTAGCAAAGATTAATCATTGAATACAAATATACATTAAGTTTTTTTCTATATCCTACCTTCCCAACTTCTTACTTACACTAGTAGCCCACCCATTGTGCGATGTATGTTAGTATCTTTTTAGAATATTATTTGTTTTCTTAATAACTAAGAAAAACTGGGAATAAATGTAGGAAATACGGAAAAAAAAAGTTATAATAACAAAACCGATTTTATTATTTATAGATCTTGTTTTATTGTTTTTATTAATTTAAATATAATCTAAGAGATTCGAAATTTCAACCACATATTTACAATAGCTTTCTCTTGAATTAACCAAATTTTCAAAAAATTCTAATGATTTTTGAACCATTTAAATGCATTTGACCTTTTCGAGGTTTTTTTTTAGTTATTATTTGGTTTTATGTAGATAGGTACAATTTTTTTGACCAAACAGAAACATTTGAAAATTTAACACGATATTCATTAAAAGTTGTGCCCAATGGTAGAAAAAAATATCTTAGCTTAATGGAATAGGTTTTTATGTACGCGTTTTAAGTTCAAATTTTAATCGTAAAAATCACGTTATTTTAGGTATTATTATTCGATTAATGTGAATATAATTATATGGTCAAAGGTCAAATTAAAATGTTTGAAAATTTAACACGAGGTTTATCACAATTAATTTTATTCGAGGATAAAAAAAAACCGAGTATAATTTAGTTTTTTTTTTTTGAGCATTTTATGTTCAAATGAAAATGTTTGGGAGTTACATAAACCCAACCCCTATCAATGGTGTATTTGAGGGACTAAAGTGGTTATTCCTTGAGCGGGAAATGTTAAGGGCAGAACAATTTAAATGATTTGAGGTGAGAATTTTTAAAGAAATGGAAAAGTTTGGGGTATGAAAAATAAATAAAATATTTAAGTATCAGTGTAACCATTTAAATGTGGGAACGAACCTTTATATTTTAGCCACAAGGCGTAAAAATCTTTGATACACCACTGGCATCTGTATAAAACGAGGAAGAGTACTCGTATTATTTGTACGTCGGATATAATCTCAGGACGCAATTTTATTCGTGTGTACAGTTAATTAATATCGTAGACACGCAATTTATTCGTGTGGAAAATTAATTACAAGACTTTATTCACATAATGTACTGCACCCAACTGTAACAATTTCATTTCACACAGTTTAGACAATATTATTTATGTATAATACGATTTAATCTATAGTAAGTTTAACTTGTTTTATTTTTTACAGTAAACAACGCTTATTGAACTTACATTGGGACCAGAGCAATAGATCATATTTTGAGTCCATAATCCATAATAAGTCAAAAAAGACAAAAGTCCGAAAATAAAAATATGTACATATTTTTTAAAGTATCTACTGCGTGCAAAAAATCAGAAGATTTTAATCACCAAAATAGCGTTAAAAAATAACACATTAAAAAAAAAATGTTTCGAAAAAATATTTGTGAATTTCGAAAAACTTGTCAAATAAATTATCACCAACCGAAAAATCCGCATCTTTTAATGTACGACATAACAAAATATAACTCACTTGCCGGTGCGATAAGTCCAAAGTAGAATAATTTGTGTTCAATGTGACCGGGACCTGACCATTTGAGTGCAACAAGCGAATAAATCAATTAAGAGGACGCCACACCCGCGTGAGCTGTCTCCGTCTTACAAACGTACGACATAGCAAACTTGCGTTTAGCATCACCAATTTCGTGCTGTTAGATATTAAAGTCAATTGACCTATTTTTATCAAACATAAAGGTAAGAACATTATCTGTGCAACCATATCAGTTTTTTCGGTCGACATTTTCAGCGAGATGTAAGTATTTTTAAATTGTGATATTTCACTTACTCCTAGTTCGTTTTGAAATTTAAACATCGACGTCATTGTGCAGATTATGTTCTGATATTTGAATTTGATAATAGGTCGATTCACTTTAATATTGAAACCAACAGCACAAAGTGTTCCTGACGAACGAAAATTCATCAGTCCACGTCGCTGACTCTCATTTTGCCGACAAATAAACCGGATTTATAAGGTATTAAAAATCTGCTCATGTGACCGACACATAAATCGGTTATATTTCTATTTTGAATTGAAATATTTTTGTTACAATGAAATTATTATTACTAAAGAAACTTCAGCGCCGCAATCGTGGCATGAGCATAAGTAAATATATTAAATTAGTAATATCGAAAGTACAAAAACTATTGACAATAATAATAGGTAAACAACGGTTGGATAGATTTTCAAAAGAATTTTTCTTATTATTTTCATAATTTAAGTTTAATACAGTGACAATTTGATAAAACTAATGTAATCCCTGCAAAAATGACATCAAAAACGAGTCGTTTTAACATGAGCTATAGTGGGATAGAATCAAGAGTAGGTGTACTTCAAGCAACGTACTTATGTTTACAGGTAAGTATTAACAAAATAAAATGTCAGCATAATGGGAGTCGTTGACGTGGGAATGAACCATTTGATATAAGTCATGTGGTTGTCACGTCGTCTTAACCACGAGCCCAATAAGCGAAGTGTACTAAATTGAATAATACTAAATAATTATTATATTTTAAGCTATAACGTTAGTCAAGTATTCGCGAGACACTTAATAAGCGTTATTATTAAAAAACGAAATAATTTGTCCACAATTTTATCTGTGCAAGTGCAACAAGAAAACTACAATAATATAATATATAACTGTTAATGGACATTATAACCGTTTAAAACCGTTCGAGTACAAAATATATTACGTAACTTTTTCTCTTGTGTGTATGCGTTTTACAGACGCGTTAAAACAATAGGTAGGTAGGTCGAACCTATACAATATAACGTGTTCGCTACGACTCTGGTCGTTTTTGGAGTGAAATACTCAGCTCGCTAACACGCACTGCGACACGCCTCGGTCAGTGTAAAGACTATAAAAAATATTATTCAATTGTGTGCCTATTAGTAATCGTTTAGGGCGATCCGTGACCTTCCATAATGGGGTTTACCTACACGGCGACGGTCTACGTAATAATACGAGACAGGTATGGTATATAATAGCGTACAAGGCTGGGCATAAGCGTGTTAAAAAATGTATTTTAACTTTTAACTTAAATTTTAACCTTTGATTATTTTTACGAACTTAACTTTTAATTCGAAGTTAATAACTTACTCACGTTATATTAAATTATTTTTTAATTTACGAAATTTTCACTGAATTTACTGTATAAACACTATTTGAACATAGGTATACCGCATAATGTATTATAAGTATATATTTTATTATTCAATAATGTGTGCGGTGTTCAGATATCTAATATAAGTAACTAAATAAGTTTGAAAAAGTCCTCTCGTGTTTAACATCCGATCACCCTTAATCGAAACAAACCGAAATTCCAGATTTTTTCCTGTGATGATAACAACTGCGAAAAAAACCGAAGTTAAGATGTTGATTTTAATTTTCAAACCGTTTTAGTCGATTAACGGTCAATTGATACGAAAATTGACTTTTAACGCGTCGACTCTATTGCCGTTTATACTTCACCGCGTTAACATTATTGTACGTTAACTTGTCCAGCCATGCATAGCAGCTGCAATAATAATACTATCGTCCAGTTTTGTACAGAGCGCGTGTATTTTATACGCGGAGACTTTAACGCCGACCGCGTTGTGAAATCGACGACTATATAGCTGAAACCCGCGCGCCATACGCCGCGCATTTCCCTCGGCCGTTCTCGGTGCCTTCTAATACTCGATGACGGTATATGAATGAAACATTATGTTTTTATTATTATTATTATTATTAAAATCGTCATGGTGCAAGAGCTCGGCGAAACGGCGGCGATCGGTGAAAACTGAAACAATGCGGGGAGCGGGCAGGCGAACATTAACCATTCCGGCCCCGCGCAATCGTGATGTCTAAATATTATTATTATTATTGTGCCTGACGAAATCGCCGGGCCGTAATGTATTACGAATCGTGTCCAAAGTTATCAGTATTCCCGGACGGTATGAAATATAACGATGATGATAATAATAATAATAATAATATAATTCGCGGCGGCCTTCGCACCGACGCCGGTACGAGAAAAATCGCCAAGTTCAAGGCCGAAAATTGGCACCGTTCAGACGACGCGGTGGACGGGCTACCCTGGCCGGTATGTGCCGGATACCTTCGGTCACGCTATTTTTAGAAATCGTCCGAAAGAATTAATTTCGTTTTCGCGATTACACACCGTCGTCGTCGTCGTCGTTAATAACCCACGCGTTATTGTTTTATCACTACGCCGGTGTTACAATATCAATTACTGTCTTGTTTATCGCGGAAACGCCGCGCGTTTAACTCTTCTTTTCTAATTATTATCAATTATTACACAATAATGATATTATCACAGTAATAATACAACCGCCGCCGGGCAGCCGCGTTATCTTCCGACCGCTTGGTTTTTAACGAGCCGCGTAAGAACTCGACAACGATCTCTCGAACGGGTACAACGCAGCACTATACAATGTACGTTCGAAGGCGAAAACCAGAAACCGTTTTCCGCGAATACAAATAAAAATCGGACAATATCGACACGAAATAATATATGCGTACGATATACGTGTTACGGTATTAGTTAACTAATTAATTATTCTTGCCCGACGCCTTCGCTACCGGAACAGTTGAACGCTGCTAAATTTGTCAAAACATTTCAGAAGCTGAGGACGACTTTTGACCACCGCGATTTAACGGAAAACGAAATATTTGAAACAAAAGTTTCGCCAATATGCTACGCGAATAGAAAAATGTCGTATACTAAGAATGTACCGAATCGAAAAAATAGCATACTTTTCATTGACATCCAGCATCCAGTCCAAGTCGAATAATAACTGGCGAATTAAATCAGTACAAAATTGTTATCATATTATGATTACTACTAAACACCAAAATGTATCAAATAATTTAACCGCGTCATTTTCCATACAAAACGTCGCGTCGTCGTCGTAGTACACAGATCATCAGAACATACAGTTCTTAGCGTCTGAATGATGATATTTAAAAATAATCTTAGGTTCTATACTATTACGAAATAAGAAGTATTGTACAGAAGACAGATATTAGGTACCAGAGTTAATTCAAGACAATTTTTTCGAGTTCGTATAGATAAATGTGATACAATTGGGTCAACAAAATCCTGTTGAATATTAGTCAAGGCCGACCGTAAACGACGACAAACAACCCGTAATATGAGTATAGTTAACCTTTGTGCAATACACAATGAGATTCCGTCGACCTGCAAAAACTGAAAAGCAACTGAAAGCGGGTTTAGAGCAAAGTATCTAGTCATTCGCCGTACGAGTTTATTCCTATATTATAACGCGAAAAAAGTATTGCGTGTTACAAACAAATAAAATTACTTAACAAAACGGTTCAGGCGAAAATGTGATTTGAAAAAAATACCACGATGAAAATACACAAGACAACAAAATCTTCGTAAATTAAAACTAATATACGAATCTCGTTAATGATGGTAACTCGTTCATATGGGAAACCACATTAGGTTGGTATTATCGTAATTCAAAGTCGCTATATATGAATATTTGTATGTAAAATCTGTTAACATCATTGTCAATTATAAATTTGATTTGTAATTTATCTTTGTTTTTGTAACTATAAAAATATATTGTAAACAAATAATATTATTCGTTTGCAAAAGCAATTATTCGTTAATTGAATTACAACGAGAAAATTTACAACACTTGTAAATAAGCGTTATGACAGACATAAAAAATATGTGATACCCAAGCCCGGATTAACATTATCGTAGGGCCTAGACACTAATAAGCACAGAAAAGGTCAACATAAAATTGTTAGATTTTAATATAAAAGAAAACAAACAAATTTCAATAAAATTGATCAAATTTATACAATTTCAACATTCTTAAATTCTTTTAGTGAATTTTATTTTGAAAAACTTAATTTTTTTGTTATATTTCTGAACAACCAGGTACCCACAACCCACTCGTTTTTTTATGATTATTAATTTATAAAAATAATAAAAAAAAAAGACGGACACACTTTGCAAGATGGGTGCAGCCACTATTGTAGGTGAGAAATTTGGAAGGTAGGATATAGAGGGGAAATTAATTTATATTTTAAGCAACGATAAACCATTGTTTCTAAAAACGATTCTGAGCGGAATTCAGTTGATAATGATTCTTTATCAAAGAACGTCATATTATGGTAATTAAATATGCATTATATATTTTTTTTAATAACATTATTTTAATATTATTCCAATTTCCCGTTTTTTCTACGTTTTTCTATTTTTTCCCCCGGTTTATCATATTTTCTGCGAAAACTTTTCGGAAAATCAAAAAATGACCTCTTTAAAGTACCACCCTAAGAAAATTTCCTTTCATAAAAGGGATTACATCGTATACATCAGAGTAAGCTTTCTGGTAGAAAAAGTGTTCACATAAAAAAAAAAAAAAACATTTTTGTAAAACCAATACATTTATCCTTCCACATAGAATACTAAATATATAAAACATTACAAAAAAAACATAGCTACTCATTTTCGTAGGCCCTAAAATATCCCAAAAATGTTCGTGGGCCCAAGGCACAGTGCCTATAGCGCTAATATGGCTCTAGTGATACTGACGGTATGATGAGCTTTCTCCGTCTTATAAATGTATGACCAGGCAAATTTTCGTTCAATAGAGACAGCTTTGTGTTGTTAATACAAATATTCGAGTAAATTAACCTGTTATCAAATTAAAAGATAAGATATGTGCAACGTTGGCTCAATATTCTCGATGTTTTAATTTTTAAGAGAGTGTGTGAAATGTCACAGTTTAATAATGCTTATATATTGCGTAAAAGCCATTATATCGAACAAATTGAGCTACATATAATATGCTTATCTTTAACTCTGAGAAGAAGTCAATTCACTCTAACATTAAAATGTGAATTCGCCACGTAGTGTACGTCTGTAAGACGGAGATAGCACATGCGGGTATCACGCCATTTTAAGGCCGTGAAGTCGAAAACCCAATATGGAGTGAACACTCGGAGAATGGGTGGAAGTTCTTGTATTTAGCGGTCCTGAAAGCCAAAGCTGAGTAGTGGACGAATAACCAAATTGCAATGACAATATTATTTAGTACATTATTATTGGTGTTTATATAACATAGATAGGTAGGTACTTTGAAAGTTGTAACAATCAAACAATTAATTTGATTTTCTTAACGAAAATAGATAAAATTAAAGAATAGATGTTATTATTACCTATATAAAACAGATGGGAATGTTTTAATATCTATTCATTGTTTCATATAATAAAATATAGATCATTATCTATAAGTGTTACGATCTAAAAAGTTTCTAATCCTTTATGGTTCGTTAAATAGATAACGGCTCTTCTATTAAATGTTGAACATTTAGTTTTCGTAATGCTTAAATAAATATAGATGAGATATTATTCATACTTCATACCTATGAAAACGAAACAGAGTTTCTAATATTCATTAATTACTATAATCTATAATACATCATCTACTGATGTATAGTATGACGTTATATAAACGTAAAAACGTTAAAATAACCGTATAGATACCTGAATTTGTTCAGAATATTTTTTATATCAGCCCATTCCAGACGTTTTGGAAATTTTCGAGCTATTTCGAGGTATTTGAATTTTGACATTTTATTTGATTTTATCTGAACAAAATTGTTAGGCCGATTAGAAATGTTTGAAAATTTAACACGAGGTTATCATCATAAGTTTTACTTGATAATAAAAAATAAAAATTGATGTAGTTCGTTTAAAAATTATTGTTATACACCGATATAAATTTAAATAACCTTTTCAAAAAATGACTTATTTAAAAATTTTCAAAATTTACAAATCATGTATATTAAACATTTTTAAAATGAAACCACTGTATCCACTTTTTTTTTTTAAATAGCAACTTGTGTATAAAAAATATGCCATTAATATATACGGTTTTAGTTTTGGTAGTAGAACATCATTTGTGTGGTGGCGCGTGGCATTTTAATACTTAGTGCTCCACTACCCCCTTCCCTAATCCAATATCAAAAGTGAAATATCTCGTCGACGCCCGACGGATTGGCAGAAATTAAAAATGTCAACACCAAAAAGGTTTTACATTAGTCATGTTTTAAGGAGGGGGGAGGAAACAAATAAGCATTCAGTGGAAAATGTTACTGTAATAAGAAATTTAGAAGATTCTGTTGAATACGTTCTATAAATTTCATGTATCCGAATAACAAAAAAATAATATAAGTTCGTACGGAAACGCCGTGTCTTCGTTACAGTATGTTTGACGTCTGAGAACGATAATTATTATCAATAATAGGTAATGCTGCAGGTAATAGTATGGTGTTCGTACGCGATAATAATACACAAAATTAGTCACAGACTTTATATTATTTATACGTATAAATTAATTCGCACTTTACTAGTGATTAGCAATATTTTTAACGACACTGACATTAAACATTACATCTATATAATTCGCATACATATAATATTAAATTAACAAATTTAATATACTGCCGTGTGTAGGCAGTCATAACCGTATTAAAATGTTTTTATACGCACTATGCATGCCTACGTAGTATAATATACCAACATTCGCTTTCTTTAATTGTTATACACACGAAAATGTAAAAATTGTTTTACCTTAATTTTGCGTTGTCGTTAAAGATCGACGTGAAACGTTTCCCCACGCATTATGATATTATTACGTTTCGGAAAACGCGATCCTAATTCGTATTAACAATAGCTCTAAAAAACTCAAACTCGCCAAAAACAAAAAACAAAAATAATAATAATAACTTACAAACATATTGCTTAAAGCTTAAGCTCTAGTTACGTAAATTACGTAAATTGATGCGAAATAATATAATATTGATAAATCATTATTATATGGAGTTTTTTAAATATTGCCGCATTCAATATTATTTGTTATTAATGAAAACATTATAATATTTTGCAATAGTTTAAAACGATTAGTCATTTTCCATTTGAAGTTATAAGACCGTTTAAACTTTAATATAGTTTATTACTACCTACCGATAAACTATCGGTAACATAACGGCTATAACTGCACACAAACTTCATCGACCAATATCACGTTTCTCTAATAAAACCACAACAAATAATTGAAAATTATTAACAATTTCACAGGAACTTCTTCGCGCAATAGCTTTAAAGGCCACCAAGGGTCTGAGGCTACAAAACTAATTCTCTTTCATTTCTCTCCGTCTTGAGCATACTCCACTAGAATTTTCAATTGACTATACCCTTAATTACATCTCGATTTGATCGATCTGACTCTGTTGTAGACTTGTGGTCTTCCTGCCGGTCTCTTACCACCGTGGATCCAGTTTAGGACATAATTCATTAATGTGTTATTGAATTGGACATTATTCCGTGGCCAAGCCAACTCGGTTCTATCCATCTCACGCATTACTCTCTCTCATAAGTTTGTTCTTTTTTTTCTTAGGTTTACAAGGACTACATAATTTTAATAACATTAAGTGTAATTTTCTGTTGAGCTCCGCGTACCTACCTAAATAAATTGATTCAACAGACTAGTAATAGACAAAATATATATGCCTATCATGCGTATCATTTCTGTACGGCTACAACACGTTCGGGAATTTCATCCCGAATCGCGACACGTTTGGGCATTGTTTTATTCTGATATCACAATACGTTTGGGCACTCCGACTCTATACGTATATAGGCAATAAACATTATACGTATAATTGTGCAGGTTTTTATTTACGTAAAGTATGTATTAGCTTTATTAATAATAAACGCATACACGTGCCAATATAATATGGCTGTGAAACGACACTTGCTACGATAAAAATTATTATAGTGGACAGCGATTAAGTGCAATGTCACTGATGGGCCAGTATATCGACAAAATCGAAAATCCATGTTACCAGTGTTACCAGTGCGAACTGTCATGACGTATGACGAAACGTCTACAAATAATTGATTAATAATATTTCAACCAGGAACTCCATGAATGGTTTATAATAGTTATAATGACTTATTTGTATTGTTGATTATGATACTAATTTGTTCTCGGGAATTTTGTATAGCTATTATTATTATTTTATTGATTATTGTACAAATTTGGCTCGACTTGTATATAATATATGGTTTTTATTAAATACATCTTAAACGAAAATTAAATTAAGTTAGACAGGCTGAAAACTGAAAATAATGTGAGGGAAGTGAAAAATCAGATCGCCCAACTCCCTAAACTAACCTAAGTCAGTAAAATGATAATTTTTTCGTATTCAGCCAAATTCATATTAGACAATTATGTTTTAGACGTCAGACTGTTAGAACATAAATTAACGACTGGTTTGTGAGCATAAAAAAAAAGTATTATTTTTAAATTTTTTTTGTAAAGTCTGCCAGTCGGTCGAAATGACTTTCCTACGTGCCTGAAAGACCCGTTGCAGGCAACCTCTTGTACAAAATTGTTTCATTAATTTAACAAGAGGGAGATTTTAGATAAAAACGGATGAAAAGCGAGTAAAAAAGATTAACTTTCAAATAAATAGACAAAGTTTGACATTTAACGTTCGGCTGAAGAATAAAAAAATTTAAAAAATGTTACTGAAGTATTTTATAATTAAATTTCATCGATTATTATATAAAAACGATGAAAACTCGTGCTGTATTATTGATTAGTTTAAATACGGTTTTTTTTTAACCTCCAGCAAAACATTACACGACGAGCAGACGCTTAGTTTTCAATAACAGAAACAAAGAAAAAATAAAAAATCTGTACATAAATATGTAAATAAATATGTAAATGCATTATCAAAGGGTTTGAACTTAAAACGCTTATAGAAAAAAACTACTACACTAAGCTTAACTTTTTTTTTATCACTACGTAATACAACTTATGATGAACACTGTGTTATAAATTAGAACAAAACAGAACACAAACAAAAAACTCGATAATGTAAAATATCTATAAATCACTCAAATATCTCAATAATGTTTTGAAAATTTTACCACGTCTATAAAAAGCTAATATAATGTGTATTTGGTTTATAAAATGTCAAGTGTTTATATGATTATTGTAATTGAATCACAACAAAAACACAGAATCGAAAATCATAAAATCGTTATAACCATATACACGTTTCCATTTTTTCCAATAGTTAAGAAAACTGCCCCACCAAATCAAATTTTCTGTACATACTAGAAAAAATATTCTTTCAGGAGAGATGTTACACTTGAAAATTGGAGCAAGGTTTCTAGTTGAAAAGTAGTTTAGAAAAAAATCGCATCGTTAGTAAAACCAATACATTCCTCGCCGCGCTCAGAATCTAAAATTGTATACGTATCACAGGTAGGCTTCTATTATAGATAAGTAGTTAAGGAGGTTTAATATAGGTACATACACTGTACAGAGTAATTAAGTTTATACAGGGTGGTAAATATAAAATGCGTACAACATCACTCATTATCTCGCAAAACATTAACTTTCTTCGAAATTCGTTTAATAGACCATTTAAGATATATAGGCAGTTTAAACATTTACGTTACAGTTTATTTTTCTGGTTGTCTTGTTTTCAGGGGTGAAACCACTACCTAATCTCGATCGTCGAACTGTGACCTATACTAAAATTTTCAATTTTAATGTTGAAATTTGTAATGTCCGTCAACCCGTTAACGATATATTCCACTTTTAAGTTTGAGTTTATGGGGTGGGGCGGAGAGTGGTGACGGAACGTCATTAAAACGCCGAGCGCCGCGCCGCCACTCAAATGATGCACGCCATTATATTGCACGATTTTATTTCGAATGACCGGGTGTGGGGGAGCCCAAAATCGAATTTACTCGAAACCTTCGTACGGAGGTTGCACAGGATACAGCTGTTCTTGATAGAATAAATAATTGCCGTGTATTTATTGTTGTTGGTTCGCTTACACTGCCGAGAGGCGTGCCGCCGAAAGCTGACGCGCGTCGTTATTGACGGGCACGGCGGGCACCTAACCATTCGTATGAAAAAAAAAAAAAAAAAAAAAAAACAAAAAAAAACTATACACGACGAGTTGAACGAGCCTTAGAGGATTGTTTTGTTCGGGTCCGTCCGGCCCGTAGTGATGCCATTGGCCGGCGAACAATGAACCGCTCGCGAGCGTATAAAACTCCAAGACAGAAAACGCATACGAGCGCTAACGCCCAGGCGGCCGGGGCACTTTGGCTGATTGCGCGCGAGCCGGCCGTCGTCGTCGTCACTCTGAACCCACGGGTAGGCGCAAAATCGTCGTCGTTATACGATAATTATGATATTGCGCCATCTGTATGACGAAACGCGTACCTATTCTCAAACGTTTGTCGTCAATCAAAGGTGTTCGCGACCCGCGCCGACCTCGAAAAGTGGCCGGCGGGCGGCGAGCACGGGAGCCCGGGTATTCGGTTCCCGTGCAATTTCACGTTCGAATTCTCAATGCGGGTTTTAACGCAACATAAACATCGATTTCGCGAAAAACGATTCTCATCGTTAACAATGATTGCGGTACATTAATATTAGCGAACGCGAATCGAACAACGTGTACATGCAGACAGGGGGAGGTTATCGTGGGTCGCAGCCCTGCCCTCCAGTGGCGTAACTAGGAACTTACTTCGAGGGATGAATATTTTGTTAATAATTTCAAGAAAAGATCATAACTAACGTACATTACACTATAATATAACACACAATTCCATTAACATTGCACATTAATAACTAACGAACAAAACATATTTACAACGTGGTATGTTATTCGCACTTGATATTTTGTATTTTGAATGGTATGTAACAAGTTATTACCAGAAAATCCTGGAATCTATAATTTTTTGGGGAGATTACGTGTAACATATTGTCGTGCGTTTCTATACGAAAATATACGCGCGTTACGTACGAGTCCGGGTCCCGAAGTAAGTTTTATTCGCCGTCCGACCTTTGACGCGAAACGTCGAGCGTAAACCGAGCGTCTCCCGTTGATTTTTTCCGGCTGACGGAAACGATAGACAGCCCGCCTGGTCCTCGAGCAGCGGGCGGCGACGGCCTGACAGGATCGCGATAACTCGCGGCGAGTTTCCATGCGATACTGTTGCTGCTGCGTCATTGTCCACGGACGGGTTTTTTTTTTTTTTTCGCGCCGATCTGAGCGGATCCGTCTCTCGCGAAACGCGCGCAGGAGAGAGGTGCGACGGCGGCGCACAAGTCCGGTGATTCGGCGGCAGAAGACGCGCGTTCGCGGTGTTTCGGGATCTCCGCGATGAACGCGAGCGCTCCTCGGCGACGGCGGCGGGGGAAAGTTATAAAACCTACTCGAGGCCCGGTCGGCCGGCCAGTGCACCACCGCCGAATAAACGACAACCGTTTAAGACATTCGCTAAAGTCGGCTCAGCGCGTACTACGAGTTTGTACTGAGGACCGCTCGCAGACGGTAGACGCACACACGCAATCCAACAGACAGTAGTCGACGATAATAATAATAATATCGTTGGTTCTGTTATTGTAATTCAGTTTGCAAGACGACCGCCATGCACGCGAAATACCTCTGGGTGAGTAATTATAACGTAATCAATCGACCGTCACCTATACCGGACGGATTAATAATATTTTTCAATCGATATTCGCGACATTGTTTTGTTTCAAAAAAAAAAAAAAAACGAACGAACGAATTTCGATTCGTCGTTTCCCCCCCCCCTCTGAGAGACCCCCGATTCGGATACACAATCGAACGGGCGCCGTTCATTCGAAAATCGTTTTTCCCGCGAGTTCCCGTCGGTTTACGCCTTGAGACGATATCCCGCACTCGAGTCGCGGAGACGGGTTTCGGTGATATTCGGGGCGCGCATACTCGACGACGGCGGCACACACGAGGAAACGGTTTTTGATTTCACGCGGGGAACAGAAAAAGCAGAAAAAAAAAAAAAACCATCGTTATGCCGTACACTTCCTCGGACGCGTTACCCGAGACCTTGATGGTGTTATTATATACCACGTATATTGTGTGTGATTAGGTCCTGCGAGCCTGTCAATTACCTATACAAAATCGTTCTCCGGCCCGTCGAGTTACTCAGCATAAATTCGTTTTCTATCGGCGGAAAACATAATAATAACAATGCCTGACAATATCGTCTCATTATTATCGTGGTTGCTGTTATTATTATACGCGTTTACGGGGCCTTGAAATAAAAATCCAATTTCCTACCGGCTACAAGGGAGACGAGTGACGTGAATATGGGTTTTTTAATGCGAGATTATTTTATTTTTTTTCAATTTTTTTTTTTTTTTTTCGAGTGCCTACCCACGAACGCGTCCGTGGTCTAATTCGAATTGTTCATGAAGCGAGCACGTATCACGCAATCAAACACCCACAGCGGGTGCCCCACACCACGGACGATACATAACGACCGATCCGACGTACGATGGAAACAATTCGAAAATAATAAAAGCGCACTCGGGTCTCTCGATCTTTTTCGAAAACGAAATCGACGTCGGCCGGTATGGACCGGAACGCAAAACGCATCGCGATAATATCGCACGGGCCGGCGCGCATGCGCTTTCACAAATCTTTATCTACACGACAACGCCGTTACGTTTTGTACATTTAACAATTTTTATCCTCGCCGCGCGCGCGTTATACAATAATTATCGTATTGTGCATCCGCGCGCGGTAATCATTGCAAAACAAACGGACCGCGCACGCGCGTGTTACTATTATTATTCACATTTCTCGAGTTCGCACGTTATCACACGCTCGTACGCTGTTCGCGTTTTACACGTTGTGAGCCGGCGCACAACCCGACCGGCTGGCCCGCGGGCGTTCGAGGTCCGTTCGCGCGGCGTCCCGGGACGTTCCCGTTCGTGATCGCAGCACCCCCGTCTCCGCGTCGTATTACAATCCGGGCGCGGGTGTCCTTGATACGTATTTCGCGATCCGACCTGCGCGGCCCTCGCGTGGGAACCGTCGTGGGCGAGTGTTTTGACGATCGTATAATATTAACAATGTATTCCACGTGGTCGGGCTCGCGGTTCAACGCGAACACTTGTGCCGCCCGAAGACCGCAATAGAATACGAATGAATCCCGCGGTACCCGTGTAAACCGATTTTTAATCGAAACGGTTTTTTTTTTTTCTCTCTCGTCTTTCGCCTTTAGTTTTTCCAGGGTACGAAGGGCGGGGATGGGGGGATTTCGATAGTTTCCATTTTGGAGCGCGATATTTTGTTTCATCGTTTGCGCACTCGAATCAATAATATTCTGGTGTTTGTTTGTGTTCGCAGGGCGCGCTGATCGCGACGCTCTTGTGCGCGGCGGCTGCCGACACCAGGGAAGTGAAACTCGCGGCCGAAGACGGAGCTGAAGACGACGCGGTTGCCCAATCGTCGACCATCGACGAAGAACAACAGCCGCAGTTCAAGCCGGTGTTAATCGCGCGCAGGCCTTTGCAACACAGGCCTTTGGCCGCCGCCGAATCGGAACGGCAGCAGGTAGCCGTGGTCCGGCAATCGCCCAGGGTGTTGCAACAACGGCAACGGGAACAGGAGGACGAAGAGGAGGAACAGCAGATACCGCAACAAGTGATCATCAGACAGCAGCCGGCCAAATCGTCGGTGCAACATCAACAGCGCGGACAACAACTGCCGGCCCAGCAACTATTAATCCAACAGCGGGTCAACAAGGATCAACAGCAGCAGCAGCAACAGAAAGAGCCGCCCGCGCAGACCATCAAGAACTACAACAAGGTCAACGACGACGGTTCATTCACGTTCGGTTACGAAGCGGACGACGGAAGTTTCAAAGAGGAGACCCGCGGTACCGATTGCGTGGTCCGGGGCAAATACGGTTACGTGGACCCGGACGGCAACAAACGGGAATTCTCGTACGTACAGGGTAACCCGTGCGACCCGAACGCCGTGTCGGCCGAGGACGAAGACGACCAGAGCAAGCCAGGACAACCAGCCGAAGAGGAGAACATACCGGCCAACGTGCCCAGGCCCAAACCCAAAAAGAACCGACCGACCACCACGCTGTTCCAACAGACGTTCGGCGATTTCGAACAACCGCAATCGCGTGTGCAATCCACGACGCCCCGTCAACCAGGCAGACAGCAACAACCGTTCCAAGAGACAGCTCCCCGGAGACCGGCGCCGCCACCACCACAAGTGCAAGCTTTCCAGCCGGACAGTAGTCCATCCACCACCGCCGCGCCATCGCTCTCTTTCAGACCATCCGCCGCCCCTGAGAGCATAGAGTCAGCCCTGCGAAACTTGCCTCAACCGCCGTCTGGAAAGTCGCAACTGCAACCGGCCGGACCCAACAACCCGCTGTACACCACCGAACTCGTGTTCGACCCGGCCACCGGACAGTACAACACGGTCATATACCAACAAGTACCCAAACAGCCTGCCGGCATCAACATTAACCAGCGTTTACCTCTGGCTCCGCCGGCGAGCAGCCGCCAACCGCAACCGCAGTTCCAGCCGCACTCGCCCCCGCAGTTCCAACCGCAACCGCAGTTCCAACCGCAACCGAAGTTCCAGCCGCAACCGCAACCGCAACCGCAATTTCGACCATCCGTCCAACCATTCCAGCCCCAATTCCAGGCGCAGCAGAGGCCCGTCGAATTCGACTTCCAACCCAGGCCCGGCCAATTCTCGCCGTCCCCGCAACAGCAGCAATTAGTCCAACAGCAACAAGCCCTCACGTTCCAACAGTCGCAAAACCTGTTCAGGCAACAACAGCTCCAGAAGCAACAGCAACAGCAGCAGCCGTTCCAGTCGCAGTCGACGCAATTCTTCCCGCCGCCGCCGTCGCAGCGGTTCGCCGCGGATCCGTCGCCGCAGTTCGCGCCGTTGCCGAAGCAACAGCGTTTCGAACCGCAACCGGAAGCCCACCAACAAAAATTCGTACTCGTGCAGCCCGGCCGGACGCCGGGACAACAGCACCTGGCCGCCGGCCAAATAGACGCGTTTCTAAGAGGCCACAACGTGCAGTTCTAAGCGAAACAACTCAATAGTTTCTCCAATTGTAAATAGATATTATAGTACTACCTGTACGTTATATTATTGTACGCCCGCGAGCCGTACCGATACGTGTTTACTATACCTTAGATAGTGTATTGTAATAATATTATGATTTTCGTTTAAGCCTAATTAAGAATGTGCAACGCGTTACATATTTAACAATTTTGTACGTATACCTGTACGTAATATTCACACCCGTCGGGTTAAGCGGTTTCACCTCCAGGTGGTGAAAGCCATAAAACGCAGTTCACATCACTATACGCATAATATTATACCTATATAATATAATTCGTATACTCGTAAACACCGATTAAACATTAAATCCTCGTAATGTTCCAAAAAAAAATGCCCGAGTATGTAATAGAACTGTGTGCTCAAAACATTATATTCTCGAGGATCTTTTTATAATTATTGTAAATATATTTTATTATACTTAACTTTTATGCTAAAATAATCTATACACGACGTATTATTATTATTATTGCCTATATATTATAATATTTCGATTTTTTTTTTTTTTTTTTGATTTTTTTCAATGATATTGTAACAACGATGATAATAATATAAGTTGTGTGAAAAAAAAACCTACTGTTGTTTTCACTTTCCTGCAGTACATATGTGTATCGCTTCCGCGAAAAAAATCCGGTTTGCTCTACATACACCTGCCCACGTTATGATTATGACGTAATCCGGTTTCTGCGTGCGCTTTTACAACCGATATTCTCCGCGTAATGCATCTGTTGACCCGAATACGCGAAAGTATAAGGTAAAAAAAAATAAGAAAAAAACGGGCGCAGTGGCCGCAGGTTACCGGTGTGTGCCTACACCTATACCGTATACCTATTGAAACCGCAACTGCCCCCGTCGCGTTGTGACATTATCCCCCGCAGAATAGGTGTTGCTCAATATTTTTTCGTCGTTTTTTGCCCGATAAATCACAAAGTCTATAGCACACACCGCGGCTACGCGCGCGAAGAAACGGACGAGCAGAGGAGACGGCGCGCGAGCGTTCACGAGAACGCGCGAGCGGCTGGGCGAAGGTCGCGAAAAACCACGGACGAACACGACGCGATCGCGAAACGTGACGTGTCGCCGTCAATGTACGCGGAACCCGTGGTACCGTAATGGCGGTGTTGTTACCACGTCCCAGCCGAAGCGATCGGACAGCGACGAGAGCAAAAGCCGCGGTTTTGAACTGGGCGCCTGCGATACGCACAACGCCGTACTATGGGCCGCTGGCACGCGCTTTCCCGTGTTCGCCCGCCCGATCGTCGCGCCGGAGAATCTAATACGTATACGACGCGCGGGCGATTCGCGAGGTCACTGGCGAGTCCGGCGCGAACGTTAAGAATCTATTGTTCGAAATACGATCGTGTTTTTATTCGCGTTCCGTAAAAGGCGTACAGAATTTTCAAACGTCCGCGGTGTTGTAAACGGTGAAACATTTGTCCGATATCCGACGTCCGTTTTTGTTAAAAACGTAAATGTTATCAAAATAGTCAATGCATTGACACGCCGCGGGCCGTAACGCCAAAAGTCTGTCGCCTGAAATGGCGTTCGACATTTTCAAGTTTTAAAAGAAAAAAATAGCCGAAACCGTCAAACTTAAAAGTATATGGATATTTTGAAACGAAATGTTTTAGATATTCACTCTAAACAATATTCCACAATGTATATTCGAATTTGCGGTAGATACTTAATACCGGTTCCATGGTCACTATACTAAATAATATTAATCGATTCACTAATTTTCGTCCGTGGGAAATAACTTTGTTGACAATTCGTGTAAACTTAAAAAACATTTACAAAACTTAACGGTCCATCATTAGTAAATATTTATAACATCAAAATTCTGTTTTGAAATATGTGTATAAAACGTCGGTCTTGGAGTTTGTAGAAATATGGTTGGTTAAAAAGTATTTTTTTTTTTATTTTTAGTTATAAAAAACAAAAAAAAATCATAGAACCTTGGTTCTGGAAATAATTACAATAAAAAGTAGCAGAACGAAACTTATTTTACGTGTCAGATCTACGTGTTACACTCTGCATATTATGCATTGCTCTGTTGCCTAATTATAGTTAAATTTTAGTTATAAATTTAGTTTTTTAATTTACGGCTGTATCGAAAGTACAAGTATACGTAGGTATTAGCCGGTACCTATTATAGTATTAACGCGATAGCCTTATTCATTCTCTTGCGATTCCGAACTGATTTTATAATTTGTCATACAACGCGAATATATTTTGTGTTTATAAATTGTGAGTCTAATCAAAAATACTACCTACTTATCAGATACCTACATAAACCTATACATATAATATGAAATCAATCGTATGACTCAATCAATCTAATTTTCGCAAGATTCGTTCAACATATTGTTATTTCATAACAGTGATGACCGGTATTCCTAAATATGTGTTGAATCCCACTCTCTAAATTCGCCGTCCGGAGACGACGGACGTAGAATAATAATATTAATTATTTTGAAATTATACATTGTTTATGAACCATTTTTTATCATAGTTCGACAAATTTCCCTTTCGTTCTACGATGCATACAATATTATAAATTTAAATTCTCTACTGAAAATGCAACTGAATTTTATTCATCCCTACCTATAAAGTTTTTATACTATTGCAAACACGGTTTAGAACGCATAAAATCCATTGGGTGTCCGTCCGTAATAGTTACTAGTACATATAGTTACGGTTTTTGATTTTTTTAATAAGGAGATATTAATTATTGTTCGCAGCATTATTATTATTATTATTATCATTTTTTTTTAAATATAAAAATATTTGAACTATAAAAAGGCTGATAAGGGCGCTACTGTTTTAGGAAGGTAGTTGGAAGGCAAAGTATGTAGAGTAGTTTAATTTATATTTGTACACAACGATAAGCGATTTCTAATGAAAAACGATCCTAAATTAAATATTATTAGTCGTATCTTTCTCTTTATTTCCAATGTAACCCTGAAATCAACAAAAATTATAATTCCAGTTTTTCCCATTTATAAGGAAAACTACAAGGAAAATCAAAAAATAACATCTCAATGCATCAACTAGATTCAGAATTCTACAAGTTTCTATATAGTTTTTGAATGGAGTAAAATTTCTGGTAGATAAGTTGTTTACAGACAGAAAAATAAATCGCCCACAGCATAATAAAATCAATTCATTCCTATTCGATACGCTCAGAATCTAAAATAGCTACCAAAAAATATAAGTACTTTAAGAATTTTAAGAAATCTCAGACATCCATTTACAAATTATAAATTCAATTTATTTAGGTTTCTGTACATCATATAGCCAAATATACTAGGTTACCAAATTCCTTCAAAATTGTATACTTATGGAATTATAGTTTACTAGTTGACTTCTCCTGTATGCAATTACCTTAGTTATACATACTTAGTCAAGTACCTACCTATTATTATATAATAACAATAATTGAAATACGTCTGTATATAGCGTACTTCACTGTAGACGTCGTAGACTGTACGATAATGCACACAGTACATAGGAAATAATTGGAAAAAAACCGTGGATACCATAAATATCCATTCAGTACAACATGTAGTTTTTCTGAGTGGAGCGAAAAATATTGTGGTTTTACAACGATGTTAATTTTTTATTTTTTTATCCGTGAACAACTTTTCTACCAGAAATATTGCTCCGATTTACATGTGTAGAAATTTTTCTAAAAGGAAATCGGACTGGGGTGATACTTTAAGGACGTCATTTTTTTATTTATCCAGGAGTATTTCCAATAAATAGGAAACATCGGGAAAAAACATGAGAAAACGGGAAAATAAGTACAATATTAAACAAATATTATTAAAGAAAATGTATAATGTCTATGTGATTAATTTACCATAATATGATATATTATCTATTGTTAACAAAGCAACACTATCAACTGAACTCCGCTCAGAATCGTTTTTTCGTTAGCAATGGTTTATCGTTGCTTACAGATACACATCCAATTTCCACTTTACTGCCTTTCCAACTTCACACCTACAACAGCAGCCTACCCACGTGCAAAGTAGGCCCGTCTTTTTTTTTTTCTTACTAAGGTAATCCATTAAAGTAAATAAATAATTTAATAATATCTAAAATTAAAATTCGTAGGATATGTTTCAATTTGTGGGGGAGGGGAATTTCAACATCTATAAACCTTTTCCGGATAACGCGGATCAACCGTGTAAAAATTGGTCCAGTAGTTTCGGAGCAAACCCGTAACAATGATTTCCATTTTCCATTTATACGCGTACATATACATAGATATTGTTTAAATTACGTTTATAAACCGAGAACTTTGCACGATCGCACAGTTTTTAAAAGTTTATAATATTTAAATTTAAAAAAAAAAAAAAACCCCGAACTGAAATAAATAATTTTTATTTTTGTTAACTTGGCTCATAATAGCTTATGATATTTTCCTATTTACAATAAATTAATAAAATAAGTAAATTGTATGTGTCTTTACGTTACACCGCTATAATATCAACTAGATGACTAATTAGTAATTTGTATTAATTAGATTAAATAGTAATTACATACATATGTAAATTGTAGGTACGCGTCCATTTAAGTGCATTTTAACGCGAACCATAAAATTATAATTTTCTAAAACATATGAATCATAATACTATACGAGTACTAAACAAATCGATTACAAGAATTATACCTACCTATAGGCTATTATTTCATTTAGTTAAACTTTCTAAACCGTTAAGATTAGTTATAAAGCATAACGGTAACATAATATTAAATATTTTTTTTTTATTTCTTTGATTAGATGTTATAAAATAGTGATGTACAAATTTACTTTAGAAAGTGTAGTCTGTTTACTTATTAATTATTATAATTTTTAATATATTGTAATATATAATTTTAAAATCATTTGCATACTCTTGTATTCTGAATATTATATTAGAGTGTATACAGACATCGTATATCACGTACCCCCTCCCCCCCAAAGAATAATTAAGTGAATGGAAAAAAAGGCAACGCGCAGCAATCAGCAACCCTTAAACATAATTCAATTTCCTATTTAGCACAATCTGTTTTTTTCTCGTCTATAATTAAAATAAAAACTGTATAAAATTGTTTTAACTCGAGAGACCAACACTAAGTAATGCGGTTAAACATAAACCTCGTTTAATTACAACAAATTAGGCACAGGTACCCTGAAAACATAGCCTTTTTCCATATTATTAATAATGATTAATAATAATGTATGTGACGTGTTCATACTTGACGAAACATACTGATTGCTAGTAAGTACGGAACCACGGGGGAAGGAAGAATTAATTAACAGTAGTTTTCACAGTGACCCGGTTCATTTAATATTATAATTAAAATATGATGATGTAAATGTAAAGTTGTTGATTAGAATTTTGAATAATATGAATTAAGTGTGTGACGTTATATTTAAATATCTAGCTAATTTAACATTTAAAAATAAAAGAAACCGTTTTAAAATGTGCATGATATAAATAAGTGAATGTATTTAATATATAAACGAGAGCACATCAAATCGTTATCAATGTTTAATATTGTTAACGATCAATATTCACTAGTAAATACTAATAAATTAGTAATACTTTCTACAGTGGATGATTGCAAAATGATACAATTATTTGTTTTGATTAGTTTTATTGCTTATTTATAGTTTTAATAATTGACGAATATACAATTTTATCGTAACGAAAAATAATTTAAAAATAGATTAATTCTTTGCCTAATTTCATTTTATTCTGATTTCGGTGTGTATTTTTCGAGAAAAAAAAGGCAAGCAAATCATATTGAAAGATATAAAAGTGAAAACTCGTTGATTTTATTTGTGTTTAATATTGTTTCTAATCGTATACCTATCTGGTTTATATATATATATATAGCTCGCAATAATAATTTAACTATAACGGTTACCCACTAACCTAACCAGCCCAACCTGACCTAACCTCTGGAGAATAACACCTGCACGCGGATGATAACCAATGCAATAATATACATAAATACCTACATACGGTTCGATTGATGATCTAAATATTATTACCCTCGATACAGTCGTGGTTTGCTGGCGGGTTGCGTAAATAATAATAATAATAATAATTGAACCAGTTCTCGATAGGTAAACAGGACACACCCATTTATACGAGGAATGAGGATATTCGATAACTACGTGTAGTCCGCATCGGGTTATCTTAGCTTTCTCCGCCTTGTGCTTAGGAAGTTGACAGATTACGACCAAATATTATGAATCCGGTAACTCTATAGTACCTATATGAGACCAATCGACACGTGATTACATAACCCCGTGATAATAATATTATATAGTTCAAAAATTACACGAATATTATATATACTAGGTATATGTAACATCTATTACCGGTTTACTATGCAAAATTACAAACTAGTTTATTATATATTGAAGTATAGATACCTCAAAACCGAAATTAATTCGATCTACGTTTTTGCTCTAGACATAACATTACGTCTTATGAGATTATACGATTTTATAATAGTTTTCATTGATGAAATGTATTAAGCATTTTAAAAAATAAAGACGTATTATGTAAATAATGTTGTTAAAAAAAATATAAAATCTATTGAAAAAACACCCACGAGCAGCACAGTCACTTGAGCAGAGTCTAAAGTTACTAAAGTTGAATTATTACCCACCTATTTTGTACGAGTTAAGCAAATATATTCTTTGAAACCGATAAATAACCGAATGCTACACTACCTATACTATTTCCAAAAAACTTTTGCACAAAAACGATAGGAGATTGGAACGGTACAGTTATTTATCATCCAAAAGCCACATTCGTGGTACTAACATTGCTAACGCCGTGCATATACAAAATGTCATCCCCCTAGCTTGATTAAGAAGATAAGTAAAAGTTTTTGAAGCTAAAAAAGCACGTTCTTCCCGCAACAATATGGTTATAATGAAATTCCAACCCATCATTTACGTATCAACTCAGTGTGCCTATAAAAAACCTCTAATACTCGCGTTTGAACTTAGTTGGTTTAGAGAGGAAGCCACTAAAAGTGTGAAAGATTAGCAGGTAAAAGACATATAAATATACTAACCCGTTGACACGATATTCTACTTTTAAGTTTATGTAAAGAGAGAGTAGTTGAGCACTAATGAAACGTCGTGTACTGTGCTGCCACACAAGTAATACTCCACCACTCTCCCCCTAGCTAAACTTAAAAGTGGAATATCTTGTTAACGAGTTGACGAAAGTTTAAAAATTTTAACACCAGCATTTATTTAAAGTAATATTCCATCTATTTTTAGGATTTTTAATATAAGTTCTCATTTGAAAAACCAAAGATGGTATCACCACAAGATACTAATTAAATGTTATGAAAAATCTAAGTATTCGAAAATATCGGCTTTAACTACACTTAAACATTCCAAAAATCAGAATTTGAATATAAACAAAATTTAACCAAAATATGGAATGTGCACGTTAAGTAAATCACCCTGTATGTAAATATATATATATATGACGGACTTTGAAGGTTGCAAGAAATTTTTATTTTTGAATCGAACAAATATGAAACTAAAAAAGAAATCAAAAAATACAAATTTACTAAAAATATACAGGCCCAATATTTTTATGATTATAATTATTTACCTACGCATAATGCACATTATATTAGATACGTGGCCAAATGTCCCACAAATATTTGTATGAGAAACGTAATCTCCGAGAAAAAAAATATCAAGGTTTTATTTCAAATAAAAATAATGAATAATATTGACTACAAACAATTTTGTCATGTCGAGAGTGTATAGCACGTTCCTAAATTTAAAATAAGTTTACAAGTCCTTGACAAATTAATGATGTATTCAATATAGATCCATACGTAATGGATCCCGGGTTCGATATTACACACACAATATCGTAAATTAATTATGGTTACAGGTACGTAATTTAATGTATAATATAATAATGTACACTCGAGGTTTTGTTTTAACAATATAAATTCTTTCCAGTATGGGGCCAGGTTATTAGATTAATTTATACATTTTTTTTTTCGTCCGAAATATCGTTAGTTAATTTTTTTCTTCCCGAGTCTATTGTTTGTTAAGAGTTACATAAATACATTGTGTTTTTTTTTTTTTTCGAACACAATCAGGATGTTGACAGCGAATACCAGAAGATACTATTTTTTGATTAATGAATAAGTGCACGAATTAAATAATATATAGTTTTATACGCGTAAAAACGGTTACAGTTCAAAACATCTCCATGTTTTACTATGTATCTCAACACTTTCATCATTACATATGATTACACATGTATTTTTTCAATTTTATTACACACACACACATATTTAAAATGAACATATATTAAACAAGTTCGAGAAGCCCACTTAATGAGCGCGATTTAAGTTCCCGGTTTCTAATCGTAATTTAAACAATAATTCCATAAACAATTGTTGAATGAAATTGGTAACCTATATAGTACGAGTATACTGTTCTGGTGTGTAGAAACCTAAATAAAATAACATCTTAATTTGTAAATAATTGACAAGATGTTTTTAAAATTCTTAAAATAATTATACTTTAGCAAGTACCTCCTTTTTTTAAAATTTTAACTAGTATGAATTTATATTTGATACTCAAATTTATATTAATAATAATAATAATAAAGTTACGAATAATATATATCTCCTTGTCAACTAAATCGACAACCGTAACTATGCAGGTACTTACTATAGTAAACAGACACAACGAAAATATATATGTAATCTGAATTAATATTTAGAAACCGAAAATTTAAAATAATATTAATCCTAGGGATATTTTATTTTAAAGATATTTTCATTTGCAATATTCTTTCCTGGAGATACTGGATTTAACTTAGATATTTTTGTAGGAATTTATTGACCGGCCACTACCTATAGCTGTTTATCGTATTACACATTTACAATAAAAATATTTTAGACTATGGTATTGATGAGTTTTGTTCAATGAATTGCGGTAAAATGTTTTTCACTCGACACATACTTTACAGGAAAATCTCTCATGCTCCGGAGAGCGGTCCGATTTCGATCATTAATTGTTTTCGGTGGCAAAGAGAAAAATTTCCTATAAGACACACTGGTCTTCGATTTTTAATTATGTAATCAAAAACAAGAAATATACAAAAATTTCGTTTGCAATTATCTTTATAGAAGACTAAAATATCTTTTAAATATTTTCTAATAATTTAATTAACCCCATTGTATTTATAAGAATTTAATTTTTGTAAATTTGTTTTTATTTTTTCTCTATTTATACGTAATTTTTTTTCAATATTTGTAAACTGTAGCCATTTACTTCCCTCCACAAATTTTGTTTAAATGAAGTAAATACAACAACTTTAGTGTTTTAATAAAAAAACAAAAACAATACAAAAGTGTTGAAAATTGAGCACATTTAAACTTTAACTAAAGCGTTCATTAAAATAATCAAAAATGTAAATATATTCAAAATCGCCAGTCCAATGCGTCCTGCAAAATGACTTTCATCTTCTCAACAGAAACAAAATTGTCGAAATCGGTTCCGTACACGGGATACGAGAATTCTTTTTGTTATGTAAAGCAAGTTTTTCAACAAAAAAAGTCTCGTGCAGATCCCTAATTCAATTTTGACCCTTATTATCTTAATAAACTTTATTCATTATTTAACGGCAATTGAATTTTAAATTGTCAAGCAAATATTTCAAAATTTAAAGTATGATAAACATAAAAACTAACTGCATACCTAAGTCTGTCAATTAAAACTGATCATTATCAAAACAATAATAAAACATGTTACATTTTGAAATATTCGGCAACTTTCTAATTTTTGTAATAATATTCGTTTGAAACCTGATAATAATTTTCTCAAGTACATTTCGTTCATATTGTATTGTTTTGTGAATTCTTTAAACCACGTGTTGTTTAATTTTATTCGTTTTACACAATATTAATAATACTGCAGTTATTAAGACTAAAATATGAGTAGGTATTTGTGTAAACATCTTTATTTATTATTGACTATTATTTTTAGTTTTAGATTTTTCTAAATAGAAGGAAAGAACAAATTATTTTAAAAAAAAATTTTTTTTTTATTATAATGATACATTTGCCCTCGAAAAACTTTTTTTGATACCGTATAAAAGTTCATCAGAAATTTCATTTATGTGTAGGAAAACTAAAAAATAAATACAATGGTAAATGTGATTTCAGAAAAATACTACCGTAACGAAAAAAATAAGAAAAGTAGGTATACATTTATTATTATAAAACTGTTAAGAATATGAAATGTTGATGATTTAAAACACTTATTACGTAATTGTTCGAATTTTAAAAACAAATAGTCACGCATAGATATAGTCATACCAGACAAAACTACAATAATAATTATTATGGTTAACAAATAACCAATAAAACTAAAATATATAGCCCTACAGCAGTTATTTAATATTTGGTTTATGTCCATGCGCAATATTCGTATTTTATTATTGCGTAATAAAATAAAGTCGTTATTTGCTCCGCCGACATAATCCCTAAATTAAATAATATAAAACGAAAAATTATCTACTTTACTTAGATATTGTCTGTGTTCCGTATTACATTAAAAGATAAATATCTCATGTACAGTGCCTACCCACGAGTGCATTACGAGTATAGGAATACTCGTATCACACCGGCACATTAAACTTCATACATGGATATAAATTAGAAACCGGGTGAAATTAAATAATAATATAGGTAGGTACCTATTCGTAATATTATAACATAACATAGCTGACGATCTTGGAAAAAAAACACGAATTCAATAAACTCTTAGATAACAATGAAACGCGTGTGTTTATGTTTTTTAAATATTTAATATTGAGACCTAGGTACACTCTGTAAAAATACGTTTAATAAATAATTTTTGCTTTATGCGCTGAAATCAAAAATATTTTTCTACTTATTATTGTTTGTTGATACTGCTCGCGGGTATGCTATTGTTGTAACTGTAAGTGGGTAGTTGGGACGATAGAATTTACAGAGAAATTTAGTTTATAAACTATATGCAACTATGAATCACTGCGACCAAAAAAACCTAACCGATTCTGAGCTGAGTAGTTTAGTAGTACTGCTCCGTAGTCAAGAATCAGTAACCCAAAAATTAATAAAATTAAAACTGGTGTTTCGAAATTTGTTGTTAGTTTTTTTTAAACTTTATAGAAAAATCGATTTCAAATAAAGTTCTACTAAGCGAAAAAAACGGAACTTTGGAAACTGTTAAAAAAGTCGATAAATGTTTCAAATAAAGTACTACAAGATAAAAATTCTGTATCTTCGAGGTTCCGAGTGAAAAATATGAAGTATTTGCCTAACCAAAAAATTATTTAAACATTAATACTATATTTTTTAAAAGATTCTTAATTATTTCGAAAAAGTGTTCGTATAAACTACCACATATGGAAAAAATGTTCCATCTTTTGAGTTATGATATAAAAAAGCATTTTTAGAAGTCAATCGAATGTGTTCCGAGAAATAAACGATAACTTATTCACTCTGAATCTTAAAACCTTAATTTCGATTTAATTAATTAATATTAAAATACGTCTTATATTTAAATTATTATTATTATAATTATTTGTGTTTTTTTTTTTTTTTTGTATATACCGTAGTAACTTAATTAAGTATACAGTAAATCATAATTTCTCGATATTGACAATATATTACGAAAGGAATACATTTAAAATTACTTATCACAGATTTATAATTATTATACTGATATTATTTTTGTAAAATAAAACTAGAGCCAGTGAGCATAGCAAATTTTAAGGCGCAAATGTACACAATTATATGACACGTATGATCAATAAATTTCAAACAAAAAATACGTACGGCGTTCTTTACTTTTAAGCGTATGTTATTTATTTTAAAATATAACAGACTTAAGGTCGAACATAACAAATATAATAATATACCAACAAAATAAAGATAGCAAAGGAACACGAAATACAGAAATGACAATTGAATAAAAAGGGGACCGTGTTTACAAAATCCATATATCAAACTAACGTTTTGTTTGCAAGGTAGTAAATCGTGAAGCAAAGGGTGTGACGAACGGGGCAAGATTACACGTTTGAAAATACAGAAACATGGGAATTAATATGTCCAAGAAGAGAAAGGGGTCGATTATAATGACATAGAGTTTATGTAGGAAAAATAAATTTTTAAGGAAACGCGCGGTGGCTGATAAGAAATTGAAGATTGAATGCTTAACGCATCAGACCACAATCATGAAAAGGTTCATTAAAGTCCACTTGCAACTTGCACTGGATATACATTCAGTTCGACAGCAGGCATTAGATAAATTGCAGAAAACTGATCCATACTCTATCATTTGAGAATAATTCGAGCATAATAGATTTTAACAAAGAAGCAACCTTGAATTCGTCAGATAGTTATATTATAAACCTATTATTAAGAGCATATTATCATGACGTTCAAATAATTATTATACTGGGTTTTATATTATTATGGTTATTTTACACACTATTTTCATGAACAACAATGTGCTGATTATCATCGGTGGCGATTGAACATTTACCTTAATAAAAATACAAACAACGTTATATTTTTCCAAATGGTTTTTTTTTTAACTAATGATTATTCTGTACCATTATAGTGATAACTAAGGATATCATATCCTAATATCTATGGTAATTGATTATCTTAATATATTTCAATATTCATTACTTGATAAAAAAAATGTTACTAGGTATAATACCTAGTATGTACCTAAATACATAACTAGGTATACTAAATTGTAATTATACATTTTATTCTAATGCAAGTTTGCAGGGCCTATTTTTTGTAATATTTCGTACTACGCACTTTTTAGTTTAGGCCAGAAATCCATAGTCACAAAATAAAATTTGCCCTCGTACTCTTAAATACAGTTATTTCATTAATTTTTCTACCATTTATAGTTGTTTACAATTTTCTTTTAAACAAACATTTTCAGGTATAGACTTTATAAAGGAGAAATGTATGGGTAATGTAATAAGTAAATTAAAAAATATATATATTACATAAAATCAACTAGTTTGTACTTTATGTATACTTTATTCTTTCAACAAATTTGTTTAAATAACGTTCCTCTGGATTTAATTCCTTATACAAAGTCAGTAAATTAATTCTAACAAGCATTAAGATAACAAGTTTTAAAACATCATAATAATAAATAACAAATTTTTAAATACTTTGAATTTGATCGAATCTCTTTGATATACTTTTTCTAAATTCGTTAAACAATTAAAAATACTATAACAGCAAAACATAATTTAGAAATATTTTTATATAACACGCTGCACATTTTATAATTCCGCAATACACACAATGTGGTATATTACACACAAAAATAGACCCTACACGTTTGTATGAAAACAATATCGTTCGTTTGAACTCATATTTTCTATTTTCAATTGCGGTTTTATAAATAGTAATTTATTCCGACGAATTATGTAACTAGTTAAAAATATTTTATACTATTTTTACGACCCGGGATATTTTAAATATATATGACTAACAAATAAAGATAGGTGCATAAATTTAAATTTAAAACATTTTATTACAAATTTACATTTAAAAAAAAAAATCTATACATTTTATGGTTAATTTATGTATGATGAATAATCTAATCTGACCTAACTTAACTAACAAATTTCCGCTTTGAATAAAATTATTATTCAAAACCGATGATTTTCGTAACAATAAATGTCAATTGTCTAAATTATTTTTCTTTAGGTAAGCTGTTGATAATATTGTCTTCGGCGTTTAGGTATTAAAACGAATTTCTAAATCTTTTTAAAAAACTTTTAAATACAGAACGTAACTCAACATGTATTGATTTTACTATAATATGTAAGCTGTGTTTTTTTTGGCTGTTTGTGAACAACTTTTCTACCGTAAATTCTCTTCGATCAAAAACTGTAGGGCCTTATTGGTGTTTTCTGATGGTAAATTCATTCCAGCTTGGTGAATCGAGAAGATAATTTTGTTTTAATTATTCTTGTAGTTTTCAGTTACAAGGAGAAACCGGAGGAAAACGTAGGAAAACCGAAAGCATTTACGCAATAGCGATTTCTTACCGTTTCGGTTTAACCTTCAGTATAATTAAGCCACGGGACTTCATTAATAATATAGGCCACCTGGTATAATTATTATTATCACAGCCATCTAAACCTAGGTAGTAATTTCGATTTATTACAGACTGCCTGCAGCTTTTGCGTATAACTACGATAAGAATTTAAATTCGATATATTTTATTGGTTCCCAATATACTCGTCACAATAGTACAAATAATTTAAACCCTGCGTTAAATTAATAAACTATTATATAACATACACGAATGCATGTGATATAGTATATGGATAAACCGGATTCATATTATATAATATCATTCTAAATTTAATTCAAAACCAATATTTACGAGAAACTTTTTTTGATAACGTAAATGTTAGACTGCATATTATAAAATTACGAATATTAATTAATTTCATATCAAATCGGCTTTTTGTGAAGAAAAATTCTTCAGTGATGAAAAATATTTTAAATATACGGCAATTTAGTTAGATATTAATGGACATTAAATTCAATCTCTATTAAGTAATGTAGCAAAATTAAGCTAATTGTAATAATGCTATTATAACGCCATGGAAAAGGAAATTATTCGGGAACTTTCAAAAATCATAAAAATAAAAAAGTATTAATTAAAACCAAACAAGACATTGTATATTTTTATCGAACTGTATTATTATATTATAGTGCTACCTGTAAAAACGCTCTAAAATAATACACGAATTTCAGTAAGCCTTTGGTTACAAAAAAATTCACTTACACAAGGACGCCATATTGCATATATATGAACAACTTTAAATTTAATTTTTCATCCCTTATTGTTTATTTGCATTGAAATATTGAGGCTTATCTTTTCACGGAAGTTTGAGAAAATTTATATAACTATTATTGTATATTGTGATTACCAATTTCTACTTGTTATTATTTTCTAGTATAATATAATTATTATACTACTATATGAAACAGGTTACGCACTTAATAATTTTATATAAAACTAAATTTAAAACTTAAAAGTCACTTATTAAATAGACATAAATGTGTTAGTTTTTTGTAAATAATGTATTTGTGTTGTTTTAACTTGTAACTAAATATCTCGAAAAACAAAATGTATAAGATCGTATAAAACACTTTTTTCTAAAATAAGTAAATGTATACATTAGTTTTAGTTTTTTTTCTTTTTTTAAGTATATGTTTACGATTTCTAGCGTTATTTCCGAACATACAATACTAAATTGCAGGTATTATTTTTAATATTTTGTAGGAGTCGTTGCTTTCCCTTAAAATACATATATATAAGTATTCTCTTTTATTCTCAAGGAAAAACTGTCGTTTTTCTTTTTCTTTCGAACAATACGTTAGTTGAAGAATAGACAGTACAATATTATAATAATGTTGTGACTTTTTTTTTGTGTAGGTAGCAACGTAACATCCTATAATTTATTATATTCTTTCAATAATGTGTGACTGTAGTATTGATGTTATTATTTATAACATACAAATACTAAGGTGCCTGTATTATACTACGTTTTTATGATGCAGTTAAACAATTTTCATGTAACTCAAAATAGTAATAAAAAATGAATATAGGTATCTGTTTATATTATACGAGTATAATGAATACATAAATACGATTTTGTATTAAAACCGATTTTTATTGCGTTTTAACCAGGGATGGAAAACGTTTTTCAAAATCGTTATTAAACGAACAAAATTCAATAACGAAAATAAAACAACAAAATAGTAAAACGAAAACGAAAAAAAAGAGCCGATTCTGGGAATGAGAGTGACCACTGTTGTAGGTGAGAAGTTGGGAATGTAGGATACATAGGGTAATTTCATTTATATCTGCAAGTAACGATAAACCATTGCTAACGAAAGACTATTCCGAGCGCAGTTCGATAATACATAATTTGAAGTGCCGTAATTTTTTTGCAATTTTCCTTTAAATTTGATTTCAAAACGTTTATTATAAAAAAAACAAGACATCCGGTGATTTTGGAAACTTCACCATGTCTAGGTAAGTTCAATATAAGTATTATTACCAAGTTTCAAGTCTCTACGCGTATTTAGAACCCCCGAAAATTAAAATTTCTTAAAAGCCTCAAAGTGGTTCAAAAGTTTTGGCAATAACACTGTAAGAAAGTAAATCAGGAAGGAAACAAAAAAGGTATATTGTGATTTTTCGATTAAATCATTTTTTCGAAAATGTAGAAAATGTTGTCCGTTTTTTTTATAAAATAATGAAATCGTGAAATTGTACGTTTTCCTATGTTTTTCTCACTTAAGTGCTTTTATTTCAAAAATTTCGAAAATTAAAAAATAACCTGTTTAAAGTACCATCTAGATAACTTGAGCTTTCAGAAAAGTTGCTGCTACACGTAAAAATTGGAGCAAGTTTACTAGAATAAAACGTGTCCATAGACTAGAAAAAAATAAAAAAATAAACATCTTAGTAAAACCAATAACTCGATCACTACACTCGGAATCTAAAATTGAGTTTAATGTAGTTTTTTTTTTTTTTATAAGGAAATTTTAATATCAAATTTTGACGAATAAATTATGTAGAACAAATCTAATTTTCAATTTTTTTTTTCTTTTTGTCATTTATTTATTGCCGGTTTAAGAACGATGGTGGAGTCAGAATTAAGCGGAGTGATTAAGTTTCAAAATTATAGATTTTTAAAGTCTGATATTTTGCGAAAAATCATAAAATAAAAAAAAAAACATAAAAAGACCTTCCCTATGTACAAAATAGAGAAAATTACCTTTCATGCCCAAAAATTACAAAAAATGTTTATACAATATACCTAATAGAATTACGAGCCCGTGGTATAAAATTATTTAAGTTTAAAAAACGACCACCCTGTATATCTTCGTGGGAAACTCTGTATGTTCAATACTAATAAATGTCAGTTTTAAGTCGTATGTAGTCATTATAGTTAATTTTTAAAAAAAATTTAGCGTGTATACAATGAAATCTGTATTAAAACTACAAAATTTATTTCTTAATCAACCAAAAAAAAAAAGTATGTACGAGTATATATGAATATATATTGCATTGTACTAAAACAATTTACAATGTACTTAATGTAAAGTACAATAAGTGCCTTATAATTTTAATTATGAGTCAGTCAGTCAATAACAAAAATACAAACTTTGAAATCTTTGAAATTCTCTCATTTTGAAAAGGTTAATATTAAAGGGTCAATTTTTTACAATGTCCTGAGTTACTTAAACTCAACTTATGTTTAAAAACCCCGTTTTAATAAATGATACGTGTTAATTTATATGTTAACTTGTTACACTTTTAATAAGTGAAGAATTGAACGATATTAACGAATGTTCGACTTGAACTGTTGCAGTGCCGGTACACAGTATTCGTATTAATATTTTAATTAACGGTGATGAAATGGACTATTGTTACGGATAATACACGACCGTCCTGAAATACTGGGCTATTTCACGACAACGTTTTGAGAATATTATTTAAAGAAAAATAAAAAAATATAAAATTTACCAATTATCATTATTCGTTATTATTATTATTTGGTAACACCGGACGACCGTTTAATGAAATCGAAATCATTTTTTTTTCCCATTGCGGTTCGTAAAACGTAGAAAAAAAAAACATCACAGTTATCACTACGCGTAAAAACGAGGTCACGAGGCTGCTATTCTCACGCGGCCCCCTAACAGTACACCGCTGTATATACATGCGGTTTTTTTTTATTTTGACGATGATAATAATAATACTAATAGTATGAAGTCGTTCGGATATTATAATAATAATATTATTATTGTATACCTTATACATTTTCTTTACCCGCGGCGTAAAATTGTGACACGACATTGTTTCCGACGGGTCATTGCTTTGCGATTTGCTGCACATAATATTATAACAAAATATTATTGCGGGCATATTCTTATTGTAGCGCGGATATTGCAGGTGGTCGTACATATTATTGTCGTTTTGTACGACGCACGTAATAATCTATATACGAATAACAATAATAATCGAACGGCATTAAAAAATTGTCGCGATTTATAATAATACCGACGACGGATACGCACAGACTCCGTATTCGGTCTGTATTGCGTTATTATACACTCGTAACATAATATTATTCAATTGATGATATGAATACGAGGTATTAAAATAAGGACTGTGAATTCGATATTACGCGTGAAAAATCTTTAAAACGAATACCGCCAATTTGAAACAGTGGTGGCTATGCTTGAACACCCATCCGTAAAAATTATTCAAAAAAACATGTTTAACCTGTGTTTTTCTGTTCCGTCGATCTACCTGTATTATTATAGGTGTATTATGACGTATATTATAAACTGCTTTGATAAAAAATTTTGAAGGACATATTATAGAGTAATTTAATGTATATCTGTACGCAAAGATAAACCATTCTAAATAAATTATTATTATTATTAGTATGTTTATTATTTCCTTGTTTGTTTCCCTCAGCGTAAACCAGAATTCGATACAAATTATGCAAACAATTATCAGTCTTTCAAAATTTATTAAAAAAATATCTACAAAAAAGTTAACTTGAAGTTTTTGAAAAAATGATTTACACAGAAACATGAAAACAAATTCTTCACAGTAAAACTAATTACATATACATTCCTCGTTTCACTCAGTCTAAAATACTGAAAATTAAAGTTTTTTTTTCTAGACAATAAAATACACGAAATATGAAAGTTAATAAAAAAAAAGATAAAAACATAATTCGCATAACAGACACTGACAAAGAGTGATAAACACAGTTAAAAACAATCTATACGTGTATATAGGCTATATTAAATAAGATGTTCATTTATCAATTCAGTGTAAATAATACCACATTATATTATAGGTGTGTTATTCGGTGACGGAAACGTTCAAATAAAAACAAATAAACGCTGCAGTGACTTCAATAATGTACACCTAACCAATGATAATACTCAAATTATGTGAATTGGCATTAATTTACACAGTAGACTTCCGAGTTAGGGTAAATCAAGAGAAAACTTTGAGGCGTGTTCGAAATATTGCCCATAGTCTCTCCGAAAAATTATAATTATGTGAATTATAATATAATATACAAATAATAGTGGATAGTCTCTTTTATTATTATTACTTCCCAAACTCACCTTGGTCCAAAAAGTACCTTAGGTGTTAAGCTTTACGTAACCTTCTTTTGTATTGATTTTACGTACTGATATAATTTGTAAAAAAAAAGCAACGATAAATCATTACTAATGAAATACCTACGATTCTGAGCGAAGTTCGCGGTCAAACATATATGATAAAAACGTCTCAAATTTTTGAGCATTTTAATGGGATAAAAAAATTGTATCCATGGAAACCGGAAAAAAAAATTAGGTAAGCGAAATTCATGTACAATACATGTAGAGTTATAACAAAAAAAAAAAAAAAAAACCCAATCGAAAATAACAAAACTCGCTATTATGTAAATATTCTCATTTCATTATAATGTTTTTTACAGTTCTTCTAAATGTAAAGATAATATATGGGAAATTATATCTTAAATGCATCAACTGAACAAGATTTTCTACGAGAGACCACGCCTAAATTTGATGATCGAAAAAAGATTTCTAATAAAAAAAATTGGTCACAGATAGAAAAAAAAAATATTTAAAAAAAATCACACACCACAATAATACAAATACATTCCTCGGTAGGTATACGCTTAGAAATTTAGAATCTAAAAAATAATTATAACAAGACAAACGTGTAACTCGTATTATAGTTAAATTATTATTAGTATTATATGTAATAAAAAATTCAGACTTGTATACGTATAATATTGGAGTTCGCTAGTTTGTATACGATTGAGGTTTTTTTTTTTTTTTTTGCACAGGTATTTTAAACCTTTTACCGATTTGTTTTCCATCATCATATTACACGACCTTTTGAAAATATAATAGATAACCGTAGTTACATAATCTTGAATTAAAAAAATAAAGAAGGACTATAAGACATAAAAAAGTAGTGTCCCTTGAAATGATCGACGTCGACCTAAAACGGGGGTGATTTGCCCCCCACACCCTTTACACAATTTTTAAAAAGCAATTCCATTATTCATAACGTTTAACTCAATCCATATAATACAAAATTGTCTATACTAATAATCATCATTAATAGGGTTACATAATTATAGGTAGTTAAAATTTTACTCGAGACGTACTCGCGGCTATTGTTGATCGTGCTTATCAGTTATCGCTTGTTTTATCATACAAAGCCGCAAACGTGCAATACAAACAGGAAGATAATAATTTATTATAGGACGATCAATTTAAAAAAAAAATAAATATTTATAATTTATTTGAGTTGTCTATGGGGCAATAAATATCTTTTTAAGATATCATTATTTACTCAAAGAGATGTACGCTCCTCCGTACGTAGCCCCCTACCCCCGTCTCTGTGGAAATAATTAATTAAGGAGCGCTAAAAAATAAAAAATATTAGAGGAGCTCCATTCTCTTGCGCCCCCCTCCCCTATCAAATTCAAGCTCTATGTACTTTTGAACACTTGACTTACGAATTTACGGAAATCGAACTCGCGCACGGTTCCCGAAAGCACGTGACACGGTACTGTCATCCGACAATATTGAATTATTTATATTGTATCGCAAATTGTGTAATCATGTGCGATGCGTGTATGCGTTATTAGTTATTCCCAAACGAAACAAATACCAGTACCGACATAAGACTGCGCAGATGCAGTTAACGTGATCGTTCAACGTGTATTGAAATTACAGCAACAGCCGATCAAAAATTGTACGTAATTGTATGAATTATAATCTACCCCGATGCGAAGTCGTTTTATAAGTGACAAGTGTTCACTCTGCAATAACCCATTACATAAAAAATATCATAGACAATAAAACGAAAATAACAATCGACCGGTGGCGTTGTATCGAAACAATTTGAACAGCGTATACGTATCGATCGAAGTTCGTCAAACTGAGAGCGCATTTAAAAAATTACATCTTTAAACCGTACACCGGCGATGATGAGTACACTTCTTCATTAACCGATATTATAATATATTATAATATGCAGCAAAATATGCGACTTTTTGAGTGTGTTTATGGATTTAGAAATCGTTTACAGAAACACAATAATATAATTATACCAAATTATAATACGAACAGCTTTTTAGACTTGAAAATTACAGGTAATGTAAAAAGTGATTTTAGATTCGGTGTGTAACGAGGAGGGTTTTACATTGATGAATATTTTTTTTTATCTGTAAAAAACTTTTCTACCGGAAATTTTACTCCGATTATCAAGTGTAGCACTTTTTTTTACCTAAGCAGTACTTTAAGGTTAATGGTTTTCCAGACGGTTTTCACAATAATTGTGGAAAAAACGTAGGAATTTATTATTTTCAATTTTGTTTTTTGTAGTGATACAGTAAAAAATATTCGTAATTATTATTCGACTTGAAATTTAGACACAAAACTTATTTTTGCCTCTTCTATACGTAGACAAATTATTAAAACATTTTAGCCATTTTTGATCTATTAGTAGACATTTTAATTTTTTGATATTTTTACATAAAATTTATTGATAGGTACTTCAGTGACGTACCTGTGGGGGTGGAGGGCGGTTCGCCCCCCGTTAGCCGTATAATTGTATGTGTGAACTGATGTTTATTTTTACAATTATTTTGAATTTTTTTTTCGTGAAGTAGGTACCTAGTTAATAATATATAAAATCTAGAGATATTAAAATATTTTTGTTATCTATGGCCAAACGAGATCAAGGTTTCCGGGATTATCATTAAGTTTTGTTAGTTCAACCGTTATCTCTTATCATTTAATGCCTCCTTCTCCTCCTCCTCCTATTAATTAAAATTATGAGATAAATTGTTTTTAATTTTAGATATGGTAAATTTGGATATTTTACAATTTCATCGTCACTATATTACCTTTCCACTCAGTACCTAAATTCCTCTCTAGGGATGAATTCCCCCCCTTATGGGAAACACTGGTCTAGATGTATACGTTTACAATATGGCAATAAATGAGTAAATCGAAAAATCGTGTGTTTTCGGGGACTCGATTCCAATGCATTGGATTAAATTATATTCGCGGCAGCGGCGGCGGGAAATCTTGCAAGAAACCAAAAACGATACAATGGAAAGCCAACCTTCGTCGACCTTGGCGGTGACGGTAAGTTCACAGCGTTGAGGTCTATTTGACTTAACGGGGCTCCGATTGGCGGCAGTACAAGACCTGTCGAAACGGCGGTATGGCTGTACGCGATTCTCTCACGGGCCTGGTTACTTCATATTACAATATAGTGTACCGTGCGAAACTTCCATCACTTTCGCACACGGTCCTGCGGCCCGGCCAAAATCTATATAGGCGACCCACGACACACTGTCCATTGTCAATTCATTCGGAGCAATGGTCTCGTCCATAGTAAACGTCCTGCAGGTAATTGCTTACTTTACTTACTTACACTTATAATAAGTCTTGCTTACTAACCGATTGTACTGTAAAAAAAAAAAAAAAAAAAACCAAGTCCATGACAAAATATCCGGAATCGATATAAAATACGCTTACACGTCACCTGTGTTCGCAGGTACTATTCTGGTCATGGGCGTTGGTCGGCGTGGCGACGATCGCGTCCGCCGCTCAAGATCCCGGCGAGAAGCCGACCGCGGTCACCGAATCCGGCGAAGTGACGACGCCCGCGGCCGTGGACAGTGCCGGCGGCGGTAACGACGCGAAACAGAACGTGACCATCCTGAAGCAGATCAACAAAGTCAACGACGACGGTTCGTATACGTTCGGCTACGAAGCTTCGGACGGCAGTTTTAAATTGGAGACCCGCGACGTGGCGGGCAACGTGAAAGGTATGTTTGGTTTCGTGGACGAGGCGGGCCGGCTCAAGCGGGTGTCATATTCGGCCAACAATTCGTCGTCTGCTAGTAACCGGGCAACCGGGACAACCACCTCGTCGCCGTCCATCGTATACACGGTTCCTATCCGGACTAACAATAAGGGCGACGATGACGAACCCGGTGGCAAATCATTGACTGCGGGCGTTAAAAAAGTGTTGGTGTCCAAGAGACTGGTCGCGGCACAGTCGCTGGAACAAGAAGTACAGGACAAGGGTCGCGAAGGCAATGACCTACGCAGGCAGTTATCGCGAAACGACGATGACGGGGATTCTCCTGACGTGTACGGGATCCACGGTGGGTCGGGTATGGATTCGGCGACGGGGCCCGTGTCGCCCGTTGTGTCGGCCCTCATGGCAGAGTTGAGCCCGATCAGAGTCTACAGGCCCGTGACGCTACCGCCATCACCTCTAACACCATCGTCACAGAAACCGCAGCAACAATCACTACAGCCATCGACGACGCTGCCCGCCGAGCTCGACCGACAGTACAAAATCAGCAGCAGACAAGCCCAGGATGACGAAGAACCGCCGCAATACCGCCAGCGAGTCGCTCCGGTACGATACCGTCAACCGGCACCAGCCACTGAAATGTACCAGCAACCCGAATACCAGCAGCCCACGTACCAACCGTCGTCCGCGTATCAACCATCACCCACGTACCCGGTACAGTTACCTGCACCGCTGTACCAGCAACAACAACAGCCGATACCGATACCGGTATACGGCCCCAATATAGTAGCTCTACGAGATGAACTCATGGAACTCATACTGTCATTCATCCAAACGCGCGTCTCGCAACTGATAACCGTCGCGTCTTACAGCCGTCAACTACCACCAACCGCGCCGTACCCGATGCCTTACCAACAGCCAAACTATTATGTGCCGAGCTATTATCAAGGTCCTCGAATACCTGTGTCACCCGCACAACCCTCGGGATTGGGCGTTCGGCAAATCGTCAGTCAACAGGGTTACGCAACCGGAGCGGTCACCGACGCGGCCCCAGTTCAACAGTCCTCACCAAAGATCACACAAACGCTCAAGGACGGTTTGATCCGAATGTTGTTGTCCACGAGCCCGCGGTACGAACCAGAGTATGCGGCAGGAGAGCAGTCAACGCTGTCCAGGCTGACGTACCGAAGAACCACACAGTCGACGCCAGTCAGGAGCGTGCAGATTATTGGAAACGACGACTCGCCGGATGGCAGTAGTAGACCGGTGACGACCGAGAGTCCCGACTAGTTTACGTCCCCGAGACGAAAAATTACTATTATTATTATACCCCTGTGTTTGTTTTTTTTTATGATTGAAATAAAATCACATTGAAATTTTGTAGTTTATTTATGTATATTAATATTATGATCTATAAACTGAGTGACTATCGGTGTAATTTTCTGTTACGCGAAATTGTCGAGGTTTTTTATAAACATTTTCACTACAAACTTCGAAGTGGCGCTTTTCTTGGTGACTGAAAAATGTAAACAATGATTTTTCATTATTTCACACACATAATTCATATCACAGAGCTATCCAGAGAATTTTTATCTAGGGAATTTATTACATTATAAAACCAAAATATTCTATACTTTAGATAACTTGTAGTATAACTTTATACTCGGGATATCTATTCTTCGGATAAAACATAGAATTGTAAAACCGGGCCTAAATCGAAAATTTAATCCAGATATAATTTGGTCAAGTTCAAAATAAAATCAAGAATGTTTCATCTTTTTTAGCTTTCTCAAAATATTGATGATCGTGATTGTCATCAACCTTTTTTGATATTTTTCGTTTTTTTTTTTTTACATCAGGAATTTCAATATTATTGTCATCACACATTTTTATAGCATTATTGTATATTTTTTCACGTTCTTCATCACAATATTTTTTCAAATATAGCATGCCTAACGCAACTGCTTTCAATGGTAACTGGTATAACCATGGATAAAGATAAAACATAATATTATTTTGATCATAGATATTAAACATGTTTAATATCCGCGAATACTTATCACATGTTGATGGGCAACCGCCAACCAGTTTATCTTTAATCGTGTAAATATCTATGATTTTGATTTAATTTGTTATCAATTTTTTACGACTTTAGCGCCTTATTACTTTCTAATTTCTATATAGTCTCTCGGGTAAACACGAAGTTTAAAAACTAAAAGGGCTATACTTACTTTTAGTTATAACTTCATAAAGTACCAAATGGGTCTCCACCCACGTATAAAAAAAAGGCTCAGGTGGGGCTAAAATCCAATCAGCTCTACCCGTGCGCACGTCTATGGAGGTACCCTAGGAACCATTTCCAAAGTTTGGCGGTGATCGGACTGAATACAGACTAGTTCCCTTAGAGAAATTTTACGGTATCAAACTATGAAAGGAACTTGTGTGGGGTACCAAAACAAATTATTTACGTTAAAACCACTCTCCTATTACTAAATCCCGTCGAAATATACTCGATCCAATAATCAGAAGGGGGGGGGGGGTTACTATTAATATGAAATTTCCCTGGCAGACCTAAATAGTACACCTACTATTAAAGATTCCAGCCGCGTACGTTGAATAATAACCGAGTAACGGCATTAGGTTTTAAACAAAAAAAAAAAAACAGATCTCGTGGTGATAATTAACGACGAGTTAGCAAGACGGTCGTAGTGAGGCGGGCGAGTCCAATAATAATAAAGGTATGACAGAAAAAAGCTGTCCTAGGATAATGGAGAGTGATGTAGCCACTATTGTAGATAAAAAATTGGGAAGTTAGGATATAGAAGGGAATTTAATGTATATTTGTAAACAATGATAAACCATTGCTAACGAAAAAACGATTGTGAGCGGAGTTCAGTTAATGGTGATGCTTTGTCAACAATATATATGTCATATTATGGTAAAATAATTAAATAGGTATTATATATTTTCTTCAACTATATTTGTTTAATATTGTACCGATTTTCCCGTTTTTCCCGGTTTTTTACATTTTCTGGGAAAACTCATAAAGAAATCGAAAAATTACCTCTTTAAAATACCTCTCCAGTCAGATTTCCTTTTAGAAAAAGTGCTATTATTGTAAATTGGAGCAAAATTGCTGGTAGAAAAGTTGTCCACAGATAAAAAAAAAAAAAAATAAAAATAAACATCTTTGTAAAACTATAAGCTTCTTCGCTCCACTCAGAATCCAAAAATAGATGTAAAATAATATATTATATATGAAATGAAAAATACGTAGAAAAAACTTATACCGGAGTAGGTATTATATAGATAATGCGTATTCATGGACTCTCATGGGTGAAGGAGGAAAGGGTAAAAAGTAAAAAATAAATCTTAAAATATATACTAAACAAAGGTTTAAATTTAAATTTATTAAAATTATTAGTGGGAATTATTTATTCAAATAGGATAAGTGTTTTATCTTATCTCATCTATGGGCGCCCCCCATATGTGTATTCAAGATTAATACTCCATTAAATTCTGGGCTAAAATTGTTTAGCTCAACAAGTTTAATGTTTTTTATTTTATTTTATTTATTGTTGTTAACGCCAATCGGTAATTGCGATAAAGTACATATACATATATATATATACTGGCTGTCCCGCGGCCAGCGTTGCCTGTGCCAATTTGAATTATTATTATTTTATCCATATTCATTTTTGATATTGGCCGTATTAGAATTGAATGAAAACAAATAGGCGGAAAGTGAGTAGTCCACTTTCGGCGGACTAAACGTGTTCTATTATGAAATTTGAATATTGTAAATAATAATAATAACAATAATTATAATAGTTTTCTTTTCCGTGGCAACCTTGAATAAACAAAAATCTTATGTAAATAAAATAATGTCGGGTTGGTTTCACCATTTATAACTCAAGAACGGCTGGACTGATTTTGATGGTCACATGATATTTTCCGACTTATTTCTAATAATAATTTGTCATCACATGTTTTCATCCCTGTTACCAGGGTAACACAAATCAACAAAAAAATTGTATTTATTATATTATAAGCTAAGTTATTTGTGTATATATATACATATATATATATATATATATATATATATATAAGCGAAAATACTAAAATCGCGATTATAAAATAGTGGGGGTAGGTAGGGGAGGTGAAAAATACTTTACGACTTATTCTCAGACCTACCAAATATACACAAAAAATTGCGTGAAAATCGATCAAGCCGCTTCAGAGGAGTTCGACCACAAACACGTGACACGATAATTTTATGTATTAGATGAAGGTTACAAAACAAATTAAAATAAGTGATGAATAAGAATAATTACGTTTTATTTATCAATATGTATTATTAACCATTCAACACATATTAGAAAATTACGACCATTTTTTTTTCATCAACTAATTTATGAATTGATAAGTTTATAACGTTCATTTTACAAACCTTAGTATTATTTATTTGGTAGGTTTGACAAATACATATATTGTACATATAATTGTAAATTGTATTGTAATATGTGAACTTTTTAGATTAAAATGAGGTATACCGGAATATTTTATTAAATAAAAAATATTCATCTATAAATGTAAATCAAATATATACTTTATTCGAATGAGTTACCAAAATACATAATAAAATATATGTATACAGAGTTTGTCCGAAAAGTAATGTCAGTGATTTGGTTTTGAAATAACTATTTGTCGTACCGTAATAAGACCAGTTTAAATTGATCATAAGAAAAGTCAGCTTACGACCACGCAGTCGTCAGTGGTCTCTGACTATCCGGCGAGCGATAATGTATTTTTCCGTCGTACAAGTTTTCGTCTCCCGTGCAAGCCACAATGCACACAACTTTCCTCGTGACACAATTTCTGACTGATTCAAAGGTTCCAACGATTCCCCAGCCACCTTACGAGTTACAGTCCTGACTTGGGGCTCCCCTAGACTTCTACCTGCTGCCCCAATTGAAAACTCCAATGAAAGATAATCATTTTGGAACAGTTGACTAAATCAAAGACCAGGACTCTGAAAGACATTCCAAAAGAGGCCTTTCGTGTCGTGTTCGATGCATGGAAATCTCGTTGTAAACGACGTATCGACGCAGGAAGATCATATTTTGAAACTTTTTAATGCAATATAGCGATATGATAAATACATTTTTGTCGATCGACCTACTGACATTATTTTTCAGACAAACCCTGTACATGAACGTTGAACGTACAGGAAAATGCTAAATTCCTAATAACTATATGAAAAGCATGGAAAAGGTTGTAAGTCACAAACATTTGAATAAACTCTAAATATTAATGAAGACAAATCAAATATTATGAATATTTATATATACAGTGCAACACACCTCAAAATGTTAACAACATTTAGGTAAGTAACTATTTTTTCAATAAATAATAAATACTATTGTACATTTATTTTATTTTATTATTTTTTTATTTTACTTTTCATTTTATTGTTCAACTATAATATAATTTACCGCATTATTTAAATTACATTATATATGTAGAATATACCTAGTTTATGAATAGATTAAAAATCGAACGTGAACCCTACATATCAAGCACAAATACTGGGATTGCGTATCGTGACTAATGTATGCGGAAACCCGATTTCCTCCCCTTCCACTATGCGGCCACTAGCAGACCGGTTACTATATTTAATGCGCAAAAACGAACAAAAAAACCTAATCAACAGCCGGTGTATTCTAGTCCGAGAAAGAGTATAGCTTTTATCATTTTTATATCTGTTTTTTTCAATTATAAACAATAAATATATTAGTAATTTTCAATACTATCGAAATTATGTTTTTATTTTTATCTGTAAATCAATCTGTAAGTTGATGAGTACAAATTAATTAAATTTAAATAATATTTAAATATTCATTGTAAAAAAAAAAAAATTATTCAACAGCATTGCACCCCACCGGAATCGAATATTCCACCAGCTGACTTATTGCGATATTTCGGTTTTTTTTTAATTATATAATGATAAAGAATTAAATAAAACAATTTTATTAAAATAGGTAAAATAGTTATCGAAATTTTTTACTAACATACAAAAAAATGGTTGGGTGAGGTGCTGTAAATTCAAACCTTTTAAAGGCACATACTCAACAATAATTCTATTTAGGTGTATACTGAGTGATTGAAGTGATTCACTAAGCATGCTCACCCGTTTTTTTTTTTTTTTTGTTAAATTTCGCATATAATCAAATTTTGATTTTTAGAATTTTCAAGTGTAGTTAAAGCCGATATTTTCGAATACTTAGATTTTTCACAACATTTAAAGAGTATCCTATGCCAATACAAACTTTGGTTTTTCAAATGAAAACTTATACTAAAAATTCCATAAACATATGAAATATACTAGTTTAAATAAATTTTGATATTCAAATTGTTGATTTTCAACCCGTTGACGAGATCTTCAACTTTTAAGTTTAGGTAAATGGAGAATAGTGATGTATCATTTATGTGGCAGTACAGTGCACGACGTTTTATTATTGCTCCACTACTCTCCCCTTATCAATACTTAAAAGTGGAATATCTCATCAACGGGTTGACGGAAATCATCAATTTTAATACCAAAATTTATTTAAACTAATACTCCATTTATTTATGGAATTTTTAATATAAGTTCTCATTTTAAAAACCAAAGTTGATATCGCCACAGGATACTCTTCAAATGTTGTGATAAGTCTAAGTAATCAAAAATATCGACTTTAACTACAATTAAAAGTTCTAGAATTCAAAAATCATAATTTGAATATATTTAAAATTTAAGCAAAAAAATAGGGTGAGCACGCTTAATGAATCATCCTGTATTGTATATATATTTTAACCTAGTTACTTACATTTATGAGTTTTTATGGATTTTAAACCACTCTATTTCCTACTAAACCATAAAACCACCTAAGCATACAAATGATTAAGGAGGAGATTGAAAGTTGAGACCACAACAAGACACATTTATCATGCATATTATACAAAATTACATACCTTGGCTAAATTTTGGGGGGTCTGTATAGATGTATACCTATAAAAAACTAAAAAATACTCTCATCCCACAACAATACGATGAAAATTGAAAATCAATCAACCATTATATTACTTCAATTCACCTTTCAAAAAAAAAAAACTCCAGAGTTTGAACTCTTTTTGTCCGCGCTAGAAGTATTCAAATGTACCGTGCAAAAGAAACATAAATATATTTTATAAAAGACGCAATTGTCAATTAGTTTATTTTTGGGGAAAATTTGACAAATAAAAATGTTTGAAGTTTTTTTAATAGATATAAATTAGGCGTTGTTTAAATTATTACTGTGCATGATCCAGAGCTACATTGAACGACTAAATTTTCGAATTAAAAGACAACTCGTATAGCAGGTTTCAAACTTTGTATTATTAATCAATAATTTCTGTGTTTATAATAAGGTTGACGAATAATTTAATATTAATAATGCATCTAGAATTGTATTATCACGGAAATAAATAAATTTATTGTATATATATATATATATATATATGTGCACACATTACAGGTCACACATTGAAACTCCCACTATGCGGAGTTGTGCGTCGGATATAATCGCAAGTATGCAGTGCATAAAAATCACTCAGTTACCGGTTTCGCCAACATCCTGTAACTACATTCGCGTACCTATGTGTATTGTAATAAATTTCACTACTTCATAATCTTAAAACTTCTTGTAAATCTAATCGACGTTGAAGTTTTAACGTTCACATAACGATGGTAGTAAAACAAGCACAAAAGCAACACTTACCATTTCCTACAGGTATTTTATGAACATATTATAATTTATACTATAATTGGGTGATAATATTATTTATTAACGAATCTCGGACACTCTATTAAAGCTAAAGAAAATTTGAAAAAAAAAAAGGTTTTTTTCACTAGACGCTATTTACCTTGTTTTTTAATTGGGGTTATACAGTGATATTGTATTTGCCGTTTATTAATCATATGTTTATAACAGTTTAAAATGTTTAAAGTTCACACATTAGGAGTAAGATAGGGATAGATGTCATATCCATTTTTAAATAAAAAAAAATTTATAAAACTATACAAATTTTTAAATTAACGGTCCTTTCGGTTATTCTACTCAACGGGTGGAATGCATTCACCCCGTACACTCCTCTTATGCCATTTTAATTTCTGATCGGAGCGAGCTATATATTAATTCTAAAATCTGTTTTATCTGTTTTTTTGTCTGAAAACAACATTTCTACCAGAAAGCTTGCTCCGATCATCAACTTTAGGGACAATGTTTTCTGGTAAAAATGTTGCTTATATGGTTTTGTTTATTTTTTTAAATAATAAATTATATAATCCACGAAAAAAAAAAAAAAATCTCATAAACAGTAATTTTAGCACTACGTACGAACAAACGCGATGATTTATCCTGATTAATAATTCAACATTGCTTCTCGCCGAGATGAAATGAGATGTATAATTGACAAAATTACATCACTCAGTTTCGAATTTATTCTATAAGGCTATTTTCTTTGATTAAACGCTTTAAAACTGTCATAGTTTAATAAACTGAATTTTATCTTATGTACATAGTAATCTATATGATATGGTGAAATATTATAAATTCCGATTCAGATTTCTTTTTATTTTCCGCTCCATTTCCTGTTTGCTTACCTATATACTAAAGAATAGTGTGTAGTGACTATACAGTAAATATAATATATTTATCAACAATAGATATGTAATAGGTAGGTAGGTAGGTACGTACGTAATAAAGAAAAAAATATATATGTTATATAAATAAGTAAATAATCGATTTTACTTAGATGTAAGTACTTAATGCCAATTCATGCCGAATTGCCATCTTATAATTTCAACTTTCCGCTATTATATCGTTATTATGGCACTTACTGAGTTTGCACATTTTATTAACAAATGTATAAAAATAAAACACTAAACATTAAATAGTATAATATTATAAAAAGTTGAAGAAGATTCTCTTGTATAACCTTTTTGAATAAAATATTCAAATAAAACTCCTTTTTTTTAAAAAAAAAAAAATAAAACGGTTGGTATTCTGAATTCTAAATAATCTGAAAAAAATATCACCAAAGAATTTTCAAATAATCTTAAATCATTTTCACAATTTCGGAATCATTATTACCGTAGTGCTAAAAAAATAAACAAAAATAGCGTGTGACCCATCAAATTAGGGTACTATTTTCAATTCAATTAGTTAATATCTCACATTACCTCACTATTATAACTAGCCCTAGGATTTATAAGTAATAAAAAATGATGAAATATGCATAACGATTTATTAAGAATATGCAAAAATATACCATTCAAAATATTATTAAATGAAAAAAACAAATGTTTACATAGTTTTAAAATCTAAAAAGATACGATTTTACCATTAGTAACGTTATTCAAATGTATTACATGAAATGATTATATGATATTTTAAATGTTCAAAAAATAATTAACGATCTTTTATTAGATCTTAAGATGTTCTTGTATTTACTAAAACTCCGTTTAACATCACACGTAATTTTCGCGTATTTAAATTGTGTTACTTCCCCAGAAGTTAGATTTGAAAAACTTTCATCTTGACTATTTTTATTTAAAATATTACGTAACATAAACATAGGTTTTAGTCTTATATTTTTTTTGAATACATTTTTCATTTTACAATTTTTTGTTGACCTTTTGAGCAATTGTTCTTTTGTTTTTGCAAAGTTTGAATTTGAATTTCAACAATCACTAACTCTTGTCGAGTGAAAGTGAGGCATTTTATAATTTTAAAATAGATACTCCAAATACGTCAAAAATGTTAAACGCATACTAACTTTTAGATATACACTTTTATCCAGTATACTTATTTAGGGGAGTCCTCAACTCGCCGTGTATTTTCGTTTCGTGTATTTTGAATATATTATTATATTATTAAACTTCACAAAGTTCATATTGAATTTAAACTAGTATTCAAATTGAATATTAATTCACATTTAATTTAAATTTTTAAAAAATGAACATTTTAATAATAATTAAATTTATTATTAAAATTAAAACACGAAAATGACGTTACCAGCTATAACCGTCCAAACGTTGAATTTATTCAACTTTGCGGTATCCACGGTAACATCTTGGTAGACACGACCAAAATGTATCTACCATGATAATATGAACCAGTTAGAAAAGAGTATTTCACATAAACTAAAACAACACGGTCAGTTAAGGACTCCTCTTTAATCTTACAATATAAAACCTTCGATAAGATACGATAAGATAAGATAAATTGCATTTGGGGTGTTTATGTATAGCGATAAAATGCCATATAACAATGTATGCTATAAAACACGAATTTTCCGCAATTTTGTAATAAAATATGCAATATTATTCAATGTATTCAATATATGTGAAAAAAAGGAAAAAGAAACACCATTTTTTACTTCAACATGAACTAATAGGTGAATACAAGGTCTGGCTATTAAATAACGAGACTGCTTATGAAAAATGGTTTTATTTTAAAAACTATTCCACAACCGTATAACTGGCAAAAACAATAATCAAGAGTTTCAAAAAAAACATGACAATGCATATGAATCTTAGCCCTAATTATAACTATTATAATGTTTTTTGCAACAATCTACACAAAAATATTTGTTGCATTAATTTTTGTTTTATAGGTATAATTTAACAACTAGCATAGTATTTAATGTGCATAAAAAAAAATTATAATTTGACATAATTAAACATAAAAATATATTATTACCTAGGTACTTGTTTACTAACAGTAGGTTTTATGAAAATTGATGTAATCTGAACACAAAATTACAATTAATTGTACTCGGTGGCTCATTTGACAAGTATAGACAAATTATTTGATTACAATTATCAAAATAAAGTACTACATGAGTAAACATAATGCAAATTCAAGATTAAAAAGACGGAAATACTTCATATGATGGGTGAACGACTGTTATAGGTGAGAAGTTGGAAAGGCAGAACAAAAAAGTAATTTAAGTACCTTCCTACGCCGATTTCCTTTCAGAAAAGGTGCTACACTTAAAAATTGATCATGAGCTGTTCATGAACCACCAAGACCTAAATAGTAATTAAAATTGTGTTTATTTCAGTAATTATTATAAGAGTCACAATTTTCTTACGATACATAAAATAGTACTTTAATTTTAAAACTGTCTAGTATTTTATTTAAGTAATTTTAATTTAATTTTTTGTATAATTGATATCTACTTCCCTGTAAACAATATAATTCATAAGATAGATACACAAATAACTGTATGACTAAACGTTATCAGCAGAGTAACAAAATGTTTGTAACCAAAAGTACAAGAGCTACACAATTGTTAAGTGAAAAAACAAATTAACGCAGTGTTTATTTTAATTGTACACAATGGCCGAAGTGGCTCAAAATAAATGGAGGGATGCCTAAATTTGTATACTATTCATAAATTATGGCTTATACACGTGGGGGTGATTGGAGGTGGAGATGAGTTGAACCCATATGGCCCTATACCTTATTTTTATAACACAAATTTATATATAATATATATATATATAGTATATATTATTTTTCCGTTTGATGTTTTATTTGTTGATACATTTAAATTTGTATATACATATAATTATATTTTTAAAACATATTAACATATATGTATAATTTATGCACATGCAGTTTATCAATAGGTTCTAACAGTATACATTATATCATTATAAAGTAGGTATAAAAAAAAAATAAAAAAACTAAATTATTACATTAAATACATTTGTCATTACTATAGTCTATAGACTATAATGACATATTATGATATGAAAACATCAATATAAATCGATTATCTTTGTATATAATAATAAGGGGGATGTATTATTTTGTACAAAATAAGTGGAGGGATGAAAAATGTAGATTATAATAAGTAGTGGGATGTCATCCCCCCGTATCCCTTCCCACTTCGACCACTGAGTATACATTATTATTATTACCTATTTATTTTAATAAAATATTATCCACCTTATGAACTCATGGATAGAACAATATTTAGGGGAGAGGGAAATAAACAAACTCGATTAATTTTGAGGTGATTTTAAAATTACGGCGCAACAAAAAATATTCGTTAAAATTTGAAATGTGGACAAAAAACTTTTATTTGCTTTTTCAAGACATGGTAAAATTTTTAAAATATTTCATCCTTTTTTGAGCTTTTTATGTACATTTTAATTTTGGAAGTTTTTTACGTCATTTTTTTCGGTATGTACACTATGGATACAAATTGTTAAACCAAACCAAAATGTTTGAAAATTTAACAAGAAGTTCATTAAAAGTCATACTTTGAGGCAAAAAAAAATTGAATGTAGAAATTCTGACAAAAATTGTAAATATTACGGTCTTTCAAAAGATATGTAACCAAACTTCGCTCAAAATCGTTTTTGATGAGCAATGATTAATCGTTGCATACAGATATACATAAAATTTCCCTCTATATCCTACTCACCCAACTTCTCAACTACATCAATGGCCCATCCATCTTGAGAAATATGTCCGTATATTTTTTATAATAACAATGTAAGAAAAATATATTTTTTAAGACTAAAACTAAAACGATTAATTTCTCTATTAAAATTATTCTAGTAAATTTGTCTAATTATTTAGAAAAACTGTATTAGTTTTGAAATACAACATATTGGAAGTAGGGTTCTAGCTATGCCTATTCAAATATTGTAATAATACATAGTTTAATAATTGATTAAACATTATTTGTGACTTATATTATTTGACACTGTGTAAATCTGTATACAGGTCCACACGCAACAGGATGTATGGACCTCATGACTGAATATTCTCCGGAAGGGTGTTTTGCAAGGATATTTTATCCAACTAATCTTCCCACCGAAAATTTGGAAGTATGTAAAAAAAAAATCTTTCAATTTATTGTTACAAATGCAATTCAAAACAATTACGTACCTAATTATTTGTAGATTAAAAGTGTAGCGAGGGATCTATTGGTTTTACTATGATATGAGTTTTTTTTATTTTTGTCTGTGAACTACTTTTCTACCGAGAAACTTGCTCCATATTATGGACTGTAGCACATTTTCTCAAATTGGTGCAGTTTAGATCATTTTCTGATTTTCTAAGGGGTTTTCGAAATAATTGGGAAAACTACAAAAGAAATAATAGATAAAACGGCAAATATTTACGGCATACCACGGCGTTACCGTTTTCGTGTTTTAATTTTTTTTTACACGATATTTTCTACCAGAAATATTGCTCCAATTCAAAAATGATAAGGTATCGATTTTATTATATTGAATAATAATAATATAGCCACTGGCATGGAATGTTGTTTTTGTTAATGATTGGGAAGATAAATATTTTAAATTTGTACGCTTTCCATTTTCTATCAGAAATATTGCTCCAACAGAAAAACATCTAGTGATATTTTTTGTAAAATTTTTAATCTAGTTGATGAAAAAATTAGTATTTTCTTAATAGTTTTTTTTAATAATTGAGCAAAACCGAAAAATACCAAAAAAAAAAAAACGGGAAAATTTACGAAAATAATTATGTTATTATTTTTAATTTTGTTTTTTTAATTTAATTCAGTTCACAATATTCATGGAAATTTAAAATAATGACAGAAAACTTATATTTACTTTTTCTAAACGTAATAAAACTTTTAGAACATTTGAAAATTATTGAACTATTTATAGACATTATAATTTTACGAGTTTTTTAATGTAATTTTTATTTGGTAGGTACTCTTTAGATAAATGGTTAATCGCATTTAGAGGTAAAATAAAATTAATTTAATGTAATATTTTTTTTTTTTTTTTAAAGAGTTTTAAAATCAAATTTTGACGAATATCGTAAATATAACGAAAAATGTAAAACCGAACTTCCCTCTGAATCGTTTTTCGTTATCAATGGTTTAACGTTGGCATTACAGATATATAATTCAATAACTTTATAGATTTACCTTTCCCACAACAATGGCCGCACTCTTAGCCGGTATCAACTCTTTATTTATTTTTTATTTATCCATATTCATTATTCAATGAAGTGAAATGTTCAAAACAAAGTCAACTATACAATGGTTACAATGAATATATTTTTGGTTCCATAATAAAATAATGACTGAAAATAAAAAAGTAATTACATATATGCATTATATATTTTCTTTAATAATATTTGTATAATATTGCACCCATTTTCTCGTTTTTCCTACGTTTTTCCCGTTTTTATCCTGGTTTTTTTCCATTGATTGGGAAAACTTTTAATAAAATCAAAAAATGACTTCACTAAAGTACCTAATCAGTTACATTTACTTTTACAAAAAGTGCTATCATTATAAATTGGAACAAAATTACTGGTATACAAATTGTTCACAGGTAAAAAAAAAAAACATTGTAAAACCAAACACATTCCTCGTTCCACTCAGTCTATTAATGTTATGTATTGAAGATGTTAAGAACGTTATTAAAATACTTATTGACCCGACAATAATAATAATATAAGTTATAACAATATGATTAATATTAACAGGTCTATGAAAATATAAACTAACTTACTTCAAATAATAAGTTATTATTTTTGTAATTGTTTATTTTATGTTTTCCTTCTCCTTCGCCATTGCTCCAACTATTTAAGATGAACCAATTGCCAAATTGATTTTATATTTATTATTATGGTGTTTCAGAAATATTCGGACAAATGGGTTCCGTGGATGCCACATCCAATGTATTTAAAAGCATATGCAAATAACCTTCGAGTACCTTTTTTCATATTAAAATACGGTGAAAAATTACTGAATCAAGGTTATTATTTATATTTAACTATAAAACATTTTATTTTAATTAGTATTATGCATATTTAAAATAAGATTTAACTAATTCTTAAATGCAGTCATAACCTAAACCAACTAAGTTGGTTCAAAAAACAATATTTTTGACATTTCGCCACTACCGTTTCGCTGTTGGACCGTTTCACCGCTGAAAATTAAATAAAAAAATTAAACCGCATAATATTTAATATTCAAAAATAGTGTGGTTCCCCCTCATTATGCAATTTACAAATTCTAAATATCTACACAATATATGCATTTTTCTACCAGAATGCTTACTCAGATGTATACGATACAGACCGTTTTCTGAAAGGGAATTTTCTCATCAAATGTGAAAAACCGAAAAAAACGTAGAAAAGGAGAAAATGTAAAAAATATAGGTATTAGTTAAAAAATATTACAGCCTTCATTTTCTCTGTAAACAACATCTTGTGATTTTTGATTAAATCATTTTTTTCTGGTAGAAAACGTCGTCGTGTTATTATGAAATAATAAAATCATGAAATTGTACGTTTTCCTAAATGTTTTCTCCCTTAAGTGCTTTTATTTAAAAAATGACATCGAATATCAAAAAACGTTTTCTTTAAAGTACAATTTGAACTTTCAGAAAAGTTACTACACGTAAAAATCGGAACGAGTTTACTAGAAAAAATGTGTCCACAGACTAAAACAAAGAAAATAGAAAAAAAGAAATAAAAATCTTAGTAAACAAATAGCTCCCTCGCTACGCTCGGAATCTAAAATACAAATTTTTTAGTTAAATAAGTATTTCATGTTTTTATTACACATTTTATCAAAAATAACAACATACATATTTACATATTTGACATTTTTATTAGATAAAAATCTATTCCCTAATCATAACTAACAATATTTTAGATAATTAATTATTAAGTTACTAATATCTGTTTTGATATAATCTGTTATGTAAAGACATTGATAATATTAAATACATAGGTTTACTTGTTTTTACGCCCCGTGGTTGTTATTAAGTCTAATAAAAAGCCATAGATAATATTGTTGATTTGATTAAAGGATTTATAAGGAAGTACCAAAAAAAAAAAAATCAAACTATGATAATTTATTATGATTTAAATTTATATCAATTTATTTATTTCGGTTCTTTTAGGAGCGTATTACATTCCAACCATTAGTGATGCACCGTTGTCGGACAAAGAAGAATCTTATCCCTTGATCATATTTTCACACGGCTTCTCGGCGACGAGATTCATTTGTTCGGAATATTGTAATACATTGGCGTCGTATGGATTTATAGTAGCAGCCATTGAACACAGGTCAGTATAAAGTTCTATTGGTCCAATAGATAGGGTCTATATAGAGGCCCTGTCAAAATGTCAACTGTCTACGATAATTTTTAACCGATTTACAACACAAAACTAAAATCGAAAATAACGAAACCATAAATGTTGTAAACTTTCCCGTATTTCCTACAGTTTTTCCGGTTTTTCCAATTATGATGAAAATTACACTCAAAATCTAACAAAAAAAACTTATTTTGTAAATGGTTGGCCATTGTTGTAAGTGGAAAATTGGAAAGGTAGGACAAATAAAGTTAATATAATATTTTATACCTGTACATACTATTACTAACGAAAAATGATATTGAGTAAAATTCGGTTACACATGGTTTGTAGTGCTTTAATGAGTATAAAAAAAAAAAAAATACTACTTACGTTACTCTCAACTTATTTTTATTACTAAGTTAAACTTATAATGAACCTTAAATTATATTTTCAAGCATTTCTGTTCAGCCAAACAATACAATTATGTATATAAATAAAACCAAATAAAAAATAAAGAATAATCGACAATGTTCAAAGCCTATAAATTAAATAGCTCAAAAACCTCCTTAATATTTTTTTTTTAAAATTTGATTACATTTAGAAAAAGATATTAGAATTTCTAATATTTTTAGCAAAATTACAAATTTGAAAATAAATAAACTATTATTTCTACTACTATTAGTCCTCTACTCACAGTGTCATTTTGTTTCGTGTGAAATACTCTTTCTTGGTTAACTCATATTATCTTTGTAGATACATTTTGATCGTGTCTACCAAGACGTTACCGCGGATAACGCAGAGTTGAATTAATTAAACTTTTGGACGTGCTGGTTATAGCTGGTAACGTCATTTTCGTGTTTTCAATTTAATAATAAATTTAATTAGTATTAAAATGTTCATTTTTTAATAATTTAATTTAAAATTTAAAGTAAATGTGAATTAATATTCAATTTTATTATTAGTTTAAATTCAATATGAACTTTGTAAAATTAAATAATATCTAATGTTATGTAATCGTAAAATGTACATTTTTTTAAGGACAGATTAGGGACAAAACCCACGACACGACACAACACGAGGTGAGGACTCCCCTTTACAGACTTCTAATTTTGAATAAACGTTGTGGTTAGGTTATCTAAAAATGCCAATGTAATAAAAATAAAATAGGTACTTCATACATATTAAATTTACCCATATAATATTATGACCTACAGACTTAAAATTAAATAAAATAAACTTATAATTTTGTGTCCTAATGGCTGGACCAAATTGTAATTTCTTCTGTTTCTTCATCTTTCTTCTGATCACTTCCTGCTACTTTAAGTTCAGAAATTCGTTCAGTTTTTTGCTCTTCTTTTGCTATTTGTTTTCAGCTTATGCACTTTTACTTTTTAGTATTGCGTATTAATTTGACTGTACCTTTTATACTAATCAATCGATTTGAAAAAAAATTTGAACAAACAACACTGTACAATCAACAATACTATTGCCATAATATTTCCAAAATAAACATAAAACCTGATATACGATCAGGAAAAAGATAACAGTAAAAAACTTAAGAACATAAATTAAGTAACAGTTCAAGAAATATGGCAATGGTACACAGCAAACATTATAATTATTCTTTATAAGTTGGCTAATTCCAATATTGAAACCATAAGGGTCTAAACTCTAGAATTAGAACAAATATTCAGGCTAGTCGGTGTAGTATATTAATACATTACCAATATTGCCCAAAAAATTGAGCGAAACTCAAATTGCTTTTAAAACAATCTGGGAACTTATTAGGATATACCCTTCGTAGAAACTCAGAAACCAATTAGAACATACTATTCGTAAAAACTCGTGAACTCTAAAACTATATTACAATAACATAAAAATGTGTTTTTGTAACGTTGAACATTATTGTTTTAGAAGTTTACCATTTTTTTTTTCTTTTTAGAGACAACTCATCAGCGATTACATTTTACTATGAATCACCAGAAAACGCAGAGGCAGACCTCCGTACATGGGTCCAATATCATGATTTACGGATTGCTATCAAAAACACAGATGTAGACCATTACACCTTTAGAAACGATCAAGTAATTAAATTTTGTAACACTTTTCAACCCATGTTACTTATTTAACGAGCAGTCTATATTCACTATTTAATAGTTATACAATCTCTTATATATTTTGTATCTGATAACTAAAGTAATTTGTTAATTTGTATCTATATATCATTAGATGAAATTAAGACACAGAGAATGTATCAAACTCTTAGATACCATTTTAAATATCAACAAAGGTGTTCCTATAGAAAATGTTCTCAAATCATCGTTTGACTTAAAACAACTCAAGGTAAAACAGTTATTACTGAATCGAACTATTATTTATAGTCTATAAATAAATACAATACAAAAAATATTATATCATTCGAAAAATAATAAGTTTAGGTGATTATTATTTTTTTTTTCTTATCAGAATAAGATAAACATAGACAAAATAATTTCATCTGGATTTTCATTTGGTGGAGCAACTGCGATGTATAACGCAGCTAATGACAGTCGTTTTCGGTAAGTTCAAAATTTATGTCAATAATCTACAAAAAACTTTAGTAACACGAGCAAAAACTATTCAAATAAAATTATATACCAAGTGATCCATTTCTATATCATTATTTTTTAATCAATAATTTAGATACAATAGTAGTCAGTAGATAATATATTACAAATTGGTAGTAGGTATAGACGTATATGGTGGGTAAGTTTTGAACGGGTCATATCATTTATACATATTATATCAATATGTATAAATATTAAAAATACGCTAAACGGTAAATAACTGCATTTTTGATATTAAGGATTGTAAAAATTACTTCTAAGAAATACGCAGTCATACGGATCATGAAATATATAATGCTTATTTATAATATCCTAATACAAATCCTAATTCGTCTTTATCTATTTATAGTACGAACTACAAAATTTATGAAAATTTAAAAAAAATATTTTCCATATTTGAACAAAACACAACAACGTTCATGTTCATTTGAACATTGTAAACTGAACGCGTTTAAATAATCGCGTTTTTTCCAATACTATTTTTTTTATTGTTACCTATGAATAAACTCAAAGTATACATTATAATATAACTTTAATAACATTTTAGATTCTAAGTGGAGTGAAGAAGCTTATAGTTTTACAAAGATGTTTATTATTTATTATTCTTTTTTTTTCTTTATGTAAACAATTTTTCTACTTTTTCCCAGCGAGTGTGAAAAACCGGGAAAAAACATGGGAAAACCAGGAAAAACGTAGGAAAAACGGAAAAATCGGTATAACATTACATAAATATTATTAAAGAAAATGTATAATGCCAATTTACTTATTTTACCACAATACGATTAATATTTAGTTTGCAAAGCATCGCTATCAACTGAACTCCGCTCAGAATCGTTTTTTCGTAAGCAATGGTTTATCGTTGCTTACAAGTATACATTATATTACCTATAACAGTAGCTGCACCCGTCCCCATTATTTCAGGACGTATTTTTATTATTTACTTATACTCATAATTTATGTGGTATTTAAAGGGCATTGGTAGTCGTCGATGGTTGGATGTTTTCTATAAAATCGGAGCAACTAAACATTAATGTACCAATAATATTCATCAACACACATACGTTCCACACACCAGCAAACATAAATGTGCTCCTCAAGTATTTTTATTCCAAAGGAATTCGAAAACTGTACACATTAAAGAACACTACACACGAAAGTGTCACTGACACGGCTATTTTGTATGGTTATTGGTTGAACCCTCTTATGCTGAAAAAAATGAACGCCAAAAAAGCATTAAATATACAGAGCAGTCTTACGGTTAGATTTTTACAAGAAAATATTGGTAAGTGCATACGCCAAATTTTATTGTGAATGATTCGTAAATCCAGAGATAAATTTTTTTTTCTTTTACAGGCTATCCTAATAGTTGTGAAAATTCCCAAATATTTGTAGAAAAACATGCCGATGAAATAGTTGAAGACATAATTAGATATGCTACAAAAGTTAGAAGGACAACAGCACTGTTTTTTTAAATGAAAAATTAACAAATAATTAAACTTATTTCTTATAGTATATTTTTATAATAATTACTATCATTAAGTTATATAATTTGCTTGAAGTATTTAATCTTCCTATATTATAAAATTAGTTAACATTATTTACTTATAATTTTTTTTTTTATTCTCCCTGTCTTCCTACTGCGTCTCTTTTAGGGTAGGTTAAGGCGGTCCTTAAGTATAAATCAAGGTACTCACAGATGACGCAAGGATCTGAAACACGACAGAATATTATGTTAAAATCATATGCAAATAAATTTTTAACATTTCTTATGCCATAAGTAGATAGGAGGTCACTTGTAGTAAGTTGAAATTTGAAGAAAGTTTAATTTAGGTAATTTCCTATTGAGATAGGAAGCTAGAACACATAAGATAGGCGGAAATTTGATGATAAACATGTATATAATATATTTGTACCATGGGTACCACTGATGTAGATGGGAAGTCGAGAAAGATGTCGAAAATGTTTTTTAATAGTCCAAAAATAAATCAAAGATTTTTAAAATTGTATCACTTCTAGAAAAAGCAAATATAAGTGTTCTGTCAATATGTCAAGTCTCAATGAATATTTTAAACAGAATTACAACAAAAACAAAATTGAAAACAATAAAAACATTTTTTTCGTACATTTGTCTGTCCTTTATACATTTTGCTCAATTATTAAAAAATTAGACAGAAAATCAAAAAACGACATTCTATTCATGGACTATAGATATATAATTATATGTTCCATATTTTGGTACAAAGTAATAATTATATTATTAACATTTAATTTTTAATAATATAATATAATATACTAAGTACCTACCTATTGATTTTTTTAAAGTAAAATATTGTGAAATTAACAAATCAAACTACGAATAATTTATATATTATTGTAAAAATTAGGATAAAATATTGGACCTGGTTACTTTTGTTGGATCCGGGACCTCTTTGACCTATGGCTCCCACTGGTAACCAGTTTAAACGGTAGTAATGTGAACAAGACGATATCTGATGTCTAGCTGTGGTTAATATATAGTACCTATCAAATTTTTTTTTTTTGCTTCGTAGCAAGGTAACCCGAAACTGAACAAAATAAAACCATTATATTGTCATTTTTAAATTGTTGAAGTTGTTGTTTTTAAATTGTGTAAAAACTGTTGAAAATCTGGATAGTTTTTCAAATCGAGGAAAAAATCCATCTTTTAATGCACTTTTTGAATAATTTGGAACTTTCTTACTATACTAAAGTGTTATCTGAAAAAAAAAAAACAAAAAAAAGGTCATAGAGATGAATTATTGAAAATTGCATAAAATGTTTTAAATAAAGTAAATACCATCATAAGGATGTAGGAAGGAGTAAGAAAACAAAAATAAATAATTTATAACTACACTTACATCAAATATGAGGTTTGTTCATAGTAAGCAATTAATTTTAAGATTGGACATAAAAAGTTATTTTTATATAATGCTTACTCCCATTTTGATATTAAATATTTAATATCTCCATAAAAGATCTATTCAGAACATAAAAATATATTTATAATTTTAAAACTGTCTATAGTTTAATTTTCAAAACGTTAAATAAATAAATACAAATGTATGATTAGGTAGATATGTGTAAAATAAAAATTGAAATTATAAACACCTTAAATTTATATCACCTTTAGTAAAATTATTTTTAACATTTTAAATTTATTGTGTATCAATGGATTTAATATGTAGATAAAGTAACAAATACAAATTATTTAAAAAAGAAAAAATGTATATATTATTAATATTAATCACAAAATTATGTTTATAGTTATACATATACTAAGGTGGTCCTTATTTTGCCAATTTTGATATTCCTTACATAGTGATAGATTAGGGATTTATTGAGGACGCTAAGAAATTAATAATCTTTTTATTATTACAGCTAGGCTATTTACTTTATATTCGAGATACATTGAGTTTTACAAGAATTTCAAGGGGGCAAAAATAAATTCAAATTGTCAAGCTTTTTTGTGTAATCAAGGTTTGTGTTATTGTGAATTGTGAATCGACTGTCCTTTATTAATATTATAAATTAAATTAATTTTATATATAGTATTCATATAATATAATATAATATGTAATATAATTACTAAATACAGTATTACTAATTAAAAATAGTTTAATTTATAATACTAATAAAGTACAGTCGATTCGCAATTCACAATAACACAAACCTTTATTACACAAAAAAGCTTGACAATTTGAATTTATTTTTGCCCCCTTGAAATTCTTGTAAAACTCAATGTATCTTTCAAATATAAAGTAAATATCCTAGCTGTAATAATAAACAGATCATTAATTTCTTAACATCTTCAATTAATATATCCCTATGAATGGTATCAAGAAAGTAAGACCTTAAAATTAAAATAGTTCCTTTGTTTTTTTATTCAAAAAATCAATTCTAAATGATCTAGAATCATTTTTACACTATTTTCATTAATTTAAAATAATTACTAATTCCATAAAAAATATTAATTTCTGTGGATTCTGGAACTGTAGAATAATCTAATCTTCAGGTATATGGTATCAACAAATCTTAGAATTATAATAAGTCCTTTGTTTTTTTTTATTAAAATACAATTCTAAATGATCTGATCTCAATAATTTAGTAAAGATGTAATTTGATAAGTTACAAAGGTTATAAGGAACAATGTTATTGTTTTGGTAGATGAAAAATAAGTAAATAACTAGACTTATTTCTTACAATATATTTGTATACAAATTGGTATTATTAGTTTGTATAATTTGTTTGAGATACAATACATAAATAAAACATCATAATTCAATTGCATTTGATTAAATTTATTAATTTAGTTTAAACAGCTAACAGATAGATATTTAAAAACTCAAGATATAAAACACACAAAAAAAAATACAATTCATATAATCAGTCCAACTGCATGCATCCAATATCTAATTAAGATATAAGGTATAACCTTATTAAGATAACCTTAATAATAAACAATATATTTAAAACAAGGATATAAATTTAAAAACATTTTAGTCTGAGTAGAACAAAAAAAGTTATCAGCTGGAGTATGGTTTCTTCCTTCGGAAAATAGTTTTTGGCACATTTAATTGCTTAAAAATATCCATCCTGCAATTTTAGGGTAGTTGATACAAATTTAAAACAAATAATATGTACTAAAAACAGATCATTCTTCAATTGTTATTGGTGGTTTTTCTTAATGCACTAAATAATTACTACTGGAAAAACAAACCAAAATAAAATTATTACATATATAGCTTAATCAAATTATGAACAAATATCTAAACAATTTTAAAATAAAAGTATAAACAACATTTTTAATAAAATTAAAAATTAAATGTATTCAATACTATTTGTGTAATTTAAATCTGGTAATTTTAATAACTGAATACTTATAATTTATTTAACAACTTTATTACAATGACGATTTTTAAAAACTGCTTTTCAAACTTAACTGCAAATTACTGAATAACATAAAATTATGTTGAGAATATATTATACAATGAGTTTTGTTTTTCAAAAAATAATGATTTATTTCTATTTCATATTAAAAAAATAAATTACCATCATCACCCAACACAAATTAAATATGAGTATTATGCTTTATATAGAAAAACAAACAATAACTACCTAACTAGAATAATCAGGGGTACAATCATATTGAATTCAGAAAAAAAAAAATTACTTAGGATACACAAATATGTGCTATATAATGATTCTTCACATTGTTATAGATTTAAATTATACTTGTGTTGATTAAAATAAGACTTAAGATTTAGCTATGTTAATAAAATCATTAAAATTTGTTTGGCATTTCATAAAAATATTGGTATTTTGAAAAGGAAAATAATTATAACAGAATATTATGCAAAACAATAATACGTTAATTATTTCAATACCTATAAGACTCCAAGTTACACCCAGTCTCTAATCATAATACAATGAAAATGTATACATAAAACATTAAAATGACCATAATATAGTGCAAACTTAAGATAAATGTATTAATAGTATGAGCATTTTATATTTTAATAAATGAAATGTGATTAAATAATTATAAAACATTAATCATCCTTACAATTTTACTATTAGGTAACAAGAGAAGTTACAAAGATTAATAAAATTAAATTGGTACTATCTATTTTATTCATTATTAAATCTATTTTTAATATTTTTTGTGAAAAGGTATTTTAAATATCTCTGAATTACTGATCATGACTTAAGCCTAATAGTAATACATTTAACTTGAATACTATGAAATATTAATAATTTATGGGTGACAGAGTGGCTAAATTCAAACGGCTATGTATCCCATGGTAAAAAATAAAAATAGAGTGCTGAAGAATATCTTAATCACTTTATATAAGGTCAAAGATCAACTAAAACTTAGAAAATTAATATTAAAAAAAAAATATATATATATATATTTGTCAAAATAATTGTTGTTTTACCTATTAATCAAAGGAAAAAGTCTATGACATCGCAATTGTGAAATAAACTCAAATGTATTAGATTTTTCTTTCTCTTCATTTTTAGGTTTGGAATTATAAAAAATTATAAATGTTATCCTTGTATCGACTCTCATTATTAAATAAGCGGCCTGAGAAAACAAAAAACAAGTTTTTTTAATTAAAACATGTAAATACAATTGTTTCAATAAGAATATATATATATATTGAATTAATATTAGTTTAATAAAATTCCATTTGTTTTGTGAAGGATAAAATATTATATAACTTATACAAAATTAATAAGTTTAAGGTGAATTCAAATAACATTTTTTTTTTTATCCTGAGCAGAGCAAAAAATGTAAGTATTAGTTTTACTATATGTGCAATTATTATTTTTTCAGTTTGTAAACCACTTTTCTACAAATATTACTCCAATCAAAAATGACGAGATGGTTTTTTGTAGCATTTTGGACCTGGTAGGTGCGTTGAAAAGATTTTCTTTGTTTTTCTCAATTCTCATTTTGAAGAAAAATGTATAATTTAATTTTTTTTAGTTTTCAATTTATCTCATTTTTGGTTTATAATAAAAATAATGACATTTCAAAAAATTTTTAATCGAACTATGCTGACATTTGTATTTCATCAGCAATGATGAAATACAAATTGCAATGATTTATTGCTGCATACAAATATATATTAAAAAACTTTATATATCCTACCTTTCCAACTTCCCTCCTACAACAATAGCACATCCATCAGTATGAATTTTTTTATATATAAACAATATATTTGATGCTCTTTATGTTATTTTAATCTATTATAACACCACTAAGGAAAAATATGATACTAAATTGTATTTATTATAAATACATACTTTTCCGATGTAAATGATTGAACTTTTATTCATTGAGAATTCATCTTCATTATTTTCTGATATTAACTTCTCCAACACATCTAATTTAATTGGAACCTATAACAAAATTATATTAATAATTTATACATTTTAATAAACTCATAACAATCTTATACCTTTGGAAAACTTAACATTATTTGATATTTAATATCTGGGTCCACTATATCTCTACTTGGACTCCAATAACCAGGTCCTTTATAATTAGTAAGTTCTGATGTATCAAATACCAACATCACAGATTGAGCTTCTGATTTTTTATGCAATAGTTGCATTCTAAAAATATACCAACAAATCAGTGAAAGTTTAAACTTATTAAAGTTTTAATTATGTTATACTTACTTAGTAAACAAATTTAAATTGTAATTATTACAAAAATATCTCATGTCATGGTATGTTGTGAATTCTAAAAGAACTTTATAAAAATATAATGTAAATTTTGAGACTGTCATGAGTTTAAATTTTTTGAACCACAAAACCAACCGAGGTAAAGGGTTTTTACTCATAAATAATGAGCCAAATTTCCAACTCTTTAAACACAAACAAAATATCACTTATTGTAAATTTTAGAATGAAGTTGATAATGAATAAATTTTCTATAGAAAACATGTTGATCTACTTATGTAAAAATAATAATAATAATAAAATCAATTTCAAGCATATGAAATATGCTACAATATGTATACAAATATCTGAAACTTTTGTCACCTCTTTGTTTTCATAACATTTTTCCCACATGATGATTGCATCACTTCCTCTTTTTAAGCTTAGCACTGATTCTATATACAACCAATTCTCCAAATGCCAATGGCAATAAAATAAATGTTTCATGGAATCAAGTTCATACCTGAAAAAATATATACTGTGTAAAAACAAAAAATGTAATGAAAATGTCAGCGAAATATTTTTTTTATTTTTAACCTGTAGATAATCTTGTGGAATATATTACTGAGAATTAGTATAACTTAAAATAATTTTTTTCCTATCAAAAATCTGAGAGATAATATTACCATCAATTAAATTAATTTAAATGGCTGTTTTAAAAGACGTGTTAAATAGTCAAGTTTTAAATATCTATGTGGAAAGACATATTTAATGAAAATATTTATCAAGTACTGTTAATTTTATTGGAGTATAACATGAGGGAATGTGATGAGTCAATTGTAATTAATTTTGAATTTTGAAGTTTTAACAATAAACATAAAATAGCTAGGTACTTATAAATATTAGCAAATTATCTCCTGGGTTAATTGTGTAGAGGATAATGTTCACTCTATTCAGCCAAAAAATTTTAAATCTAAAAATTGAATTGTTATGTGTGAGTGTAGTAAAACAAAACCTAAAATTTCACGCCAATATCCTCGTAGTATTAAAATTTTAATTTACTCTAAAATTTGCATTGCTCCATCAATAGCTGATGGAATAACAACTTCACTTTGAATTTGTTCAATGGTCTCTGCCAACTCTTTAAAATCAATATTACTGTATGATGATCCAACTTCATATAATTTATCATAAAACTCAAGAAGTTTAATTCTAATAGATATAAATTTTGAAAGTGAAGTAATAAATTCTAAAATATAATTATCTTCAACTTCTTCTTGGAGTAGTCCAAGGTCTTGAAATAGTGTTTTGTATACAAAATCCAGATAGTTCTGAAATAAAAATAAATATGAAATCCAAGTACCATAAAAGTACATGAAATATAATTTGAAAAATCTATTTCCTACCTCATCTTCTTTTCGTGCAACCAATTTATTTTTTTCTGGTTCAAAATTAGTATCAGAATAATTCTTTTCGGCCACAGCAAAATCGCATAATATATTAAATAATGGCTTAGGCCAAACACTGCTTAATAACACTGAACGCTGTCTCTCCTAAAATCCAAACCAATAATTAAAAATACTTCAAATTGTTTTTAATGTGACTTAAAAAATTACCATAAAATCCTTTGCTTTGTCAAAATTAGTTTGTGTTAAATATTTAAAGTAAATACGGACGATTTCTTGGTGGGACTTCATCATACTAACATAATAACTATATATTAATCAATTAATAAGGTTTTTTTTGTTATTTGCTAACAGTAAGAGCCATTGAAGAGTGGACAAATTATCACAATGTAAACAATTCAGCAGTAAAAATAAAAAATATCTATTGATAGAAAATGTATAACAATTTAAAAAATATTTGTAAAATTAATATTCATAACATTATAGATAATTACAAAGTACAATTACTCAATACTGCAATATTGTACTACTGTGATTTGCTTAATATTTTAAATTAGATGCTTAATCATTTCATAATCACAGCCATAATAATAATATTATAGTAAATTGTTGATAAGAAAAAATGCTACCAGATTATAAAGTGAAAAATAATGGTATCACTACGATTGTAGAAGGTCAAAAACTATTCTGTCTTTAGGTTATATAATATGCAAACTCCAATAGATGCCGCTGTATTGTTCAAAAATTTAATTTATCCTCATAATTATTTATGTTATTTCATTATCTCTATGTTATCTACACCGAACTCGTCATCTCAGATAATCATTTTTATATGGTTAAATGTTATTATAGCGTTAACCTAACCTGATCTATTACCATTGATTTTATAATTATAATTTAGGTACATTATACCCAAAGTGGATTAATCCACCTTGATACAACCAAATACATGACGTACGAACTAACTCGCGTAAACATTAAACAACGATTAAAGACAGTATCGAAGAATAACAGAATTATTTTTTAATAGTATATTAATTGTATGTGTAAACATTAATGAACATTAATGCGCATTTTATTATAATAAACTATCTATATTTGAATCCTTGTAGGTTTTTTTTTTTTACATAATATAATTCAGATTTGGTAGTACCTAGGAAATTTAATCGACAGCTATTGTTGAATATTATCACAGATACCTACTGTAGTTCAGAAATCACATTTATTTAACGAAGAACTAAGTCAAATTTAAGAATTATAAAAATTTACTTAAAAACTATTATTAAGAAAACTAGGAAGGAGAATTAAGAAGATTAATAATCTCCACAATACACCAAATAGATTAGATTAGATATTTCCTACACAATTTTTGATTCGAGTAAGATTTCTAGTAGAAAAGTCGTTCACAGAAACATAAATAAAAAAGCTGTCCTGGGATAATGGAGATGGATGTAGCCACTGTTGTAGGTATCAAGTTAGGAAGGTTGGATACAGAAAGGAATTTAATGTATATCTGAACGCAACGATAAACCATTGCTGACAAAAAACAATTCTAAGCAAACTTCAGTTGATAGTGATGCTTTGTCAACAATATATATATACCTATATCATATAGTATGGTAAAATAATTAAATAATCATTATATACGTTCTTTAATAATATTTGTTTAATATTGATCCAATTTTCCTGTTTTCATACGTTTTTCCCGGTTTTTTACATTTGCTGGGAAAACTCTAGAGAAAATCGAAAAATGATCTGCCTAAAGTACCACCTCAAGAAAATTTCTTTTCAGAAAAGGGTCTACATCGTATATATTGAAGTAAAATTTTTGGTAGAATTTTTGAACACATTATAAAAAAAGAAAAAAAAAACATCTTACCAAATCAAAACATTCTTCTCTACACTTAGAATCTAAAACTAACGGACATACTTCGCATAATGGTTAGGCAACTGTAATAGGTGAGAAGTTGGGTAGGTAGTCCAAAATTGTAGTACATAATAGTATATGGAAAACCACAATAAATGGAATGACAAGAGAAGATAGGATAAGAAATGATGAATACAAAAGAAGTAACATAGATATGGTTTGGATAGTAGACAAATGAGAAAACTTAGACTGAGGTGGTTTGGGCATCTTACGAGGCAGTGACGTACACAGGATTTTCCTAGGGTGGGGGGCTTGAAAATTGATAATTAATCAGTTGTTTTGTCACAAGTTTGAAAAATAAAGTAGTTGTATTCTTATTTCTAATTGAATTTCATCTAAATAAAAACAAAAAAAGTAAAAAAAAATAATTGTTTGCAGGGCACACATAATTATTATTTAACTGGTTATTCGAATGTGTATTGCAGAAAATGATCGATAATAATAATTATTATAATACTCATTATTCTGTACGTCAATGGCTATACAAATTATTTTAAATCGTATTCACTTAAAAATATAATATACATAGTTTTACATAATATTGCTTGAATTACTGTATGCAGATCCTGGGATTTCAAAGATGCGGCCGATAATTTCACCGATAACCGAGACCTGTTTGGAATGAATTTGTAAAGCCATATCGTCTTGTGATCTAAATCTAAAGTGCACCGGGGACTTTTGTGGACCGTTCCGTATTTCACAGCGGTACTGGATCGATTCGGACTCGCCGGTTTTTAAAGGAGACAATCCAAAAGACGAACTCGGTGAAATATTTAAATAAAACCTATACAATTTGTGCTCATAATTAAATCGTTTTAATACCTGTATGAAAGGACCGTAAGAATTAAAAATAGTATATTGTTTCAAAAAATCTCGATAGGAAAAAAAATTATAAAATGTATAACTGCGTGTAACATGCAATTTTAGATAGGTTAAAAGGCGAAAATATATTCCACTTATAATACATAGGTAAGTTCCTATTACACATGTGTGTGTAATTTATTTTATTTAGTAACATTAGTAATAAGAACAACTATATACGGGCTGTCTCACGAACATATACTCCTTGAATATCTCCGGAGATAATAAAAATAATCTAATCCTTGTTTTTTTTTTTTTTTATATTACTCACAGGTATAAGAACTACAAATTTTTTTATTTATACAAACATTTTTTTAGTAAAAATTTATAAAAATAACTATATTTTATTATTTTCGGAAAATTTTAAGATAGCCATTTCTCACGGATTAGTATAATTTAAACGGCTGTTACTTAGAAACTATTCATCGGAAATAAATGTGTGATACATCAAAATTGTTTAGAAAAATAAATTATACAGAATGATTACCTTCGAATTTTCCGAAAATAGTAGTAGTATTAGTATTTGTAGTCCCCGTCCCTGTGAGTAATATAAAAAAAAAACAGAATTTGGTTATGTTTATTATCTCCGGAGATATTCAAAAGGTATATCTTCGTGGGACAGCCTGTATACAGGTACCTACTTACTGATCGTATAAAACAGAACCATAAATAATAATTTATGTACGCTCTTTTTTATGTATTTTTTTAATTAAGAGAATGATATTTTATAAGCATTGGTAAGCCGTGATATTTCACACACTTATTATGTCTCACTTAAAAATTAAAATAAATGAACTGAACGACGGTACAGCACTGATGATAATAACCCTATAATGATTTGATCTTAAAGTTTGATAATATAGATCAATTCACTGTAATATTAAAACTAACAGCACAAAGTCGTCCCCGCTGAACGAAAATTTGATATGTCACACGGTTGTATGACGGAGACAACACATACGGGTGTAGCGTCCTCTAAATTCCAAATACCCCGCGGAGCTTTTTAAAAAGTGTTTATCGTAACAATATTATCAGCTAACTGCTTTTGCAATACATTTGTTGAGATTTAAATTGAATACAAAAAATCAAGCTGTTCAAAGTCAGACAGACTGCGATAAAATTATTTAAAAATTAACTACGGACAACGGTTACTTTTTATCTCTTGAGTTTCGAGTTATCTAGCTACGCAGCATAATTATTTTTAACGGCTCCCACCGAGGCCATCAAAATGGTACGAATATCACTAAATAAATAAAAATTATAAATCAATCGGAGCTTAGTTTATGACTAAACAATAAATTAAATTTACGCCGAGGGTGGTGGTAGTGGTCGATGACTCGTATGGGTAATTGTAGATTTTAAGAGATTTTAGGACTGTTAATAAGCGCGGAGTTCACTCGCATAGACGTGTAGTGTCTGAAAAACTCGTTCGCAAAGTTCGTTAAAAATGATATGCTATACATATATTATACAGAGATTATAATTAATAAACACCGAGACCAATGACATTTTCGAGTTTTTAGTTTGTATTTAAGACAGAATTTGTTGTTTTTTTTTTTTTTTCGAGATATGCATGATCTTGCTATTGATCTGCATTTGACTGTGATATACCAGATGAAATTTTAACCCGGTCGTATAATACACGTAACACAATACTCTAGGCGACGCATTGATTCATTTATTTATTTTATTTTTGTATATAAATAAAAATGTAAATATTTATTTACGAGTTTTAACCATTTTAATAATTTTGTTTTGTACTTTATTATTGTATTGAAGTTTTTCTTACGACACTGTGCTTATTTTTTTTATTATTTATAAATAAAATTAAAGTTTTCGTTTTTTAAACTTCCGGGTGTTATTTTTTTTTTTCCTAAAGACAAGCTTCGACTGATACAAAGTTTTTCTTCATTTTCGATGAAATGTGGACGGTTCTGCAAAAAATACGGGAGAAGTACAGTTGTGCCGGGCAAAACAGTTTTTACGACAGGGGTGGTTTCACGTTATTGATTTTATTTTTGACGAGGGGAGAAGCCCACTCGGGCGTAGAGAAAATTCGTAATTCCCGCACACCCTAATAAAAACGATTCGCCACTGCGGCAGCGTAGTACGGAGGGGCGCGAGACGACGAAAATAATACACGCAGTACGTTCGACGTGACGAATAAACGACCGAGCGACGTGACGACACGGGCGCGTAACAATATAATTCAAGCCGTGTATACATAATATAAATAGAATACAGGAACGTCGCGACGGCGCATCGCCCCGCGTGATGTGCGAAAAAGACGAAACGCCCGTGTGCCGCAGCAAGAATTATTATCAGGTTGGTAAACCGTATTGCGTTTCGGTGGCCGAAAATCAATAATTCCAGCGGACGGACGCGTCGCGCGTGCGCGGCGACACCTACGGGACCCCCGGCCATCGGCTCACGCGCAAACTACCGGGCTCCGGGGCCACCGGCATTCTCAAGTTTGTGGACGTGCGCCGCTGCGCACCGCGCAGGCGGGACGCCGGTCGATACGTACCGTGCGGTGGCCGCGGCGTACACGGCCCGGCCGGCAGCTGCGCAGCGGCTGTGCGCCGCGACGTCTCTCGCAACGTTTGAAAAACCAACAATTTTAATCGCCACAACCGATAGTCCTTAAACGTGAAAATATCGTCGTTTACCGCACTTAAAAGTTCCAAAAATAAGAATTGGAATTTATGCGCCGAAATTCAATCGTACGAATGGTGTGAGCATACTTAAAAAATCGCTCGGTGTAACATAGTTTATGTCTACGTAGTCATAAAAAGAATTATGTAAACAATATAGGTAATATAGTTCTTAAAAACAAATGGACATACTTGGCACGTAGGGTGGGCCACAGTTGTATAGGTGAAAAGTTGGGAAAGTGGAGTGCAAATTGAATGTATATCTGTACGCAACGATTGATCATCGAAAAACGATACTGACCGGAGTTCGGTTATAGGTATACGGTAGGTTTTGAAAGCCGTAACATTTACGATTTGAAAATACCTAATACGTTTCGTAAATTTCCCCGTTTTTCCTACGTTTTTTCCCATTTATTGTGTAAATCCGTGAGAAAATCAAAAAATTATCTATTTCTTTAATTTTTTTTTCTCTTGGAGCAAAGTTGCTGGTAGAAAAGTTGTCAATAGAAAAAAAAAAATACCAATACATTCCTTGGTCCGCTCAGAATCTAAAATTATCCTTGCAACAAAATCATTTGACTGCCACTTTTCATCTCGAAATTTAACCCCTAGCTTGAGGGTGGCGAACGTGGGGTTTTTGGTAATTTTGAAAGGAAAATTGAATTTTTTTTTCGTTGATTCACGGTTTGCCTTGGAGACACGAATAAAAAAAAAAATATATCAGTTATTATTGTTTAATTTGTTTTTGTAATTGTAATTGGAAAAATCTTTATTTGGATTGTCTATTACCGGTCCGGTAATGGATAATCGGACCGGTCTATTTGGGATCGGGGGCGGAAAAAAACACAAATACAGATTTTAAAAGAAACTGTCGCGATGCGTAGTAGTCAATAGTCATATTATGAAGCAGCGTGTATTATATTAATTCGCCTTTTCCAGTTCAATATTGCGAATATATTCGTGCCGTACTGAACACCGAAGTAACGTAATGTTGTACGCGGTAGAAGTATTGATCGAAGGCGAAAAGACCCTTCTGTATGAGTCAATGGGGGAGGGGAAAAAAGTGTTCGAAGGGCGAAGGGCCACTCCCTTTTTTCGGGACGCACGGGACGATGTTACAAACGAGATGAATGTTTTCATTATAAACGATGTTCACCGCCGCCGGGCGTTCTGCTATTTTCTAGACAACGGTTCGTGCACCTTCCCATACCGTATTTTCCTCCTGTGAAACACATTCGAAATCAAAAATATTGTCCCTAACAATTAGGCACGTGCATACTACGCGGTAATATTATGGTGCCGCATGTACACGTCGGTCGATGAAAAAAATGGTCGCCGGTTGGAGAACACTGTGCGGCGTTGTTGGCGGCGCCGGCGCGTCAGCACTCTGGCGGTCGACTACTCGGCCCGTCGGCACGGCTCGTCGTACTTCGCACTTCGCAGTGTCGTAATGCTCGTCCTCTAGTGAACTTCTTTCTTGTTTTCCACGTCTTTAACTTCAATAGGCATAACCATATACCTACTTACTGTTATTATAAAAATGTTTTGTACACGTTTAAATAGATTGTCGTACACTCGATGTTTTCTACCAGCCTTGTTTGTCAATAAAAACGAATACGACGAGGAAGGCACTGATGTTTTAGATAATAAAAAAGTCGGCGGCTGGCAAGGTGTTGTAAACGCTTTTTCCCCCGAGTGAGATAACATTTTTTTTTTACCCATCTAAAACAATTAAGTTTTATTAAATGTATTGTTTTTTTTTTCACAGCGAAAATGGTAATCCCTCTACAGATGTAAGAACTATATCTTCGACAATATGTTACAGTGCTCTGATCGGCGGTGTTTACGGAAGTATATCGTATAGCAAACGAGCTTATGAAGACTTTTTCCTGAAGAATCAGTCCACTCTCTTCCAAAATCAGTTTGAAGCCAAAGTATGTCACGTTTATGATTAAATAAAATACATCATTTTTCCACATTCCATCATTTTTTATAGTTACTATACTCACCTAAATATAAATTGTAATAATACTAGGTACCTACATATTAAATATGATGTACTTGCTATTTCATACCTAAATACCTATTCATTAAAAAATAATAATTATCTTGGTATTATTATGTAATTTAAGTTTTCAATTTTATATCTAATCTAAACATTTTATTTATTTAGGCTAAACTTCAAGCAAAAGTAACACTAGCAATGGGCAGAGGTGTTTTTAAATGGGGTACCAGGGTTGCATTGTTCTGTGGTCCTTTCACGTAAGTTTAAAATATTACCTAAATTGTATTAAAGTTAAATCAATTGCTAATAAGTACCTATTTTATTTAAAATATTATTATTTAGACGCGATCTGTTACACTACCATATTTGTGCTAAGTGATTTCTATATTTTCTTATTATATTTTATTGTTTTGATGCAATGATGTGGACAGAAATAATAAGCATTAAGCTATTAGTCATTTTTATAAAAAATTTATTCCAGTTAATTGATTAAGATAATTAATTTAATCAATGTTTATTTACTTAATTAATTAAGTTCAATTGTAGAACTTTATAAATCATTGTTGTTAATGACTCAAAAAATAAATCACAATCATTAAGTTAATAAGACACAAATTCTAACTAGAAGGGCTGCGCTATCATAATTGATTTGGTGATAGGGAGTAGCAAATGTCTGTTGAGACGTTAGGTAAAGTTGTTTTAAGATTTTAGAACACTTGATAATCCCATTAACCAATTATAAAGTAAATGTAATATTAACTATATTCTACGATCATAGAGACATAAGCCATTTAATGAACCAAGCATTATTATTATTAAATTTTTATCATAAACTAGGATAAATTATTACACCAGTCTTTGACAAATTAACTATACAAAATAAAGTACTTACTACTAACATATTAAAGGAAATAGAAAAAGAATATTTCAACTTTTTAAATATAATATGTGTGTAGGTATTAACTATCAACATTTATTTTATGTTTTTTATTAACTTGTAGGACTATAGTAGCCATAGTTAATGCTTATAAACAAAATGTTTCCGTGTGGAGTTATACAATAGCTGGTTTAATTGTTGGTGGATTTGCAAGAATAAGTATGGGAATGAATGGTATTCTAGTTGGATCTACATTGGGTAAGTCTTGATTCTATATTCAGTATTTTATAAAATATTTATGAAGTAGAATCGTTTTATTATTATTTATACTGTAGAAAAGACAAATCCCAGTATTTGTAATTAAGTATGATATTGTCTAATTAATAATAAAATAATTCATACTTTAGGCATTTTCTGTATTTATAAGTATAATATACCTATAATCTATTCAGAATAAGATTGATCCAATTTTATGCATGAAGATTGAGCTGCCTAATAAGTCTGGACCCCTAGTTGATGATATATGTCCTATAATTTGTCATTGTTGCTGCCTGTAGGAGCGTGCACAGTTGGTGGGGATAGTCTTGTGGTGAGGATGCACCAACATGACATGTTTTTGTCATCTGAGTGGTTCAATCATATTCTTAATAGAGAATACATATATATATTATTAATGTACCTATTAATAATATTTTGGGTACTATGGTACTTTACTAAAGTATAAGTATGTGGAATATTATAGGTACATGTATTATCAAGGTGGGTAAATATATGTGGCTTGGTAATAAATAAATTACTATATTTATATTTGATAATATTCATTTTTTTAAATTTAGCTACGTTTAGTATTCTTTTCACATTATCAGCCCAATTCGCAATAGTTATAACTCTTAAATAGAAACATGCCAGAAAAAACAAAACACGTCTAAAACTAAATTTTATTTTATACAATAACTAAATTTAACAAAAATATGATGGTATTAAACAGATAGAGTTAGGCTTATTTCGTAAAAATTACTCAACAACTGATTTTATGGACAAATAATTGTCCAATAAGAGTGAAATTGGTCTTAAACTATGTGTGCATTTTTTCTGATAATAAAATGCAATAATCTCAATTTTGGATTTTTGGAGTTAAGATTTTTGTGAATTAGGTTGATGGTTGAGGTACATCCTCAACAATACATAGAGTTTTTTTTGATTTTGCTTAGGTATTTTGGTAAATTACCCCCCTATTACATCTACCATAAATTACTATTTTTCTAAATGTTATGACTGCAGAAAATCCTATTATAAAAGTTTTTTATTAGATTTGAATAGAAATTTGTTTTGAAATTTTAAAGTAAATAAATAATTTATGTGTGGAATAATTTTAGGTTTGAGAAATACTATTTTGTAATGCATATTCTTATTGTCAAATTTTAATTTTTTAACTGACTATTGCTTAAAACTTGATCAAAAGTAATAAATACTGAGGGCTCTGGATGAATTATCATTTAAATGTAAACATTGACTTTGTACATTATATAGTTTGACGATTGAAGGTCTTTATTGCACACTACTGTATTTTGTAGGTACTAATCCTCTTCATTTTAAAGCATTGATTCACTTCTCACCTCTTTCTTTATTATTTAAAGAAAAACTACCAAAAATATGCAAAATAAATAATTTAGCTTATTAACAAGTAGGTACTAGTAGAAATCATTAGTGAATTTTGAATACAAATAAGAAAAATTAGTACTTATAGTACACAACTATTTGTCTTACTTATTAGTTATAACTTATGTTAGTCAAACAAAACTACATTGTAATGTCTTAAAGAAAAATAACTTGTTCCTCATTTGATCTTTTTAAAATAAATTAGTTAAAAAATTAAAATATGACATCTTATAAAAATTGATGTGTTGTAGAACAGTAAAATGTATAGAACACTATGCCTTATGAGCTGTTGAGCACTTGTATAGAATACTTATGACAAAAATATGTTTATAATTTGACTAAAATAAGGTACAAGATATTCAGTTAGATAAAGAGTTTCTATTTTTATTATAATTTTAATGCTTTCTTCAACATAACTACTTTGGAACAATTATATTGAATACAACTTTGTGTAAACAAACAAACACTTTATTATTGATGTCACTATTTTAATAATTTATTGCTAAATGTATACATGTTACATACGTGTGTACTTAGTCATTTAATATGAAATGTTTATTTTAGGAGCCATATTAGGTGCTGTAGTTGGAGGTCTTACATTATTAGTGTTACAATTTTCTCCTTTAAGTTTGCATGAATTAAATGAATGGCGATCCCAAGCTCAAATAGATAGAGACGAGTATGTATTTAGATAATAGTATAAAACATTATAGAACATATCACTATGTTTTTGTATTTATTGTAGATTCTTTATCAAAGAAACAAAAACATCCAAGTTGTTCCAATATGATAACCCGCCTGAACTATTAGAACATGAAAAAAGGAACGCATTACCAAATGCAAAAACTGTAACAACAAATTATGAAGTAAAACATTAAAGTAAATGTTTGTTATGTTTATCTATTTATATATCACAATGAATTTAAATCTACAATAAAAACTATAGTTAAGTTTACGATACATTAGTAAATCAACAATACACTTATTAAAACGCACAATACAATTGAGAAGTATGGTGTGTTAGTGTTAGCTATGGATGATACATAAGGATGTGCACCTCCAACAAATGGCCACCATTTGTCTAATGTAGTTATCATATTTATACGACTATCATTTTTATTATCTATAAATCCATAATGATATACATTTGGATTTTTATATTGCAATTCAATGTCTTCTGGATATAAAAATGAAACTAATCCTTTTCCATTGTAATTTCCACACTTCGGAAAGCCTGGTGGAGGTGGCAACATGTCCCAATCTTCACCAATTTTAAACACAGTTGCCATGCCAACTTCAACATGGAATTCAATATGACAATGAAATAACCAATAACCTATAGAATTAATTTATAATTATTGTAATTTTAAAAATAAATACAGAAATTCAAAACATCCCAATTACATAGTTAGGTACACACCTGGATTATCAGCTAAGAATCTTAGTATTGTAAATCCACCATCTGGTACCGTTACAGTATCTTTAAGAGGAGCAGATCGTAAATTTCTTACAATGCGCCCATCTCTGTCCATCTGTTCAATCTCTTCTACTGAAGTATGGTTTCCTACTCTTTCCATTGCGATCACTCTAAATGGATGTCCGTGTAAATGGAATGGATGATTTGCATTATATGTTACTCCTTAAAATAAAATATATAGTTTACTTAATAAAAACTAATGTGTTTTAAATTTTATTATTATTTTACCTTTATCAATGAGAAATAGTTCAACAATTGATCCTAATGGAACTTTGATAATATTAGTACATTCACAGAATTCTTTTGAGCAATCTTTTTTAATGTGTTCACAACTCATCCAAGGTTGTATCATTTCTTTTTGAGATAATAATGGAAATGATTGAAATTTGAAAGTCATATTATTAATTTGGGGTGTATAAACACGTTCTGCTTTATGCGTCACTAAAACATTAATATGGATATTATTTTATTAGATTAATTTAATTTAAATAATAACTTCAATAATTCAGAAAAAACAATTATTGTTTACCTTGTTTGAAACCATATAACATAGGTTTATGAAAATGTGGATTATCTAAAGAATAAAAATCGTAAGACATAAACAGTGTCATGTCTGGTTTTTTCTCTAATCTAAGATCGTTTATTGGAGGTATTGCATCTTCTAATTCTGATACTGTAGCAGAGTCCATTAGGCCTGATCCTTTATTCAATGCATTTAATTGCTATCATAATAAAATATATAAAAAACTAATTAATTAAATGTTATTATAAATACATGATTATCAGATTATTTATTTTGTTCTATTTACAATTCCAGTATGAATTGAATTATCATATGTTGGTATATTTTCTGGTTTTTTATTATCGGCTCCATCATAATGCAAAATTGCTACTTCAAATGCCTTTGTGAAACGTTCATCGCAATCCATTAAACCTTTAAATCGCATCCAATAATTTCCAATGTCAGCTGTTGCTTCTAATACAAAATCCCAACGTTCACCAGCATAACTTACTAATGAATCAACTATAAACACATATAATAAATTATAAGCCACTGTGTTAAACTAAATAATGATATATCATTTTTTTATAATTTTAAGAGTTAGAGCACTATATTATTACCTACTACCGGTTGAATATTATATCCATCTGTTGCGATCATTGTAAATGTATGATTATCAATACTCATTGAAATGGGACAATTTAGGAATCCGGCATTAATCAGTCTAAACCTATATCGTTTTCCCTAAACAAAATAATACATAAATAACTATTAAAAAAAAAAATATATATATAAAATAATATATTAAATATTAGGTTTGACTGTAGTCTAAAACAAATTTTTAGAAGTAGATAATTATTCCAAATAATAATTTTCCTATCATTAAAATTAAAAATGGTCACTTGTTTGCCATCAAAAAATTTGTAATATATTTAGGTAGCTATGTACTCACTCTGGTGACATGAAACTGTGTTAGAGGCGTGTGGAATCCATCTTTAAAAACTTTGTACCGGCCACGGCCGTTTATTAAAAGAGTCTCAGGCTTGTTGTCGCCCGAACCGTGATAATGAGCAAGAAACTTGCGGATACCCAATTGGTGTAACCAATCAGTGACAGTGAGCACATGCAAGTCCTCGTCATACATATCTCTATGGATATCCCGGTCCTTTGGCACGCGAACAATAAACGATCCAAATACACCATCGCCTCGTTGGCAGCCCGAATGTGAATGCCAGAAATGTGTGCCTTCGTTATCTGCCAGGTAAACATACCGGAATGAGCTGTGGGGTGGCACTGGGCATTGTGTCACATACGGCACTCCATCCATGTACGGCGAATTTCGCTGATGGTGCCCATGCCAGTGAATAGAAGTCGATTCTTCCATCATAGCATTCTCAACATCCACCAAGACTGTGTCACCCAAGCACACCTACACATATTCAAACACCATCTGTCCATTAGAAATCATTCATGTGAGTCAACACATGTACTTATTTCATTATTTATTTCTACACAAAAAATTGAAAAAAATGTATTGAGGTGAGCTTAATGTCACGGTTTATTTTATAGCAAATCATACTATTATCCTATACTTAGTTGATTAACTTATATTTTTAGTGAAAAACTTCCATACGGTAATGCATAATGTACAAAAACAAATAGGTTTCATATTATATTTATGGATAATGGATAATGATCATAAGTGTGGAAAAAGTCAACATGTAATTCAAGACTAATTTGTTTGATTGTAAACACATATGGTATATTATATGAACTTTCTTTATAAATGTTATTATTATTTTAACTTCAATAAAGTGAAGAATATGTATACTTCTTTTAAATATTATTTTATAAGTGGTGTACGTCTTCATATTTGGTTAGTGGATAACATACAAAAACGAATAGGGTACTATTGAAATGAACGCGACCCTGTCCGTTTTTGTGTGTTACAATTTAACCAAACCGTCTACATTTTGGATAGAAATCATCAGAGAATGAAAAAATCAATATAATTTAAGAAAAAATTATAATCAATTTATGTAATTTACAACTATTTTGTTTACTTGTTAAACATTCTACTTTATAAAGAATTTAATTATTGTTATTAATTTTTTTTTCTTTTATATAAACTGAATANGTTGGTTTTTGTATGTTACACCTTAACCAAATTATCTACAATATGTTTAGAAATTATCGGATAAAGAAAAAGCAAATTTAATTTAAAATTACAATAATTAGTATTAATTTATGTTATTAACAACAAATTTATGTTTATTTGTTAACAAATTCTACTTTATAAACGATTTAATTTATTGTTATTAATTTTTTTTTCTTTTATATAAACTGAATAACATGTGTACTTTACTTCAATATTATTTTTTTAGTGTTGGACTTTTTTCTAATTTGTTAGTGGATAACATACAAAAACGAATAGGGTACAATTGATTTGAACGCGACCCTGTTGGTTTTTGTATGCTACACCTTAACCAAATTATCTACAATATGGAAAGAAATTATCGGAGAAAGAAAAAGCAAATTTAATTAAAAATTACAATAATTATTATTAATTTATGTTATTAACAACAAATTTATGTTTATTTGTTAACAAATTCTACTTTATAAACAATTTATTTATTGTTATTGATTTTTTTTTTTTTTCAAGTCATTAATATGTATAACTTACTTCAATATTATTTTTTTAGTGATGGACATTTTCTAATTTGTTAGTGGATAACATACAAAAACGAATAGGGTACTATTGATTTGAACGCGACCCTGTTGGTTTTTGTATGTTACACCTTAACCAAATTATCTACAATATGGAAAGAAATCATCGGAGAAAGAAAAAAGCCAATGTAATTTAAGGAATAATTATTATTAATTTATGTGAGTATTAACTAATTTGCGTTTAATTTTTGACACAGACACTTGATTATAATATATTTATGTATAATTGTGTTTTTTTTCTTAATTTCCAAAAATCTATTGCCCCGTATACTTTTCTATAATCTTATTTATTTGGGGATGAACCGGGGGCAATGGTTATTTTGTAATTTATTAAAGCTGACATAGAATGTTTTGGAGGATCATAAACATAATTGTTTTTATATGTTCATCTCTAACAATGTGTTCTACAATTTGGCAAATGGGTATTTATATCAAACATTGTGCTACGAACAAAGTTGATGCATATAAATTAATCAGTGAACTCATAGTTTGTAGCTGAATTATTTAATATAGGTATGTAATTTTATAAAATAAGTCTGAATATTGTCTATGTGTGCTTTATAATATTATACTCTATTATCTTAATATTGAAGTAAATTATATTTTATTGTATTTAACTTTGTGTTTGTTTAACTTCATTGATTGTATTTTTTCTAAAATTCATTAATAAATTAAATTTTTAATATTTTTAAATTTTCGTTTTGCATTTTAAATTTTTCGTTTGGATTTCGAATGATTCATTTTTCAGAACACATTGTCCTGTTTACCAAACATAATATATATAGAAATTATGTAGTTGGTATTTTTACTGCAAACATTAAATGGGGATATTGTTCACATTATCCAGATTTATTTTAGGACCTAAATTTGTCCTAAGTAGGACTACTGTTGTAGGTGAGAAGTTGGAAATATAGGATACAAGTGAGAATTTAATGTATATCTGTAAGCAAAAATAAATCATTGATAACGAAAAAACGATTCTGAGAGAAGTTCAGTCGATAGTGTTGTTTTGTCAACAGTACAATATATGGTATTTATCATATTATGGTAAAATGATTACAACAATGATTGTTTAAAAAAGATTAAAATAATAAAAACAAAAAAATAAATAAAAACGGTTACCAATGACAACCTCATTAAAATACGAATGCTAGTAAATATAGTAAATTAACTATTAAGTAAAACATCTGGACGGTGTAATTATGGAATTTTAGATTTTGAAATCCAATAAAAAACCTGCACCGTAATTTGTTAATTAACTTTTAACTACATGTTTTTTCATCAAAGTTGGAACATTTGCAAGGCTGACTAATTGATAAAGTGTGCTACTTTTGGTTTGAATACCTATGTAAGTAAAACAATAATGCACCATACGTATTGAATCTAATAGCAACCAGCTAATTAACACAACTAATGTTCATATTTACGCGCACGTATTGACATGACCCGGACGTACCTGTCCTATAAGTTGCCTAACTTTTACTCCTTACTCCTTAATTTACAATTTCAAATAATAAATTACTTTTTAGATAAATACCGTCCGAATTTCATAATATAAAATTCCAAATTTGCACTATGCAGATTTTTACGTCCCAGATTTGTACCGTCCAGATTTTAAAGATTCAGATTTTTATATTCCAAGTTTTTTACAGTTCGTAGTTTTTATATGTATTTGCGTGGTGTATGTGTCGATATTAAACTATATTAAATTGTTCACAGCGATGAGGAAGTAACGAAGTATTGTGAAAACAGAATCGTCACCGTTGTTTGTTATAACTTGGGGGAGGGGGAAATTACAATAAAATAATATTAATAGTGCCATCGCGATACTCGTTCGTCAAAATGATCAGTAAGAGTCGTCGAATTCGAAGTCAATATTACAGGTATGTCCCTTACATTGCCTTTTCTTTTTATAGGGTGTCCGCGGTTTTATAAATACTCTGGCCTCTAAACCGCTGAATATTATACACGATTTTAATATTCATTATTATAGTCAACTATTTATACGACCGATACAATAGGTCAGGTAGGTACCTATATTTTATTTTGGTTTTCCGACATTATTTCGACAGTGCACCATCTAGTATATACAGAGTGATCGATCTATCATAAGACACTCATTATCTCAGAAAGTATTAACTTTTTCCGAAATTTGTTTTCTAGAATATTTAAGAAACAAGTTGCTCTACAATTTTATATTTTGTTATTTTTTGTCACCCTTATTTTTTGGGGTAAAACCACTACCTACTTTTGATTTCCAAATAGCAACCTATATTAAAAATTCCATAAATAGATGAAGTATTAGTTAAAATAAATTTTGGTGTTGAAATGTTTGATTTCCGTCAATCAGTTGACGAGATATTCCATTTTTATGTTTAGGTTCGAGAAGAACAGTGGAGTATCATTTGTTTGGCAGTAAGGCGCGTGGCGTGTTAATAACGCACCAACACCCTCTCCCAATTCAAAAATGGAATATCTCGTCTGCGGATTGACGGAAATAAAAAAAAATGACAACACCAATTTATTTAAACGAATACTTCGTCTATTTGCCATTTGAAAACCAAAAATAGGAAGTGGTTTTACCTCCAAAAATAAGGGCGACAAAAAATAACATAAATACAAAATTGTAGAGCAGTTCGTTTTTTAAATATTCTAGAAAACAAATAATTTCGGTGATAACGAGTGTCTTACGATAGATTGATCACACTGTATATACTGACTGACTATGTTGTATTTGTATGCAACGGCTTACAATTTTCGCTAATGGGATTTTTGTTTCACTTTTCACAGGCGCAATATTACGTATACCTGTTACGAATGCGCTTATTATTGTCTATTATTATTATAGGGTCAATATCCGTGTACTAATATTGTTTTATAATTGATAATTTTAATTAAAAATGGATATTATTTTATAACGTTAATACTTTTTGTTTTAAGAAAATATTTGTTACATAAAAAAATTGGGTAGATCATTATATTTTAGTTATGTGGTATATGTCACGCGTGATGTAGCGTCAAATTGGGTATTTTACCAATGCTCTAACAGTGCAGGTGTTCGTTTTGAAGATATTTTAATGGTCCGGGGAGAAAGTGGGGATGGGTTAGTGCCAACTTTATGTGTAAAACCACGGGTAGGTAGGCAGGTACACCGAGAAAAAACCGAAAAAAAAAATGACCGAGAGAAGTTCTATCCCCAGTCTCGCGCCTCCGATTTTAAACACGCGTGAACGTGCAGTGCAATATAGGCGGTAGGCACTTAAAACTCCGATACTCGTGACGTATATTATTAACATTTCAAGTCCGTTAATTTCCGACCCAATTCGTTTACAATAAATGTTACCGGCGTACAGTCGAGAACCGCGTGTTCCGACGATACGGCCAAGGACGCGCGCGGATCTATTCTTTTTTTTCTTTTTTTTTTTTTTACCGCCGAGATCCGAAAAAAACCTATTACTACATCGGCTATTGCGAGGGCCAAACGGAAAGAGCTCCTCGTCTAATAAACGACGCCGTCCGTTAATAATCGTGCGGTCCGCGGTCGGCCGACAGAGCCGCGGCTGTTCTGGCGTTGGCGCGACGCGGTCACCCGAACGCAGTGGCGGATTTTCAGACGTTTTTTCCGGGAGGTATCCACGAAAACCACGTGCAGCATTTCCGAGGCGTCCATTAACAGACGCCTCTTTTTAGACGGCGTTTTTTTCGAGACCGTATTATCAGCCCAGAGACCCCCCCCCAGACGGACCTTCCTCCGCCGACCGCGTAAACGCGCCACCGCCCGGACGCCGTTGTTTTCGATGCGGCCGCGTCAGGTCGGCACAAAGCGTTAGGCATGCTAACCTGCGTATTACATTGTCGTTATTATTATTATTGTTACGCGTTTGTTCGGAGCGACTTTTTACACGAGACGGCGTACGCAATCGGGCAAGCCGTTCAGGACCGGGGCGCCGAGACAATACCGAAACGCTTGAATTACCCGACGATATCCGCACCCTGTAGTCTGCCGTACGCGTCGCCGTCGACACAACAGCGCGAACTCGTTGCGCAATCGCTTATTATTATTATTATTGTTGTTATCGTCGATATTGTACGATCGTGTACATTGCCGTTTACCTGTATGGAAGGACCCGGCAGACTTCTGTTGACGACGATAATGGGCTTTTGGACACCGTCGGCCGGCACGCAGTCGGGCCGGAAACAATCGGTCAGGTTGTACGGACAGTCGTAGCACGCCTTGCTCATTGTGTAGTACCATTCCACTTTGAACCGGTACTCGCACGTTTTGGCCGGTTCGCCGGACCGACATTCTCTCTGGCACGGGTGTACGTCCACCGCGGGTTCGGACCCGTACAGCTCCGCGGACGCAGCCGCCGCCGCCGCCGGACTCGGGACGAAAAACAACACGGCGACGATCGCGGTCGTTGCGCACTGTACCGATGCTGCGCTCATCATCCCGTCACCGTTTTCATCTCATTTTTACGGGTATAAGGATGTGTATGTATGTATATATATATATATATATATATATATATATATATGGGCGGGCGTGTATACCGCGAGAAATGAACCCGCAGCGGTCTAAAAACGACAAAAATAAAACATAAAAACATAAAAGTTGTACAACTTTTCCTTAAAATATAAAAACCTACGTGAATGTTTGTAAACGAACATATCAAACTAAGTATATTACCTCTGCCTTACGGTTTTAAGTACGGCGTGAAGTTTTTAAGTATTTTTTTTTTTTTTGGGGGGTAAAAAAAAAACCAGAAATAACCTATCTACGTTCCCCGTGGTCTTTTCAGAATCCAAAATCAAAACATCAAAACTTTATCGTGCGCCTATTCCGTTCAGTATATACAATATGCATTATGCGTGTATGCATTTTATGAATTTCCGGAAAAACCGTAGTACTCTGTATAAAAAAAAAACCGAAGGTACCTTTAAATTTAACAAGGTATATATAATTTATGCGTATTATTATAGCGAAGGACGTACCCAGGCCATTACACCGCTATAGTCTACTGTTATTATACGCCTATATAGACATACGTCCGGGGCTGTACATTCGCTGTGATTATCATTAAGTATCTATCTATAGCTAACGGCGTTAAGAAAAAAAAAAAAAAAATTCAAATTTAATTGCGATAAAAATTAACATTGTAGTTGCTCGAGAAAAAAATGTAAATAAAATCGCATCGGTGGCATAAGACATTATATACGATTCAGTCGATTAGGTTTTTTTAATTTTTTTTTTTTTTTTATTTAGGGTAAACGTAAATTCCGGTCGCCCGCGGTCGCGGCACCGTATACGTCTTACATTACGTTCGCGCGCAATTTTCCGGAAATACTCGGTTTACCACCTCCTCCTGTCCGTACACGACCGGGCAAATATACTCAATCCAACGGCTTAAGTATAGGTATAATGTTTGCACTGCAGTTTCCAAACGAAAATTATGTTAATCGTATATTACCCGTATTATTACGCGTTTTAATAAAATATCCCGAGTACGGACGGAATACCCATTGGTTCATAATACGATATCTTAATTATAAGACTGTAAACAGGTTTTAAAAGTGTATAATAATAAAACGTACTGTTATTAGTTAAGCGAAAAATACCGACAAACGCGTGCGTTCTATGTATACCATTGTGAATTATAATAACTTTAAATTTGTACTTAGCTACCGGACAAATAAAAGCTAGTAGTAGTGTTACTATTTTAGATTCTCAGCGCTCGTCGGTTTTACTGCAATAATATGACGTGTGCGGATTTTTTTTTTTTTTATGATTTTTGATTTTTTTGTATCTGCGATCGATTCTATCAACCAGAATCTCACTCCAATCGAAAACCAACAAGATGGGGGGTTTTTTTTTTATAGGATTCTGTATCTAGACGGTCATTTTTTTTTTTTGTTTTTCATTGCGGTTTTCTAAATAATCGGGGAAACCGCGCGAGAAACGGAACAATTTACGGAAATAACGGTTGAGCTATTTTCGATTTTATTTTTTTTTTACAATTCGGTTAAACATAATCTTAGAGATGTGAAACATTCACATTCAGGCGAATATCTTTTAAATGTAATACAAGTTCTGCTTACTAATTATATTACTACTTTCCTACTTTTTGGAGGGATTCGGTGTCGTGAATTCGAGAATAGTGACGAGGTTTAATAAATTAGAAATATAATGTCGTTTTACTTGTCCCGGGTGTTGGAAGTGTTGAAACTTTAGGGTTTGTACCTGTAGATATCCTTACGTGATCCCGGAGTCGTCAGACGACAGTAACATTTCAGTTAAATAATCTAATATAAGTAATTAACACTTTGTATTTGTGTGCATTCAGATAAAAATGCTAATCTTTAAACTAGGATTGACAAAAGGTTGAATTGAATAAAATATATATATATATATACAGAAATCAAACACAAGCGATTAGCTGCTAAAAGTCGGAGCTAGCTATTCGACAGAGATTTTTGAAAGAAGTTGGTGGCTTGTACTTGTTGTGTACTTGTGTACGGCCGTACAGGGTTCTCGATAGTGTCATTGTCCAGAAGATTTCTCGCTCGGGCGATTCGTTCGAGACATCAAAAAAAAAAAAAAAAAAACCGTTATTTTTTGATTTAAGAGACTTACGCGTCGGGGCTGATGAATAGTGATCATGTCCGTTGATCATAAAACTACAATGAAACTACTTTTTTTTTAGTAATAACGTCGTTTATGCTACGGCGGCGATGATGTCGCAGACGCCGCCGAACGCCGTGTGAATTTTATATTTCTAACCATATTATCATGTTTTGACTTCGATAGTAGAATTATGTATTTCTCTCTCGAATAACGAATGCGAATTCCCCTTGTATTTATTATATCAACAGCATTTTTTTCACTAAACACCGAGTACTCGGCCGTATCTAAATCTTTTAGTGACATTTTTAAAAATATAAATAATTGTATACATGTTGTGTAAACACATCATTACAATTGTTACAGCAAATTCAAACTTGTCGTTATTAGGTAGGTAACTTTAACAAATAAGGGCACCAAATATTTGATATTGTGATACATTTTACAGTTTTGCAGTTTTCCTGTTACGTCTTTAAAATATCGAATTCACTTCACTCAAAAATCGGACAGTTTAATACTGAATTATCTTCAAGTTTGACTAAAAGGATATTACGTTGTAAGATCGAGGAAGGATGATATTTACGTCCGTGTTAATAATTTATTAACGATCGACCTTGATTTATCCGAGTAAAGTTTCCCTAGTCACTTTTCAATACCAACTTCGTATACCTGTATTAAATAATACAACAATAAATTGATGTTTAATTTAACTAAAACTATAGAGCTCGAAGGTCTTTCAAATTAATCAGTGATCCCACAAGACCTATAAGGTCTTCAAGTACATTTTTACTGCGATATTGTCGTAATACATTTATAATATATATATGTACGATTGTTTGCTTAAAGAGTGCAATATACTGGAGCGCATCACGCAAACAGCCTGCACGCTAAATATAACAACCTAGCAATACCTACCTGACGTATGAATGAAATGAATAACAATTATTTTCTAATCTAGTCAAATCTAGTCTAATCTAATCTAGTCAAATATTTTTACGCAAAATAAATATTATATTAAACTTAATTGAGAACAAATGCATTTACCGAAACCCGCTCTTTTTTTTTCCAATCATCTACGGGTTATTTTATATCGTATACCTACGTTAAAATTTCCGACGTTGAAAATGACTGTGCAATTGGACTCAATTTTAAAGTTGTGTATGAAATGTACTTGATAACTCTATATTTCGTATCAATTTGATATTTTTCCAGTATATGAATATATAGCGAAGACAGAAAATTCATAATATTATATCTATTTTCAAGTGAAAACCTTACTTTAATTTATTTATTTTGAAAACTTAATTCAAGATGCATTTCCAAAAAATATATATTTTATTAGTTTTTTTTTTACACCCAAATTTATTATCTAACGATTTTAATTTGTAAATTATGTATTTAGAATTTCAAATTTTTTTTCATTTGGGTGATCTTAGCTAACCTAACCTAACCTAACCTAACCTACCCCACGCTCCCATATGTCAGAATTAAATTTATAAACATCAGAGAACGTATGCGATAAAAACGTAATTAAAGTTCGCACACGAAATGGTCAAATACGTTTAAACTATTTTTTATATCATTAACTCGAAACTCAAGCAACTCTTGTGTACATATAATGGTAAATAAAAATAAAAATCTGTATTTACTTCATGTCATGGGTAGGCCGCTGTAATAACGTGAAAAGTTTGAAAGGTATCAGATATAGGATAATTTAATTTAAATACTGAACACAACGATAAATCATTGTAATCGAAAAACGATTCTGAACGGATTTCGGTAAACTAGTAAGGTTATGTTATTGTATTAATAGTGTTAGTCATGTTTGCTACCTTGTGGTCAAGATAATCAACAAAAATAATACTATTATGTGTAGTCATGAATTTTTAATTTTGTATAAACATTTTTTAAACACAAATTAATACTACCCCAAAAAGTTTTTTCTTAGAAAAAACTAAAAAATAACCTATATTTTCAAGAGTACGAGTAAAATTATAATAGATTCTTCGCTATACTGTTATTCAGAAACTAATGTTTGACTAATAATTGTATCTCATTCCGGTTAAACATCGTAACGCAGAAACTGTTGTAAGATAATAATCTTTTAAAAAATCTTCGATTTATGTAATATATTGTTATAATATAAAATGAAATGTAAGAGTTCGTCGTAGTCGTAAATAAAAAATATTTCCATAATAAAATTGTGTACCATTAATGTTTAAATAAATTTAAAGCGATAATGAAATAATAATACAAAAAAAAAAAAAAAAAAAATAAATTATTAATAATAATTATAGTTGCATTGTACCTGTTGATGTGTGTAAACGAGGGCTACAGTGTGCAATTCTCTCGAACTTTTCCAAAACACGAGCCGTGAAACGTGGTAAAACGCGGTACACCAGCGATATAGAAGTGTTCGGTTACTAACCAAACGATACGCCGGTCAACAACTAACGATTATCGTTTTTGAAATATCTGTATTGTCCGCGATCGTGAGATATACTGCAGCGTTAGGGATGCCCTTGATGCGAGTGTACATGCTAAAAGTCGAAACATAATAATATATAATATATACATAATGCATACATACGGCTATTGGCGATAAAAAAATACTTATTAAATGTATTTTTTTTTTAAGGAAAGGAAGGGGAAATCACATTTCGTCCAAGTGGGTAAATACGAGATCGCGTATATATGACGTATATTCATATAGCATTGTAATATTAATTATAAAATCTTAAATTTTTATTTGTCTTTTTTTTTACGGCTGTTTTAATGTTTCAATAACCTTAAAATATTTAAATATAACTCATCCGAAAAACAACGTTATTTTAATATTGAATAATATATTTTTACAAACGGTCAATAATCAATGAAAAAAAAGCAAAACATTCGGGTTCACCGTGATTCAGCGGCTGTCAAATGAGTTTGTCACAGAGAGGGAAAAGGATAATTTTTAAGACCCATTATTGCTTATACAATTTTTTTTTAACTCTATAGATATCCTTTAAAGCATAATTTTTAAGCATACTCTGCCCATTTTTATGGTTAAATTGCGAGTATATTCAAATTCTGATTTTCGGAATTTTTAAGCGCAGTGAAAGACAATATTTTCTCATACTTGGATTTTTCACAACATTTCAGGAGTATCCTGTGACGATAAAACTTTGGATTTTCAAACGAAAACCTACATTTTTTCATATAAATTGTCAATCAGATCAGATAATTTTTCTAAAAATGTTGGCGTATTTTAATTGAAACTTGAATGAAAAATGTCTGAGATATTTTACATTAAATATTAAAAAATAAAAACTAGACGATTCAATACAAGATATTATCTATATACATGAAACAGTCGGTATCAAATCCACTGAGCATGCTTAAAAAAGCACTGCATATTGTTATAAATATTAAAGAAAAATAATTTAATGGGGGGGGGGAATATCAACCCTTCCCCCTGTTTGACCACTCCTGTCGTGATTCGAACTAAAATCCAGGATTGAGGGTTAATTTTTGGGGATTAATTTTAAATGTTATTCGGGGATTTACACTTTTTTCTTCTTGGGAGACGTGGTATAACAAAATACATAAGGTCTTAATTGAAAATAAATTCGGAGAGAGCAATGGTAAGTGAGAACTTGAAGGGGATGGGTAAATTTTCCCTTTGGTGATGGACATATTATTATACATATATTATATTTATATTATCTTCGACGCAATGCCGTGATTGAAAATAATGTTTTTTGCCGTTGATAAGGGGTGCTCACACTAAATTTAATATTTAAAGTAATTTAATTTAACATTAATTTTGTAGTTATTTTTTAATAATGCAAATTTAAATTTCTAATAATATTATTATAATGTTTTTAACGTTAACGTTTAATGAACAGTAATAAAATTATCAGTTTTAAATGTTTAATAGCGGGTTTTTCGTATAAAATGTTTAACGTTTTTAATTAGCTAGTTAAAATTAACTAAAATACAACGTTAGTTTGATATTTAACATTGCACAGTGTTTGCTGGGATACGTACAGAATATTGAAATATTAGCATGCTATGACACGACGCGTATATTTTCATCATTATACCTTACAAATGTATTTAGTACACCTGCTATATTATATTATAATATGTTATGTAAATAACGTATATATTCGGATAAAATAAATAACGCGTATTAATTAATACGTATTTTATGGAAAAACGAGGAGCGCCATTAATAGTTGGAATAATTACCCGACTTTGATAATGATGTGTAAATCAAAATTAATGTTAAAAAAAAAAACCAGAAATTAACATTATACATAAGCTGTCATCGGTGTTTTTGTCAACACCGACTAATAAACACCAGCTACATAACGTTCCTGCACATTGAAATATCATATTGAAAACCGTATAGACATACCCAGGTATATTGATTATATTATAGTTTACGTTTGCTTCAGGCTATAATATACAATACCTTAGCGTACAATAATCACCATAATATCAATTATGAAATGAAAAAAGGAAAGTATCGGTTATTAATAATAAATTTGTGTGCCTTATTTTCATAAATTTTTAACATTAGCACCTAACAGACCATTTGCATAACGTCACGGCAACGTGGAAAAATCTTGTAAATGGATTTTTAAACATTTATGCAGTAGAAGCGCTATACTGTAGCGGATTTAAAAATTTATCAATTTCGAGTTTTTTTCATTTTTTACTACGGAAATTTTGCTACGAAGCCGACGATAATATATTCGATTAAAATCGATATTGCCATCATAATAGAATATTAAATTAGGTACACAAAAACATTTTACCACACGTAAGTAATGAAATAAAAAACGCATAGTTTTTCAATTCTAAGTGTGACGAAGAAGTCATTTTACCTATTTTATAATAGGGAAAAATACATAGCCACATAGGTGTACAATGCAATTTTCCGGCGGTTAAAAATGATCAGATTTTTTCATGCAGAGTTAAAAGTTGCTGAATTTTCTACCAATAGTACTTTTCTTGAAATATTTTTTGAAATTCTCAACAATTCAACCCCTAGATCCTATTTTTGGATTTTGTTCTCAGAAAACGATTTTTAGTTCAGTAGCAATGTTCCCAATCGCTTACATTTTACCGTACTTAAAATATGTGGAATGGGTTTTCATTCGAATAAATTGTGTAAATTTCCGATAGTCTTTTCACAAAATTAAAAAAAAAAAAAAACACTTCTTGTTTTAACATAAAACGTTTTGCCCAACTTAACTTTTACGCCTACGTGTATGCATATATTGTTGAACTATAATGATATCGTACCTTTACAAATATTATCGTGACGTCCGTTTTTTCGATAGTTCTGTAAGTGTAATACGATTGTCGATTTGTATACCTATTAAAACACCGTACGGCGTGTATTCGATCTCCGTATTGCTCTTACGAATAATACGAATCGCATACAAGTTTTGAACAAATTAATTCAAGCGTAATAATTTCAACGAGAGTAGTTTAATCATAGGCATAGAAAGTAATATCGTTTGTCCATTTTGAATACTAAAATGTCGAGAAAAAGTTAATTAATTTAGTACTTATATATTATATTGTAGGCAATTCTGCGTAATATGCACGGCGTTATTAAATGATTTCCTCTCGTCTCGTGTTTGGGCACAGATTATACCTATACGTTTGATGCTTAATTATATATTATGTATACATTTTAGAGAGAGAAAGAGAGATAAATCAAATATGTTTGATTATTTGCATCAGTTTTACCGTTTTGATAACTACAGCACTGCTACATAAAAAAAAAACTTATTAAAATTGCGTAACTTTGTTGCACGGGCATAATGTTTAATGCCATAGATTATACGCGTACACCGTAAATTATAATTTTGTTTTTAACTATATTGATTTTGTTCCAAACAAATGCTCGATAATTATAAATTGATTTTTTTTTTCTCTATATACAGTTACATAAAAACTGTGCATCTTTTCACTTTCACTCGCACGATATTTTGTGAAGTAGTTAAATATATAGGTCTACTGTCAATGACATTCGATACAAAACCGTTAAAACGGCCAAATTATTATTGTAATAAAATTATCGTCATCGTCGTCGTTTCTATATTTTTTCAATTTTAATAATCTGTCGTTAAAACGTTACAATAATAATAATATATTGCGTATATTATTGTGATGCGTACCTTTTATGACAACTCTAAACTTACATGGAGTCCGTGACATTTTTCGTATTTTGTTTTTTTTTCTTTAAATTTTCGGAAACACGGCGCGTCCGGTCATCTAATAATAATAATTTATCGGTAATATATATGTAGGTGTAAGTATTCGTCGTCGTTGTCTTTTTGTTTTGTATTCGAGGACGTCAACAACCCGATTTCCGCACGCACATATTACGAGGCGGTTATCTTCCACATTCAGGGCCGGATTACGGTCATATAGTCTGAGAAGGGGGGGGGGAGCTACAAACTCCCTTCGAACATTTTTTTTTTTTTAAATTCAGATTTATCAATTTGTATATCAATGTACATTTGTTTTCAATATTGACGACAGTTATCATATCATATCGACATAATATTATAATAATAATTCTGATACGAGGTAACCCACTTTAACTAGGAACAGAAAAAAAAGAACCTGGGGTTGAATATCTGAACATTTCGATAAATTCGTTTCAAAAAAAATTCGCGTTTTTTAAAAGGTACGAGATAAAACGAAAACAGGAACAGTTTTACGAACCGAAAAAAAACCACGTCTTCGTAAAACCGTAATAGCTTCTTCGCTATAACATATTATACACTCGGAATGTGAAAGAAAAATAAAAATAAAAACCAACGAAAAATCGCGGTTCCTTGCAGGGCAGCTTCCTAGGGGTTAGGGGGGGGGAGAGAAGGTCCCCTGGCTCTCTCCTCGAAACGGCCGCGTCCACGACGGCCGCGTACGCGACAGTATCGTCATGAAATAGCAAACAGAAAATTCTCCGTAAACCGACGACGGTGTTATATTGTGTCCGGACGACGACGACGGCAATGAACAGCGAATATTACGTCCCGCGTTTTTTTTTTTTTTCAAGGGTAATCGTTTACGTTCCCCGCGGATTTATAGCGTCACACGTTTAACCATTAATAATAAATCCGCGGTATAACGTTCGCGTACACACACGTTAATAATAATACAGTAATAACTATTAGTACGAATACAATTTAAATAATATTATAAATTAACACGTCAATGAATAATAATTCGATCGGAGTTGCCAAACGGAATCATTAGTCGGCGAATAATAAACATACATATATAGATAATAACAATAATATTATTGTTACGGACCGTTTCCGTTTGACACGCACCGCGAATAAAAAAAAACATACTATACACGTTACACATTCGGTATTCCGCAGAATCGTCCGGCGTCACGTCGTATACATAATAGTATACCTACCCATATAGTATATAAATATTAAAAAAGATTAATTGTGTTGTTCCGCATTTGCAGAACGGGCAACAGGAAGTTTGTCTATACCTATAAATACGTATACCCACCGGCTACCGACGAGGATTACTATTAGTCATCCGCGTGTATTATGAACGATCGCCGGTCGCATAATAATATGACCTATCGAAGCATTTTACTCTACACGGCAACCTTTAGATGAAAAAAAAAAAACAAAAATATTCTCGGAAAGATTTGCTCGGGGCGATCGCAACTATACATTCGATGTCTCAATACGATTTCTTGTCGATCGATCTTCGCGAGGTAAACGGATTTTAAAATTCGGTACCGTGACTATATGCGATATAATATTATAATAGCGGGGTACGAGTCACAGTATCGTATTTTATCACGTGAGTAACACTATATAGGTAGTCGTTTATCGCACTTTTCACGGACAGACGTGGATTTTTCCCCGGGAACCGAGACCGACGCAGTCTACTGAAGTATAATACCACGACGTGCGCTTTCAGCGGTTCTCTGCTCTCTGTCGAACGAGCTCGAACTCAGGAATTAACGAGTCGTTTTATAGGCGGATTGAAGTGATAAATGTTGGGTTGTTGAACTTCAGAGCTGTTGGGAGGATGTTTTTTTTAGACTTTAAACACACTCACGGACTGCCTCTCCCGAATTAATCTAAAGGAGTTAATTTATGTTTTCTGTTCGAATTTCAAGTCTTTGCGAATATTTTTAATTGAATGACAACGAAAAATTTGAAAGTAAGACGTTTCGTTTAATTTTCCCGTTTTTCTCAATTATTATGAAAGCCGCTTGGAAAATCAAAAAATGATCTTCTCAAAGTACCACCCAGATAATATTTTTTTCCGAAAGACATGCTAAACTCGAAAATCGGAGCAAGATTTCCGGTAGAAAACTTGTTCAAAAAAAGTAAAAACAACTAAACATCATTGTAAAATTAATACATTCCCCGTTTCACTCATAATCTATAAGTAGAGAAAATCACTATATTTAAACTTAATAATCGATACAATCGTTAAGTAGGTGTACAAACATATTTTCGATTCAATTGTATTTATTAAGCGTCCAGTGTTTACACATATATAGTCGCACTACTTTATTGTTTTTGCACTTTCTGTCTGTGGACGCTCTTGGAAGCAAATATAGCGGTAACTTATGGTAAAACGTTCTTGTGGTATTTTTTATTATTATTATTTATTTATTTATCGATCCGATATTTTTTTTAAATAACCATACTTCGCAACGTTGTCATCTATGTGCGTATTATAATAATTTTGTACATGTTTAAAATTGATTTTAAAGGTTTTCCGGATTCATATGTTTTACGCGAACGCATTTTTACCTACATTGTCCGTCAGGAAGACAGAAACGTCAAATGCCACTGTTATAATTACGGTATAATTCAGGTTTAGGTGCGTATATTGAATAGGACGTTTTACGAAGCACGGCGGTTTCGCATACGCGTCCTTCCTACTTTGACCGCGTATAATATATATTATAATAGTTATTTCGTAATTTTATTAAGGCTCGGGTTTCAAAAGTTGTTTTATTTGCATATTTTTTTTCTATGCTGTTTTATGGGAAAAAATCTCGTAAAAAGCTATAAAGGTTACCAAAATAAATGGTTGCCATTGAGTTTTAAATTACCTGGTACCTAATATTGTCATAATCAGCGTTTATTATTCATTACGAATCCGTTATAAAGATATTGCGAAAAAAATGAAAATTTATATAATAATATTACAGTGCGTATCGGTTTATGTAAAGAGAATTTTCTCGTTTTTAAAGCATAAATATTTTACGTTTTTCCAAAACATATTCTGATTGATAAGAATACATTTTGAAATTTACAAAAAAATGAAGTAATGGGAATTTGAAATGTAAAATGTTTTTAAAAAGACGATCTTCGCATCGATATCGTTTTTTATTGTTGTGAATAAAAGCCGATCAAAATTCATCGCGAATTCTCAATTTTAGAATGATATTTAACACAAAATTATCCCAACGTCAGTGGCGTAGCCTTCAATAGAAGAATGCCAAAATAAATAACGTATAAACCCAAAATTAAACGCGTATTACCTTTATTTAAAAAGATACGTCATATACTTAGTTTGTCAATAAAATATGATAACAAATCGCATACACCATTATAAAGTAACGTAGAACACATGAAACGATAATAATAGTATGGAACAAAAGTGTAGAAAAAAAAAAAAAAACGACTGCCAATATGTACGGGCCATGGCTCCCGTGGCCACTGCCCTCCCTCCCACCGACAGCGCCACTGACCGACCTTATACTCACCTATATCTCGGTCCTCGGACACATAAGAAACGAAAATAAAATAAAACGTCTGAGGTAATACAAAAGTTATTAATAAAATGATATTTAAGTGCCTATTCGAGAAAATGTTTTATTGACTTTCTTGCGTTTTTATAAATACACGTATACATCTAATCCTAATCGTTTTCCGTTAGGAAATATTTCAATCGACATTAAATTTTAGTGCTACAACACAGTAGATAGCGCGATGACAACATCGGTTATTATAGGCTAACAATATTCGATTGCATAATGTTAACGATATAATCTCCAAACAATATTATAATAATGCACTTGCTCCCGCAGCAAACTTTTCTCCTAAAATATCATAGTCGCTTAAATGTCGGTATATTTATTACCTATATGTATATATATATACTTTTGTTTAAAGCTATTATAGAACGGTTGATATTTTACCGAGAAGTTATAGATATCGATCGTATAATTTTATAATAATTTCACAACAAACGCACACAATCGCCGATCAATTATTTAAAACACATAAATGAATTTCGATCTTTGCTCAAGGATACCCACACGCCGTTGTCGTATATGTACGTAAACAATAATAAATATTAACTAAATAATATTAAAGACCTTATGCGTGGTATATGAAATACAAATAAATGATTAAAAAAAAAAAAAAAAAATTCATACGTTGTAATAATCGATTAGTCAAAAATTTAAGTACCTATTTACATAGAAGAGGAAGTGTTATGTATGCGCGATGCGTACTGAGCCGAAAAATCCGAAACGTTCGAACGTCGGCAACGGACGGACTGCGGGGTTTCCGAAAAGACCCCGAAACAGGATTTTTAAACTTCGATTTCTACGCGGCCGGTGTTCCGACTTCCCGACTTTTTTCGCTTTTTATTTTCCGTTCGTTTCTGGTTTCGAATTTCTCGACTAGAAAGTATATTGCGATGAGACGCCGTCGTTATAATGCGTTGTTATTATTATTGTTGGTGGTATTTAATTCGGTCGTCACGGCGATATTATAATACACGTACGGGGAAATTTCACCCGAATTTACAGGTACAGGCGCAAACGCGTGAATTATGATCTAGAAAAGAACTATCGTGGTGGTATAATGGTAAGGCATCATGCGGGGAACACAGTTTAATTTTCGTTTTTTATAACCTAACCCAACCCTAAGCACCGGTCTAGCGGCTATATAAAAAAATATCTTATAGGAATTTATTACTACGGTTTATACCTGTAATAAGTACAACACAAGAACATCGCGCAAAAGTATAATAAAATTATAATATATCTGCCCACCCTCGGAGAGGTTATTTCCAATCACGCCGTTGAACTGCGCGTATATTATGAACGAGACGTCTGCAGATGGGTTTTATTATTATTATTATTTTTTTTTTTCTTTTAATAATAAACAGCGGAAATTTGCATGCCGCACAAACCAGTTTGCTGAACATTGTATTGTGTTATTATTATATAGCGAATTTGCGACCAGGAAACGAAAATTCAGGGTATTTTCTAAATACTCTCAAGCCTGTATACACCGACTCAATGGCAATGACAACAGACGACGACATAATGTAAATTAATTTCGGTAAGTAAATGGTAGATTTTATTTTCGTACCGACGACCTATACCTGCCTACGTGTATTCAAGTATTTGTGTACTGCAGTGTACCATTTTACAACGAAGGTCAGTTAGCTCGATTAATATAGAATATTTCGTGTGGTCATCCGTGCGAATGTAATACCTCGTAATATATTATGGTTTATAATAATTGCTGACAAATTGGTTAATAATTTCGGTAGGTCGTCTTAAATATTTTAGATGTTGAATGTAACGAAGGAGGGTATTTGTTTTAATATGATGGGTTTTTTGTCCCCTCGGAAAACACTTTTCCGGCTAATAAAAAGACTCCGGTTTTTTCACGTTTATACCTTAAATGACGAGAACTTTCTGCCCAGTGGTACTTACATGAAAAAATTGTTTAAATGCTTAACAGTTTTACTAAAAAAAAAATTAAACTATAACGATAAATGTCGCGATATATTGATTTTACTTTCGTTGATTTCTTGATTACCTTGGCTATACACGGGGAGAAAAACGATTCATACTATATAACAGACTATATTATAACCAGTATTCTGTAATATAATATAATCTTACCAGTTTACCGAGCTCCACTCATCAGAATTGTTTTTTGATTATAATGGTTTAACGTTTCGTTTTCAGTGTAGATACGTGACCATATTGTAGGTATATCACTCACAAAAAATATAATATTTATTATTGTTGGTAGAAAAAATAAATTGCCAAAAAAAAAAAAAATATGTTTATCGAAAATCTTTAAGAAAATAAAAGGTTACTGCCGATGGGATTTGCCACCGGAGGGGAGTTGGAAATGTTTGATTGAAGTACTGTTTCTGGTAGAAAAGTTGTTTACAGACACACACACACACACACACACACACACACACAAATACTCATCATAGAAAACCAATACATACTTCACCTCAGATTTTTAAACGACCATAATATTATGAATATTTGATCACTTTCTTGTCAACATAATACCGTAACAAATAATAAACGACCATCGGATTTTATTACAATTATGTATTTGAGAATTCAGTGCGCATATTACAATACCGAAGAAATAACTGTTTTTGATCTCCTACGCGTCTTTTTTCGATCGTCTTTCTCCGTCTTCTAAATGCATTAAACACGCATATATTGTAAACAACATTAATTATCGAAAAGCTTTAAAACATTTTCTTCTCGATTATCCCTCGCGTCTCTCCCTTTCCGAACACGTTTAGCTGTACCTACCAAAGATTTAAACAATTTTATTGTTACATGTGATACGTCATTATATATTATTTCGATATGATTGTCTGAACCATTTTCCAAATATTTAATCGAACGAACCGAGCATATTATTATTGATTTTGATTGATTTGATTAGCACATCATTAATAATAATGCAAACAATTGCACAACTATTAAAAATTATTAACAACTCCTAAATATGACGAAAAAAATGTTTGGTGAATATTGTTTTATTTGGTGACTGTATATATTTTAGTCGATTTAGGCCTAAAAACCAGACGAAAATGTATTAATTGTGTTTGACGGATTATGATTTTTGGAATTCAAATATTTTAGAGGAAATCGTAAAAAAATACGATTTGGTTTTTCAAATATGTATTTAAAGTGTTTTACCTTTAACTTGTTGTGCTGAAGATAACACAAATTTAGAAATAAAATAATTCCAATGCGTTCTAATATAAAAAAAAACTAAAAAGACATGTCGAGTTTTCGAAATTGAAATCTGTTAAACGCAGGTAATATAGCATATTATATGCTTTACAGTGTTGTTCGGTTTTTTTTTTGCCTAAAACGTCATATCCACGTCCTTCCCCTTAAATCAGACAGTGAATAATCATCTACAAGTCTTATAATTTAAGGCGGCCGATAAAATGTAAACAAAAAAAAAAAAACCGTTCGAATTTTTACTAAATCTGATAAAACGTCACCAGTCTCCTTATAATATTATGACATTTGCGTTTTAATCTAATGGAAACTGTGTGGGGCGCGCAGTCGTCGTCATCGCCGCGAGTTTATTGAGTTTGTAAACAACACCGGGAGAAACCGTTTTGGCCGTAAACGTTTTTCATTTCGCGCACGGCGGCACAAAACTCGTCGCGGGCGTCGACGACGTGCCGTGTGGTCGGACACATTATTACCGTGCGGCGACGTCACGACTATGACGGAGGAGATTGGAAACGCGGTCCGGTTACGATTGTCGTACGTCACCGTGTTGGACGTCCGCGCGTTCGGCACCGTTCACCGGACGGTGTTGTTGGACGGCCGCGGTCGACCGGGCCGCACGGTGACCGCCAAACGGATCCGGTCGTCACGCGACGGCGGCAGACACGAACCGGTCGTGCACAAACGACTCCGGCACCCCAACGTCGTCCGGCTGATGTTCTATTTTTATTCCGGTAACCAATGCCAAAACGGAATGCAATTTTTTCGTCGAATTCTCCCCGAAAATAGAGACTAGGTCCGTTGTTTTTCCCGGTACGTTTGGACATTTTTAGCGGCTCCCTCTGGACGAAAAGAGTTCGGGATTAGAGTTTTTTTTTTTTTTTTATATATATATATATATAGGCGATTTTAGGATAATTTTTTATCTTGGACGATTAGAGGGGGACGAGAGCAGACGCGGTTAATGGGTGTCGAGTAAATACAAAATCATGCACTAATTCAGATCGATAATTATAAAAATTAAAACATTAAATATTTATGTAATTTGTAACCGCAACAACTTGGCTGGGGGAAAATTCGAATCCAGTGACGGAGCTCTGCTGTTCACTTTTTTTTTTTTTTTGCTCATAAACGTTCAACAGACATACTTCGTGTGTGCGAATAAAATTAATGATAACGAAAACGACTTGCTTAGGATATTTGGGCCCAATGAAGAATAACGCAGCATCTGGAATAATATAATATAGTATGATGGACGACTAGTGGATAATTTATTCGGATAGTCGTGAAATTGTAGGGAAAACCGGCGTGCGCTCCGGCGACAGCAAACCGCGGTGCGCGCGGCAAGCACGAACGGAAAAACCGACGAGCGATGGCGTTTTTGTAAATCCCGTCTGAAGACGTAATATTACAATCGAGATGAGTAATACCGTCACGAACACCGTGTACACTGCAGTAAATATCAATGGTCTTTTTGTCGGCGTGTTTACGAAAACCGGTAGTCGTAAAAGTAATATTGAAATTTAAAAAAAAAATTTGAATATCCATTTCGAATTTCAATTATTTCCGTGCTATTAGACCGATTGTTGTAACCAATTCCGACGGAAAAATACAAGAAAAGCTCAATAGCTCAAGGTGTTTTATCGCCGTACTTCCGTAAATATTTCACTTTGTGTGGGTGGGGGGGAAACTCGCGATATTCTGTCCTGTAGGTATGTGAATACTAGGAATGCAGCAATTTTCCAAGCCGAGAGATCTGCGTAAATTATACGCGGCGTGCAATAAATTTAAAATCAAATTACATCGCATATGCGTGCATATGAGTGTCTACGGAATAATTAATTTCGCGGTATTTGAGGAGAAATCGCTTATAACATTAGTTTTACGGTTTTTCCCAATTATTATGATAAACGCTCAAAACGCCAAAATATAACCTCTCCAGTGCATTGATTCAATCCAACACATAACAAGGTTTAAACGCGATTTCCGGTAGAACAGAAGTTACCGGTGAAACGAAAAAAAAAAAAGACGGACACACACGTGGGTGCAGCCACTGCTGTAGGTGGAAAGTTGGGAAGGTAGGATACAAATGGGAATTTAATGTACATCTGTGAGCAACGATTAACCATTGCCAACGAAAAACCGATTTTGAGCAGAGTTCAGTTGATAAGTGTTGTTTTGTCAACAATATATATATAGGACATATTACGGTAAAACGATTTCAACAATGTGCGTTTCTATGACAACAATGATTGTTTAAAAAAGATTTAAATCTTAAAATAATAAAAACTTAATATAATAACAAAAAATAAATAGAAACTGTTGCCAATGACAACCTTATTTTTGGTCTTTCAATCTTTTTAATCCTAAAGAACCAGGTTTTCCTCGTTATCTCGAATATTAATGATAATTTCAAAAAAATGACCTCTTTGAAGTATCATCCAGAGAACATTTTCTTTCGGAAAAGGTGCTATACTTGATAATCAGAGTAATCTTTTTGGTAAAAAAAGTGTTCACATAAAATTAAATTTTTTTAATAAACATCATTTTAAAACCAATACGTTCGCTCCATTCAGAATCTAAAATCGATTATAATATCCGTGACGATATTTTATACGAGCAATCAATCGCGGTACAATACGGCGCTTACCTCTGTATTATGCGTTTACATCGTTCCGGGGACGCGGTCTGTCGACATTAGGTTATGTTTTTTGGGCGAACATAATAAACGGAAAACGGGAAAACGTTCGAAAAAACGACTTGATGATTTTGTAGATTAATAATTTACGTAATATTTTATCGGCGTCGACGATCGTCGAACGGTTCGAACTGCACAATGGTCGGCGATCAAATAAACAACCATCGCACACGGGTTACCTATGGTCAGGTTAGGTTAGGCCGTGTTTTCGGTACGGACGTGTTACAAAAGGCCTACCTATTAATTTCTTTATAACCCGTATCTAGGTATATACTATATAATATGCCGTCAACTATACAGAGTGTAACAGGACTGTTTGACATTTTTGTATTGTAGTTATGTGTGCAATTGTCAAACGTCCAGTTACACCCTGTATAGTTAGATACCATGCACGGCTTAATGGCATAATACAACTGGACCTCGAGGCGTTTCAAATATTACGCGATTAAATCGTTAAACAGTTTATAATATTATATTATACACTCACCTGGAATTAACGTCCGATTCTAAAATCGTTTTTCTCGGACAAATCGCGAGGTAAGAATTCCAAAATGGTCGGTACAAATTAAGGGGTACAATATTAATGTTGACAGTTTTTTTTTTTTTTTAGAATTAGAAAGTGTACGGGGTTATACGGATGCCCGGAAAACTTATCCGTCTGATCCAATACGATAGTATATTATACTAAGCGGGTATACTTGCAGCAGTAATATTACCTGCGGAGCTTATCGTATACTGTATGATACACATGTTTAAAGGGGGGGAGATCAGAAAGATATAGCTCCCCACTCGACATTTTTTTTTTTTCGGTAGCTATTATTTATACGAATGTCTATTTTTCAAATTCGAATTTCTTTGTTTTTTAGTCAGAAAAATCAAAAATGAATAACCTAACCGAGTTAATAAAACAAAAAAAAAAACAAACAAACAAAACCTGAACTATAGGTAAATTTCCGTAAATTTAAACATAAAGGTGTTTTAGGAATACGGTTCTTCTTCTCCGCATTCTTAGAACTATATAACCAAAACAAATAACAATAATGACTACAATATTGACACATTAACGCATGTTAATTCGTTAGGGCGGATTGAATTATAAAATACTAAGTACAAATTATACACAATATTTATCTATGTAACAAAACATTTCAAAATTCGATATCGCCCTCCTTGGTGAAATCCTAAATATGTAATACGTAAATTCCGTGCGATACGGACCGGATTAATGACTCGCTATAACCCGTTGTAGTATCGTCGTTATTGTAGTAGTGCGGGTCACCGTCGGTGTAATATCCGCACAGATAAAAAACGAAAATGCGATATAATCGCGGGGATACCTATACCTTCACCGATAGCCGTCACTCGAGGTTTGTTGTTACACGGCTATCAATATTTAGTCGAACGTATTGGTACCTAATTATTAGCCGGATATCGCTAGAGCGCGCGTGTTTATTATGATTATCACTGTATTATTATTATTGTTGTTGTTGTTGTTATTATTACTATCATATTATATTATTATTAAACGTTGTCGTATAATATAATATGTCTGTATACCGTCAAGGGCGATCTCCCGTGGGTCTCGAGAATATTATTTAAGTATATATATATATTATTAACGACAATAATAATAAAATTGCTTCGAACGTGATTAATGCGTTTGGTTTCGATTTTGATAAAAAAAAAAAAAAACCTAGGTAGGTATAGCTGGTATACGGACGAAGTGTCGGTCGATGATTTTTTACAATATCAAATGCTATTTAAACACCGCGTTAAACAATAGTTAACCGACAATAATATTCGCACTAAATACCGGCATTGTTGTTGTCGAGTTTGTTTTTTATCTTGGAATTTTTTTTTTGTATTTAAATATCGTTATAATTGATCACTATGTCGCGCCGTCCTATGTCGAGGCTTAAAGAACAAAACATTTTTTTTTTTACTTAAATGTGTAGGATTTACAATATACTAGTGGGCCTGTGCGAATATACTTCGCGTTTTAAAAACGATTTAAACAACAAGAGTTATAGAGAAAAAAGACTGACATACTTCACACGTAGGTGGGTGACTGTTGTAGGCCAGAAGTTGGGAAGGTATAGTAGAAGGGAACGATTTAACGATATTAATTGATTACAGAGAATGAAAAAGGAGTTTTACCAAACAAACACATTCGAGAAAAAATAAATAAAATATTACTGATACAAGGTACAAAGTATGTAAAACCTTTGAAATGTATGGCCGTTTTTCAAACTTATGAATCCCGAAAGGTTTCCACAAAAATTAACCTCTCCCTTTACCATCAATGCACGTTTCCACCAAAAGATTCATTAATTGATTCCCGCAAAAAAAAATGTCTATACCACTTTACAGATAAAAGGGCTGTCATTTCGGTTGTTGTATTCGAAGTATAGGACATCAGGTTCATTCGCCGATTTATAATTTAGTAACACAATTATTATGAATACCTTCGTCTAAGTTAATAATTCTAAAGAAAAAAGTTAGAAATACAATATTATAAGAAAGACTGGAATCACTTTTATCATTTTAATGTGTTTAACAAGAAAGTTTAGGTAATTAATACATAGAAAGGTATTTGTAAATGTATTAAATACACGAATTTGTGTTTTTGTTAAAGTTTCAATCTTCTTTTTTTTTTTTAATGATTTAATGATGATTTATTTTATGAAAATTTAAAAGCTAAAAAAGAGCTGATATTGTGGATAGGAGCAGCCACTGTTGTAGGTGAGAAGTTGGGAAGGTAGGAGACATAAGGTTATTTTATTTATATCTGTAAGCAATGATAAATCATTGCTTCACGAAAGACGATTCCGAGGGCAGTTCGGTAATACAAAATTTGAAGTGCCGTAATTTTTTTCACTATTTTCGTTTAAATTTGATTTCAAATCGCTTATTAAAAAAAAATTCAATACAAATATAGTCTCTTGTCGGTTTTCAATTAGAGCCATATTTGTGCTAGAAAATGTAGTAGGTACTTATTTAAAATAACGAAATCGTGAAAAAAAACCTTTTTCCTGTTAATCGTTTTTATTTTAAATACCATTTTGAAAATCAAAAAATGACCTATGTATCTACCAAGTAGAGAAAATTGACTTTCAGAAAAGATGCTACACTTATACATCGGAGTAAGTTTTCTAGGATAAAAGTGGTCTACAGTATAAACAAAATAAAATAAAGTACTACTGTAAAAAAATTAAAAAAAGAAAAAAAAACTCGTCTGATGACTTTTGAAATTTTACCATTTCTAGTTAAGTCCGATATAAGTATTGTTACCAAGTTTCAAGTTTCTATGTGTATTTATAACCGATGTACAGTGAAATAATTCCTAAAAATTAAAATTCTATAAAGGCTCAAAAGTGACTCAAAAGTTTTGGTAATGACGCCATAAGAAATTAAATCAAAAAGGTAATAAAAAAGGTATCTAGTGATTTTTCGATTAAATCATTTTTTCTGGTAGAAAACGTCGTCCGTGTTTTTATAAAATAATGAAATCGTGAAATTGTACGTTTTCCTTCGTTTTTTTTCCCATATAAATGATTTTATTTAGAAAAATGGCGTCACAAATCAAAAAATAACTTTTTTTAAAGTACAATCTAGACAACTTGAGCTTTCAAAAAAAGTTGTTACACTTAAAAATCGGAGCAAGTGTACTAGGAAAAAACGTGTCCACAGTCTAGAACAAAGAACAAAGAAATAAACAACATTTTAAAACCAATAGCTCCCTCGCTAAGTTCGGAATCTAAAATGTATACTCTTTAAAACAAAAAGTATCTACTGAGATAAATTATAGTGTGGGCTGCACCTGATTAAGAACTCTGCACACGCCAATGTAGTAAAAATGAACGTTTAACCTCCTGCTCTGACACACATTCGGAATAATAATAATTGGATAAAAAAAAAACAAATTTTAATCGATAAACAACAGTATTATAATTATTTATAACTTAATATAAATAATGGTCGTTTTAATCATGATGCATAATTATATTATCTAGGTGCCTATCGACCTACGTCTATTTGTACCTCTACAAATCGAATTAAGAGAAGAAAAAAAAACCGAATAATAATAATTACAATATTAGGTTACAATGTTTCATAATGTTATTTCTGCTTCAATCGTGTCGAATTTGAAATTCTCGTTTGACAACAACATATGGTTTTGTCAGATGTCAAATTAAATCACAGAATACATAATTATCCGTAACATTACAGTATTATACGTACGAATCGAAATAATTATGTCTAGTTAATTTTACGTTTAGGTAATCGGCCGTATAGGCAGGTATTTAGACCTAGTTTGTAATGTTTAACCGGTTGACGAGAGGAGTTTGCAGGAAAAATTGAATAATAATAATAATAATATTCGGTGTTTGTATAGTTATGTCACAATCGTAAGAAAAAAAAACCAATCGCACAATATTCTACCACACGATACAGATTATAACAAAACAGACAAAAACATGATTGATGGTTTTGGACTGCCTAAGTGATAATTAAAAATATCTTTTTAGTACAACTTTTCCTTTATACATTATATTCATTATGAATGAACATTCGATTTATAAAATCATTATTGTGCAATAAATCTACGAGTATATAACTATAACAGACGATTGATATACCTAAAGATAGACTTTTTTATTGCTTAGACGTAAAAAAAAAAATCCCATAAACTATTAAATAATTACAGTAAATGTGGGCATGTTGAGGCCATTCTATAAGTGTAAATACAATATAAAAGGTGTATTGGCTATTTTTTTTTATCGTTATAAAATTCGTTTAAACGCATAATATAAGTTTAGCTTTGTACCAATGTACATACGGAGCGTGGAAACATATGGATATGAAATATAATGGATCATAAAATGGTAGGTACCGAAAAAAAAATTAGAAACTTTTGTGATGTGATCCGGATTGCTACATGGAGGCGTATGGAAAAGTCGAAATGATGAGTTAAAAAAAGAGCAGGAAACTAAATTGAAAGGTACTAGGAGTTGTTAACCTCAAACATATAGGTTACGTATGAGTGTAGGGGCGGATCCAGGACAAAATAACGGGGGAGGAGGGCGATTTTTAAAATGCATATAATTCACGAATTTGTTATGAGTTCAACGATGAATTAAGCTAATAGTATAATGGAGAGTGGACGGGGAGGCGTTGATTGTCTCTATGGCTCCTCTTAGATCCGCCACTTATCTAATAGGTGCGATTAAAGCAAGACGTTGGTAAATTATTGGACATACTCTAAAGCACCCTCAAAAGATCTGCACAGTGTAATAATAATGAGGGTATATGATTTAAGGGGCTCTCATATATAAGACAAATATTAAAAACGGTACAAGGACCAAACTTAAAAAAAAAAACTAAGAGATTAGACGATCATTTAGATTATAGAGAATTTAAGTTATAGGCCACCTACGGATTAAAAAATAACCAATACATTAACCGGCATCAAAGGTAGGTATATAATGCAGACTTCTGTGAGTAAAAAGAAACTATTAATCAATTACATGGTGGTCAACAAATTGTGATACAACAAAATGCAAACTCGTTAATTACAAGCCTAGATCACGGGGAAATGAAAATGAAATGAATCTCAGATTACGCAGCAAGAGAAAATGTCTCTGAAAATCTGGTTTTTTTTTTTTATTAGTCCTTAAACTATACATTAAAGATTGTGTGTTTTAAAAAAGAGATTATCCGTTTTCGAGATTAAATAATTACACTATTATTATTGTATTCAACGCGAGGTCAACTACATCTTCAAACGGTTTTATGTATATATATTTTTTGAAATAATCATAAATTATGTTCGTTATTTTAGCAGTCCGCTTAAATTCCCAATATACACAGTAATAATGCGTCGGACCTTGTGTACGTCACCGCGCGCGCATTTCTCACAAATTTCCTTTTTTTGTTTTGTTTTGTTTTTTCCCCTGCGGAGGGTTCTTTCAACACGCACACGTCTTGAGAAAAACCACGTTCGTGTGTGAATATGAGGCGTTTCTGCAGCGGAGCGCACGTGCGATGCCGTGTGATCGTGTGTGCGATTCTTTAGGGTCATCGCAGTAAGAATAATGAATATTATAGTAAACACACGGCACTCGGTGGCAACGATTCATTCCGGTTTTTGGTTCACGGTTGCTGAACATTGAGGACAGAAAACGACTACACGTATCTACGGTTGCGTATCAAAAGTAACATAACAGTGCGCGATGGTTAAAAAGAGAGAAAAAATATTATATTATGTGCATAATGTATTATAATAATAATAATAATAATAATAATAATAATAATGATAAATAAAATAGACACAAGGCTGCGGCGGTGTAGGTACCTAACTATATATAATATCATACTTCTATCTGATGACCCCCTAACGTAACTTTTAATAAATAAATAATAAAACTGAAAAAAAAAATAAAAATACAATTTATGTACCCACAATGGAACACAAGGTTTTGGTAGTTATTATCAGTATAATTGTTGCGTTTATTTTCGTAAAAAATTAGGTTAGCTATTTTAGATAAAAAGTTTCATTTAACCGTCAATCCTCAAACGTGTATAGGAGGTAATTGCGGTAATTTTAATGTCGCCGCGTACAAAATGCGTGTATAGGTAAATTATTGAATCTCGAAGAGACACGACGATGGACAACAGTATACGCACTATAAGGAGAATGTAATTACATTGCCGGTACGATAGGTAGTTTTGTTATAATATATTGTAAAAATAAGGTCGATTTGGATATTATAATAATATAAATTATACGGAATCATACGCGTAAATAATCGATCAAGTCTATAAAGGGGCTCTAAGCTCTTCGCGTTTCACGCTAATTCATTTGCGTTTAAAATTTAATTTATTATGTGGGTATTTGGAACATTTTATATAAAACAAAAATTACGTTCACGATTCCTATAATACAGGGCGATAACGACAGATACTCATAATCTCGGAAAGTGCTAACTTTTTTCGGAATCCGTTTTTATGAACATTAAAAAAATAAGCACCTCTAAAATGGTACGTAAATGTTATTTTTATTAGTCCAAATTTTAGGGGGTGATCTCACCACCAAATTTTGATTTTCAAATAGCAACCTATATCAAAAATAGACGAACTTTTAGTTTAAATAAATTTTGGTGTTTGTATTTTTAATTTTCGTAATTTCGTTGAAGGTTTATTTTATTTTTGAGTTGTCGGTATAGAAGAAGAGCAGTGGAGCACTATTCAAACGTCATGTGCTACGCTACTACATAAAAATTACGCTCCACTACTCTCCTCCTATCTGCAGGGTCGTCCTTAGGGGGGTGGGCATGGCTAAGGCGCTTAGCCTCGTGGTATTTACTTAGATTTAGAGTCCCGTGTTGGGAAAAAAAGTACGGATTATAATTATAATAAAATATGAAAATATTTAAAATTTCGCTCTGGGCTTCAAAAATCCTAAGGACGTACCTGTCTACTATCCATAACTTAAAAGTGTAATATTTTGACAACGAATTGAAATAAATCAAAAATGTTACTCTATTTCATTTTTAGTTTAGGTTGCTATTTAAAAGTCAAAAGCGGTTAGTCGTTTCACCCCCGAAAATAAGGAGAACAGAAAATAACGATCGTGTACAATTTTAGAGCTCTTTGTTTCTTAAATGTTCCAAAAATCAAATTCCGAAAACAGTTAATACTTTCCTTTTTAACGATTGTCTTACGATGTATTTATTACCCTGTATAAAGAACATTGGAGTTTCTTGACTCAGTTCTAATTAAACAATAAGTACACATTTATTCATTGTCATTATAACAATTAATCTGACGGTTGATACAATAAAAAATCAAGGTACGCGTTACACAAACATTTGACCATTTTTTTTTTAGATTCTGAATGTGCGACGAAGAATTAGCAATTGCATTTTAGTTAAAACTAGCTATATAAAATACAAGTGTTCTTGAAATATATTTTTTCGGTTAGTGAAAACGCTTCTATTTTTTCTCGGCGTATCATTAAACATGTGGAATCTTCGCCCGGTGGTATTTTATTTAAAATCGTTGTCTAGATCCCACTATTACAGACCAGTATCGTATCAGGGAACTTTTTCCACTGATCAGTAGTACAGTGTACTGTATTTAAAACAATAATTTAAGATTTCCTGAAATTAGCCCCCCCCCCTCTTAGATAAACCACCTTTCCAGTCGGCTTTTTGAAATTAAATTAACGATTCGATTGTAATAAGTAGATAATAAATAATAACTAAAGCTGTGCAAACGCATCTTTTTTTTTAGCTTAACTTATTATAACTTACATGATATAGCTTTCTTAGGAAAACGTTCGAATTATGTAAAAATCAACTTACTTTTGAAACGTGGATATTGTTTCTTTTGAGATTTTCAACTATATACGTATTTTTTACCATATAGTATATTATATCATTTTTATTTTAAAAATTGTTCATATGAATTTAATAAATAGTATCAGTTTATTTTCAAAATATTGCAGTTAACTGTGTTTCAGAGGTTTTTTGGACAATTTTAAATAATACATTAGGTATTACATTATTCGTTCTAAAGTTAACATTTCTAAAAATGTTGATATGCGTAAGACCGTTTATTTACCGTTTATGAGTTATAACAGTTTAAAGTTTAGACTGGTGGAGTAAAGAAGGGCAATAATTAATAAATTGTCTATCTATTATCCATATGGCTTTAAAATAAAACTTAAACGATTCCTTAATAATTAAAAAAAAAACAGAAATCAAATTCACTTAAAAAACTCCGAGGTAATTGCTGGTTCATGATAAAAAAAATCACTCTGTATATTATACTGTTACCACTATTGTACGATTTTACAACTAGATTCTGTTTATTAATTCGAGTTCATTATTTGTAAATGTACCTATACTATAATATAAAATTTAATGTGTGAAACAAGTACCTATATTATATTAAGTTCATTAAACCGCTTGTACGTAATGTTATGTAACAACATTAGCATAATAATCTAATATTCACGTGGCGGAAGCGTCGATTTTTGCACACGAATTTCTCGGAAATTTAAACTTGGCAACAATAACTTTTTTTTTTGGGATTTAGTGTTGACATTTGTATTCCCTTATATAGATTTTTTCCGTTGACAATTTATTAAGGTTCATGTTTTAACGGCGACTTCGGACTTACTATAGTATACACACTAGCAGAGTGCTTCAAATTCAATTTTAAAAAAATATGTTGGGGCACCTGATTGATTCATTAGGTTTTAAACATCATATTAATACCCATACAAACATATTGTTTTTAATTTACGGTAATTATATAAGTTGGTTTTTGTCAACGCGACTATAATAATCATCGTCAGAATAAACTGACAAGGTGCTATCACCGTAACAAATTAAATACCTATATCAAAATTATTTTGTTCGAGTATTTGCTCAAACTAGGCTCCCGATTACTCGAATGATTTTAAATTGTAAACTGTGGATTGTTATCAGTGAAACGTATCGAGTTTTAGTTTAATCGAAATATATTAAATGGACCATAATAATAATAACAATAACAATAGTAATAATAATATTGTTTTTAAGTTATGTTAGCCTAGAACGGCTATAACAATAATAAATGGTCATAAATATCTACCTACTAAACAATATTGCGTCCTACGAATGAAATTAGATGGAATCACGTATTTACCTATAGTATTGCGTCCTCCCGGATTAATCTAACCGACCGATCGTTGCAAGTCATGTACCTATGCGGAAACATATTGTGTATATATATTTTTTTTTTTTCTTATAATGTTAATTATTTACACCTACGCGTGCCAATTATTCGAGTCTTCGGCATTCCCCGATACAATCTCGCAACGTGCCGCGTATATATAGTCGCTATTAGGTCTATTATATATTATAAAATGCATATATTTGTCGACCTTTTTTTAATTACGTGTAAACGCTTTTGACGTACGAGTTTTGAAGAAAAAACTCGCGGTATTATAGCGTGTAGAACAAAATTGCATTTCATATTGGCTAGTGAAATAATATTATATTCACGGGAGTGTTTGCTATTGTAGTAACTATCGAGAAATTCGCCAGCGTAAACCGATTTTAATTTTCCCTGAAAACGTAAATCGGAGAACTTTTCCAAAATTCGTCAGATTTAACCGATTTGAATTTGTGATTAACGCTGTTTAGTTTTTTTTCGACTCATTGGATACAGGGATACCGGACAATAGCAGTGTTTCGAATCGGTTTGCGCTGGCGAATTTATTATAGTGGTAAATCGTCAACCGTTACGATGAAATCAGTCGTCAATTCGAAAACAAAAAAATTAACTCCTATAGACTATATTTGAATATTATGAACGGCAAGCACACCGGATAACAGGTTATACAGCTTTTAAATATATAATTATTTGTTTTAGCATTCCGGACAATACTTGTATTTGATATTACATAATAATATTATAATATATGTATTTCCGACAAACGTGACCGATAATATGCCGTCCGTTGAAAACATATCCGAGACCGCGAAAATAAAAACGCAGACGCGTTAAAATATATTGAGGACAATTCTATTATAATACAAATATACCTACTCTTATATCTATCGCAATTCGTTTATTTTCAGTAATTTTTACCATGTCCATTATTCTATTTTTATTGATTTCCAATAAAATAACACAGTTATATATAAAACAAATAATAATTAGTAATTACCCATATATATCTGAATGCACAACCTTGACAGCTTGTATAAACACATTTTTAACATACTTTTCGCAATAATGTATTTTAAATACAATACACGCAGTTCATTAATTATTATTGAATTATAATTTATATATATATATGTATAAATCAATAACCGTTAATTTCAATGAATGTAAATGTCGAATAGCGGGTTATAGGAATGTAAATGGAGTTCAGTATCACGATGCGGAAAAGATACGATGCCTCGTGTCAGAATCTTAGAAGTATAATTATTAGTTTCCTAGAGGTACATAACAATTATTTTAAAATAATTATACAAAGTGACGAGGTGCAATAGTAAAATAGAAAAGTTATATTCATTACTATAAAAAATTAAAGAGATAAACTTTAAATACTAAAGGTATCTCAACTAAAATGTAATATTTTATTTTATTTATTGTATTACTATAAATTACAAAAAAAAAAAAAAACTGAATGTTTTCTTTGGATAGTGAAAAAAGTACTATAATTATTCTATTTGCGTAGCTATACATTTTGCAATGATATGCAAAATGTATTCATGACTATTTTGTTACCCAATAACCTATATTAATTATTATTATCATTGAAAAAAACCGTTAATTCATTATAAATGTTATTACTATTATAAATATTTAACAATATTATAATACTTAATATAATGAAGAGGAAAAAAAATAGTTTTGCAACATAGAACTAAACCCGATAAGTCAATAAGTTCGTTAATTAATCAAATTATTTGTCTTGCAACATTATGGAATTCAATCAGATTTTTCAAAAAGTTATTTAATTAATTTCACAAAAACTGTGTCTTAAAATATTGATAATATACATAGATCCTTTCTAAAGAGAGGTGTTCGACTTCGACTTATCTCTATATGGTGATGTGCTTTGTGAAATATACAAAGGGTAAATATGTTGGGTGTTTATACCAATCTTAAATTTGGATAATATGTATTTTTTTTTCTATCTGGACAAACTGTTCATTTTATTAAAAAATTATAAACAAAATCAACAAGCTTTCCATTCATTCACTAAGTTATAATATTTAGATAGAAAATTAAAGACTGACTGTTATGTTTTAATGTTCAAAGAATAAACGAGACTGTTTAATATTTAATTAAAAATGAAAACTGATTTTTATGTCCGTTTATGGTGTATATATTCAATTTATGGCTATATGTAATAAAAGTGTATAAAAAAAAAAACATTTTCTTATGTGCATTACATCAAAAAATAAACTCACCAATTTACCCAAGAAGAAAAAACAAAAATGTTTACCGAGATTTACTCGGCCCACCGCTACCTACTCGTGTACAATATACAATTTCGAACTTCGTGCTAAAATCAACTTCGATAATAGAACCGCAGTCGATTAAAGTTTTGCTATTGTTGCGTAAGATGTTATTCAAATTTATTTCGTAGGTTGTACTGTAATTTATATAATATTCTTAAATTAGCCATACCATACGTATATACCCGAATTCAAATTCGTCAAAAAAAACGTATATTCACTGATTTAACCGAGTCCGGTGTTATTTTTTCTAGTGTATAGCAATTATTTAATGTTCCTATAAACGTTAGATATATGTTATATAATGACTAATATAATAATAACACAGCTACATAAGTGAACGAATTGAGGGGGAGGGTTAGGGGGTGGAAACACGCAAACTGATAAATTTAGTTACAGCAAAAAATGCAATCGCGAGTATTTTGGGGACTAGTCATATTATTATGTTATGTATATAAATTACATATAATTTTTAATTCGAAGGGCACAGACATTCATTCACCCGTAAAAGTGTTCGCTGCAGCACATACCTATTGGCTATTACCCGGTGCAGATCAAAATAGTAGCAACGTTTTCAATACATACCTACCTATATACGTATATTAATACATTTATGTAGGTAATAATAATATCATGTTAATTGTTTCTCATGTTGGATTTCAATGCCACGCGACTATTACAAATTCAAATCATTATTGTAGGCATGACGCAACAAACGAAGAGATTTTTTTTTTATTTTTTTTTTTTTGCTTACGCAAGTTTTTTTCAGAGATCATCCTACAGCGTCGCATTCAAGTTTAAGGTCTAGGTTATTATTGTTTTAAATTTTTTTTTCTCCCGCGGTACATATTATAAAAATCCAATCCGATTCGCGCTGTACGTATTATTGCCGAAGGTAATCTCGTTTCGATCGAATCGCCGCGCGCGCCGTGTCATGCCATCATATACTATTCTATACTATTAGATATTAAACATTTACTAAATATATAATAACAGTATAAAAAAAATTGGTTTTTTTTGAAATTTGCGTTTCCGTCGCAACTTTAATATAGATAAAAATTATCAATATATTATGTATAGGTACATAATATATTATTAAATCTGTGCCTATTATATTTTTATTATTACTGTAGTTAAATTCATATTCGTCTATGATCTTATGCGATAATAATATTTATATTATCCTTAAATACGTATCAATTATATTTTATATCATAATATTATACACTTTACAATTTATAATATCTAGTGAAACAGGGAAATTATATTTCATTTTACAAGGCTTAAATCGTATTTAAAAGTATACCGTTTCAAAGTAAAATACTTAATTAAAATATTTTGTTTAATGTACTCGTATATAGGTATACATTTTAATAGAACCGCACAATTAATAATAATTTACAAACGTATATTATATTATTAGATAAAACTCAACGAACACGGGAGAATAATTAAAAATTAAAAAATAAGACCATATAATATACTTCCTATAAATTGCTCGGATGTATAATATAATCGCATACATATATTATTCATAAACATAATACTATAATAAGGATGTTTTAAGTAGAACTTTAATTAATACAAAATATTTTAATGCATTATGAGTTATATGACCTTTCGAACAAAATCAGATTTTAATCTCGGTTTTTATGGTTTATTATTACTATACTTGGTATAAATTTGTTTTAAAATGATTTTTACCCGGTAATATAAAACCGATACTTTGAATCGTATTTGAACTGTTATAGGCACAAAATTCGAATACCGTAGTAGGTCGCATTGAGTTTAATTGAAAATTTGAATTAGGTGTTTTAAAACAAAATTGATTGACTTTAAACTTCTAAATATAAACGTATTATGACTAGATATACCTGCTGCCATAGGCGGGACTAGACCATCAAATTCGACGGTGCTAAAATTGTAGATACATCGCAGATCCACGGGGGAAATACCTCTACAACGAACTTTACACGGCACTTGAACAATAAGAAACTATACATTTTATTTACAATTTTATATGCAAAAATGTATCATAACTTATTCAACTTTATTTTATATACACACGTGCATTGTCAGATACACGTATTGCACAAACACTGTACAATTTTGTATTTAACATTTATTATAGTGTTTGAATTATATTTTTTGAACCCAAAACACATAAAAATATAATGTAATATTTTTTCCCTTTAAAATATTAACCGACCCTAATTTGACGATATACTTGACATTTAAACGAACGCATTTCATTTGATTTTATTATTACTATTTTAAAAAAAGTTCTATCAAGCACTTTGTAATGCAATTTTCAAATTTTGTATCTTATTGAAATGCTAATAATAATGCGACACGTTTTATTACGGCACGCTGGAATTTCGAGCTACAATCATTATATTTTGTACTACACACTATTTTTGTTAAGCTCTGATGAGTCAGTGTAAGCTGTGAGATGGGGTTGACAAAAAAAACTATTGTTTTACGTCTTAAAAACTTACGGCGTCTATGAAATGTGGCGCACGGGTTAACTTCTTCCTGCCACCCCACCCATAAATATACATCTCTTGTAAAAAATGTCCATACACAATAAGAACCTGTACATTGAAAAAATTTGGAATTTTCAAAATTTAAAATTTAAAATTTTTCTGGTAACTTGTGCGCTGTACTACGAGTAATACGAATATTCCAGAAAGAGGGAAAAACCAGATCGCGGGTCCTTGAGAAAGTAGAGTACCGCGAAAACATCATATTATAATATGTCTAGTATTAATGTATAGGCATTATTGTTATGTACCCACCTATATAATATATTATTTTTTATTATGTAACGAATGAACTGTAAGCAATTTGTGTTTTTTTTACGCCTTCTCGACAGTTTTAAAAATAAAACAACATATTTATAATATAAACACTACCCATTTACACAGTACTTTCATGGTCCTCGATCGCAGTGGCAGCGTATAAGCTGCCAGGCCCGGTTCGAGCGTTTAAACACGCCTAAGCATACTTAATTTTTCGTCGCCCCTTGTACATTTAAATACTTCGTTAAAAATTTTAAATGTCACCGCTGAAAAATGCCGTTCTAGACGTGGGCCTATGTCGCCTACCCTCTGAGCCGGGTCTGGGCGGAGCTAGACTTTAGTTGTAGGGTACGTTCCTACAAAAGTTCCAACTATAACCTATAATATAGAAGATCAATTTTGAATATTGATTTGGTTGTTTGGATAAATAAATACAATGATTTTATTACTTGAAAAATGTTTTCTATTTGGAATTAATTATTTTTACGAAATGTCGTCAGTACGCGTAATAACCGTAAGTAATTTTTATTGTTATCATTTTTAATTTGGCTGGGAATCAATTTAAATACATACGACAAATGATAAATAAGTGTTTTCAATTTCCGTCGACGTCGCGTACAACGGGAATTCAAATGCGCGCATCCATCACGCGTGCTGTACGGAAAGCCGGGAAAATAACAGGTTCCCCCAACCCCCCAACCACCGGCGGACGGAAAATCGCGGCGGACGACGGGTCGCGTATTTACACGCCGCCGCCGCCGCCGCTCGACCCGCACTCGGATAATAGGGTGTGCGTGTACGCGTAAACGCCGCGCCGCCGCGGCCTCACGGCGTCTTGTGCAACGCGCGCCGTTTACAATTGTCATTGTTACTGTTATTTCTGCGTCTCCGTAAAACGTTGTCGTTATTATTGTGCGTGGGCAGGACCCAGCACGTAGGTTACCCGTTACCCGCTGCGTGCACAATAAACAGTGTTACCGCGTCGGTCCGTGTTCCAGTCCGATAATGATAATAATAATAATTATTCGCACGAGCTTTCCGACAGTTTGAGATCGTGTTTTTTTTCTTTTCCTTTTCTTTCCCCTCACGAACACGCGTAACTATTATAACATTATCAATACGGGAATATGTATATACATTTATAGACAGGGGTCACCGCGCGAGACGTGTCGGCCGAACACTGCAGCGCCCGTATCGTACGTACGTGTAATAAATAAACAATAATAATAATAATATTATTAATTTTAATGGACGCAATATATTTTATTGTGATCGGGACCGCGCGCGCGATTATGCAAGACGACGACGTCGCGTCGGCAAAACTGGACGTTTCGCGTCCTTGGAGGTCGCGTTTTATTATTATTGTTATTGTTGTTTCGACTAGATAACGTATTGTGCGTGTGTATGTATACGCATACATATAGATACTATTTGTGTGGCGAGGAAAAAAAAAAATAAGAAAAAGATGCGTTTCACTTTCACCGGGACGGTCTGGGCTGTACTCTCACGGGTAATATTCGCGGCCCGGCGACGAGGTGTTGTCGGATTTTTCGCGAAAAGCCGTGATATTACGCCTACACACTGCGGCGGCCTACACCGGCGTGCGGCATTTTCAAAAGGAAAAAAAAAAAAAATGTTTTTATCGTTTAACGTGTTTCGCCGGGCGTTTTCGCGGATTCTCACGGCACGCGCATTTTTTCATACGGTGTACAATGCGCGATAGTCATTATATTTTTTTCGAGACGGCGTTTTGTGTATGCAATTCTAAGGTCGGCCGCAAAATTATAACATCGTACATTGTGACGTACGGTTTTTATTATTATACGGTTGTCGTCCGGCGAACAATGCGCTTCGCCGCGATTGTTGCATTATAATACGGTTTCGAAGGTACGTACCTATCTATTCGTGCACTATGTCGAACACGAAATACCTACAGGGTACACGTCTTATAGGGTTACCGATGTCACCGTAGCCCGCAATCTTTTAAAGAGGGCGTCACGTACGGACGCGGCGAATTCGCGTTCACGGACAACTCTGCGCCTTTAGTTTATAATAATTATTGACGTTAGAGCGAATTGATATCGGATGTTATCAAACTCAAAGACGAGCGCATTATATCGGCGCGATTACACCGAGGGTTTTTTTTTTCCGGCGGCTGCTCGATATTTCTAATTTTCAACCGAAATACAATACAGATAAGCCTCTTTAAACCGCGACATTTCACGTACTCGTATTTCGTCTGAAAATTAAATATCAATAATAATAAAAAAAAAAAAAAACCGACGAATCGATAACGCACTTGTCTTTGAGTTTTGATATGACGGTCGGTTCGCTGTACTATCAAAATCAAAATTGTCCGCGCAGCACCCATCCTAACGTCTTTTGTGTTTTAACTGTATTGGTTCTTACCGATCTTGGGACCGAGATATTAAAGTGAAATTGTTACAAAATGTAAATAAATACGATTATAAGTACATTTTTTTTCACGTATTTCTTTAAGAAACAAATAGATTAATAGTATTTTTCTTTTTTTTTTTTCTATTACTAGTGAGCGTTTTAAATGATTACTTTTTTTTTTTCTTACCCTCATGCTATTTCTCTTTTACAAAACGAAAACAGTACTTTTGTTCGCACTATACCAACATCTTGTACCTCTATAGGGGTACGCGATCGTGTTGCACAAATTCGTCGTATTATTATTAAACGACGGACTAGTGTATATTATTAAAATATTGTTTACAATATTGAAAACCTGTTTGATAGATATACGAACTTAAAAATAAAATATGTAACAACTCACGACACCTATATATTTATATATACATTCTAAATATTAAACCCAATCGCATTATTACCGTGTATAATTATTATTATAAAAACTATAAACCTTGAAATCCCGTACGAATTTGACAACTGGTACCGAGCGAAATGTTGTATTATTATGTGTATTTTCGTATTCCTCCGCGATAATATTCATAAAGACACGTCGTTAACAAACGTTAACGGACAGTTAAAATTTAAATTAATTAAAAATATGTTATTATGAGAAAAAACATTAAATAGGTGACCTACTAATGTATACTCGGGGATCTTTGTGAAGGTTATTCGTTTCGACGTTTCAATGGTGCTTTATAAAATGTTTCCCGAAAATATCGTTTATTTTAATAGGATTATATTAATTTTCACTCTCGGTGAAAACCGTTCAAACGAAACGTATTTCAAGATTACAATAATTATTCGAAAAGTTATAAATAATGCGATTATATTCTTTGAAGATTAAACAAAATTAAATTAATTAAAATGAAATATCACAATGGACGCAAACGACAGGCGTATGATATTTTTCCACAAAATCAAAATTGCATCAAACGACAAAATGTTATGCGGCATGTCCGTACATACGTCATAATATATAAAATTATGTATAGCTTAATTACGTAAACAAAAGAAAAAAATATCCGTATAAACGCCGCGAATCGATACGATATACGTATGGGCAGATGCCTCTAATAATAATGATGATTACAAAATCTCGGCTTATACTTTGACCGTCAGGACGGTATCTAACCTAACTATACTGAAAAAGGCAATTTAAAATTCTAGACACCGTAAAGACGATTGTCTAAACACGCATGGGTATAACTTCCATAATAATAATAATGTATGATTTCACTTATTGCTTAACTGGATGTACATTTTTTGAACGACATCCAAGTTTTCAATATTTTATTTTTCGACGACATAACACGCGATTGCAGTGTTATAACACGTTATATTTTTACTTATACCTAAACCAAACAATATTATATAGATAGGTACGGTATAGAGTTAATCAGCTGTGAGCAATGAACGTTTCTAGGTAGTATAATATGCTATACAGGAATGAAAATTAGGTAATAAAAGTAAAAATTGAATATGAAAAAATAAAAAATAGTAATATTAGGTATAAAATAATATTTTCGCTTACCCTTATGATACGATACTTCACCGTTATAGGTACACGTGACGTGATGGCTTCTGCAAACTCGCGCTGAAATCGTACTGTACACTATAATAGTATATGCCGAACATGTTGGGTGCTCCTATGCTTTCATCAAGGTTGTTTTGCCCTACCTCTCTCATCCCTATACCAAGATCATATTATATATATATATATATGTACAGTTACGTAAAAATAATATGTCGTTAAACAATGATTAACCTTGGTTAGATATTATTATAATAATATCTAGTTCGCTGTGATGATTAACAATTAAAATTAAATTATATTATTTAAATAAAATACTCATCTATCTTCCGATTGGCTCAACGATGCTGGTAAACATATTATGTAATATATAATTATAATTATCTGTTTCGGGTGGACACATAAGCCATAATGGGCGCCAACAAAAGGGAGGGGCAGGGAGGATAACTCCTCCTTTTAGATTTGGAATTTTTATCCTAGAATTTGAAAAAAACCGTAGAAAATTACACTTTTCGTTTGAAATGTAAAATGTAAATTAATAATACTTCATTTTATTTTTCGAAATTGGACGAGTCAAACTATAAGATTATAGGGTGATAGATTTATTGGTAGTTGGTATGTAAGGGTAAAAGACACAAAATAACAATGATCATAAATAACGTAAAGAAAAAAAGTGTTAAGGTTAGCTGAGCGAGATAGGCGAACCATAGAGGCGTTGAGAAAAAAGTTTTAAGAAATATAAGGGATATGAAAGGGAACTGAAGAACGGGTATGACGCGAAAAAACATGGAAATCAATTTCCATGAGTAAGGAAAGTGAATCAGCAAGTCTAGAAAGTCCCAACATAGCAGGATAGGGGAATAGTCATGTGTAGACATGGAATATCAAACCTGAATGCAACCATCCAGGGCAATGTTTATTTTAGACCTTCTATCCCCCCCCCAGAGGGGATATATTGTAAATTGCCATGAAGGTATGCCAAAGACAAGTCGGACCTAAAAAAAAGTGTACACCTGAGGAAAAAATACGAAAATATACGCTCAATTTTTACTTTTTTTTTGTACCTCATTAAAATACTGTTATTTATGTAACAAAATACTTTTTTTATTTTATTTTCAACAAAATTACTCATAATCGGCCCCTAACTCATATTACATATCACATCACAAGTATTTTACGAAGTAATGTCATAAATTTGCAGGGAATGATATACATTTTTCTGCGGAGCGGTAATAATCTCCCTCCCCCGGTAAATCCCAGAAATAAACACTGATCTGGTTGTACATTGGTTCTAGGTTAATATTTTATAATAAGTAGTCAATTATTATTTTAAATATAAAAAAAATTAATAATAATGCTTTTAATATCTAACGGAAATTAGGGTTGTCTCCGCTCCCTAAATTTTTGCCTGTAGGCGCCCGTGTAAGCGATAAACATCCGACCAGGAAAATTTAAAATAATACTTTGCAGGGTGTTATAATATATTTGAAATAAAATACGTTTAAAAAATATAAAAATGTAATCGATACAAAATATTATTATACATATTTTAGTCGAAATAAAAAAAATAAGCGTTCATGGTACATATTATTATAATAATTATTAATACCGCTTTGATTGTTTCACATATAAAGTATACATAAAAAAAATAATAATAATTAGGATTAACAGGAAATGTATACCTTAAATAAATAGGTACATTAAAATATAATATGTAAATATTTAGTTTAAAAAAATATAATAATAATGATATAAGTGTTGTTCAAATTTGTAAATAAGTAGAATCTAATACATTTTCAGGGTACAATTAAATCCCACATATACACGTAAAGGTAATACAACTTTTTTTTTTTTTTAATATTAATACATACCTATATCGTTTACTTATACAAGAAATATAACAACAACAAAACTATATATAGGTTCTAATTTAATAATGGCTGAAAACGAGTGTTTATAATACGATACATAGGTACACGTATTTAATGGTTTTTCACTATAAAACAACTTTCGTTTATAATGTTAAAATATCGTATGTATAGGTGGTATTTGATCGAAAATCGATGGATCCAGGTTTAATGACGATCGTGATGCTGGAAATTCAGCCCATTTAGTCAAGTCTATCGAGGGAATAATTCCACTACGGCATGGTACTCGAGGATTTCTACACAAAAAGACAATCATAACATAAATTTCATAAAATTATTATTTTATTATTTTATCAAAATTAATTAAATTAATTAAAGATAATTAATTTGTCTGGAAAATATGTTTGATATTTGCATTTTATGCTAATAAAATACACATCGTATAATAGATCCTCCAGGTGTCATTTAAATTTAATACAATTTTTGAACTGACAAAATACAACTGATATTGCGATAACATTAATAATAAAAACTAAAAGGTAATCAGATATGAATCTATATACACTCTTATAACAAATTTAAATAATGAACATCCGCTACAAAAAATGCTAAAAATCATAATTTTTTAAACAAAATTATTCTGAGTGATGTGCTTCATTTTCATCCGGGCACGTAAACTAATAAAACTATCGTATCTATAGGACTCTGAAAACCCAAGAGAAATAGTTAAATAATCTCTTCAACTATAACGAGTTATAGTTTGGTGTGATTTTAGGGCTGATGGTGTAAATGGACCATATTTTTTTTATATTTTTGGAGGGATTTCATCAAAGCATTTTAGCTAAAAATCTAGGCCAATACTCCAACAACGATTCAAGCACTCCAAGACTATATTTTAGTTTCTATTTGCAAAATATAGCCACTAATTAGTGAAAACAGGATGGAAAATTTCATTAAAAATATTACCGGTTATAAAAAGAACATAGGTGGATATTTTGTAAATATTGTATTTCATTACTAACTTCAGGATTTGCACTTTGTATTAAAATTAAAATATCACCACTTCTCACAAAAACATTTCGTTATTCTGTTGATTTAAAATGACACCACTTGTTGAAAAACCTGATAGTTGTTGACAGTAGTTTCTCATTTACATACGTACGACCTAGCAAATTTGCTTTCAGCAAGGGAAACTTTATGCTGTTAGTTTTAATACTATTTGAACTATTATCAAATCTAAATGTAGGAACGTTATCTATGCAATTGCGTTGGTTTTTTTTTCGATATTTTAACTTTTAAGTGAGATTCGGCTGTGAAATATCACAAAATAAAAATGCTTGTGTGTTACTTAAAAATTAAATCTTGAAAGAAATAAACATAGTTGTACAGATAATATTCTAATCTTTAATTTCGATAATAAGCCAATTCACTCTAATATTAAACCTCATAGCACAAAGTTGTCACAGCTGAACACAAATTTGCTATGTCGTACGTTTGTAAGACGGATACCGCACATATGGATATCACGTTCTTTTAATGGTAAAAACTAAACATATAATAACTAAAAGATAAAAATAAGAATAGACTTTTGTGGCTTACATTTCGTGATCGGGTAAAACGATCGGCCACATTTGAATGGTATCGATCAAATCGGTGTTGTCACATACCACTCGAGATAATCTTGTTTTTCGAATTTCGTGAAGTTGTTCTAAAACATATACAATTAGTTTATTTACAATAATTAATAATTATTATTGATTTTTTTTATTTTCACTAAAAATCTATGCGAGCAAATTACCTGGAGTAAATGAAGACGGTTGATTTGGTAACTCGTACCAAAACCGATCACCTCGTCTGGCATAACTAAATTGAGTAGCCAAAATACACGAAAATACAGGACCAGCCATACTTCCCGGTAACGGTTTTTCGGACACGCCACCAGACCATAAATCTACATCTTCTGGAGAACTGAAAGAATTAAATGTTCATATTTTAAAATAACACATAATTCAAAAATCGAAGTATATAACTATTTTAATTAAATTACATTTCATTCTAAGTTAAACTACACAGATAGTTTTTCTTCATATGACGATTTTGTAAAACTTTAAATGATATATTATTTTTTTTATATATATACCATCAATCTATGTGTAAAAAATAACAGCAAAGTGTTTTTGTCAAATTTTAGTTGAATCCTTCACGTGAAGTGAGCAACTTTTCCATTATGGTTTTAAACATGTAGCCCTACGTAAGTGCAAAATAATATTTATATTTACTCAAATATGGTTGAATATCTGTGCAATGTGGAGTTCGGCATAGCTCCAGATAGACTATGGAACGATTCAGATGCTGGGAGACCGCAGAATTTTCTAAAACCATAAGGAAAATTATACGTTAGTAAAAAAAAAAATATATGTTAATATGTTTAGTACTCTTAAATAACAACCAATTGTGTAAGTTTATTAAAAATTGTATGGCAATGCAAATTTTTAGACACCCAATTATTGCGAAAACCTCTATTCTAATTAATTAAATACAATCACACTTACCTATATTCCATAAACCCAGGTAATCCAAATTCTCTACCTCTTTGGATGTTAAATGATACTAAATCTACTCCGAACCTATTACCCGGTTTTTTGAATAACGTGTTCGTCACCTCTTGTGTAATTGAATCGTCCATAGCCTGAGCGACTTGATTGGTCAACCCCATCATATACTCATCGAAAACTCCAGCTCTGTACAAATCATATGGGCGGCGGATAAGATCAGACAATTTTTTAGACGCTATATGACAAATAAATTAAAACTAGTTCAATATTATCAGTATCGTCCATCCGCTGAGTAATAAAATTTTTTTGAAATTACCAATAAATTTGTGAGATTTACTCCATCTTTCTATTGAAGTTGGCAAAAATGTATGACCGATTCTAAAACCAGCTGCTGAAAATTCGGCGAGAATATTTGGGTTCACATTTGGGTCGTAACCATCCCAATAGCCCTAAAAAAATGATATTTATAATTTATTCAATGATATTTGTTAAATTCTTGAGTCTTAATTATTCATAGTATAAACGTATATTAATGTTATATTGATGATATAAAAATAATTATTCTAAAATTAACTTTTGATTCGATTTTATGAGTACGTTTTATATTTTTAACTGTATCAAAATAATTATCAATATAAATATTTAAAAATTTCAAGTTATATAATATTTAAATATTTAATTATAGGTAACTCCACACATAAAATATACCTATATAATCATATTTGTGAAGAAATGTAAGAATTAAATTTTACACTGTTTTACGCTTCATTAGACCATACATATATTTTATGCACGCAAACTAATTTACTAATTTATTTAAACACTCATCTAGTTCTATTATTATTTTCTAAAAGCTATTTATTTTTTAACTTTCTCCACTTATGGATTATTCATATACGATCGTACTTATTAAATATGTAATATGATAAGTGCCTAATAACTTATAAGTAGATACCAAATAACTATTGCTTTCACTGTATTTCTAAATAATTATAGATACGAGTATAATATGCAGTTGCTGCCGAAAGGCACTAAATATGACAGTTTCCAGTTAAAAAAAACTATATCTATTCAAGTATAATGAAGCTAATTAAGTTTGTTTAGTTTTTAGTCGTGCTTTACGAATGGAAATTGTCTAATTCATTCTGTATTATATTGTATTTACTGAATTTATATTCAATTAGTATTCTTCAACTTCTCATTTTAGTAGTTAAAATTTTTAATTTTAATATTATTTCTAGTTGTAAGGATTTTAAACCACTTTAATTACTTCTTTTTGTAACAACAATCCAAATTTTTCCATCACTCCTTTTCCGAGCAATGTGGGTAAAAACTCGTTATATGTAATGTGTTGAATTTCGGCAATAATTATCCGCCTAGCTTCTTGGAATACTGTTTCATCATCCCAATGAGGATTAATTTTGTTTAATTCTTTCGCTACCCGATTATGTTCTCTAGCCCATAACGTGTGCATGGAGGCCAATACAAGTTGTTCGTTTACCCTGACTTCTCCTAAAAATTGAAAAGCCAAATATATTCATTTAAATTGGTTACAAGTTATAATCAAAATAAAATATACATTTTTATCTACATAGGTACCTGGAATTAGTTCAAAGAAATTACTATAATAATTGAATGTAGATACCTGCATCAAAACAATATTGCGTACGGTTTACTCTGGTACATCCTTCATCTGGATCTTTAAGTCTCAAAGGCAACAAATCCTTTAATCCATAATCAGCAAACGCTGGGTTCATACGAAGTAAACCTCCATAACCAGTTCTCAAATGTCTAATCAAAATTAAAATAATCAAAATAGTTAAAATAAATATATTTTTATTGAAAATAATAAAGACAGGTATAAAAATGATATCAAATTATTATGTTAATGGATGTTTGTGAAACTATTGCTGCGTTTTATAAATTTTCGAGAACATAGTATTTACACAAATTGCAATATTATTATTAGTTACCAGCATGCATTATAGTATTCTAATAATAATAAAATTCCAATTTATTAGTTTTTACAGGGGTACATTTTTTTAAGAAAAACAAAAAATATATTTATGAAAAGATGGCTGAGATGGTTGTTAATTTGATTTTAGTATGGAGTTCTATTAAATATTTAGGTTTACGACCGTGTTTATTCGTAATTTGTTACATTTTTTAAATTACATAAGCATATAGCTAAAATTAATGAATCTATAAATTATAAATATAAAACAATGTATGATTAAATTTGTATAGGCATAAGTGCTGACTTTGAGATTTAAGCACGGGGGCAAATAAAAAAATTTAAACTACTGTACAAGGATATTATTTATATACAATATACATATAACAATAAGTTGTTTTTAAAATGTCTATGTCAAAACTCATTAACTATAAATGCTTCAATAATAATCAAATAATATTCATACATAAAAGCGAAGTACTATTTTTACATTTTATCTCCATTGTAATTAAATTATGAGAGCAATGCCACCTTAAAATCAAAGTACAGGGACGATTTCCCCTGTTTTCCCATTGAAGTCGGCGCCAATGTGTGTAGATACTACTGTTATCATAAAAGTATACAATATAATATGAACCAAAAATATTTAGGAGTATTTATGGTTCTAATTATTGTTTCGTCTCCAAAAGAGTGAGAAAGTGTTATAATTTATAATATAATATTTTATAATTTAACCAATTTATATTGTTAATTGTACAGAATATTTAATTTAAACGCAACAATTTTATATACAAACCTAAAATAATAATTAAAATATTAGTATAAATTTAATATGAATACCTGTTATAGTCTTCAGATACACTATACACAGTATTTGCGTCAATTACACCTGTCAAAGTGTTGAATGCCACTCTTGATCCTAAATAATATATTTTTCAAAATCAAAAAAAATTGCTAATAAAATAATATTTCATAGAAACTATATTAAGGAGTGTATTTTGACTCAAAATATGTCCTATCGAAAAAAAAACTCCCATGCCTCATAGAGTGGTCCGATTTCAGAGATAATATGTTGATTAAAAAGATAAAGACTTCCTACAGATCACATTGAACTCCGTTTTTCAATATTTTGTTCATAAACTTAATAATACGTCTTTTAAAAAAATTAAATTTCAATTCTTATTTCTAAATTTTAAATTATAGGTAGATATTTATAGCGTATAGTATTGTATTAAATTTATATATCACGTATATCATTGAAATGAAATATTATACCGAAGTCCAAATACAATTGTAAATCAAAAGAAGGAATAGTACTTTTTTTGATAAATACAAGTTCAATATCAAACTTCAAAACTTCATTTTGGCTGGTTAATCCCTACTATACCGGCTCATGCTATTTTTTTGGCCCAAAATTTTCAAAACCTAAAACATAGCTTTCTATATAAATATCAATTATAAAATATGAAAAAATCGGAAACTGTATAACCCAATAAAAGACATAATAATAATAATAATAATAATAAAAACAAATGAACATACTTCACACGATGGGTGGGTCACTGTTGTAGAGGAGAAGTTGTAAAGGTAAAGGAAAAATTTAATGTATATCTGTAAGTAAAGATTAATCATTTTTAATGATAAACAATTCGTATTGGAGTTTTAATATACATGTTTTAAAAGGCTGTAATATTTACAATTCAATAATAATACATTTCGTACATTTTCTCGTTTTCTCTACGTCTTTCCCAATAATTATAAAAACCGCTTAAAAAATTCAAAAAATGATCCATTAGTACCACCTCAATTAAATTTACTATCAGAAAAGATGCTATACATGAAGTCGGAGTAAAATTTCTGGTAGAAAAGTTGTTGGTAGAAAAAAAATATATGTATATCATTATAAAACCAATACATTCCTCGCTCTGCTCAAAATCTAAAACAAAAATCGAGATTGATTTTGACGATTTTACGCCTTTTTCTCTTATCACGTACCTCTAATGTATATCTCCTATCATTTAAATAAGATAACGATACGTATAAAGAAATATGAGATAAGTGATATGTGATAATAGTCAGTAATAGAAAAAGTGTCCCATTTCATGGTTTTCATTTTTTTTTTTTTTTATTATTAAGTTTTTATTTTTTTAATATTTTTTTAAACAATCGTTGTTGTATTGTTGTCGTGAAAATACACATGGTTGGAAAAACAATACTATTGACCGAAGTTCCACTCAGAATTATTTTTCGTTACCAATGATTAATCGTTATGTACAAATATAAATTAAATTAAATTTTATATCTTATCTTTTTAACTTCTCATCTACAACAGTGGCCCACCCGTGGTGCGAAGTTAGTCCGTCTATTTTTTTACAATCCTTTATACATATATATTATGTATGTACCAACAAATTATTGTAATTTCAGATCAATAGTTCATATTATGTTAAACTTGTTGTTAAAATATATATTTAAAATAAAACCGATTGTGTATTAGGTGTAAAATTGAATAAATATGTAAATCACAATAATTTGAATTAATTGACTTACCCAAACGACATCCTGGTCTAACTGCTGGAAACGATCTTACAAAATCAAGACATTTAACATTGAATTTACCGAAGAAGTAATCATTATCGGGGATGGGTATTTCATTGCAGTAAGGATTTTTTAAATGTGGTGGTCGATTACAACATTCTTCTGGCTCATTCTTGTTGATTGGATCTAATAGAAATACGAGTTTTATTTCAATTAATCAGTTTATTTAAGTCAAATGTATTATTTTTTAGACAATTTACACTTTAATTTGAAATTGTATTGCTATCGTTATTTTTGTTTAAACGATATTAATACCTATAAATGACAGAATTAATGGTAACTTGAATTATGTCCCCATCATACTAAAAAATACTAATCACACTCACCGACAGGTGTGCTCATAAGTGTGAAATCGTGATCCATAAACTGACCAAAAGCAACCAACATTACAGTAGCAGCATGTTCGTGATATCCTTCATCGGGGTGCATTGTTCTAGAGACTTCTCTAGCGATTGGGAGTTTTCTGTTATTAACACTTGTACTTTTCGGTGCGCTCATACCGTCTGAATATAATGGTCCGACTAATCTCGAAAATGGCGTTTTTGAAGCACCCCATGTTGGATGCTTGACGTTATTGCATAAACCGTCGTACCGCCTGTATTTACCTGGTCTGCATTCGACATTGGACAAGAATGCCGGACAAACTTCTCTAATTAAGGTTCTGGACGTATCTATTTTAGGTAATCCTTCTTCTACTTCTTCGTATGAAAGTCCATAGCTGTATATCAAATATAACTATTATAATTTTTTTTTAAATAATGAATTGTACACACAATGATTTATTCTATGTTTTACTTTTTAGCGAGTTGTATAGATATATCCAAGAGCAATTCCCCAACAGATGCCAATTCTTGATCTGACCATATATCTTTATTAGTTTGGGCTACATCTGAAATTATAAGTATGTATTAACATTTAAAATTCAATTATTTCTATAAAACACTGTGCATAAATCACAGTACTCAGTGTTAATACTTATATTTGCATGGAAATGCTAAAGTCACGATATCTCGATAAAACACGAATTTTCAATACTTCCCCGTACATTATTTTTACCTGAATGAATAAAATACTCGAAAATATGACCTGCCTAAAAATCGTATACCTGATAAATTTATGGAATTTTAATACTTGCTATTTATTTTGAAGAAACACTGTAACATAGTCTTGAAAAAACAATGCGGAACAAAAGAAATTTATGTCTTGACTCTAAAAATATTCATGGTCAAGCCATTCATCAAGTATTACTTTATATTGTTATAACACTTTATTATGTGTAACAGAGATTGGTACAATGTGAATCTCATTGTTTTATAATTCCTTAACTTTCCTATAGGCAAAAGTATTTTGCAATATTTTAATAAATACAAGAAAATAATCCAGTAGAACCGGTTGTGAAAACGGAAAGCTATCCTTTCACTGTCTACTGTCATATTTCTGCAATGTATTATGCTGCAGTTTTTTCAGGCCTTTTTATAAGTATAATATGTTATATTATATCATATTATAATAAACATAGAAGAACTAAAATAGGCATTTTAAATTAAAAATTACAATTATCGTAATGTAAAAGTTACATAATAAATAGACAATAATACAGTGGCTTGGTACAAACAAATGCTAATGACAAAAAAAAATCATCTATTACTATAACTATGGACTTAAGGTTTAATTTTTGAACTTCGAATTTTTTAATTTGTTTTTGACATTAGCCCTTTTTGCACCAAGCCACAAAAATAATTATATCGTGTAGATAGATTTTAAGAATTAATTTTGCGTTTATTTAATTTCAGTTTGATATATTTACTTATTCTTTTTCTGGCATCTATGTACGCTTGATTAATTGCTTGATAGGTAATACATTGACCAGACAAACCCATTCCACTAGAATGTTGAATAAAAGATATAAAAATATTTTTAATTTGTCTATAATATACAATAATAGATAACACAGAATCTCAACACTTAACTAAAATATATGCGTAAACAATTGCACGGCGCATCTCCCCTTAACTATTAATTTGTATAGTAAAATATTGGCGTATAATACTTACAGTGGACCACCTCTCAGTGTGTTAGTATTGAAATCAAAAAAACTTGTCCTTCCCGGACCGTTTAATTGAAATGCACATTCACCATCTATCGTTTGAGTTGATCCTAAAATGCATTTTATCATTACCAAGGTAATGGTTAAAATTGCACTGTAACACAGAAAATTTCAAAAGTTAATGCGTTTGAAAATTATATACGAGTATATAATAATTTATATAAGATTTTTAAAGATAATTTTCACACTTAATTTTCATAAGTTTTAGACCAATAAGCGGTGAGAAATTAGATATAGTTTTCAATGCGATTGTTAAATTTATAAAGTACGTATGCATTTGTTGATTTTTTTTTTACTAGATTGCTTAGGAAGTCAATTTTCAATTTTCAGTTTCAGAAACCTCTAAAATTATAATATTATATTTGTATTTATTGTAGGCATATCAAATTTAGAATCATAAATCGATTTTTTAAAAAAACTTATAGGTTAGATATACACACAAATATTATAATATTTGGATTAAAAATGTCAAGATAATTAATCTCGACCATATCATATATTGAATATTTTATTATAATATATAATTAGTAAAATAATAAAGTAAAAACAAAATTATTAAAATGGTTAATACTCGTAAATAAATATATAAATAAAATATATATGTTTAAAAATAAAAAATAAATAAATGAATGAATGTGTCGTCTGGAGTATTATAATAAGTGTATTATATAACCGGTTTCGAATTAAAAATTCATCATCAGGTATATCACAGTCAAAATGTAAAACGCGTCTGAATATAAAAGATTAAATGAAGGAATATATAGAAAAAAAATTGTACAAATTAGTCGTTTTACATAGAAATAATTTATTTTAATAGGAAAGATTATTTAATATTAGTTATTATTACACATAGATATATTAAGAAACAAAAATTATTTGGTTATTATTTATTATCTAAAATATATTAACATAGATATTATTTTTAAAATCGATTTGAACATAAAAAATATTTTTTTATTATTTTTCTTTATTTCATTGTGTATGTGTAATTCTTCTAAAACTGAATTAATGTAAATGTTATTTTGGGTATTTAATATTTCTAAGTCTGTATTAATATCAAAACTTATATAATGGTTATTTTGCGAAATTATATTAATTATATTTTAGCGAAATTTGAATTAGTGTTTTTTAATTTTAATTTTAGAAATGTGTTCTTTATATCTTATTTTAAAATTTCGATTTGTCTTACTTATATTAAATTTATTACAGTTATATTTAAGTTTATATATACTAGCATTTTCAAAAGAAGGGGAATTTTTGTGAAGTTTTTAATTCTATTGTTTATATGTTTGATTAAATTATTATTAGTCTTAAAAGCGATTTTTATATTATTTGTTTTCATGTTCAAAATTTTAGCGAATTCGTTAGATATATTATTTTGATATTTCACACAACCATAGTTAACAACGAAATTATATTTATTTACTATATTTAATATATAATTGATACAGAAGTAAATACAATTATGTATTATTATATCTGAATATCTAATACGATAGGTAATCGATGATTAAAACATTATAATAGTTAATTATATACCTACTGGCTACTTTGTTATTTTGTAAGTCATATTATATATTTTTTTAATTTACACCTAAACATCACAACCACTAACCACCCTCTCTCAAGTATTTGTTCTAGATCTTAGATTGGTTCATCTATAACCGGGAAAATGTCATGTCTATAATTCGGTAACACAGTAGTCAAGTCACAAAAAACAAATTTTACAGAAGAGACAAAACAAAATAATATTAATACTTCTAAAATAGTTTAGGATCTACCTAAGTATACCTCTTACTATCTATGTTTTTATTTATCTATTGGTTTTATCGTTTTAATACCTTTAAAAGATCATGAATGATCACAGGTTATTCGGAGTACAGAAGTTACTCAATATTTCAAAAAATGGATTTGCGTTACTTGACTTCTGTGGTACACAACTTATACTATTAAATTAATTTTTAAACATAACCACTAAAATGTAGAAGAGAAATGTAATTTGTATACAACATGTACAGTCTTTGCGATTTTTACCTAATCATAATAATATTTATCCTTTATTGACAAAAACCGATACTCGATACTCGTATAAAATAGTAAATAGTTAAATAGGTAAATAGTTCCTATCAAGTTCAATAATCTGTAGTTAATATTCAATTTCTCATTTAAAAATAGTCAAGTATGTGTTTGTGTCCAGCAATAATATTTTACTGGTAATTGCTAGATACTACAGTTAATTAAACATATTATAACTTCAATAACGAATGAAGAAACTGTTCAGTATATTAATTATTATAAATATAAATACGTGAACTTTAAGTGAATTGGAAGGGGAAGAGCGTTCTTTGAGAAACTTAAAAATAACAGCATACCTACAATTATTATGCTAAATTTATTATCAGATGTTATGCACGCAATTTTCGTAGTAATAAGAATATAATATTATAATAATATTACAAACTGTTTTGTTATAGCGTTTTTGGCTCACCCGCACTTTCACCGGCATCAGTATCAAACTATCGTTATAGGTATAATATATGCTTGCCATCATGCGGGAATTTAGTTAAATATCATGGTCACGATTCCTGTATTATTATATACATAGTATGCATTATAATCCCATATATGTATTTAATCAACGAATTATTTAATATAATAAACAGTATTCAAATATTTCATTATAGTGCACAAACTTGAACTATTTGAAATGTCACTACATTCCGCCCACCGAGAGAAAAACATGTCTACTATTATAGAGGTGTAAACTACCTGCATAGAACCAAAATCGGTTAAAATTCCCATGTTAATCGTACCAGCCAAATGCGAGAAACGTATTATCTCAGTTAACGAAGTTCGCAAGTACTTAGTTTATGTGACAAAAGAATATACGGTGATAAAATGATACGGTTCATTTATATTATACCTATGGGCAACTATACAAATTTAACCACCCCTCCTATCCCCCAAAGAAAAAAATGGTTTTCTGTATCCATCTACGTGCTTGCAGATTTGAAACTGGTCATAATAATGTTAAAATATTAAAATAAAATAAAATCCCGAACGAGTTTTACTTTATTTTATTTTTATGTAGATATACGGAAATTACCCTTTTGCACAAATGCAAATGTCTTTCAAAAAACACGCTGTTGCACATTTCTTAGACGTAAGGAATAAATAAATTATAATTTGTATGATGTGTTGTTCAAAACTATTATTTTATAATTATAACGAATTTTTTATGTTACAAAATAGTACCACGGCTGTTCAATAAAACACAAATAACAGTGAGAATCACGGTTCCTAAAATTCGTCAAAGGCGAGTTCATTACCCAGAATTTACATTGATTTATGTATGATTTTAATTATGATGCGTAAAGTCGATTTTATTGACTAATATTATTCTTCATAGGTACCTACACTGCAGTTTATTGCAAGAGTATTTGTGGCTCAAGCTGTATTCAAATTAATAATCATAATATTGTAATATGTCAAACAGCGTTTATTTAGTTTTTTAATAGATAAATAGAGAAATATGAATCCTTGTTTTCTTCATAAATAAAAATGTTACATTTTAAATAAATTATTCAATAAATAATTTTAGCTGTGTAACAATTAGTCACATCGTAGAGTACTCAAATGTCTCACAAAACCCATAAGAATCTACGGTATATATATTGAAAATAGTTAGGTGATGTATGTTTTATAACGAGTTTACTTTGGGCAGCAGTTAAAAAAATTGTTTGATAAAAAACTTTTCATTATTGCCTACAAATTTCTAAATATTTTCTACAATTCTATTATGGTCTATACGAGTTTCATTATGACAGATAATAAAATATATTGTACTAGTAAATATAATAATATAATATAATGACCATGTCGAATTTCGAAATTCTATAAAAACCAAAATAATAATATTTTACCTTAAGTTTTCAAAATAATAATATTAATATTAATAATTTTAGAAATACTTACTTGAAGAGCTTAAACTATTTGTTGTAAATCGTTAAAAAAAATATTAAACTTACATTAGGTAATTTGACAATAATACACAAGATACAAGAGTAAATAAGAACATGCATATGTTTACACATGTAAGGCAAGTACTGGTAGAGGAATCGCACGTGTGTATACCTAATTAGTTTCTGAGTCTAAATCGTTTCAATAAATTAACAAAAGTCGTACGACTTATACACGGAACTGTAAAATATTATAATTTCTCATGTATTACGCTAAAAATTATTTGAACAATTTAAAAAAAAAAAAAACTAATCATTAATGATTAACTATTTGTAGGCGCGAACTTGTTTCTTATTGCAGATTCCGATAGGTAGGTAATATTATTTCACTTCATATTTCCGGTTAAATTCATTTTACACTTCAATCGAAGATCGCGATTCGAACACTTAACTATACTATCTCAATAATTATTATCGCGTATTAATAAACAAAATAAATGAAAACTCGAACTTACCTATTCGTCAAATCCATTTCGTATATTTTTCTCAGGTATCGAATAGGTACCTAATACCTATGATAATACTTCACCGGGCCACATGTACGAAGATTATTGCGAACCGCATACAATGCATGTGTAAACGAAATAAGTAACAGTCTCGACGACCTCTTTTCCCCGCGAAAAAACTTCCCCTACCCGTTTTACATGTATGACAAGATAGATGCCTTTCACTAGTCAAGGACAACTCGGAAAATGTATGACGTCATATCAACAATGTGCATAATCTGAAGAAAAAAAAAATCACACTTCGCGAGATCACATCGGCCGCCGAACCATAATAATGTACTGTTCAAGTACCGAAGTACACGCAGGACATAGTACTCTTATAGTGCTCGTACCGTTTGCGAATTTAAAATTATTTTTGGTATTATCGCAATAGAGTATTATAGCGAGTTTAAATTTAAAACGATTTTCGTTTTCTATTATAGATATAAGTATATTATCGGAATATTGTCGTAATATAAAAATTAAAAAAACCGACAATACGTTTCTTGAAAAAAAAAATAATTTTCTCGGCTGAACGTCGGGAAAATGTTATTTTATTAACATCGAGGCTTTTGATAGTTGATTATAACAATACATTGTTATACCTACCGGCAACAACGACGACTACACTCACATCAGCTATTCAATTAGCCATCTGCGGAGAAAGTATCCCGCACTGCTGCTGTAGCACGGCAGAAATTATGTCTTTTTTTTTTTTTATTCTTTGAATTATCCAGTTATAGCGAAATACGTTATATTATTATTATGTTATACAACGCAGCACGCACACTCCTAACCTCAACTACTAAAAATCTGTGAAACCATATTTAGCGGCTATGAATATATTACGATGATGATAATGTAATTTGCTATCGAGTGAGTATTATGATAATATTACAGCCGAGACTTGAGAATATTATAATATCGAGAATGGCGTTCGTATTTGTAATATTATAACATAACGATATACCCGCGGTACCTATAATATGAAATGTAATATAGAGCCATAAAGGTGCTTCTATATACCATTATGAAACGTATATTATTACTTATATTTTTATACTTAATACATATGCGTACTCGTTATAAAATTAGTATTTAGTAATCTTTGCAAATCGCTGCTTAGGTATTATATGTAGCGTACGTAACATGTTAATACGATTGCAAATAATATTTATTTTTTTTGCAATTTAATATAGGCAGTAAGACGTGTTCAACACACGTAAAATAATTTATTACTAAATATTCGTTTTAATGCTGAACGTAAAAAAAATACACATTTTTTTTCTTTTTATTTAATTTCATCTCAATTTATATACAAAATAACTAAATACATAAATTGATTAAAATTATCTACTTTCGATCAACAGTATAAGTGACGATAAGCCCTTTAATATCTTAACTACAAACATTGGCTACATACAAGATAAATGAAATTGGACGGAAAAGACTATTTTGAGGAACATCGCAATTTGTGAGCAATTCATCCCTGGTAATACCATCAATTTGTACAATTTACCTATGTTATCCGAATAACTTTTAAACCAATCCAAATCTGATGAAACAACACCAAAATTTGGCAAAATGTTTAAAAGCTCTGAATGATCCACCGTATTAAACGCTTTAGTAAAATCTAAAAAAAAAAACGCTAATTTTTTTTAAATTATTGCAGGTAAATTAAATTAAACCATTTTGAAATTTCGTATCCTGTACTAACGGATATTATATTTTATATTACTAAAACAGACGGAGATTCTCGACATGTTTTAAGCAGGCCACTATAAATATATAGGTAATATAGTCAGTGGCACAGTGGTGTATTATGGGGGGGGGGAATTCAGAGATACTGGACAGAGGATCCCCAGAACAAAAACAATATGAAATCAGATACATTTTACAGCTAATTAATTAAATTTTTGTATAGAAATTGTATTATTATTATATTCGTATTGTGGTGCTATTTGGTTTCCATGATGCAATTAAATATAGTGTGATGAACCTACCTATATGTAATTTATAATAAAACATGATTATTCCACGCAAAAATTGATTATTTATGGATTATATTCATTTATTTAGTTATGAGATTAGACGTTTAGAATTTACATACACAAATTTAATATTCAACCCCTTCTAAAAATGCACAGATACGTAATTTGTATACATTTACAAGAAAAACTGAATGAACTGAAAATAGATATTCCATTAATTCCTATAATATAATAATATTTTCACTTTTTAATAGTATTTAATGAAATTTAATTTCAACGTTATAATACACAATAATAATTAAACTCGTCATAATCGTGTTATACTGAGTAGCTGGATACCTACAAGTACAATTCAAAAATTGTAAAACAATTAATGCTTATTTAGCATGTCCACGTACAATTTACTAATAACTTTAGAATTAATAATTATTTTGTAAAATATTTAAATTCAGTTTTACTTATTTTAACTATTTTATTTTTTATTTTATTAAACGAAAATTGACCACTGCAATTATAAATTAGTTTTAAATATATTTTAGATGCACCTTACACAATTTAAAGAAAACCAATTGAACGTATTTTGGTACTTAAACACTGACAAATTAAAATAACTACGCAAGAGAAATTTCCTCTTCCGTGCAAAATCCTCTCTTAGTAAGTATAATAAGTCTTATAAATAAATTTAATAATAGGTTTATTGTTGTTACAATCTCGAAAATAAAAAAACTCGGACTTATTAAGTCCTCAATATAATTCCGACGGCGTAAAGTAAAGTAATATACAATATAATATCGATACTTTTTACATTTTTATCACAAATTCAATAAGACAATTATTTATCATGTAAATTGGTTGCGTGTCATTTATTCAATTTAAGTCAACGTACTTATAAATATTTTTTTTCAATATTTTCGAATAGCCAAGATAATAACTGATTATATATCATAATTATGATTAAATTTTACTAATTGCACTCTACACTCAAAAACAATAATATATTATGACGATGTATTAAATTTAATAAATTATATACCTACTGTTGTCAGCTGTAGTTAGTTACTAATTTATCATCACCAAACAGATATTTTATAAATAATAAATACTAATTTTTTAATTTTTCTTAATAATCTTATAGCTGTACCATCTACTCGTATATAAAACACACCCAAATTTAATCCTGAATTATCAAGTTATTTCAATAGTAATTTTTTTTCAATGAAATTCTTTTCATAGTTTTGCTTGATTTGTAATGTTAAACTAGGTAGGTACCTATAGATATATAATTTTTTCTAAATTTAATTTTATGATTAAAAAATATTAGTATTAATATACATATATATATATCACGAAAACATACTCATATACTGTATTAACCGTTTGACATTAATTAATAGTAGCTATTATAAACCCAATTGCTTGTTTAACTACTGTGTAAACAGATCCAATAAAGGTCAGAATACCATCATGTAACAAAAAAAAATTGATCGTGTTTTTAAAAATCACCGGACGACGTGATTGATATAAATTTTTATTTGGTATGATACATTTAAGAAAACTAATATAATTTCGTTACACTAATTTTTTATTGAATTATTTGAATTTAAATAAACCGAGTGAAATAAACGTTATCAGTTGATCACAAACATAATATTATAGACAAGCATACGAAGGCGCGTTTAAACTTTATTCACTATCGTAATTTTGGGTATAGCTATACCCCCCACCCAAAAAAAAAGATCCTTGCCCTCTTATTTACCGTGTTACAATATAGAATTTTCAACTCAAAACTTTCGGATGTGACGGTAAAGTAATCACAAAGGAAAGTAACGGCGATCTTAATTTGTTTGCTATACTACGGTACTTGTTCTCTGACAAGTTTAAAATCTGATTGTATTTTCAATTTTAATTGTTTCTTGAAGTCAGCAATGACTGCGCTATTCCCACTAAGTTTCTCTCTATTAATATCTAGTTGTCGAATGCTGTGACGAAATTTAAACTTATTTAACCAAGCTTACTTTAAAGTTTGGATCACCGTGTAATTTTTTATTAATTTCTCCTGCCTTAGTCATTATACTAGGACCTAAAAGTGGAATTCTTTGATTTCGGCTTGGATAAACCACTGATGCATAGCGTTGTCAAATTTCTCATATTTTGCCTGTTTTATAGTTTTACGACTTCTTAAATCTCCGTTGACATTTTGTATTTGAGTCACATATTGCTCAAGTTTTTTAGCATCGCGTTTAACGTCATTCACTGTTGTTCTCCTAATACCATAAATCTGAGCAATACTGTTAGTAATTTCACCTATCTTCAAACGTTTAATAATTTCAAGTTTTTGATTGAATCCTAACACAACATTTTTTCGTTTTTCAACCATCTTCGAAACACGACACACAACATGTACAATACACACAGTAATAATAAAGAAACTACAAAATCCCTGATTCCACACACAAGTTACTCGTCATTCGCCGATAAAATTAAATTAAAAATAATTCTAATTTATCTGTATAGGTACGCTTGATTACGTATTATACATAGTCGTCGGTTTTGTTTACGATGGCGGATAACAGAGAGTGACAGTTAACTGAGTTTCTACTGTATTCAATTTCGTTCGGACGAAAACGTTTTCAAACATCCGCAATGCGATACCGGAGAGTATTGATCCGACTCGTTTCCCGGCTGTGCTACACACCTACGCGTCTATATCTTGCATGCCTCCCTGTTTTCAGATAAAATGTATAAACCCGCATGCGCGTCATCTCTTTGACCTCTCATGACCGTAAGCGTGCTGCAAATATCCGGGCCGCGACGACCCTCCACAGTATTTCGGGACCCTCACCCCTTCGAATACCCTTCGATATTTGCTGAAGGGTTCTCAAAATACACGTAGGTACAAATAAATTCACACGGCGTATGAATTTGCCCGTATCTATTTCATTGACCGAGCGGTAAAAATGTAAACGGTGTTTTCTAGTCATTCTAGTCAGGGTAACCAAAAACAGAATAAACTAATGTACCGACTACGTCTATTATCTCTTTTAATTTTTAAGAACCAGTGTCGAGAATGTACAGGAATTATGTTTAAGTAGTTAAGTAAGTTCACCGGGTAGAAATTTCGCGCGAAATACAGCAAAAATCTGAGTGTTTTTAGTTTTTTCCTACCAAAAAAAGTGTTTTAGAAAAAAAAATACATCTTAAAAAAACTGATCGCTACACTCAGAATCTAAACTTATAATGTATAATTAATAATATAAATTCGTTTATATTTTATTTCAAAGTCTCTGTAAAATAAAATAATATAATATATATATATATATATATATATAAAAAACTTATATATATATATTACATACAGGTGTCCCTACAAAAATGAATATAAATTACAAAGAAGGTCTATTTTAAAGCTCGACCACTGAAACCGACTTGACCCTTCGTCCGGAATTCATTAGGTATATAGACGTACCAATAGAAGCTATCGAAGAGCACACTCAGCAGATTGTATAATTACATAATATATATATTATTTCATAATAATTGAATGTCAATTAAAAATTCAACGTCCTTCTTATTTTGAAATCACTGTACGTTCTGCTATGAAATTTACATAATTGTATTCGGATGATTAAATGCATCACTAATGACACTCATAATAATTTAAAATTTAATAGAGGAGGCTATAGGTACCCGCATTCACTGGCTTAATAGGCAGGGGCGTCATTTGCGGAATGCAAGGGTGTACAAACGTATTCGGTGAATTTTTTATTAACAAACCTGAAATGTTTAGACGTAGTTAATTGCATATGATTTATATCTAAAAACGCTCATTTTATAATTTTACAAAAATGTTTTTTTATCACTTATAATTTTAACAGTATCAGAAGACATAAAACACTGTTATACACAATAGTATAATATTAGTATTATAACACCGACTACCGAATAAAGATAGGTTTGTTAAATTAAAGCGTAAACGAATTTCTTTAATGTACTATAAAATATATGCTTACATAATTATGCATTTTGTAATACGGTTGAGTTTTTTTAATTGTGTGAATTTCAGGACATGATTACCTACTCGCAATTAAATTACGCTTATTTGAAATAGGTACCTATAGGTACTGTTGACTTTTAACTACCTATATGATTGTGTTTTAACTTATTATGTTTATTATACTATACGTAATATATTATTTGTTCTGATAGTTAACTCATTAAATAGGTAATTTGTGTGTCTTTTATTTTAACATAAAATAAATAATTAATATTGAAATTAATTTGCAGTACGTTTTTGAAACGTATTATACATTTGAATGTATGCTGATTTAAAAGTAGAGTTAAGTATGGAAATTATTGATTACGCGAGTGGATTTAAAGTTGAATTAAATTTTCATTATACGTTTTGCATCCCATTAAAAAAAAGTGCAATACGCCCCTGTTAATGAGTCTCAGTCCGACTAACCATACGTTATATTAGAACATATACATTGTGGCGTTTAGGCTGAAATTAGAGTTTAAAATTTAAAGAAAATACTAACATTCGTGTACCGATGTCGATGCGTTTTTCTAAAATATAGCTAAACAAAATAATTACAGCCACGTTTGTTTTTTTTTTTATATATATATTATACAATGTAATAAATAGTTGTCACGTTATTGTTCGAAAATATTTTTGAAAAACAGCAAACGTTATTACCGCCCTCGATCATTTCGTGATTCACGTTTCGACACTATAATTTCTTCGGCGTATTCGTGATCTATGTAACGCATAGCCGGCGGACTGGTGTATAATTTTTGCTACGTCTCTCGTTATAGTCAGTCCGAGACGGTAAAATGCGAATATTACGTATAGGTACAACAGGCCTCATCTCGACGGTATTTTTTTGTTGGAAACAAAAAAAAAACACACACATCCTATAATATAGCAGAGTACTAACCCGTTACCGCGATCAGAAAACAAAAAAAAAAGTCTTTCCGGGTCGTCTCGAAAAAAAAAAAACAATATTCGCACTTTTGGTTGTAGACCGTTATTATTATTGCGACGCGCCGCGCGTGTCGGCAGCGCCGCGGTTATCGACCGGCCGACGGCGACCCGAGTGGGGGAATATTATTTTCGTCCGGACGGCAACGACGTCCATTAATCATAAAACAATTTAATAATATAATGTATATTTTTGTTTTTTCATCGCAGCGTCTTTGTTTGACGGGTCCTCGTTGCGCGGCTGCGGCTGCCGTCCGCCCGCCTTGTAATAATACGAAATCCGTGTCGTCGTAATAATACTTGGCGTTTTCGTATACCGGATACGCCGTCCGATATGGAACCGCGACACGGGTTATAATAAAAAAAAAAATCGCGTGCCTAATATAATATAATATAATATAATATAATGATGTACCCGCGGGCTCGTTCGTTTATCCGAGTCCGCGGGCCAGAGGGTCTTATAATATGCGACGACGTTATAAAAATAATATAAATATAAATATATATATATATATTATACAATACTTACTTAAAATAAAAAAAAAAAACGTTCTTTAATAATATATTATGTCTCGAAAGTCGAAATTAAACTCGTTCACTGTGTAGGAATCCCACAACAGAAACCTACAGCCGGTTGTCATTTAGTCGCGACGCGATTTTTCGCTTAAAACTTGCTTTACGAGAAAAACTCGTAGTATAGCCCGATTTCGATAGAAAATTTTTTAATTTTTTTTTTCTGGAAAGAGTAAGACTTCCCACAAAACTGCATTAAACCCGGTTTTTTAATGTTTTCATCACAGACTTAATAATTCGCCTTTAAAAATAGTCAATTTTTTTTTTCCAATATTAATTGAAATCAAATGGAAAATCGGATTTCAATGCGGTATGCAATATATTGTTTAACAACTCTAAAAAATAAAATATGATATTACACGTTTTCGTTTAAGTACCGAAACACGAATATAGTTTTATAACAATAAAATTCATTGCCATTTAGACGTTTTCGAGTGCTGCACGACGTTTCAGTGTATAATATGAAAATATTGCTTCATATTTTGTAATACGTCATTTATTTATCCGTTCTTCGTAATAATTTTCGTTATTCGATTTTGAGCAAAATCAACATTTCGTATTCTTACACGAGAATTTAATATGTTAAGGTTAACATTTCTTAAACTGATAATCATTGGGTAGGTATACTATTATAAAGAAGTATATATTATAATCATAATCGTACGTACGTAAGGGATAGGAGATACAGCTGCCTTCCCTACAAGATTTACTAACAAAGTAATATTTTTTTAATTAAGTAAGATTATTCATTTTTAGAACATAAAAAATTAAACCCTTACATCAAGACGCATAAAACTTTAATCTAGTGTATATAAGTATTTTTAAAGACATTCTTTTGTCGTCACCATAAAAGCAAAATTGTTAAAACTATGTTTTCTTCTTTTATTATTATTTAAAGACTATAAGTATGCAGTTTTCTAAGTGGTTTTATTTTAGATGTGGAGCGTAGTGAGGAATGTATTTGTTTTACAATGATGTTTATTTTTTTTTAACATTTTTTTAACCAGAAATCTTATTCCTATTTTCAAGTGTAGTACACTTTCTAAAAGGAAATTTTATCTTGGTGGTATTTTAAACAGATCATTTTTTGATTTTTCAAACGTTTTTCATAATAATTAGGAAAAATATAGAAAAAACGTGAAAATGTACATACACGTATAAAATAAACTTCACTCCAAATCGTTTTTCGTTAACAATGGTTTGTCGTTGTATACAGTTATAAATTACATTTTCCTCTATATCCTATCTTCCTAATTTCTCACTTACAACAGTGGCTCACCCGTGGTACAAACTGCGAAGTATATCCGTCTTTTTTCATTATTATTAACATGGAATTATCGAAAACGGTTACTATAAATTACACAATTGGAGAATCTAAATATGAGTGTTTTAATAGTTGCATAACTTCCAATGTCGTCCATGATTTTGATTTCAATAATGATCGTTGCCTCCCTTCCCTTACCAATAGAATCTCGGCTCTCATAAATACAATTTTAACATTCTCAAAATTATTATTATCTTCGACGCGTTTTATTTGTTTTTATCTTTTTTTTTTTTAGGTAAGTAGATAGGTACGTTTATTTAAAAATTATACTTTTTTAGTTTTCAAATTAGGTACGAGTAGCAGAGCTGTATTTAGAATTTATAGGCCCCTAGGCTCAACCTGTAGTGTGAACCCTATCAGAAAGTTTTTAGGAAATAGGAAGGGCATACGCACAAATAGAGGGTGCTAGAGAGACTAAGCCCCTCTAAAATATACATTTTTTATATTTCCCAAAATTGAATCGACTAAGCCCTCCCACAAATTTGTTGTTATAGTTATCTCATACTATAGAAATCGTAAGAGTGTTCAGAATGGACCTTCAGCACTCCCCCTTAGTTTCAAACATTATTTGCATCTATGAAAAAAATGTTAAAACTAATATATACTCCTCAAAAAATGACGGTTTAAGCCAACTCTAAAACACATCCCAGTGCTGACACGGCGTATGGAAAATTCTCATTAGACTATTATTAGATTAGATCATAAGATTTACAAGATTTAGGCTTTATTTTTCTCTACCCTTTAATATGTTCTAGTTTATTTTTCGTAATTGCGTAAATTCCATCATACACTATGGAGTAGAGAGTACTACACTGTAGTCTACTACTACAATGTCCATACATCTTCAGCGTGGTCTCCCTCATGGTCTTGTTCCTTACATTTCTTCACTTATTTCAGATTCTCTTCATTATTCTTCCATCTGCTAGCCAAACACGCCCTATCCATTCAGTCTTGTACTCCTAACGAATTGAACCACATTTTATATTTTATAAAGTACACTTAATTGATTGTTTGATCTAATTTCCCATTTCTGCTCTTCGTGATTATATACTGGGCCATGTATTTTTCTTAGTATCTTTCTCTCAAATCTCAAGAGCTTTTCATAGTTACCCAAGTGACACAGTCATATGAAAGAATTGATCTCACATAGCTAATGTATAATTGATCTATTTTTTTAGATTTTAAATGGAGCGAAGAATGTATTGGTTTTACAAAGATATTTATTTTTTTTTTTATGTGAACACTATTTCTACCAGAAAGCATACTCTGATTAACAAGCATAGCATCTTTTCTGAAAGGAAATGTTCTCTAGGTGGTTCTGTAGAAAAAAAATTATCATTGATTTTTGAGATACTGAGGAAAACCTGATTCTTTAGGTTAAAAAGTATTTAAAGATTAAAAATATGGTTATCATTGGCAACCGTTTTATTTATTTTATTGTTATTATTAAGTTTTTATTATTTTAAATCTTTTTTAAACAATCATTGTTGTCATGAAAACGCACATTGTTGTAATCATTTTACCATAATAGGACAAACACATATACATTATTGACAAAGCAACACTATCAACTGAACTCCACTCAGAATGAATTATTGTTGTTTACAGATATACATCCCAGATATATATATATATATATATATATATGATTCCCGTCTATATCCTACCTTCCCAACTTCCCACCTACAAAAGTGGCTGCACTCACGTGTGAAGTATGTTCGTCCTTTTTTTTGATATTAATTTTGGCCTTAATAGGTTTGCTAAAGCACAATAGCATCTGTTTGCTATGACTAGTCTTATGTTTAACTTGTCATGCATGTTATTTTGCTTGTCTAATTTACACCCCTAGATATTTGAAGTCTCCTATCTGTTCTATTCTGTTATTACCTATATTTATGCCTTTTATAATTCCTACTTTTCTTGTCATTATCATGTGCACTAAAACTTCTTTTTTCCATATTAATTCTTAATCCAATATTTTCTCCTGCTTTCATCATTTACTTCATGCTCTTTTTCATCCCTTGTGTTTTTTCTATAATCACAATATCGTTAGCATATGCAAGTATTATATTTCCATTTCTTAATGATATTGATTCTATTCGTGGTATTTTTCGTATCATACTCTTTAATGTGAGGTTAAATAATACCGGTGACGTAGCGTCTCCTTGGTGTAATTCATTTGCGATCTTAAAGGGATTTAATAATACATTCTTAAATTTTATCCTGCTATAGGTTTCTACGTTGAATCTTTGTATCAGTGTAATTGACTTTTTTGATATTCATATTTATAATATTTCTCCGTGATTTGTCATGTCAAATATGTTGTCCATGGTTGACCTCCCTAATCTAAATCCACTCTGATAGTCGCTAATTATTTTATCTGAGTACTCCTGTAATCTGCTTAATATTAATAATGATAAGATTTTGTACCCAGTATTCAGTAATAATATACCTCTGTAGTTTTCAACTTTCCTCCGATTGCCTTTCTTGTATATAGGATATATTGGTGATTCATTCCAATCTTCTGAGATACTTTCTTCTTCACATATTTTTTGTATTAATCTAAACATATATGATCTTAATTCGTGTCCAATTGCTTTTCATAGCTTTTCATTAATCTTGTACTCTTCAATCGCTTTTTTGTTTTTTACCGTATTGATTACTGTGTATATTTCATCCCAATTCGGTGTTCTTACTTCCGGATCTTCTATATAGTGTACTATAATATTTTATTACTGAGTCTTGCATAGTCCATGTAAATAATATTTAGATTTTGATTTAAAATTTCAGGTGGCTACAGCCCACTCAGCCCCCACCCCTATAATTATGCCCCTGGTTTACATATTATATGTATTTTATATATTTGAGATCTCGAATCCGTACACAAAATATTGTTCGTAAATCCCTTATTTGCACAATTTCTATTACGATTATAGTAATGTACCGACTGTGGGAACAAAAAAAAAACTCCTGTTAGTTCTGGATAATTTTCCGAACAATAATGTAATATGTGTAACTAATTTTTTTACGTTTTTAAAATATGCACGTCAATATTCATTCTCATTTCTGAATAAAATATTCAATCAAATATAACAAACGTAACAGTTGTTAACTACTTCATCTAATTGTAAACTTGCAGTTATTTTATTTACTGTTAAATGTTAATTTTCAAAAGTACTAATATAGTATTTACATGAATTCACTACTACCTATTTAGTTGGCTAGACATATTTGTAGTAAAAAAAAACTAAACTGAGACTACTGATGGGTATGCCACAATTTTTATGTTATTTCAGTGACACATACCTTTTATTGAACCTGTAGGTACTTTAAAGTAGTACACATTATTGTGATATTAATAACCAGTTATTTTAAATGTGGTAATGTTACTGCCACATTGTTTTGTTTTGATAATGAACGTATACTTATTGAAACAAAAAAAAAACAAAACATTCTATACTGATACAAATCTATGACGCTGAATTTAATCATGATACCATTTATTAGTTTATTGTTTACTGATAATACATGGGATCTGGTTTTAATAAAACAGGTTCTGAATTAAATAGATTCATTCGAAATTTAAATATTAAAAAGATTACTGTCAATTCGGAAAAATCAGTATTTATTGCGTTTTTTACCTTACATATAATTGCACACAGTTTGCATTTTAGAAAATAATAAACTATAAAGATTGTGATAAATCTTATAGTGCTAACTGTTTTAAAATTAAAAAAGTACAAAAGTTAAATATTTATATTTGATGTTAGTTTGAAATTTTAAATGGAACTTTCGTATATTAAATATCAATATGCGCTTACGCACTATTATTTATAAACTATTTTGTCTGAATAAAATATTCTCCTCAGATACAATGAAAATTGATTGTACATCACTTAATCAGTCAATTCTATATAATATGGTATAACTTTATGGGGTGGTGCCTCCCAAAAAACGCTAATGTCACTTATTTCATTACAAAATAGTGTTGTTCGTATCTGCCTGAATAAAACATATCGGGTCGGATCTACTAATGATAATTTTAAAAAACTAGGTGTACTTCCTCTGAATTTTCTACATCCTTCCTACTAAAAAATCACTCTTATTCGGATTCAAATATATGTAAACGTGAATCTTTAAGGTATGATTTAAATATAAATTATACAAAAAAAGGTATAGGTCAGAAATTTGTTGATTATTTAGAACCTACCTATTTCAATTATCTAAATACAAATTTTAATAGATATCTTAGAGTAAACAATAATATTAATATTAATAAATCATTACCCAATTTTTTTATATCTAAATTGTAAAAAATTACTTTGTATTTTGTCTTTATTTTCTTTATTGTCTATGTTTTTATCATTGTAAATATATTCAGTTGTAATTTCTAGCAAATAACTCTGTACCTTTAACTCAAGCTTTGCTCAAAGAAGGTAGGCAAACCAATTTGTTTACAGAATACTTGTTTACTTGTACTTATATTTATGCTTGTTTTTACTTGCATTTATATTCTTAATAAATAGTTATTTAAAAAAAAAAAAATTATTGTGTCGGTCTATCATTCTGTAGAGAAAAATTCTGTGATTTTGATGGTAAGTATATTAAACACAAATATCCGGAAATTTGTGACGTGGTGTTTATTTTTCACGGGTTCGTATTATATAAGTATCATCATAATAATATATGGTGAGATTTTTTTTATTTAACAGATACTTTCCGGTGAATATTTCGGGACGCAAAATAACGAATTATGCCGCGGAAATATACGTCTACACAAGTATTGATCTGGTTCTAATACTATACTCCCTACACAGCTGCTATTGGCAACGGTTGCCAAGGCAACACCCCACAACGATGTGAACAGCCGTAGTGGCAGCACGTGTCTTGGACGACACGACGCTCGCACCCCTGCGTAAAATCGAAACAAAGGACAAATTAAAATATTACCTATTTTAAATTTATGGAAATTGTACTTTTTAGTTATTTATTAATTTTATTATCATTAAATTTAAAAATATTATAATAAATAACTATTTTTTGACGTATCTTCGTGTCCGGCGCGAGTGTAATTTCACGAGAGTACCGGGATCCGCGATATGCTGAAACGCGACGACGTCCGAGCTTACACGAGAATCCAAATATACGAACCGATGTGCATGATCGTGTGCGTGCGGATAAATTTAAGCCACGATCGTCCCGACAATAATAAAGTGCAGTAGGACGTCGACTATCCGAACGTCAATCATTTAGACGTCCAATTTGTTTTTAGTCGGTCGAGAAAAAAAAGGTTTGGTCTTTTACAACTCGTAAAGGTACCATCGTGTTTCGTCATTTCGTATAATCATCAAAATCGGAGATTTTATCCACCTTACAATTATCCAACGCTGATTATTATCGGTTATTACCACGGCGGCGTCGGTATTTCGGTATTTTTCTCAGTATCTAAGTCAGTTTATCTATTCATTGTACGGTTTAGTTTTTCAATCATATTATAATAACGAGTCAACTTCAGTGTCATAATGCCGTCTAATAGAAAACGTGTAGTGCTTTCAATGAAAAAAAAAATAGACATAATTGCGAAATTGGAAAAAGGTGAAACACGTCGAGCATTGGCCATAAAGTACGGTGTTGGATTATCCACAATTTCAGATATAAAAAAAAATGCAGACTCTATCACCAGGTACGTAAATAATTTCGATAGTAAAAAAGGTTCTTTAAGTCGTAAAACAATGAAAAAACCTAAAATAGAATTATTAGAAGATGCTGTATTTACTTGGTTTATGCAAAATAAAGCTTCTAAAAAGCCTATATCGGGTCCTTTATTGTGTGAAAAAGCATTATATTTTAACAAAAAACTTAGAGGCGATTCATCATTTGTGGCAAGTACTGGATGGTTGAGAAACTTTAAATCACGCCATGGAATTCGACAAAGAGAGATGTATAGAAAGAATTCGAGTGCAAATATCCCTGCCGCAGAATTGTTTTCTGATAATATCAAAAAATACATTGAAAAATACAAATTTGATATGGATTTCGTGTACAGTGCAGATGAAATAGGCCTCAACTGGAAAGCTTTACCATTAAATTCTTCGGTGTACCAACGTGAGACAGCACTTCCAGGATACAAAGTAAACAAAGACCGTATAACAGTTATGGTGTGTGCAAATGCTGCCGGTACTCATAAAATTCCGTTACTTTTGATTGGCAAAACTAAAAACCCACGTTGCTTTCAAAATGTAAAAATCCCGTTGATGTACAAAAGTCAACCAAATTCATGGATGAATGCCGATTTGTTCGTGGAATGGTTTAAACACACATTCATTCCTGAAGTGAAAAAATTTCAGCAAAATATAGGAAAAGAAGGCAAGGTATTACTATTGTTAGACAATACTCCATCTCATCCTTCGCTAGAAACTTTGAATACGATAAATGATGAGTTCGAGGTAAAATTTTTTCCTTCCAATGTGACTTCAGTTCAACCTATGGACCAGAATGTGATAGAAACATTTAAAAGATTATACAGAAAAGAATTTATCTGTCGCTTAATTTTAGATGACATAAATGACGAGGAAATTTTTCTGTCCGTTTATAGAAAAATGAATTTGAAGGACTGTTGCTACATGCTAGTCGAAGCATGGGATTGTGTACAAAAATACACTTTAGAAAGTTCATGGGATAAGCTACTGAATCGAACTGAAGACACCCAAAACGAGGAATTCAATATCGAAATAGCTGAAATACACGAATGTATAGGCCAAGTCTACGTATTAAGGGATTGTGAAGAAGAGGATATAAATGAGTGGTTGCTTATGGATACAATTGATCCAGGATACCATGTACTTTCAGATAATGAAATAGTTCGCAGCGTAAATAAAGAAGGTGACACTGAAGAAGATGACACTGAAGAAGATGACACTGAAGAAGAGGAATATGAAACTGATGATGATTCAACTGATTGTGAATATGAGTCGTCTCATTTTGAAGCTTTAAGTGGGTTGGATTTTGCATTTAAATGGTTTGAGAGGCAAAGGGAATCGAACCCAACTGAATTGTTACAGTTAAGGAAATTAAGAGATTTAGCTGCTCTAAAACACAGTCTATACAAAGAACCAAAATAAAATATCATAATTTTTCAATACCTTTGTAATAAATAATGTACACACCAAGTGTTTTCTTTTCTTTTCTTTTTTTTACTTTTAAAATATTTATAGCTTGTTCCTTTTTATTTTCATAACATTAATTACTATCACAAATGTCAAATTATATTAAAAATAAAAATGCAATGTATATATTTTAATCTATCATATTTCAATTATCATGATATTTGTTTATCCAGACCATTCTGGACATCAATTAATCCAGATAGTTGGAGTTTTTCTGTAAGAATATCAAAAAAATAAATTTAATTTGTCCTATGTTTTTTCAATTTATACACTCGCAGAAAGCATTATAAGTAGTGATAACATTTAAGATCAGAACAGTTAATCATTATAATTATAAAAATGTTTTTTAGTATTATAAAAGTATGTTTATTAATATATTTTTGAAATTCTAAGATAGTGGATTTTTTCATATCACCTCACTCTCCTCATTAGCGCCCATAAGCCGCCATTGCGAACCGAAGAGAGATATTTGCTCCAGGATTTGCTACCTATCAATAGACGATGTAAAATGTAAGTACTCGTATAAAACAATAAATTCACTATTATTGCTGCTGCTATTGCTGCTACTACTGTTGTTGCTACAGAAAATCTTGCTCCAATAAAAAACATTATTATAGGAACTTTCATCAATATTGTAGCTTCTTTTGAATATAGATTCGACTCAACACTACAACACAATATTTTTGTTCTTGTCTTATTTTGTAAACAAATGCAAACAATTATGTTTGTCAATAACTACTATAGTAACATAAAAAAAGTATCGAAAAAATATCTCAAAAATCGGGGGGTGGAAACGGGGAGTCACGGGAAACACGTTTTTATTTGGTTTTAAATTAAACACTTTTTTTTTCAAAATCGATGCATACTCGTATCCCGCTATAAATAATGCACTGCTACTGCATGTATGTCCACGAGTCATAAGCGGAAATGTATAATAAATAATAATATTATATTATAATATACGATTTTATTTGGTGTATATAATTATATATTTTATAAGCGTATAAATTACGAACACTTTCACATAACCGTCACGATTATGTATACGTACTATAATTTATTATTATAAGTTCCTATACGTATAATAATAATAAAGTACGTATAGTAGTAGTAAACAAGGCCGATAAAATATTATTAAATAGGTAGTGGTGGTCGACGTCGTTCGTGTCTTACGCGCTATCAACGCAAACATTATAATAATTTTCATTAATTTATATACTTACGGGTGTATAATAATATTATTCTAGAGAGAAGGTTTAACCAATTTAGAGATTCTGCGGCTCCACGGACACAATATTAATTGTTATCCCTACTTTATACAGTGACGAAAAATTACAACAAAATTACAGTCTTCTTCTGCAGTAGGTTGTTTTTTTTTTTAGAATGTGCTCTATTACCTATAATATGATGATGATGATGACGATGATAACAACAATATTTTAGAACGTGCGTTTTCCATCGAATAGTTGAAAAAAAAAGGAGAATGCGTGCCACTTTACTCTAAATTATCACGAGAAAAATGATTATTATTATTAAACCATCAGGGACATCAATTTTACAGTCCGTGCAGATGAATGGAAAGTTTACCGTATAGCTGCAGTAATAATCTATACGGTTATAAATGTTATGCTGCGTACAAAGTACGGCGCCATAATACACTGTTAATTATTATTATAAAACGTGCCAGTGGCCGCGCGCGTCTTGAATTCGCGCGATTATTGAATATATTTTTTATGCCGTGCGTAACAATAATATTATACGGACATCATTAAAGTGAAATTCGGAGTATGCCCGAAATTCTGAAACTTATGATAAAACTAATTTGGGTAAGTACTGAAACGGAAAGGTCTATAAATCCGACGACGAACGGTTTTAGAAATACCTTTTCGGTAATGTAATAAATGCGATTAAAAACACGATTAAAATCTTCAAAAAATAATGCCGTGGCGAGTTAAATATTTACTAAGACGTACAATATACATGTTATTGTAGGTAGTATTATATATTGTATAATATAGTTTTCGGAATTAAATGAAAATGTTTTTAAAAAAAATTGAATAGTTCTAAAAATCTTAAATTAATCTTACACATCTTTAAATTTCCGAAATTAATTGTTATGTAAATCTGGGATTTACCATCAAACAAAAAATATACTGTGGTCTTTTTCCAGAAGCATTATTTTTTATCGAAAAAAAAAAGTGAATATGCGTGTAGGAAATTGGTTTGTCGGGAGTCGTATTTAATTTGTATGTGCATTGCGTTCTATGTTTTGTTGGGTGAAGGAACTGTAGAAATTAGAAAATTAAAACAGTGTTCTAAATAAGGTAGTCACGATAGCCGATTTATACCTATGTGATAAATTTATGTGTACACTTTTGATTCAGACAACTATTGTTTTAAAAAATGTTCGTAAACGCACGACGGTTATTGCAAGTAAATATATAAACAAATCAATTAAGCCTTCGAATTGTATATTATGCATATATCACGGTACCTGTACACGTATAATATTCAAATATAAAATTATCATCAGCAGACACTATTATTAAAATATAACAGTAATATTTAAATTAGATATTTTAAACATATCAAACTACTTAACATATGCATTATATAAACTATACACAATAATAAAAAAAAAAAAAAACTCGAGTACTTGATTCCGGTAATGAAGCGACACTGTATATCAGTAAACAAATAATATGTTAGAAATGTATTCCTATAGTAAAATCTTGCCAAAAAAAAAAAAAAAAAAAAAAAATGTCCGAAGCGCTTTTATTAGTATGCGTAACACGCGTGTGCGTGAAAAAAAAATATTGAATTTGGGGCTCTCGAGTATGATAAAACCGCCCTCTTCCCCCTCTCCCTCTCGCTCAGTGTTCAGTCCGGAACCGGAATACGTAGATACATAATATTATAATAATGCGTGTAACGCCCCGTGGCTGCAGGATAATATAAAACAAGTTAATAAATAATAACATTATAATATACAGGTGTTTCTAAAGTGCCGTAACAGTACAATAACTAAAGCGATACACTAACGATAAAATTGTTTGCTTTCTCCGCTAAAATAAATAATAATTATTGCAAATGTCATTTTTATGGCGTCCATACGTATTATTAGCTATTTAGCTAAACAGTAAACACAATAAACTAATTTCCATTATTTAATCGTCGCACGTCCTTACGGTGAAACGATTATCATCATAAAATGCAAATTAACTCATTGTAAAATCAATGTTTTTATTTTTTTCATATTTGAAAATTCGAGAAAAAATTAAATAAATTAGTCACATGATACAATTTTGAAAATATAATTTTATAACTTCAATTCAATATAATTAAATTAATTTTGGGAGACAGTCCTGGTCTCATAAACTTAGCTTAGCCACATTGTTTTATATTGGTTCTAGTGAAATAAATAGCAGGAAAATCCTCGCAAATTAAATGCAAAATATTGGTTTTGGTTTGAACTTAGTGTCATGTTAAATTTGCATTCAGCAGACACTACTCCGTGCAATTTGAGTGAATTGATTTATAATCAAATTTAGACAAGAACAGTACCTGTACAACAATATTGGTGTTTTTCGATATTTTAATTTTCAAGCGAGATATAAGTATGTGAAATAACTATCACAATATAAAAGTAATTATATTTCGTTTGATAGCATAAAAAAAAAGACGTGTTGCATAGATAATTTTCTTATATTTAAATTTGACAATATTTCAACTAGCAAAAAGTAGCTAAAACTAACAGCAGTACAACACTGAGTTATGTCTAAAATAAAATAATAAATTAGAAACAAAATTATTAAAATGATTAACACTCGTAAATAAATATACAAATAGAAAATTAATATATAAAAATAAAATAAATAAATGTGTCACCTGGAGTATTAGGATAGGTATATTATACGGTTTCAAATTAAAAATCCACCATCAGGTATATGTGAAACAGTCAAAATGTAAAACACGACTGAATATAAAAATTAAATGAAGGAATACATTGAAAAAAAAAAAAATATACAAATTGGTCGTTTTACATAGAATATAGAAATAATATATTTCAATAAGAGAGATTAATTAAAATTAATTATCAGACATAGATATGTTAAGAAATATAAATTATTTGGTTATTATTTATTATCTAAAATGTATTGACATAAGATATTATTTTTAAAATTGATTCGAACATATACCATTATACCTGACGATGGATTTTTAATTTGAAACCGGCCGTACAATACACCTATCATAATACTCCGGGCGACACATTAATTAATTAATTTTATTTGTGTATATTAATTTTCTATTTATATATTTATTTACTATATTTAATGTAATTATATTGAACTATATTGGAACCAAGAGCGGATCCAGGATCTGTTTACGCTGGGGCCACTTGATTTAGACATATTTCTGCTATGGGTATTGAATTTTTAATTATTAATGAAGCCATACATAGTAAATTAATAAACTATAGTGCAGTATAATAAAAAAATGTATGCTATAGATAGTATTATCAATTGCGTATTATTATTTTGTATGTATAATTTAATAATTATGTATAGGTATAATACAATATGTACAATAAATAAAATTGTTTTTTTTTTTTTTTTTTGATAAACGAGGAGGGCCCTCGATCCACCCTCGATTGGAACGAGTATCTATACGTAATATGCATACGTATTAATTAATAGTGGAAGACGAAATGAAAAATGAACGTTGACTAAATTAATATTAGTATTCTCGTTGGTTATAAAAATTACTTTATATATTACTAACATAGGGATGAACGCAAGAATAATATTTGTATGGGATAGATGGGAAGGGGTAAATAATTTAATTTTTGAATATCGTTGTAAATTAATAGTTTATCAAATTCATTTGGATTATTTTAAACACAATATATAGAATACCCACTTAGCACTTTATATCTATATTTCTAGAGGTGGGTTTGAACTGTTTGAAGCACCTCTGCCCCTGCATTTGTCACTGCTACCAATTACTAAGCGAGAGGTTTATAAAAAAATATCAATTTCAACTACACCGTGTATATTGTGTACCTATAAATACCTATAAATTATAATTTTGAAAACAGTAAAAATGTACCTACCTACTTTACAGGAAAAACGATGAATTGGAAACATTGAAGAACAAAAGATTACAATTGGCTGGACATACTCGGCGTAGCCGAAACCTGCTCATACGTATAGTAATAGAAGAAAATCGTACAGGGAAAAGACCGCTAGGAAGGCCACGCCTGAGATGGGAGGATGTAGTAAGAGATGATGTGAAAGCGTTAGTAGGAGTTTAGACTGGAGAATACAGGTATCAAATAGAATGAACTGGTGGCAAGGATGTATATCGGGATGGTCCTAGTGGCTGAGAGTAGGTATCTATGAAGAAAAAGAAGATAAAGTACCTACCTACTTAAAGTTTTCGTTCTGAAGAAATGGTTCGACATCTTCGTCTCATCGTGATATTATCACACGGTAAAGTGTCGCTCGATGAAATGGCGTGCCAGGAAGTAGCTGTGATCCGAGAATCGTGCGTATATTACAAGTAGGCACAACGCGTTCCCAATAGGTGAGTGCAACTGTGCAAGTAGACAATTTCGTCATGTTCACGCACTTCGTAATACCCGTAAAGCTTTAAGTATACCTACTTAGAATGTCATTTTAAACCGGCGTAGTTACATTTGTATATCTATAACCTATTGCATATTATTTTATTCGTTTTATAGGTACCTATCTACTTAGTTAATATTATTTTAACAACCGGTCTGGTTAGCTTAGGTACCAATCTGCCTACCTCATGCCTGTCTACCTACCTACGTCAGTTGCTCGTTCCGTTTTCACATTATGCAAGTACTTAGGTACCTACTTAGATATTTACCACCCGAGTCGAGTATCCAATCTATACGATTTAATTCGATTTATATAGCCATTATAGCCTATATAAATATAACGTACTAGCATACTATCTATAGGTAATCTATATAATATAGGTAAAGGTAAAGTAAACCTAGCCATAGTACCTACGTCACTTATGCATTTTAAACATCATAGTTGGAACGTATGCACATTATACTACCTATTTTATGCCTATAACCATGATACCTATATATTAATATTTATATGTCTATGAGTGCAATTAATTGTGTGTAAGGTGGAAAACGCTATTCATATACGAATTCATATATGTTTTTTATGTTGCGCACTATTCGATTTGTGTATAGGCGATACTGACATAGGTATAATGTTTACACTAGCTAGTATATTTTTACAAACTTATTTTGCATTGTTAACAAATTTTAGTTTTTATTCTTGAAACATTTCAGCGACATTTCAGTTGTCAGTAATATTTGTGTACACATTAACTCGCTCACGTAATCATTAACAATAAATGATCACCTATATTTATGGTGACCAGACGTATTCTTTTTCGTAGGACAATACTCTTTTTTGATGCATTGTCCTATGTCCTTAACAATAGTGTTAAGTACATGAAATTTTACTCTTTTTTTGAAAATGTTATGGGCTAATACATATGTTTATGCTTTTGTATTATTTGATTATTCGTTTATATTTTAATACTTTATGGTTCGACATACTTAATGCATTCCAATTGTCTACAAGTGGCTGACAATGGTAGCGACAGCTGGAGAACAACTGTTTGGCGTAAAAAAAACGTTGTTAACATCATAACCCCCAGAAAAATATTAATAAAGTTTTGTTTATTTTTAAAATTATCTATTTAATTGTATTTATTTATTTATTTACCATAATTTAAATATTTATAATTGAGTTATACATGTATACTCTAAGTTTACTTAAAATTCAAAGTATTATATTATAGTAGTTAAGTTTATCATAAAGGTACAAACCAAATGAGTTGGCATTATGATTTCAAATAATTTGTTTTTATAGTTAATAGAAATTGAATAGAAAAAATAATAACAGAGTAATCAGATTAAACAAAAATGTATATAGATGGAGATGACCTATGGGCAAATGGGTATTCTATTGGTAGAATAGTATACAAATTGACCAATTATTTCAAGGGGAGGTTATTTTTATAATGAAGGACCTAAATTTTAAAATGTACTTTTTTTTGGATTTTTATATCTGGTCACCATACCTATATTTGACTAGTAGATAAGTATAAGTCAAGTCAGTCTGCAATAGTCAACTAAAATCTAATCAATACTATGCATCTAATTTAAAATCCTCAGAAATAATTGCTGGTTTAGTACAGATTAGTAGAATTACACTTTTAACCAAAATTAAATAATCAAACTACACTATTTAATGTCAAAATAAGTTTGAAAACACCAATTAGTAATTTAACTAGTGTCAATATTTTAGAAACAAATAAATTCAACCTCAAATAACAATTTTAAGAATTTGTTTTAATTAAAATTGAAAAAGAACATAGAAACGTCAGGAAAATTTATGAAAATTGAATGCTTTTATTATTTTATTATTTATTTTTTTTTATTGTAATTCAGTTAAATATATTAGTAAACTTGAAATTTTGATTAAGAATACTTACATTTACTTTTTTCAGGCGTATATTTTCAAAATATTGAAGCCATTTTTGAGCTTTCTATAGACAGGGCTACTCTGTAGATAAAATTGTTAAACAGAAATACTTAACAATTTAAATTTGACGGTGGGTTCATTATAATTGTACTTAGTGGTGAGAAAAACAAAAAAAGAGTAGAATGTATTTTTTTTTTTTGATTTAAAAATCAAATTTTAATAAAAATCATAAATATTAAGGCCCTTTAAAACATGTAAAGCCAAAATTCGGTCCAAATCATTTTTCAGTAGCAATAGTTGATCATTGTTTACAAGTATAATTAAATAACTTCATGTATCCTACCTTCCTGGCATCCCATCTACAAAGTCACACCTTTCCTCAATATGAGCTTTTTTTAAAATTATTATCATTATTTTAAATTTGACAATCTAGCCCAGGTTTGCAAATCTTTTATATGGTACTTGACAGTTATTGCTCAACCAAACATACAAATGAATAATAAGTAAATAAATTGTATATTATTATAGTAAAAATGTAAAAATGATTATATATATATATATATATATGTAGAATAAAAATAATACATCATAATTATTTTGAATTGAGATGTAGGTATGAACTCAGAAATGTCTTTTAAGTTAGTTTCAAATGCATTTAGATTCTAAATTGTGTTCTCCACATAAACTATGTCAAGTACAATTCTAGAAAATTTCTATTGGTTCCACGACACTTTATAGTTGTTTCTCTATGTTTTAGGAGTTTGCTCCTGTGTCTGGATCAACAAAATTATAGGTATGGTTAACAGTATTATGTTAGAATCCCATTTTTTTTCATATGTTTAATTATTATTTTTATATTGTTTGGCAGGACAATAACAAACAAGTACCCTTTACATTAATTAATTACTTTTAAATATATTTATTAATTTTTAATCCTAAAAAATTTATTAGTATGTAATATTTAAAAGTACCAATACAAACAAATAATAACATAATTTTAAGTTAAGAAGTGTACAAAAAAATATTTATTGCAATTTTTTTTTTGTAAAATTTTACTATCTTGAAATTAATTACTAACACAATTTGATTATAAATGGTTTCAATATGATCATATATGGTTATAGTAAAAAACAACAAAAATAAAAATAAAAATAATTATATAAAATATATACTTAAAATAATGAAACATTATTTCACATAGATTGAAGTAATTTATCAAATAATACATCTCTAGTTTTTGGTCTAGGGTTATCTTTGATTGTAGTTTGTACAGCACCTGTTTGGCCTAGCATCCATTCAAACTCTGAAACACAAATTTACTTTTATTTAATAAATACAAATTTAATTTTATAGTGATAAGTGATAAGTGGAACTTTTCAAATTTCATACTGAACCTTACTACACTTGAGAATCAGCCCTCCCCCTATAGTGAATCTTTATTTTCATTATTTTGAAATATAATGCACATGTTAACAAAATATAAAGTCTTAGGCATACAAAATATTTTAATAATTTATGTTAATATTGTTAACCAAGTAAAATAAATAATTGATATTTTATTATATTATGTTATGGCCATGATACCTAAAATTGGACTTTCACAATTAAATTTCTATCATGAAACAAATCTCAACTGATTCAACTGTTTGAAATATTTTTCATGACTACTGATACTAAAAACTTAAATGCTGTGACAAGTACTGTCATGACACAGATATAATGTACAGAATATAGAAATTTACAAAACTACATAGACAAAAAATTCAAAATCGTTCACATGGATGCATATAAAATGTGTTTTTAATAAACATACACTATTATTAGGTAAATTAGTTTTAATAATAAAAAAAACAGCCAAGAAGAGCGTGGGAAAGGAAATATAAAATTGTTTCCGACTATACTCCGACCCACGAGAGATCATTAACGTTTCGCGCATGTCAACTGAAGGCAGTGACCGACCCGAAGCTATATTTCCCACACCATGTGCCACGACAGTCACGTGATACGGCGCGATACAGAGTGTTATAAATGCGTGTTATACTATACAAAGTGATAAAGTAATAAACATATTTTTTTCTTTTATAATATTAATATTTATTTTTCAAGACAATTTATTATATGATATATTATAATGTATTAACTATTTTAGAACAATATATTTAGAATAATAATTATTTAAAAAAAAAATATTTACAAAATATACAAAACTAATCAGAACAATCAGAAGAAATATCTCTTTTAATTTGTATTACATGTTTCATCTAATACTTCATCAGAAATGAAATCGACACTGCACAATTTATCCTCTTCCTTATTTGTGTGTTTGACAAAATTGGTCCACATGTCTGGTGTTACGAGTTGGACGCCATCGATTGATAATTTCTTTAGGTCGTTCAACTTGAATGTCATATTATTATTTTTTACATGATATTTTACAACTGACCACGCTAATTCTATCGGGTTAAGTTCACAGTGGTAAGGTGGCAGACGTAATACCACTTTATTTGATTTCAATGCCTCTTCATCAATAACATATTAATCATGAAGAGGTCTAATTTCTCGTACCTTTTCCATCAATAGACATTTGACCATCAGCTTATCGATAATACAACCTTTGACGTTAACCGTTCTTCTATTATTTTTTTCCAAGCCATTGTAGGAATGGGGTCTTTTTTGACCGAGTGATACAAAGTATTGCCCATGACTATTACAGAGTTCTCTTTTAATTTGGGCAAAACTCCGCAAAACCCCGTTTATTTATTTGAGGTAGGCTGCTGTGTTTTTTTCGATTCAAAACACAATAGACCACCTTCGACGAAACCATCTGCTGAACCTATGTGTACAACAATCAAATTATTAGTACACATAAAAATTATAATACAATATATATTTTATTATCTGCTGAAAAATAATTTAAAAATTCTTACTTTTCCGTTTTTATTCCTTTTACTGGGCGAATTATGTAATTGACCACACATATTTTGAACGGCAGGATCACAGTGTAAATAATATAAAATACAAAATTAAAAAGTAAGCGCACTCAACACACAACAGTAACGTCCTCACTACAACTGATTGTATACAGTTTATATTGCGTTCCACACTGTATGGCGTTGAGCGCTACCAGTATTGGTATTTACTGAACAGCTGTATGCGCGAAATCGGACACGTTTTGGTCGTAACACGGTAATGATCTCTTGTGGGCCGGAGTATAGCAACTATTTGAAATTCATTAAACGGCGAACAGTCAATTACTTCCACTGACTTTATTTACTATCAATTGACACCCACTTCCATTATTTTAAATATGTTTATACCTATACAGAATTTTTTGAAATATTTATAGTGAAGTAACTGTACAAAATAAATTGTTCAATTCATTCATATATAGAAATTTCACTGTCATAGTTATTTCATTATAAGAATGTCACGGTGTGAGCTCATTCCAAGTCACGTATACATGAACATTTTTAATGTCAATATCTTGAAACTTGATAACACTATATCATAATATAATTTTCCAGTAACTCATATCATATTAATGTTAATCATCAATGAAATATGAATGAGTCATTCAATGAGTCATGTATATGAAATTTGATGTTATATTTAATAACATTATTAAATATTAATTAAATATTAATTAAATATTAACTGTGTATATTAAAAATAACAAATTTATATGACATTTAATAAAATAACCAAAATATTTACAGGATTTAAACTAGTTATTTGGCAGTATTTTAAATTGTGATAGTCCAATTTATGATCTATAAATTATCTTAATTAGGTAAAAGTCAATTGAATATAAATTTCTATTTTCAAAATTGTTTAAGAAAACTAACTATATTAGTAAAGTACAATATCAATATAGAATATTTTACTATACTGGTGCAAAATGATTGTTTATATGTAAAATATAGCTGGCCAACAATAATTGTTCAAATTATTCCTTAAAATTAAAACAAAAAAAGTTTCTACAATTTTTTAATGGAATCCCATAAAGATTATTTTCAACACTTCGAAATAATTGTCAATTGCAACATTCTAAGAAAAATCTTTAAAAACGGAATAATAAATTAAGATTAGTTATATTAGTTCATACATTGGATCTCTACTGCATTTTATTTATATTATACATACATTGAATAAAAATATTCATATGAAATAGAAGTTTTCAAAATTAATTATTTTAATACATACCATCTTGAGTAGTTGTTAACGAGAATAGTCTTGGTCCAGCAAATTGCTGTTTTAGATCGCCTTCATGATAAATGAAAATTGTCGGTAAATTACTGTCTGGGTAATTTGGGATGCAAGTTGTTGAAATGCTTTTGACAAATTTGGTCGCAGGAAATTTTCTTGCTAAATTATTTAAATATTCAGCCAGCAATGCACAAATTGGGATGCTATAACAAAAAAATTAAAAATTTCAGATCAAATTAATGGGAGATTCAGAGAAATAAGAAGTTGTTATATTAAAACTTTAACAAATAAAAACCTATATAATATATTAAGTAATTATTAATTATTTAGAATAAAATATTCATAAATAATCTTTTATATACAAATTATATACTTTTTTTTAATACCTATTTTGTTCATCCCTGAAAATAAGTTGTATTAACAATAGGATGGATATAACGGTTAAGTAAAAAGATAATAACCCATTCAAAAATACTATAATCTTACATCTGAAACTGAATAAAATGTGGATTTAAAATAATACCCTTGTTTATACAACAGCAAAACCACCCAAATTCCAGGTCCTGCTTTATTAATTTGGTTCACAAAATCTTGACCACTTATTTCAACCACGTCGCCAAAAATGTTTTTTTGTGCTTGGGCTTTCAACTCAGCTATCCTACGTCTCCGAAATTCTTCTAATATTCGTTCATCTTCATCGTCTTCTAATTCATCCAGTTCATCCAATGACATATCAACCATATCTTTTTTATTTCCTATACAAATATAAATACAAACTAATTATAGAGCTATTAGGTTTTAATGCAATTTAATAGTTATTGAAACCAAATATATTTAATTTTACCATTTTGTTTTTCTCGGACAGTTTGTTCTACAATATTGATCACATCTTCTTCTGTTATTTCTTTTTCTTTTTTTGGTGGAAGAATTCCTTTGGAACGCAATATATCGTTCCACTCTGTATCTTCATCAGGGTTCTAAAATAATATAATTTATAGGTATACACAAAATTCTTTAATATTAAATATTTTAATTACCTGCATATTTTGTTCAAAAACAACTGATAGAAAAATAAAAATACTGGTTTGCTTTTACAGTCGATATCACTCTGAACTAAACTAATCCATAAATGGAGTGAAAGATTTGAAGATTTAAATTTTCTGAAAGTTACTATATTTATATTTTAATGAAATTAATACTAGGTTTATAGTATCAAATTTTATTGAGGTTATAACACAGATTCTGTGGTTATAATTTATTTATTTGGATATCGTATAGCCACAGTTGTTCTATGGTAACAGTAAGATAACACCATATTGTCTTTTATCTATTTCTTATCTAGATTTTGTAAAGATAACACATTATGTTTATGTATTAAAAACAGAAAGTAGTTAAAAAAAAAAACAAAAAATAATTATTTAATCATTTATAATTATTTAAATTTGTGAACACAATAATTTTTATTTTATTAGGTAAGTACATCGCAGATTACTTATTATATTTTGAAACTTCAAATTACATGTTTTTTACCTATTTTAAATTATATTGCAATTCAACACATCAAAATGGGACTAATGACTGTTTTAAAGAAAATGAAACAAAAGGAAAAAGAGATGAGAATTTTAATTTTGTATCCTTTTCAAAATATATAATATTTTATCTAATGATACCTATTATTAAATAACTGATAATATTTCAATTTGCACTCAATCTCTGATATTTTAGTTAAAACAACAAATTTGTTAAATTGTACCATGTAAAATATTGATGAGTTTTGTTAACATTTAAACTATATTTGTTAGATTAACCTTAATAATTTTAAATAGAGGTTTAGATAATGCTGGAAAAACAACAATTCTAAAAAAATATAATGGAGAGCCAACCAATACTATTGAACCAACATTGGGTTTCAACATCAAAACGCTAGAGCATAAAAAGTAATTACTTTTAAAAATTTTAAATCTATTCACATTCATTACCTAGACATGTTTTGTAAAAAGGCTGATCATATTTATGTTCAAAACATATTAAAATGGTCATATTACATATACTCAATAAAACTTTCATTAAAATAACTTATTTTTCATAAATATATTTATTCTAAAATTGTATACTTAGTATACACATAGGTACCTATGTACACAGATAATTATATTATATTTTTATAATTGTTTTAGTTTAACTTGTATAACATTGTACAATTTTTTTTGTTTCAGTTTTAAACTCAATGTTTGGGATGTTGGTGGCCAAAAATCATTGCGTTCATATTGGCGTAATTATTTTGAAAGTACTGATGGTCTCATATGGGTGGTTGATAGCGCAGATAAAAGACGATTGAGTGATTGTACAGCTGAATTGCATAGTTTAATCGAAGAAGAGGTAAAAAATTAAGATACATTATATTAAATCCATTAACCACTATTTTCAGTTTATTAATTATAAATGATGTTTCACCTTTAATTTAAAAAAATTGTATTATCCCCTTATACACGAATGGTGATAAATAAAGATGTTGAAATTGTAGATCGATTTCTTTAACCTTATTCATCTTAAGAATTTTTGAAATATGTTTAAAAACTAGGTTATTATGTTTACTAAACAATCGCAATTTTTTTTTCGAGTAACCAAATTTGTTTTTTGGTCAAAAAGATCTACTACAGATACTTTTATACTTTTTTCTGATTCCGTCTATGCTAGTTTAAAAAATGTGTTTGATTCGATTGTTTATGCACTTTTGATAGATTAATTGGAATACTGTAGTACTTAAGGAAATGCTTCGGATTTAATTATTTCATACATAATGAATAGATTACAGGTACTGAAAATCAACTATGAATATAGCAATAATCTAATAACTAAACACAAAGTCCCTTATAGTACTGTTCTAGGACTGATTCTATTTAGCTTGTTAAATCTAAATATAAATGGAACTATTTTTTTTATACTGATGATACGATAATTTTAGCAAAAGCAAACAGTATGAATGAGTTAAAGGAATTGTCTATTTCCTATTTAAAAATAGTTGAAAATTGATTAGACATTAATGTGTTAGAGCTTAATTAAAATAAGTCTAGGTATATATATTTTCGTTTGTCAAATACAACTCTTAACTTTACAGAACCTTTAGTGTTTCATATCTTTGATTGCTTATAGTTGAATAACTGTTTAGTGTTCATGCTTACGCATTAAACAATTTAAATATTGAAGTATTTAAGTATTTGGGAGTTATGGTTGATGAAAAATTTAAATGGTCAAATCATATTATATACAGTGTATGACCACCTTAATTCCTAAACGTGTTTATATTTTTAAAAATTTAAGGTATTCTGAGTCCTTAGTTACTTAAAATAGTTTATTTTTACTTGCGCATCAAGTGTCACGTCTTGTGATCTTATTGATTACACTGTATGGGTTAAGAAAAATAATTGTTCACAATCCTAGATTGTATCCTACAACTAACCTGATTTCTGATTTTAGAGTATTAAACTGTTTATTATAAAAAAAATAATCTTAAATCTATTTAAAATTGATAAGACAATATTTAAACCACAGCATGTTTACAATACCCAATTAAAGACATTAAGTAATTTAAAAAGTATAAAAGTTATTAAAATACATGGGAAATACAATACAGTTAATACTAGAATTGATTTATGTAGAAAATTAAATATTGATATCATTAAATTTAAAATTAGATCAGTGTTTATTAAATATTTGTGTACTTCAGATTTAAATAATAATATTTAATCCTAGTTCGCTATGAATTGTATGAACAGAAATGAATTTTAAGTTTTTTCGGATTATCAGGTGTTTTGCCTTATTTCAGATGTGCAATAATTTTTCATTTTCTCCAGATTTTGGGAATTAGTTGTGGAATTGTGATAATTTTGAAGAAATCTAAAAACACTTTTGACTATTAGTTCAAAATGTAAAACGTCTTATTGTTTTTAATTTGTCTATGTCATTTCAGAGTTCTGTTGCTGAGTATAAATCGTTGAGTACATATTCTCTTTCTTTAAGTACATATACATAAGTTTTTAAGTACCTATACACAAGTCTTTTAGTTACTTATACACAAGTATTTAAGTACATGTATATATTCTTTGAGGTTATTTTAAAGGTTTTGGGAGTTGGCCCTAATAAGGGTCTTATTTTAGATAGCATTTTGGACTTGTGGTTGTCTGGGTGTATAGAGATTTTATTGGACATCATAAATATCTAAGTAATATACTATGATTTTCTATTTGCATGATGGTATCTTTAGACATAAGAAATGTTTCCCTGAGGTACACTACGAAGAAGTAACGCACCATTGTACATCAACATATCAATTTATTTTTCATATTGATATATTAAAGAATATTTTGGTCATTAATATAAAATTCATAATATTGATATGTTAAAGTAATGTAACTTTTATGTTTTCAGAGATTAGCTGGAGCAACACTATTAATATTTGCTAATAAACAAGATCTACCGGGTGCTTTATCTGCAGAAGAAATAAAAGAGGTATATTTTTTTAAAAATTAAAATACATTTTCGTTGAATTTTGAAAGTTTGATTTATATAGTCAAATTAAATAAATATTTATGGATTACTCATTATATTATACTTTTATTGAAATTTAGGTGTTACAGTTAGATCGTATTAAAACTCATCACTGGAAAATAATACATTGCAGTGCATATACTGGGGAAAACTTATTGGAAGGCATTAACTGGATGGTTAGTGATATTTCTGCCAGGATATTTACACTTGATTAAGACTAGCGTGTTCATATTGTTCAAATTAAAAATTATTTTATTTGTTCTGCAAATCATGTTTAAATATTGCTTTATCAAGACATATTTAGATGTACTGATTTTTATTTTTTTAATTTAACTATTGTCATGTATGTGTATTTATGTACTTACTAAGTAAATAAACAAGTATACTTATGTGTAGCTACTATATACACAATATTTAATATATGTATATATGTACATATATGTATATTATCTACTCGATGGTATGGCCAAATAAGCCATGTCAATAGTTTAATTCAATGAGTAGAATATAATATATTTTAGTTTTCATTTTACTGAATTATGTACTAATGTCTACTAATATCTGTATTACTTATACTCTATTAAGAGTTCATAACATGATTACTTTTATATCTACCTGTTTTTATTACTTTATATTTTACTATTATATTTAAATTAATAAATAAAAACAAATAAAATTTGTTGTTATTTTATTGAACTTCTTATTATATCTTGTACAGAGTAGGTACATACAAATATGATTAAATATGACCATATTATATTAATAAATTACTACCCAATATAATATAAGTGCACTCAAATAAACCTAAATTTGAAATTAGATGTCATTACATAATAGAAAATATAATTATAATATCTACTAAAAATTAACAAGAAATGTTTATCCTTGTTAATGGGGTCAGAGTAAATAACATCAGATATGCTGACAATACCATGGTGATAGCGGATAGTTCAGAAAGATTACAAAGGTTAATGAACCAAATCTTGTCCTACATCCAGCGATATGGACCTAATATCGATGTCCAAAAGACAAAAAAAATGATAATCAGTAAGAAAGTTATAAGTAGAGAGCATATTTTCATTAACAGAACTAAGATAGAAAAAGTAAATCAGTATGGTTACCTAGGTACCTACTATAATAAATGAGCAGTGGGACAATGAACAGGAAATAAAAAGTGGCATCGGAAAAGCAAGGACAATTTTTAATATGAGTGCCATATTCAATTCCCACAATTTAAATATGATATGCCTTCTCATCAGAATATACAAAATTAATATTGAACAATATTATTACGATTTCTAAAAATATGTAAAATACCAAATCTTGTTTATTGTTCATAATTCAATATAACTATAAAAATTGTAAATGGTTAATAGTGATATAATACATTTTGTTAATCTTTGGTATCTACATAATTGTCAATGAACATTTTTATTACAACTAATTATTAAACACATGTTTGTGCAATAAAAATGTAAATAATCTTCCTCGGTGGCCGATTCTATTGATATTGAGAAAGCCCATTTAATATGAGTAAAATAGGTATAAAGTTTTTAACCTAACAAAAAAAATAACAATTGAAAACTGTGTAAATATAAAAATATATTAAACAATGAAAATAAGTTTTTTCGTTTGGTAAAAAAATATTGAGCCTCCCCCTCCTAGTCGTTAGCCCGTCCTGCATTCAAAACTACTATTAAATATCTGGTTGTATACCGGTTCTGTGGCTAAATGTCCTAGACCGTATTATGTATTTATATATATTATAGTTGGTTATCTAGATCATGACCATATGTACTATTATCTAGGGTTTAGATATAAAATTTATTATATCTAGTCCTTTGTTTATAATTCATAGAATTTTAGATTTTTTTTTTTTTTAAATCTACAGTACGTACGGTAGTACGGTTAGATTTTGTTTTTAAACAATAGCATACCATGCTGCATACCTAACACGTTGTATTCTCTTTGACAATCCAAAGAGGTTTCATAAATGAAGGGATTTAAAAAACCTCGTAATCTACATAGACCATCATAAAATGAAGTTAACACACGTCTTGATTCCGGGTGGCCCGCGCCCGGTGTTTTTGAGCATTAATGTGCAAATTTAAACTTTTCGTCGTTAAACACTTTTAAACAATCATCGTCATCATTTTCATTCTTCTGGTTCACAAGTTAACTGATAATCATTGACAATAGATAACGAACATTTGAAAACACAACAAAACATGATATAATTATATCACTTACGTGGTTTCACATTTGAAATACATTTTTCAGTTTTGACTAACGTTGAAAATAATTAAATTTAAATAACATAACATTTTATATTATAACATTATTGTCTTAAGTACTCGTTTCAAAAATGAATAGTATGGTTTACAATTCGGATTATACTGGCATAAAAACCGAGCCTGATGATTTTGCAGATGAAGAGAATACCAACTACTACAATGACGAAAGCTTACGTTTCCAGTATGAAATGCCCAAAATAGAAATGCCCGAATCGGTAATTTATTTTGCTTATTAACAATTAGAATAATATTCCTAAAGTTAAGTTTATATAATACATTTGAAAAATGATAATATTAATTTTATAAAGTACCTATTTGATTGGAATTTTACTTTAAACACTGCCTAATATTATACATAATAAAACAATGTTTTTTCTATTTTATCTTAGGTGTTCGGCGAGTTAAATATAAACATCATTAAATAATTTATTTTAATAGTTAAATAGGTACTTAATTAAAATTAAATATTCTTAAAGAAAATATTTTATATATTTAAATGATGGCTGTTTACATGTTGACAAAATAAAGGTAAATTTTTTCCAATGAAAAATAATTTTTGTTGTGGTTTAATTTGTTACAGATGGAACAAAATTTAACAGATATGTGTTCTACTTTTAATATTAAAACAGAAAGTGAACCAGATGAAATATATGATGAATGTTATTCGTGTTTTATGTGTAATGTGTCATATAACACACAATCTGACTTGGATGCACATTTGCATACTCATATTGATGATGAGACGTTTCATCATAGTAACATTAACAGTATAAGTGAACCACTTCCTTGTTCTTCAATAAAACCTTCAAAAAACTTCATTTGTCACGAGTGTATGAAAATATGTAAAAGTCAACTGTCGTACAATGAACACATGTTAACGCATTCTGGGGGAAAGCCACATCACTGTAAGGTATGTGATCGTAAATTTCGTCATATTGCAAATTTTAGAAGCCATTTAAAATGCCACAATAACATACGGACATTAACCTGCTCTCTTTGCCGAAAAACCATTGTCGGTGAAAAAAACTATTATGTACATTATATGGATGTACATAACAAAATATCTATTCGTAATCCTCAAACTGGCCATACTAGTTCTTCTGACAGTGACGAAGATTTCAACCCTAAAAATCCGCATTGTAAAAAGAAAAAAACAGTTTCAAAGAAATTTAAAAAAGATGGTGAACCTTTCGGGCCTTTATTTGCTAAAAAAGCATGGGAAAAAAAACAAAAAGAATTGGAAAATATTAATTTAGAAGTAAGATTTAAAGATATAAAGTCTACAAATTTTAAACATTTAAATTAAATGTATAATTTTATTTAAGGTTGAAGAAGAAAAAAGTGAACGTGATGTTGTTCAGGAAGCAATTGAAAGTTCACGGCAAGATATACAGAATATGCTTAGAAAAAGAAAACAACAATTAACTGACTATAATACTGAAGAGTATCAAAAGCTTCTAGAAAATTTAATTCAAGAAAAAAATTCTACTGGTGCAATTGATTGCACTAAATTAATTGGCCCATTATTTTGGAAAAATGCTCTTGTCAAGGCTGGTCTTATAGAAGAAGATATTCATCCAATGCAATTTCAAAGTAAATTAAGACTTATTGAGTGTTTGTCATGTAGAAAATGTTTTGCCAGGTAATATTATACATTTTAATGAATTTCATTGATTTATATAAACTTCTAACTGTTAGCGTAGATTATATAGCTCTGATTAAATTTTATCATATTTTAATTATTTAATTCTATTCATTATACAAGGTGATTTTTTTAAGTTCAGACATTAATTATAAACCTTATTTATTAAGTATAAAAAATCACATTTATTTAATTCTAATATCATTAAATTATTAATTCAATGTTTTTTAATTCATATTTTGGACTAGTTGTAAATCAGTTTAAAAATTAATTTACTGTTAAAAGAATTGTATGACTGTTGAAAATAGTTATGCTCATGACTGTGCCCATATATTTATCTAATTAAATAGTTCCAAGATTTGAAAAGTGGACAAAATTGTTTAATATATGAATATATGATCTTTTTTTGTTTTTCATTTCTAGATTACCTACACCTAATGATGGTAATGTATCTCCGTCCAAACCACCGTGTTCTAGCTGCTTCATAATATCAAATGAATTTACACTAAAGAAACATAAGGCTGAGAAACATAGTATTGAAAACCCACCACATATTTGTAAAGAATGTTTGTTCGAAACTAGTACATGGATTGAATATGTTCGACATATGAGATTGCATTTGAGATATGCATCTAAATGTAGTGTGTGTGTATATAATATGATGCATAAATCAGATAATGTGATATTTTTGTGTCATGTTTGTAATTTGACTTTTGATTCTGATGATCATCTTAAACAGCATGTACAAACACATTTAGAAAATGGACAATGTAATGATAGTTATTATACTGAATTCTAGAGTTTAATAAGTAATTTAATATTATTATGTTTTAACTTGATAATTTTAAACAATTTATGTTAATAGTAACATTTATACGAAAAGTATTTTATTTACTTATTGCAACCAATAAATATATGAACTCGAAATGTATATATGAAATTTATTATAGAATAAAACTAAAATCTGTTTTTTTTTCTCAACATTGAATATAATTTTTTATTGACAATATTTAATTATTACTGATTAAATACCTACTTAGTAATTGCATTATTAAAATCAGTTGTAACATTCAATATACATTTGAATAAATAAAACAAATCATTAATTTTGGATTAAGAAAAAAAAAATTTTTACATATCTAAAATGTTTTATATGTTATAATAAATGTTTTTTTTAAATAAATTGTATTGAATACAATAAACAATTTATACTCATAAAAAGAAAATTTAGACAAAAGGAGTGTTATAATAAAATTTCACATAATTTAAAAACTCGTTTGTGAATATTTTTCATTTATAACAATGTGAAATAAAAAAAAAATTATTCACCTACCCAAAATGTATTATAATTATAGGGTATTAATGTCTAATAAAGAATTACTAATTTATTGCAATTTTATGAATTCATTAAATTGTATTTTTAGTTAAATTCTACATATATTAAATTGATATTTTATTTTTATATTATATAATATCATTTTTATACATTATATATATATATATATATATATATATGTATAAATTAAATTAGCACTTTGTGTGTTAATGAGCCTAAAATAAGTTAATTTGATAGAATATAAATTAATTTATCATATAAATATGTACTCAAATTCCATTATATACATTTAATTGATAGCTATTTGTCAAAATCTAATATCTAAATATTTAAAGAAAAATAATTTAGGAGACAATAATAATTCATATTATGCACAAATGTATCTGTGTTTACTTATAAAGTGACTAATAATTAACTACTATAAACTATTAATAAAAATTAATGTACATAAATTTGTTTACATAACAATATTGATTATATACTTCTCTCTAAAAATTATTATTTTGGTATGTAGTCTTAATATATTGAATTAGTAATAAGTACAAATTTGTATTGTTTTTTTTTTTTTATGTTTTATGTTAATCTAGCACATACAAATTGTTCAACATAATATAAAACATTCATTATCTTAGAAAGTATTAACTTTTTCAGAATTAGTTTTTTACAACTTTTAAAAAATAAGTTACTTTTTTCCACTCTTACTTTAGGTGTTGAAACCTCTACCCGCTATTAATTTTGAAATAGCGACTTATTTTTTAATTTCCATCAACCCATTGATAAGATATTCTACTTTTTGAATGCGAGTATTTGAGTTTCATTTGTGCAGCGACACAGCAAGCAAAGTTTGGATAATGCTCTACTATTATTTTTCTAACAACAATACTTAAAAATGAAATATATTGCGAAGGGGTTGATGGAAATTAAAAATATCAACAATAAAATGTACTAAAAATTTCATTTTCTTATGAAATTTTTAGTATAAGTTGCTATTCGAAATTCAAAAGTTTGTGGTTAGATTAGGGTGACACAAAATAATGCTTATGTAAGATTTTAGAGCTGCTTGTTTCTTCAAATGTCTAAAAACATATTCTGAAAAAATTATCACTTTCTGACTAATTGAATGTTTTACATTATACTAATCACTGTATAGGCGTCTATTATTATCGTATATAAACAATTGTATTTTTATTATTTTTACAACTATGCAATAAAAATAATTACATTTTCCAAAATAATTTTATGTATTATATTTTATTTCTTTGTTTTTTCAAATAGATTATTTGTCATATTAAAAATTAATACGAATTCAATTAATTCCATTAATATTAAATTATGATAAATTTAATTATATATGAATAACAAAGCCATAATTTAAATTAGATATGTGCTTTTTATGTAACAAATTTTAATTTGAGTTTTAGTGAAGAATTGAAGAAAGTTCTAAAAAAAATGTCAGTAAATGTATTGAATACTTGGAATCATCATTAAAATGGTAATTTCAACAAAGATTTACAAATAATATAAAAAGTACCAATACAAAATTAAAAAAACCTAAACTTTTGATTTAATGTCATTTATCATTGTTGTAGGTGGGAAGTTAAGACAAGAATCACTGCTAACAAAATATAATTCTGAACAATGTTCAATTATATGTTTTAAAATTTGAGCTAAAAATACTTATACAATAATATAACTTCATTACATATTCACCCTTTTTTATTTGGCACCCATATAAAACTTCCAGTAGAAAATCATCTTAAATGTTCAAACATTTCTGATCAGCCTAAACAATTATTTCATCCACTTAAAATTAAATAAAAACAACAATATTTTATATGCCTATAAATAGTTGCATGATTAAAGCTTATTTTATAGCAATATGAAAATTAATATTTAAAAAAAAAATAAAAATGTGCATTAATCTTTTTACCCATTTTTGTTTATATAATTTTATTATGATTTAATATTTGTCTGTATAAATTTTGAAACAGCTAAATTGATGTCTCTTTGGCCCAATGGGGCGCACGGATATTGGAAATATAAAATTCCACCTCTTGATCAAAGATTCCTCTAAGCAGTCAAACTTTGGCACAAAAATTATAAATAAAGTGTTTAAATATATAAATAAAAAATATATGTATAAAAATTAAATAAATAAATCAATACATCACCTGGATCATTAAATAAAGGAATACATAGAAAAAAAAAAATTATACTAATTGGTCATTTTACATAAAATAAAGAAATAATTTATTTCAATAAGAGAGATTATTTAAAATTAGTTATTATTATACATAGATATGTTAAGAAATAGAAATTATTTGGTTATTATTTATTATCTAAAATGTATTAACATAAGATATTATTTTTAAAATCTATTTGAACATGTAAAATATTATTAAAATTATTTTCCTTTATTTCATTGTGTGTGTAATTCTTCTAAAACTGAATTAATGTAAATGTTATTTTGGATGTTTAATATTTCTCAGTCTGATTAATATCAAAACTTATATTATGGTTATTTTCTAAAACATATTTAGCGAATTTTGAATAAGGGGCAGTGTATTCTCAAAAAATATAATTTTTAAATTCAATATTTTATAGGCTTGAACTATTAATCAGACTTAGAAATATTAAATATCCAAAATAACATTTAGGTACATTAATTCAGTTTCAGAAGAATTACACATACATAATGAAATAAAGAAAAATAATTTTAATAATATTTTTAATGTACAAACTGTTTTTAAAAATAATATTTTATATCAATACATTTTAGATAATAATTTATATTTCTATACACATATCTATGTCTTATATAATAACTTATTTTAAATAATCTCTCCTATTAAAATAAATTATTTCCATATTCTATGTAAAACGAGCAATTTGTATAATTTGTTTTTTTTCTATGTATTCTTTCATTTAATTTTATCAGTCGCGTTTTACATATTGACCGTGATATGCCTGATGATGGATTTTTAATTCGAAACCGGTCGTATAATACACCTATCATCATAATACTCCAGGCGACGCATTCATTTATTTATTTACTATGTTTACATATTTTATTTATTTACGAGCATTAACCATTTTAATAATTTTGTTTGTACTTCATTATTGTATTAAAAATTATAAGGTAGCAATCCTTCGGAATAGCAAATAAATTATTTTTGACCTGGAACACTGAAGTTACGTACTCTAATCTATGGTATAGGTAATTTGATTTTACTACTAAAGACTATTATGTAACTAGTTTTTGTATCCCCGGAAATTTAAACATGTAATATAAATTTAAAACAATTAGCTATTACAGTATTAATGTTATCAAACTGCAGTGACCTATAGCCTCCTAAATTGACCATGTACATGCATTAATTGTGTAATTAGGATTATAATTTGTGTGATTCCGTGTATTAGGTACTAATTACCTATACCATAGGTATTATATACGGTAGTTAAAGTATTTATTTAGGTATCAGCATTGATTTTATAATATTTACGAGTAATTGCCAATAGTTTTATCAAAGGAAACAAAACTATCTGTTTTACTTGTATACAAAACACTTATGAAACAGACACGAAAATTAAAAAAAAAAAAACTTTATTAAAAATGTACCGAAGCTCATGTAAATACCGGTTATAAGGCTTTTCGGGTTTTCTGGTTCTTAGTCAGAATTTAACATGTTTTTTTTTCCAAAATGTGTGTTTTTAAGTACACAATCTATTGGTATAGGTTAGTCAGCACATTAACCTTGAAAAATATCATTTTTGGAATTAATCCAAAATATGGCCAAAAACAGACATTTTTTCGCATTTTTATTTGCAGTTATTGATATTTTGATAAATACATTTTTTTTTTATTGAAGGCGGAATAGCTTATGAGATGACGCGACAGCTGTTGACCGTAATAACGATTATGACGTTTGGCACGTAGTTTGCTATCGAATAGAAATATTAAAATATGATCATTGACCTTAATCACGAGATAAGTAGGTAGGTACCTATTTATTTATATCAACGGTATTAATTACTCATTTGATTTTAACTTGTGTCCTATCCGACGTGGTTTGGCACAACAAATTGAGGGTTTTTTTCGATAAAAATTGTTCGAATAGGAGCAACGAAACACGGCGCGTTTGAACGTTTGTAACTCTAAAACTAAGCCAGGTAGACTTATTCTATATTCAATAAATGTTCTTATTTAATAAAAAAATATCAATAACTAGGTACAAATAATAATTTTTAAAAAAAATGTCTACTTTCGATCACATGCTATGGACCTACGGTATTGGGTGCCTACCTAGTTATAATTAGTTAGGTATTTAAAACTAATTTTTTTTTTGTCTTGAACTCTATGGGATAGATACAAATAGGGGTGCGCGATTATTCTTAAAATATTTTATAATAATCGATTAAAATAATGATTATAATCGATTCATTTGTAATCAATTAATATTTAATTATTATCAAGAACGAAATTCTAAAAAGCACAAAATGAACATTTTTTTTATATAATTGACCAATTTTATGAAAAAAATTATTCATAAGCCATATATAATAATGAAATAAAATAATGGATAATAGCAATGTATTCATACTTTAATTAAAGCTATAGGTATCGACTGTATTTTTTTTTCTTTAGTCATCCTGGATTTTATTTTTTTTTTTTAGGATTTAGTAATTTTTAACTCACCAATATTCCAACTTCCTTTCCTTTGTTAATTTGACCTATGGGCATACGTGCAATCAATGCAGATAATTTCACATTAATATTATCGGACGTTTTCATATTCTTTGTACTAATATGAAATAGCGCATTGAAATTATGAAATTGAGACAAAATTTGCACATTTTATTATCCCGACTAGACTTCACAATTAAACGGGACGTCTATTAAAAATCGGTTAGGTAAGGCCTAAATCAGGTTTGGTCACATTAGCCAACTAAGTCTTGATTAATTATAACACCAAATAGTTTATGTATTGTACATTTATTGACATGTAAGTATTAAGTCAAATATCTAAGTTAGAAATTTATAATAGATGAACTTAAAAAATTAAAAATAATTTTTTTTAAAATAGTTATTAATATAATTATTCATGTCCCATTAAATATCATCATTCTTTTTTAAATTTAACTATTAAATTAAGTGTTATAAAATTATGATCATGCTAATTAATAATGGTGTGATTACTAATTAATTATGGCGTGTTTATGATTATGATGTTTAAATAACAAATAGTTAAACAAGAGTGAATTTTCATTGAAATAATCTATGCATTTTGTCACTTTTTTTAACGAGATCATTCGTTAATTTGAGGGTATTTTCGTTTACTTATTTATATTCTACAACTGTAGAAATTATAAATTATAGTTAATCTTTTGATTTTTATTCCGGTGACCTTTAATAAATTTTTATTTAGGTATGAGTAGCATAGCATTTAATATTAAAAGAGTTTCACAGAGTTTCATTACCTAATTTTGTTACATGTCTATTTAACAGGCATTATAGCAAAAATGTGTTTTCGTACTTTCAATAGAAATCAGAGTCTAATATCGATCGAAAACAAAAATTATCACACCAAATTGAAATCAACATTTACTATGCTATCACTGGGGTATTTTTTTTTTGTACTTATTTATTATATAATTTTATTATTTTAGATAGGTTATCTGGGAAATAGATACCTATCAATAATTCCTCCAGTGAAAGCATAGTAGGTAAATGTTGTTTTTAAACTGCTGGAAATAATTTTTTTTTAAATTTGATGCTAACTTTAAAATATTTTATTTTATTTTATTTTATTTATTTATTAACGAGCTTGGAGCCCAATAGAACAATACAATTAACCGTAATAAATAAATTTGAACAATATAGCATAATCATTAAAGTAGGAAAACAATAGAATTGATTTAAATAACAAATGGTAATTATCAAATCAAAAAAAAAAAAACAAATGAAAAATGATAATAACAAATTGCAGTTCTTAATATTAATCAAAACAATTTAAGAAAATCTTTGGTGCTTATGCGTTACCCGTGCGCATCATACGGTGAATGATTATTTCTACCACAGTTGGTGTTGTGGAATGGAACAACAAAGGAAGAATTAGACGTAGTTTGGTGAGAAGAAACATAAAAATTTGTTAGAGAAAGAAGAGTGGGAGCATCCACATGTCCGTCAATAAGATTGTGCAAAAACACCAAATTAGCTTTAACTCTCCTACCTCTTCTAATATATATACATACCTATTGGCCCATTTGGACATCTATATATGTTATACTATACGATAATATTGCGTTTCAATATAAATAATAGCCAATAGGTATAAGAATGGTATACTTTTACTATCATAATAATACTTACAATTAACACGTACGTTACAATTAATCTTCAAAATAATGCATTATGCACAATGTACCAACAGTGCATGCATTGTTTTTAACTATTAAATTAGTAATTGTAATAATAATAATAATAATAATAATAATAATAAATAATGAAACATTAAATATCCAAGTTTATTATAAGTAGTAAATATTGTATTTAATTAGGTTAACGTTGTGTACCTAATATATATATGTGACCTATTTTATAATAATGATGTAATACAAATTACAAGTGTTAATAAACAGACAGTATAAACTAATTATATTTAATTATTTTTAAATGCATTTTCTTTGTTATTTATTCAAGTATAATTATTTTATATTTATATATGTAAATAATATACATTATATTACATTTAATTTTTAAATCATAGCATGTCAATGTCACTCACCCCGTGGGAGATGTGGCCGCAGGCCATGTCGAATATTACAAATCTCATATACAAATATAATACGAAAAATCGTGTTTACAAAAAAAAAAAAAAAAAATTGACTCATATTGACTATATTTTTATAGTCGTAATGTGACTATAGAGTATGTCATACCTACGTAACAAATTTGATTTTTTTTTTAACTTGTTAAAATTCGCTAATGCTATTGTCGACTATTATCGATTAGTTTCCTACGGGGGTCCACGAATCCCCGGACCCTCCACTAAGACATTCATGTTCTGGTTTAGATATATTATTGTTATCATTACGACGTCGGAAAAGTTTACATCGTCACAAATATTTATTAAAACTGATTGTACTCGTATTGTTTAGGTGTGTGTGTATGTTATTATGTATACCTATCGTATAATACAAATATATTACATTTGATTGTAAATTAGAATAATAAGCAATTACACTTTTTTAATGTACACAATATACATACACGCGATTAGTTAACGAGTCTGATATAATGATACACAAAGTGGATTTGATGTTGATTACATCAATACAGGTTTAGATTGTTTAGAAGCGATTCAGTCATGTTTCGTCGTTTGAATTGTTTGCGCAGAACGCAGCGCTTTTACTCGTTAAACGTATCGAATTCGCTGTTCGGCCGCGAATCTTTTGTTCGCCGACACATCGGACCCAACGATGCCGACCAAAATGAAATGCTCAAAGAACTCGGCTATCAGGTAATACTGTATTCAATGTCGAATTTATGTAAGGCTAAGCGGATTGAATCGATTTTCGGGCGCCGGGGATCGTTGCATATTTGTTTTAAATTATTATTAATGTTATTTTTTTTTTAATTTGTTGCTGGTAAAATTAATAATGAATACAATGTTTGAAATAAACTATTATCGATTTTTTTTCGAGAAACTACAACTTTTCTAGACGTTAGAATCTAGAGGAAACAGTAAAAAATTCACAAAAAGGCGGTTAAATACGTCAAAGTAAAAAAAATCACTTAAAAAAAAAATAAAAAGTAAAAATGGTAGACTATAATGGTGGTCTATAATATTTGGGTAGTATAGGTAAGTACTTACTAACCGACGGTTATCATTTGCGCTTCGTTTGTTTACCTATTCCAAAAACGCGTTTATCATTTGCGAATTAACGGTAGCGTTTCGTTTGCACACCGTCCGTTTACTTCGCGCCAACATATCATACATCATTTACGCACCAATACATCGAACACCAGGTAAAAAAAATTCTCTATTTTCCATGTTTTTTTTTCCATACAAAATATTTTTGAAAAATGACAGCAGCTTTTCCACGATTTGAATTTACAAATTCTAACCGACCTCACTGTTTTAAAGTTAAACGTCGACTGCTAATAGTCATATAAATTAGGTATATCTAGTTATATAATTTGAAAATATTTGGTTGGATTGAGTAGTTGTTACAACTCACATGCGGTTATCGTCATAATTGGTATAATGTACATGTATATTACGTTTTTTAAACAAAAATACCTTCCATACCTTTATTTTTAAATATGTTCTTTATAATCAATAATTTAAAAAGATATTAATACTTAGCTGAGATTTTCCCGGGAGTTTTTCCAATAAATGAGAAAAGCATGGTGAAAACCGCGAAAAGACGGGAAAATAGGTACAATAGTAAACAAACATTATTAAAGAAAATATATAATGCATATGTTATTATTTTACCATAATATGACATATACATTGTTAACAAAGCAACACTATTAACCGAACTCAGCTCAGAATCGTTTTTCGTTAGCAATAGTTATTAGTTAATTATTGCGTACATACATTAAATTTCCCCTCTACTTTTCAAATTTTTCAACTACAACAGTGACCCACCCATCGTGTGAAGTATGTCCGCATCCTTTTTTTAATTTTCTTTGTGATATTCTCATTAATGGAGAAAACCCGAGAAAAAACGTCGGAAAAACTGTAATATTTACTAAATAACAATTTCTGTTGTATTCGTTTATGTTTTTTACTGTAATTCAGTGAAAAATAACCGTAATTCAAAAATTTCACCGCATACTTAAATATATGTAGCTATTTTCTGACGTGGTAAAATTTTTAAAACATTTCGGCAACCAGTTTGATGCAACCGGGCAAAAGTGTTTAAGTATTATTTTACAGCTTGTATTATTATTTATTTAAATCAATAACATTAATAAATGTATAACAATAATTACTATAATAATTTTGTTATAATATGTAGGGTTCGTTTTAAATGCCCTAAAAATGCTATGAAAAATAGCCAAAACTGACTTACACAATTTTTTGTTTTAAATTATTGTTTTATTAGGTAGGTAATTTTTAATTTAAAAAAATTGACTTAATGCGGCGACCATCGTGTTGGAGGTTAGACTGTCATGTATATCTTTCTTTTGATTAAATATACATTGTATATTTAATCAATGTTTCGGGGCTGTATTATTCATTATAAATATACCAACAGTGCCGGCGTTACACATGCTGGCGCCCTGGGGGGAACTATGTTTTTCGTTCTCCCTCCAATTAATCGAGTACAGTTATTATCGTTGAGGCACCCTCCCTTACAGTAGGTTCTCTGGGCGTAGGCCCTGTTTACCCATCCCTAACGCCGACCCTGTGTACCAACACAATTATTAATAATTACGAGAAAAGGACGTATCAAACGCATATAGAACGATTGACTGTTTAGATAAAACCGAAATAAACCTGAAATAACCCATGAATCTTAAAAAAACTTCTTTAATAACAAGACACAGTACCCCGTGGGTACCCAATCATAAACTTGTGACAACCCAGTTGTTAATACTGTAATCCTGTTCAGGAGTGTGAGGATACATGTCATATAGACAACCCCTTTTTTATTATGTACCGCTGTGTCCTGGTGAGGATCGTTCGTTTTCAACGGTAATTGTTGGATACTATTGGGTCTAAGATGAGTCCGTATTTTTTTTTTTTATTCCATCTATCACTATAATGTCTACACGATATTGCAGCTGTATTACATAATGTTTAATGAATTACTGAGTTCAACTGGGCAATGGCAAACAACACCGCTATTGTCGATGTATTATCTTATTAATAATATAAGCTAAAGAAACATGTTTAACATTATTATTTTAACGATGATTGTTTAAAATATTACTATATTATAGGTTAAAGGTGTGTTTAAAATGTCAACCTGTAACATAATACTTAAGTATAAATTCAACCGAGGGCTTCATATAGAGTTGGTTGGTAGTATGGGATGTGCACTTTAGTGCTGAGGCAATAAGACATATCGAACATGCTACAGAGCACTGCATAGGCCTTATATTTAAAGTCCAAGCATGACCGAAATGAAAACATACTGTACCAGCCCAAATTTTATTTAAACATTTGACCAAGCTCGGCCCAACCCGGCCCGGACCGGACTGATTCATTTACAAACACGGCTATAGGCCCAACCAGGCCCGATCATGCGGTCTAGTCATTACATATATCTCTATTCTCCATAGTATATCCCATTACAATATTATCTACAAAACTATTAGATAAATAAAAGCACAAACCTCCTTTTATTATTAGCCATTTAAAAATTAAACCACTGAACTTACGCGGACCATAAATTGGTATTTTCAGAGTTTAGAAGACTTGAGCAAGGCCGTGATCCCAGATAACGTTTATCTCCAGAAGACGCCTAATTTAAAATCATCAGTTATTATAGGTATGTTAATACATGTTATTATATCGTGGTATCAAACAATTTGATAACCTTTTGGTTATACAAGGGTATTTTATGATTGTTCGTAATTTACGCATTCATTAATATTAAATTCACATTACCGAACTATTTCACAGTAGATATAATCGCTAGGTAGTTTTTTTATTATCTATTGGAAACCTATTCCGTACAACATCACGTGATTTAATAAAATCGCATTGTGTAGTTATTGAATTAACTTTTAACTATGTACCTAGGTATCTTTTGTTTTCTTATGCAAGTGCCTTTAAAATTGTACAATGAATATACCTACTAAGTGCATTCTATGTATCATGAAACGCATCTATCTCTTTAACCTATGTAGGTACCTATTCCCAATTAAAAACATAATTAAAGATAATATTTATATTAATTTAATATAATACTTATTGTACCTATTGTGAAAAGAATCTATAATAAAATGTCTTCATCTAAATCCCATTCGGACAAAATCCCGTCTGGACAAAATTTCTCCCGGACAAAACCCCACCGGACATAATCCCACCGAAAAAAAAAAACACAACTAAAAAGGATGAAACAAACAACAATGTAAACTGATTTTTTTTGACAACTTTTCCTTTACATTTAATCTAGCTAAGTTATATCATCCGAAAAATCCTAAAAAAAAAATAATTAAAAATAATTTTATAATTTGATTCGTCCTCTTTGTGTGTTTATTTTTACTTTTTGCGGGGTTTCGTCCGGATCACTTGTGAAAATATGTTGATCTATGTTAATGTAGGGTCAGGACTCAGGGTATTTCGATAAAAATAGATTGTATTTTTGTTTGATAGCTATTCGAGCGTCTTTTCGTTAAATTCTGAATATCTATTATTAGATATACCAGGACAAATAAAAAAAAAAATTAAAATCAATAATTATAAAATACTTATTTATTATTAAAAAATATTTATATTTTAATTAATATATTGGTGTTATTTGCTTATTTCATAGACGAACAAACTTTATCGACATTAATAAAATCGATCGCGAATAAAAATGAGATACGACGAAGTTACATCGGAATGGGTTACCACGGCTGTCATACGCCACACGTGATCACGAGGAACATGTTGGAGAACCCAGGCTGGTAATTGTAACATTTCTCCTGTTTATATATTGTATAAATAATGCAGTAATATTGCTAAAACAAAAATCCACTTTATACACAGGTTGACGCCTTACACCCCTTATCAGGAGGAGATCGGCCAGGGCAGACTGGAAAGCCTGTTGAACTTCCAGACAATGGTCGCTGATCTGACGAGCATGGGCGTGGCTAACGCGTCACTGCTGGACGAAGCCACCGCCGCTTCCGAAGCGCTGGCGATGACGTACAGGCAAACTAAACGGAAATTCTGGTTTGTGGCCGACAATGTGCATCCGCAGACGTTGGCCGTGGTCCAGACGAGAGCTTCAGCCCTTGGCATCGAGGTGTGCGTCGGTGACCCGAACCTGGCCGACTTTAAACCGTACGCCGGTGTACTGTTACAGTATCCGGACACGTATGGCTGTTTGATGGACATCGGCGAAATCGTAAAGGCCGCCCACGACAACGGAGTACGTATAATACCCTGACTATATAGACTATATAGACTCGGTTTGGATTAGGGTGACACGAGAGACAATTTAAGAGATCAAGATGGCATAAATAACTGGCGCGTTGAAAGAAATGAGGATATTATGATGTAAGATACGAAGATATGGAGGGAAGAGTAACAGCGTACTTGGTATTTATCTGGAGAACTAGAACTGAATCATCCGACCTCGATGTGCTACAGTTTAGATTTCAGGACAATAATCCATATACTATGTTCCTTAATTTATCTGTACTGGCATTAGCAGTGGCATCACTGATAGCATCTCATCAACCGTACTATGAAACACAAGGTTAGGAATGATAAAGACATCTTAGGTGTCATCAAAGATTTTCAGATTTAAAACGAAACAATATCGGCGCCATTCCGGATGAATTAAGAAATATGAAGACTTGAAATCAATAACGGGTCAAGTGCCAGTTATCCATAAGACCATAAGTGGTCGTTGATTTTTATTTATTCCCGTTATTGCACATAGCTTTTACGTAATTTTGTTGGACCTTGTAGACATTACTTTTGTATTGGTGGCACATTGCGTTCTTTATAGGTTGCTGGCGATGGTATACATATAAGTTTTTCAGGTCAAACTCAATTTTTTTTTGGCACTTAGCACGTTATTGATTTAAAGTCTTCATATATGGAACGGTTACAATCTGGCCTAAACTAATCTAACCTAACCTGCATGTCTTTAATATTAATCACAGTGTTTTTATAGGCGCTGGTCGTGTGTGCTGCGGATCTGCTGTCACTGACCCTGATCAAACCACCTGGCGAATACGGCGTCGATATCGTAGTCGGCTCCAGCCAGCGGTTCGGCACTCCGCTCGGGTACGGCGGACCGCATGCCGCGTTCGTCGCGTGCAAATCTGCCCTGGTGCGACTGATACCCGGCAGGGTGGTGGGCGTCACTAGGTGAGATTAGATAGTGTGATTCAATTTCTTTAAAGATTCTGAGCGCAGAGAGTAATTGAATACTCTCTAGTTAGGTTTTACTGTAGTACTTTTTTCGTCCATGAGCAAATTTTCCATCAGAAATCTTGCTCCCATAAAAAAAGACTACATAAAATATTTGTTGTAGCATTTCGGATCTAGTTGGTGCTAAAGAGGCTATTCTCTCTGAGAAGTTTTCTTTAAATTTTGGAATAACCCGGAAAATCATAAAAATCTACGGTATAAACGGTTTCGTTATTTTCGATTTGGCTTAAAATGGTTGGGCCAAATTGAAATGATTGCAAATTGAACAAGAAATTCGCTATAAGTTATACTTAGTGGCATAAAAAAATAAAAATTGAGCGTAATAGAGACATTTTTTATTTAATAATGGTTTTAAGTTCATATTTTGACGAAAATTATTTCAAAACACGTGTTAATTGAATTTTGCTCAGAATCGTAATATATCAGAAATGATTTGTTATTGCGTATAAATAATAATTAAATAACTTTTTGTGTTCTACCTTCCGGACTTCCCTCGGACAACTGCAGTGGCACATCCATCAGCTGCATTATCAGCTCTTTTTGGTTCGCAATTTTATGTGGTTAACGTTGTCCATTTTTTTTTTTGCCAGGGATGCGGATGGCAATCAGGCTTACCGGTTGACGTTGCAAACCCGTGAACAGCATATACGCCGCGAACGGGCCACCAGTAACATATGCACGGCCCAGGCCCTGTTGGCCAATTTGGCGGCCATGTACGCGGTCTACCATGGGCCCAACGGCTTGCGAGACATTGCCCGGCGGGTGCATCACAATACTGTGGTGCTAAAGGCGGCGCTGGACAAAATACAAGACTGCAGTACAGGTGACGGTAGTTATTTCGACACCTTGAACGTGAAAACCAAAATTCCCAGACAGACGATAATAGACAGGTGCAACGAAAAGATGATCAACTTGCGGTTTTTCGACGATCAATCCGTAAGCGTAATCATATTATTATTATTATCTAATAATATTAGTGATGGAAAATCTGGATTTCGGATTTTGGATTTCAGACAATGATATCCGAAATTCTGTAATTCATAATTCGGGCTTCTGTTTTTAAAATTTCTATTTTTTTTTTGAACCATTTAATTTCTACATACGAACATTTTTAAATTAAATTACAATATAAGATTATATTTGATTCATAAAAAGTAATTTCAGTTAAAGTGATTTTATAAATTAAATATTTAAAATCAAAGTTCCTAAATCCAAATTCACAATACAATTTTCGGAATTTAGCTATCTGTCTTTTTAGATATTCTCGTACTTCGGCCGAATTTTTCTCATCATTAATATATTTTATTCATATAATTATAATAGCAACAACAAAAAGTGAATATTTCAATTTGGTATTTTAATATATACTATTATAATAGCGATTTATTTTAGATTGGTATATCGCTGGACGAAACGATAACGGCTAACGATTTGAATGACTTGTTGTGGATTTTCGGATACGAAAAGAGCATAGATGAAGTGAGTACACGGATAATAGATACAATAATAAAACAAACGGAAAATAAATATTAAATAATAATGTAAAAAAAACAAAATCTAATAAAATTGCATCAAAGTTTAAATTGATTGTTTTTAAATGTATTTAATTGACTGTTTGTAGATCATATTGTCTAATGACGAACTTTTAGAAAAAAGTGTAAGTAAAACAATATTTAAGAGGACCTCGCAGTATTTACAACACCCAGTATTCAATAATCATCAATCGGAAACGGAAATCGTTCGGTACATGAAACAATTGGAAAACAAAGACGTTTCCCTCGTCCATTCCATGATTCCATTAGTAAGTAAAAAGTAAAACATATTTGTTACATCCATATGAATATTTCGATTAGACATAATATATTAAACGTACTTTTATTGAATTTATATAATTTTTTTTTTTATAGGGTTCGTGTACAATGAAATTAAACGCTACCGCTGAACTGTTACCGCTTTCGGAACCAGGGTTTACCAACATCCATCCGTTTGTACCGCCCGGTCAGGTTTCGGGATACCAAGAAATCTTAGAAGAATTAGAATACGATCTCTGTCAGTTAACTGGTTACGATAAAATATCTTTCCAACCCAATAGGTACCTATACGAAAAAACGATTGATGACCAACGAATTTGTCGAATAATTTAGAATAATATACGACCTGCCTGTTGTGATCTTACTATATTTTAGTGGTTCGCAAGGTGAATTCGCCGGATTATGCGCCATAATGAAATACCATCAGCATCGAGGTGATGCAGAGAGAAGAGTGTGTTTAATACCTACGTCGGCCCACGGCACGAACCCAGCATCGGCACAAATGGCTGGAATGGATATACAGCTGGTAAACGTATCCAAAGACGGTTGCATCGACATGCAACATCTTAAAGATAAAGTAAGCGAACATATGTATACATTTAATTTTTCTCTTCTTCTACTTGACTTCGGCTCTTCAGACCACAACACTAAATTAAAAACCTGTTTAATCTATCGCTTGTTCTCTGCAGCTTCTCTTCATTTGGTTTTCGGCTCCACTGCATTAATGTCCCTTTAAATACCACATTAACCTCGGTCTCCCTAAAGGCATTTTTCCTATATAAATCTATAATCCGCAGTGAAATAATTTTACTCGTTTGATTGTCACAGGTTAATGCGCACAAAAATCAATTATCTTGCATAATGATTACGTATCCGTCCACTAACGGGGTATTCGAAGAAACCGTTATAGAAATATGCGATATAATTCATACGAACGGAGGACAAGTTAGTCACATTATAGACATCTCGTCTGCACGATAACAAATTATATTATTAAACTGATAACTTTTAAATGATCAGGTGTATTTGGACGGAGCCAACATGAACGCACAAGTCGGTCTGTGTCGACCCGGTGATATCGGATCAGACGTATCTCATTTGAATCTGCATAAGACGTTCTGTATACCACACGGCGGCGGTGGTCCCGGTATGGGGCCGATAGTGGTGTAAGGCTGAACCAAAACTAGTTCCCTGTTAAAAAAAAAAAATGACATATTAACGATTTAAATATACTTTGTCCGTTTTAGCAAATCACATTTAGCACCGTTTCTACCTAGTCACCCGATTATCGGTAACGGTAACGGCGAATTAAGCCTGGGTACAGTTAGTGCCGCTCCTTTCGGATCGGCCTCAATTATACCCATTTCCTGGGCATACATAAAAGTACATAATATTCGTATAATACTTATTGCGCTTCACTCGGATGCAAGTATAGAGTAAACGTATTTATAAAAACAAATCATAATATGATTTCTAGTTGATGGGTTTTGAAGGGCTCAGGAAAGCGACTCAAGTGGCCATATTAAACGCCAACTATATGAGTAAAAAATTGAGTTCGCACTACAAAACGTTGTTTGTGGGCACCAAATGTGGTCTCGTTGCTCACGAGTTCATAATCGACACGAGAGAATTTAAAAAGACGGCCAATATTGACGCGACGGATATTGCCAAGCGGTTGATGGATTACGGTGTGTATTGCGCGACGATTGAAACGTGTGTAATTGATTTTAAATATTCCGCGATTTTGTCCGCAGGATTTCACGCACCCACCATGTCTTGGCCGGTAGCCGGTACGTTGATGATTGAACCTACGGAATCGGAGAGTAGATTAGAATTGGACAGGTTTTGTAACGCTTTAATCAGTGAGTGATGTAAAATGACGCTTTTTTGCCGAAAAATATTGTTTTTGTTTTTTATGTTCCGTTTAACAGGTATAAGAGAAGAAATCAGACAAATAGAAAACGGCACAGTCGATCGGGAACAAAACGTTTTGAAACTGGCGCCGCACACGCTAAAACAGATTTGTAACGACGAATGGAACAGACCGTATTCGAGAAACGTTGCGGCTTATCCGATGGTAATTATTATTTACGGTTTAAGATTACGTATTCGATAAAATAATATATCCATCTGTCACGCAAGTATAATACGGACATCATTATTACCGTACAGGGCTACGAGCAAAAAGTTTGGCCGAGTGTCGGGCGTATAGACAGCAAATACGGCGATCAAAATGTAATGTGCAGTTGTCCGTTGGTTTTTTAAAATATTATACACGTATAAAACACCTCCAACACATTCCATCATTTTACACTCTAATAACAGCGGGCAGTCCACTGTATCCACAGCTGATGTAAATAACGCAAGAACGTAACATTACGCATTATCGATCAAAGCAATAATTATTTCATGGAATATTGATTAAATACGAGCGCGATATTCAAACGTCCAGTATGTATAATATTATTAATATATATATATATATATATATATATATATACATACATGTATATATTCTGTAACCTAAGATTAAAAAGTATTATTTTTAATAACAATAATAACAATAATGATACACAATATACGAATATATATTTGCTGTTTTTTGTTTTACGCTTGAATGCGAACCCAGAAACGAACCGGTACACTGCGCTGTAACTGTTCTGCCGCAGCACAGCGGGCCGGTGCTTTTAGAAGGCCCAATACGTGATGATTTATTTAACCATCATATTTATGTTATTTTTGAATGTCAGTTTGAAAAAAATACGCAGCAAAATAAAATTTTCAGTCTGTAGAACCGACGTATTTCTAGAACAGTAGCAAATGATGATGGACGATGGATGACAGGATATAAGCATTGTGCCCTTGTCAAAGTTGTACCCAGTTATAGTAATTCCATCCGAAAACAATTTTAAGTTAAACGACCGTTAGTCTCAAGTATTTTTAATTTTAATAAACTATAGCAAAACAAGTTGTGAATTTTGATGGTTAATGGAAAAATGTTGCTGTCAATTTATTTTTCTAAATAAGCAAGTAATCTTAAGTTACCTACTGAACTTCAATAAAAAAAAAAAAAAAAAACAATTTTAATTTCAGTTTTTTCAATACATTATAATATTATACCTACTGAATAGATTAAATCTAATTTAAAATAAACAATAAAAACAAATTGACACATTTCGCACGATGGTAGGGCCACTGTTGTATGTGAGACATTGAGGAGGTAGAGGGAAAATTTAATTTAAGTATTTCTGTACGTAAAGATTAATCATAATAAAACGCCGCCACACGAATAATTTTTAACGGATTGTTAACGGATTGAAAATCACCAAGTCTCTAAATACGAAATCGGAATTTCCCTATAAATAGCTCTAGCTATCACTGTAGTTATTTCCATACCGCGTTATTGACGTATTTCCATGTTGACATCTGACAAAAGGTGTTCAAATCATAACAATACAAGTTTCATACGACTACATAGTTTGTAATAGCATTGAACATGTCGAATTTTGTGCCCTGAAATTATGATTTGCGTACAGCATTAATTTTCCAATCCATGTGTAAATCGCGAAATGTTTTAACAGCAAAAAGTAAGAAATTATTTTCGTTAGTGGGTATTCCTTTATAATATAAGTAATAATAATACTATATAATCAAGGTTATTGTATTGTAAGGGTAATTATACTTTTGCGTCTTTGATCACGTAATAAAGATAAGCACTGCTAAGCTTTATCATAGTAAATAATAATATCATTATCGAATCGTCCGTTGCCATATTCAAACGTTTCATAAGTGCGGTTAATTCGTTCGTAATGGATTTCAGTTAAAGTCAAAAAAACAAAAATGTATTAAATATAATGGTTATTTGTCTAGGTGTGACAAAAAATATAAATCCACCATTTATTGGAAATGTAATGAAAGCCTATGTAAATCACGCCTTAATTTAAAAAACGAAGAAATTGTTAAAGGACCTAGTGAATATAACCATACCATATCGAATTTAGAAATTTAACGACGTATTTGTGTAGACAAAATGAAAATTCGAGCTCTGTCATCTTAAGGTAATCCATATCAAATCGTTTCAGAAGTGTCAACATTGTGTTCTCAAGCAGTTAACAGAGCTCTCCCTCCAGTAAGTTATATCAAACGCACTTTGTGTCGAATACGACATATTAATAGTTCTGCTCCATCCAACCTATTAACAATAACAGATATTATAATATAAAAGAATTAGTCAATGACTACGAAAATAGGGACATACTTGAATACCTAAGAGGTGTTGCCTATAATTTTTCATATCAAATTTAAATTTTTAGTTTAAGAAAAATATACCGAAAAGAATATTTCTATTGTTTTTATTGTTATTGTTATTATATGTATATTGCTATTATTGTTTTTGCTGTTAAAACATTTCACGATTTTATGTTTCGCGGTTTTCTTTTCGCGATTTTAACTGGCACCCTAATTTTCTGTTACCGTTTGAAAAAAAAAAAATACTGCAGAATCACATCGAATAATTGTCGAAGCTTATGGTGAGCATTATCTTGAAAAATCACAGTTCTTTGAGTGATTCAATCAATTCAAAAGATGGGATATTGACGTGAGAAACGAAGAACGCGATCAAACCAATAAAGTTTGAAGACAGCAATTGCAAGAATTGTTGAACGAAGACGACTCACAAACGCACCAACTCGCAGATCAATTAAATGTGACACGAGAAACCGTTTCCATACGCTTGAAAGCCATGGGAAAGAGCCAGAAGGTAGGAAAATGGGGTCCACAGGAACTAAATGAATGACCGCAGGAAAACCAAAAAACCATTTGTGAAATGCTGCTCGCCGGGTACAAAAGAAAATCATTTCTCCATCGAATTGTGTCTGGCGATGAAAAGTGGATATATTTTAAGAATCCAAAGCGTAAAAAATCATGAGTAACTCCAGGCGAACCATCGACATCAGCTGCAAGGCTAAATCATTATAGACGAAAGACAATGCTCTGTTTGGTGGGATCAAAAGGGCGTTATCTATTATGAGCTGCAAAAACCTGGTGAAACTGTTAATACTCAGCACTACTGCCAACAAATGATCGATCTAAATCAAGCTTTGCGTGAAAAACGACCAGAATATCAAAAAAGACAACATAAAGTGATTTTGCTTCATGATAATGCACCATCGCACGCAGCCAAATTGGTCAAAGAAACGATGGATACGTTTAGTTGGGAAATTCTTTCGCATGTGGCTTATTCCCCAGACTTGGCTCCACCTGATTACTATTTATTTGCATTGTTGGGACACGCATTTGTTGAGCAGTGCTTTACTTCTTACGAAAATGTACGAAAATGGTTCGATGACTGGGTCGCTTCAAAAGAGCAACAGTTTTTTTGGCAAAGCATTCCTAAATTAGCGGACAGGTAGGAAAAATGTATAGCTAGCAATGAGCAATACTTCGAATAAAAAATTTGTTATCTATTTTATACAATAAACGTGTATTTTCTGTAAAAAAATTCCGGTTTCATATTTACAGGTCTGGTAAAAATGTTGACACCAAAATTTATTTAAAGTAATACTCTGTTTATTTATAGAATTTGTAATATAGGTTCTCATTTGAAAAACCAAAATTAGTATCGCCGCAAGATACTCCTTAAATGTTGTAATAAATCTAAGTATTCGAAAATATCGGTTTTAACTTAACTTAAAAATTTCAAAATCAAAATTTGAATGTATGCAAAATTTAATCAAAAAATGTGGTGAGCACGCTTAGTGAATTATCCAGTATAGTTTACCCGACTATCTATCTTACCATATTATATTTCATATAGCCCCGGTTTGTCAGTCTCATGAGGGCTGCAGCCCTTGAGCTCCCCTATAAAATTGCGCCCCTGCGGCCCTGTACATAGGCTGCATAGCCATTGGTCAGACACATTTGATAGGTATAAACCTATAAACCTAAATATACATATTTATTTATTTCTCTTGATATTTGACTGTCACGTCCAGTCTGAACGTAAGTATTATATTATCTATACTTCAATTTTTGAAAAAGCTAAAATCAAAAAACTGAACATTTGAAAAATTAGATTTCAAGCATAAATTTGAAGGAATCCATAGAATTCATTCTCAAAATTAGTATAATTTCAGTTACATTAGAAATAAAACACGTTTAAATATTCTTTTTTATATTTTCGTCAAAATTTGAACTAAACAAATTTCGATATAAATCGTAAAAATCACAGCATTTCATACCATATTTAATTAAACTTCGCTCAGAATTTTTTTTCGTCAAAATTAAATAAATTAGTTTTTCATTTAACTTTTAGCTTTTAAATGATATGTTTTTTGGACTAGGTATAGATAGGTAGTAGGTAGGTAACTTGGATAATGGGTATTTACTGACTTATATGTTTAAAATATAAAATAAATAGGTTAGTACCTAATATATAATTCTCGATGTTAGTAGGTAATGTACCTAGCTAATGAGTAAACAAATCAAATGTAACGACACTTTTTTTTTTTCTAAAATGTATAGGTTGTAATGTTTTATTTAAAATCAATAGTTTACTAAACTACCAAATCTCTTTCTTCGTCTCCCACGACAACTGTAGAGTAGTTCAGATATTCTGACCATATTATTATTTAGTTTTCTTGTGAGGATTCTTGGCGGGTATCACATTACAAAAACAAAAAATTAGTTCCTGGTATATTTGATGGGGATTTCGACATGGTATTGATTATGTTGTACACACAACACACACTGTTGTTTTTAATATTTTTATGCAGTCAGTGATTTATTGATATAATATTATATTATGCTACAAACAATTTGACTTAACCTAATATATAAAAATCGTAGTTTTTTTTTCAAAATTAATAGTTTGATTTATCAAAGAGGTAAAAGGCATACCTTCCTTCTATATCTACTCTACTATGATTCAATTAATAATTTATTGTTCTATTTGATGAGATGATCTCAATTTATAATATTAGTATTTTAAGTACGCTACACATATTTATATTATTTAAAATACCTATATAAGTATGAACAATTAAAAAAAACCATAATTAATTTTATTATCTAGATATTTATAGTTGGTATTATACTATCATTTTTACTGATTACTAATTTCTAGGAATTGTAATGAGCAATGGATTTAAAAAATTTTTTACAATTTTAAATCACTTTTAAATTATCAAGTGGATCAGAGGTTCCTAACCTTTTTTGACTTATGGTACACTTAAGTATTTTCTAAAAATCTAATGACACCCTTTACTAAGTATTATAGTACCTAGTATATTATTGTGTATTTATATTTTATAACTTGTTTTATTAACTAATTATAACCAAGCATAATGTACACACACAAGGGGGGAGATAAGGGAGAAGGTTTAAAAAAATTTACTTTTCATACGCTTTAAAAATATATTTTTGATATAAGCTATAATTTAAATAATGTAGTTTAAGTCCTATTTTTTTAAGTATCTGCCTGCATGTCTGAAGGGAGTGGCTTCGGACATGCAAGCAGGTTTACAATATGAACTGTAATGCATATTGTAAATTTTAATGTTATGGTGAAGTTGTTAAATTAATATTATTTTTAGATGTAAAAATAAAACTAAGATAAAGTTACAGATATAAGGTATTCGGTTTTGTCCTAAATGAGTGGTAGCTGGATCATTTTATAAGTCCTAGATAGAGAACAAACCAGTATGGACATTTTAGTCTATATCATTTGTGTTATTACACATGCATTAAACCAAAGGTTCCCAACTTTTTTTTTTTAACAAGACACACAGTGCTTTTCATATAATTTTACCAGTAATCCAAGAAAATATTTGCGGCATATCAATGTGCTGCAGTATCTCGGATGGAAACCTCTGAAGTAGATAAAAATAGTTGGCTTTAAAATAATGTAGGACTTTTCAATGTATATGTGTATAGTGAAAAACACAAAATATAACTCGTTTATTAAGACGAATTTATTTATTTAAATAAAAAAATTCAATATATAATAATTTTTATAGTTATAATATGAAACATGACAATTTTCTTAAATAAATGTATGACAATAATATTTTGGCCAGCCAAATTTTTCACAACCTCTAATCTAAGCTGCCAATACCTTCATACGTTGCATTAATTACAAAAATGTTGCATGACTAGATGTAAAAACTAAATAATAGAGATTCATGTACTTTGTTCTTACATAAAATTAGTTTTGAGCAAAAAATAAGAAAAAAAATTCTAGATTAAGCCTAATGTTAATAGTGCAATGATGAATAAAATAAAAATTAATAAAAAATTAAAAAAAAAAGGCGCTACATTGTCAACCGAGGAAGACTGTTTATTAATTTTTTGTACTGTTTATTATAGTCATGCTGCGCAATAATCAAAAAGAAAATTTTTTTTGTTCTCAAAAGTATAAAATCAACCGTTTAAATATCTTTGGTAAAAAATAATATAAGGCTAAATGGCACGGTTTTCGATCTCGTTTTTTAAGCTAATTTATATAAATTCTGCCAAATAGATTATAAATTATTAAAAAAAAAAAAAATAATAATAATCAAAAAAAGAAGAATTAAGTGTTTTAACAACCCTTTTACAATTTTATACAGAGGTAGGAATATCGCTGCTCTCTTCAGTCTGTCAAACTATTAAGCTATAGTGCATTTCCTTTGCTGGTGTTTGAGTGGTACTGGTCGCAAAACAGATCTTACAGCTTCATCAAATACCTTTTGAATTCACAAATAATAGATAATAATTTGAATTAAAATAGTTTCTTTTAAAAAGCCACTAATTTTAAACTCACTAGTTTAAGTCCTCTTTGTGTCAATGCAGAACATTCAAGATATTTCACAGCTCTTATTTTATTAGCCAACTTTTGTCCCTGTTCGCGTTTGATAGGCGAAAGTCCTTGTTCAGACAGAATATTTAATGTTTCTTTGTCTTCTCTTAAATCTATTTTTGTACCAACTAAAATCATAGGTGCATCTGGACAATGATGTTTGATTTCTGGATACCATTTGGAAACAACATTTTCAAACGAAGACGGACTGGCAACACTAAAGCAAACTAAAAATACGTCCGTCTGCACAGAAAAAAAAGACTTTTAAATTAAAATAAAAGCTGGAAATTATGGGGAAAAAAAAATTATTATTTTACCTGTGGATAGGAAAGTGGTCTTAGACGGTCATAATCCTCTTGGCCAGCTGTATCCCAAAGACCAAGACTAACTGGGATACTATCAACTACCATGGGTGCAGAATAATTGTCAAATCTAAATAATGAATGATTGGAACAGTATTAAAAAATAAATAAATTGCCTATTCAATTTGATCTTAAATTTACACTTACACAGTAGGTACATATTCTCCAGGAAAACTGTCAGTAGTGTACGATATTAGCATGCATGTTTTGCCCACAGTACCATCGCCAACGACCACACACTTGATTGGTCTTCCCGCCGACATATTTCGATTATGAAACTTTTGTTTCCGTGGTTGTCTACTGGAAGTCCAGTGTACAATCTGCTTGTTTATATTTAAATAACCGGAATAAACATTTACCGTTCAAACGAGTATAATTTACTATACGACCTACAACACTTAACAATGTTTTATCGGTTCAACAGCCAGTAAATATAATGGACACGGCCATGCCAATTAGTTTTAATTAGTTCGACGATTATTAGTAAATAAAAAAATAAAAGAAATATATATTAAACAAATTTATGAACATAGTTATCATTTATTTTATTTATTTATCAACATTTTAGAAGGGAGTTATCAGAAATGTCTGGTCGCGTTTGAGGTTACGCGTAAGGTTTAACGATCGTTTCACTTACAATCAGAAATCAGAATTACTGATAACAAAATTACAAATTGTTGAGTGATTGTTCTGATAATAGATTATGTAAATTCAAATTTTTAGTCTACTGTCCAGATGAACATTTAAACTTGTAAAAACTATTACGACTACAGTTTTGAAATGTTCGCAAAAATTAAATGAAAGATGGGGTAAAAAACTGTGACTATTACATCTCTACCGTTGACATTTTAATCATTTTACAATGATGTGGTTATTTGAACTTTACAATCAGTTTTGTCATGATATTTTATTGGAATATAAGTTTGTCAAATATCTATAAAGTGGTAAGTTTTAATTTATTATAATATAGTAACTAAGTTAGTTAAAACTACAATTTATTGCAATGTTAACTATTGTATGTTTTTCAAAAATGTATTAAAAAAAAAATTCCAAATATCTTAAAAATATTCAATTATATCAATTTTAGAATTGTTAATTTCATATTAGAAATTAAAATTGTATGTTGAGTTATAAATGTTTTACTGGAGCTAATATTATTGGATGCATTTTTAAATAATAAATAGGTAGTCTTTTTATTTTTTATAAGGCACCTATCTATTTCATGTATCTTTCCCATCTATATTTTTACAAACGAAAGAAATAATAGTCTGTTTTCAAAAAATTTGTTATTTCTACATAAGCTAGTGGATTTTACCTATAAATGATACCATTTTGTGCTAGTGTTCCACATCATTTATATCACTGAATATTTACTTTTAACTTAGAAGGAGTTCTCAAATATTAGATACAAATAATCAGCCACCTATATTATTATTAGAGATAAACAGACTTTTTATGTTTATTTTAAAATTGATGTGGCTATAGATAGGTATTTTTATTATTCATTGATTTGGTTTAAAATAAACGGCAATTTAGGTATTATTTTACTAACAACTTACTTACACTAATTTATAGTCTTGATTTCTAGATTAAAATAAAAAAAATTATTTATGAATTAAAATAATATATCAATAACTAACCAACTTACCTAAACTGTTTCCTTTTTTTTTTTAATCAAATAATTAAATTGAACTAATTAAGTTACGATAAAACAATTTAATATTGATAGTTATATTTATTTATTAAAAATATCAGTTATACCTATAATATTATTTAATTTTTTTTTGTTTATCTCTTATTAATAAGCACTTCTAGTAGGTAATAAAACATTAATGATGTAGACTAACTGTCTGGCGTAAATTAATTTAATTTCTGTAATAAAAAGTTTATAACTTTTGTAGTTTCTGTTACAAATATTATCAACGTTTTACTTTTAATCAATTGCAATGTACAGACACACAAATAGTTAAATACAAATTTATATTATTATGGTATTTTAAATTGACATTTTTTTTTTTAAACATAATTTTGCATTTTTATTAAAAATTCCATCAATAGATTTATTAAAAGTTTAAATACATTTTAGTGATTTTTAATTTCCACCAACCCGTTTAGGAGATATTTCACTTTTATGTTTCGGTTGGCGCGAGTCTTGGAGCACTATGAAAACGTCACTTGCCACACAAATGATGATTTTTAGAATGTTAACCTTAATATTTTAAAGTAAAATAACTCGGAAAATTGGTTCAAATTTCGATTACGATACATCAACGTTTTCAGAAAATCATCCAGTTTACAATTTCCATTACACGTCGGTTCTTATTTGAAAAACCAAAGTTGGTATCGTCACTTAAACGTTGTGAAAAATCTGAGTAATCTGAGTGAGTATATTCAAGAATATCGGCTCTAACTAGGTACAGTAAAAAATTCCAAAAATCAGAATTTGAATATACTCAAAATTTAACGATAAAAATGGTGTGCGCGTGCTTAATGAATCTCACCTCGTATTATAAATGCCTAGAGGATAGAATTTCATAATAATAATTTTAGGAAAATGAAAACATGGTTTTAAAGTTATGTATTTTTTTTTTATTCACAGTATTACAATCGGTAGGTTTATTTTTCATAGTAGGCCAATTTTTGATTAGTTTTCGAATCAATAAACTATCCGGTAGGTATAGTTGGTTTCTATGGTGATAATTTTTGTTTATATAATATACAGTACCTATACGTATCGTGCGTCCAGAATAATGAATATTTAAAAAATATTATACATACATCAACTTTATCATCCGTTACGTTTTCGTTTTAAATTATAGGTACTTCGTTAAAAAGTTAAATGCAAATTAATTTGTCAATATTTTGTTTTTTTTATAATATATATATATATATTATATAGTTAATTGTACTATATAGGTGCAATCAGTAGCGGACTGTACCGGTAATCAGAAAAAAAAGACAATCCGTATACTTTGTACTTTTAATTCTTTTTTTGTTTTTCTCCGACCAACCATTAATTTTCCCACCAGAAAAGTTACTGAAGTTAAAAATAAGTTGAAAAAGTTTTTAATAAAAAAAAAAAAAAAAAAAAAACAATAATAATAATACATTCATTACTATTATAAAAGTACAAAATGCTATTGCTATTATTATAGAATTAATAATATAAATAATAATACTTAATGTAACTAATTATAATAAAATAAATAATCGGCTTTTTTCCTACATTCGATTGTGCCACCGGGAAGCCGGAAAGTTTCCCGGTGGGCCGGAGCCCTTTCATCACTCTATAAAACTGATTTTACGCTTAAAATTGTTCTTTTTATTTTTTATTACCTATGGCGTATTGTGACGTATACGTCTTTGATAATGAGGAGAAAAACGATCACGATTTGAGATGCCCGACGAACAATATGACAAGGCGGTTAAATGTGTCGTGTCCGTAGATATATTACAAAACAATTAATAATTGGGTCAGTTAAAATTCAAAATCCGCCGCTGGGTGCGATAATTTAATTGCTAAGCGATGGACGTATTTGTTAATGATTATTGGTCATAAAATATAAACCAAACAAAGTACTCAGCTATAAACCATCGTAATACGCATGCTATTCTGCAATATTTTTGTATATGTGGTACGACTTATATATAGTGTGTATAAATGTGTGTGATGCCTACGAATTTACTTTGGATATATTTTCGAGAGTAATAATAATATGAATAGCATTATCGTTTTATCTACACAGCGGTTTTTGTTTTTTGTATTTTCTAACGTGGAATTCCTATACATTAGCATTTTAAGCGATCGGAATTCCAATACGTTACGTGTTGAAGTGACTACGTGTTTCGTTTTCTATGACCCATATCGTATAGTAACGTAACGAGCGTGTAGTGTAATTCGCCTTGCTGGATTTATTCCGTAACAGGTACTCCCTTGCACCGAATTGGTTGTTTTTTTTTTTATATACATATAGGTAGGTAGGTAGGTAGGTATATATTATTATACCCGTCATTTATTTACGATTCACTCCGTAGCACGGTTCCTCGATCCTTTTATCACGGTATACATTATTTAATACTAATACGTTTTAGCCGAGGTTTAAGCTTTCCCACGGAATGCTAAACATCAGATTATAATGTACAAAAAACCAGACATATTATAATTGGTTGAACATTTTTTTTTTTTTTCCAGTGAGAGAGGGTCTTTAAATAAAAATTTTAAATTGTACTATAATTTGTTTAAAAAGTTCAAAACAGTCATTTTGTAAAATTAATTTTTAGACAATTTTGGTGGTTGAAAATTTTGTTGAAATATGGTCTTTTATTTTCTGCAATTACTTAAAAATTTGAATAATTTTCTTTTCAAACATAGCAATATATTGTTTATCAACACGAATGACCATTTTCCTACTACCTAATACTCATAATATGATAATATTATTGCATGATATTAAATGGAAAAGAAAATCCTTGTCATGTGCCTTGAATTTATTAAATATTGTAATGGAGTAACCACAATAGGTAATATTCACATTAGCAAAAACTTCAACAAATTGTAGAAAATAAAAGACCATACTTTAACAAAAGTTTCAACCACCCAAAATTTTCTAAAAATCTATTTGAAAAAATAGCTATTTTGAATTTTTTAAAAAAAATTAAAGTAAAGTTTTAAATTTTAGATTTTTAGTGGAGCGAAGATGTTTATTTATTTTATTTTTTTATCTGTTCACAACTTTTCTAAAACAAAATCGGCGTGGGAAGATACTTTGAAAAGGTCATTTTTCGATTTTCTCAAGAGTTTTCTCATAAAATTTGGTAAACCGAAAAAAAAAACGGGAAAATGTGCAAAATGTAGGTATTAGTTAAAATATATTACGGCCTTCTGTTTTTCCGTGCACAACTTTTCTACTAGCAATTTCGCTCCAATTTTTAATGATAGCAAAGTTTCTAAAAGATAATTTCACTAGGGAGGTACTTTAGTGAGGTCATCGATTTTCCCACGCGTTAAGCAAATATGAAAATTGGGATAAAACATGGTAAAACCGGGAAAAACGTAAAAAAACTGGGAAAATTGGTACAACATTAAACAAATATTATTATAGAAAATGTATAAAGCCTATTTAATTATTTTACTATAAAATGACATATATATTGTTGACAGAGCATTTCTATCAATTGAACTTCGCTCAGAATCGTTTTTTCGTAAGAAATAGTTTTGTCGTTGCTTGCAGATATAAATTAAATTATTCATAACAGTAGCTGTACTTATCCCCATTAAATTAAGATGTCTTTTTTATATTTCAATTCTCCTTTCTCCTAAAAAAAAAAAAATGTTCATACATAAACTGTTGCTCAAAGGCATACCAATTTTTTAAAAAAAAATATGTATACAAATATTGAATAGAACCAAAGTTATTTCAAGGTGTAGATCATCGTGGGACACTCTGTATATAGTTGTAGTGTTTATTCGCCTCGTAGCTAACCCAGAAATCGAAAAATCCAAAGTGTCAGCATTTACTGATTGGTTTTTTGATTTATTTAGAAAAACTGTTGGAAATGTAGAAAAATGTTTCTCGTAAAGTAGCGCCGCTCAAGAAATCCTCTTTTATCAGAGTAAAAATATCTGAGCATATTATGCACAAAAAAAAAAATGTTTTTCCGTGGACACGTATCTTGGTGAAACTATAATATAGCTCCTCGGCAAACTCAAGATGTTAAAAAAAAAAAAAAACATTGTATAAGTGTACATAGAAATAATTCTATGTATTTTACACGTTTTAGTTACATATTATACAAAACTGGCTTAAAAAAAAGAAAAACAAAAGATAGTTACTATAATATATCGAAATCGTGTATCGATTTTTATATACAATAAATAATATAAACTAAAATAAATTAATGTTTTATACAATATACATATTGGTTACGTACTTATTATTAAAATTACGGTTATCAATGATGTAAGAGGCCAAAAAAATTGTATAATATTATGTCGCGCAAAGGGGATTCCCGTTTCCGTCAAAATAACATTGGCCGATTCCGTCACAGCTTTTTTCCGCCAAAAACAAAAAGTGATACGATTCCCGTTTCCGCCCAAAAAAAATTTTGGAAACCAACGATTTTAATTTATATTGCTGTAACGTACAGCATCTATACATAGATTAATATAGTTTAATGTAACTTATTGTGACAAATCAATATCATTTAATTGATAATTTAATAATAATATAAAAAATATTGCCAAGAGCAAAAGTTTTAAAGAGATTAAAAACTACCGAAGAAGCAATATTGTAAAAAAAAAAAATCGATTGAAATTAGTATAATTAGAAGGTTGTTAAAACGGTTTCATTCAATTATGCGATTTTTTAAACTTTTACAATATTAATTATATTTATTGAATGTACCGATTTATAATACTACTCGTATTATTACTATACCAAATGATTTATCAATATTACTTCTATTGGGTATTATTTTACTTTGACCTTTTGAAATATTTAAATACAATGGATATTATTTGATTTTTTTTTTTTAAAACTAATTTTATTGTTTTATTAATGACTATTATTGACTGTAACGAATTCTATTACTATCACTGCAAGGTACCTCTAACTTTAGGTGCGCGGTTCCCAAACAATATTTGGTGGAAACGTCTCTTTACAAAATAGATTTTGGCCGAAACGGGAATCCTCTATGCCAGTACAAATAGCACATTCTACAGCATTAGGGTTGTTTTTTAAAAAAAATTTTAAAATACCGCTAAGATCGTGTTTAAGGAACAATTGTAGTTTTTTTCGTTTTACAGCTATTATAAAACACGTTCATCATTTAGGTATCACTTTTTGGTTCCTTTTTTACTTTTTGTAATTGATAATATGACTCGCCATTTAAGTTTTTTTTTTTTTTTACGGTATTGACTTACACCGACTATTTTTACGGATATCCTAACAATATTATTCGGCATCTATTGATTTCGTTGAAATTTCCTCATCATTTACAACGGGTTCTTCGCGTAAAAAACAAGTTATATTCGAATCGAGGTTTATTACTATTGTTTTGAACGAGTATCGTGTCCCAAAGTAGGAATTGTGATATTTGTGAAAGAAAACCGCATCTACAGTTGAAAATAAAATATAGGTACGGTAATATTATAGTTTTAGACTCGTAATACCTATTCGGTTGGTTCGGAAAGTCGACCCAGTACCTTTATACCCAACGGACTCGTAAAACGATTTCAGGAGAACGACACGGTGGACTTATAACATTTGCCTTTTGGCCTATTAACCTCTCGGTGTATTTATACATGTGTGTTTTTTACCTATTGAAACGTAGTGTACTTGTTTTTCTGGCACGATAACATTACCTTATCCAATATATTATTTACGTAATCGATAGGTATTTGTAAGTTGTAGTAAACGAAATACGGCAGCGGGTCCCAATAGGCAAAGACCATTTCGCTTTTCGTCAGCACGGTGTGTAAAAACTGTTTGATCGATTGGCCGGCCGCGGTGGTCATCCGGGTGACGGTTTCGTACGCCAATTCCATCGCGTAATACCTCTCGGTGATTTCGATTTCGGGTTCGTAGCATATGCGATGCGGCGGCGTTGGATACAATATCCGTTCGAGATTGCTCGTGTAGGACGTGTACGACACCGGCACACCAACGTGGCACCCCATCGGTATCACCTTCCTGGAGGGCGATACGCAAACGCTAAACATCAGAATGCCGTCAAAAGCGAACGGCAACGTGCCGACGAAACGGGTTACCCAGTCGTCTACCAATTGGTTCGGCGTGACGGCATGAACGCTGCTGTTACCGCGCCTACACGTCACGTTGCCGATGACCATCCCGTCCAGGACGGTTGTGCACGTCGTGTAGTACGTACCTGGACAATTTTGCACCAGCAGCCACGGGCTGTCGTCAGACACCGGGCCGGGCAACTTCAGTGACTTCCTGTCGGCCGGCAGCTGCAAGCTGTGCCGGGACTTGCAACCGGACAGCCCGACGTTGACGATGAAATGCCTGTCGGCCCGGAATTGTACGTTGTCGTATAGTTTTACGATGTCTTCCTTGGAACACACCGTCAAATGTTTGGGCACCGGCAGCCCGTGGGTGTTGCACTGCCGGAACACCTCGGACAGGTCCCCGAGCACCGACATGGCATCCAGCCCGGGCGTGTGGCACCGGCACCCCAACAGTTCCAGATGAGACTTGGCGACCGCTTCGTGATACGATGACACCGTGGTGCCGGTGGGCACGTAAAAACTGACGCGTTCCTTCTCGACGATCTTCCTCAGGGCGTCCACGTACTGGACACAGCTATCCTCGGTGGGTCGGGGAACGGTGTAATAGCCGTCGGCCGCTACCGAGAACGACGTCAGCTCCGCGCGACCGTCGATCTCGCAAACGATCACCCGGGCCCCCGTTTGATAAAAGTTTCTGGCCATGTGCAGCGCTTGTACGGTGCTCGCGCCGCTTATCAGCACGGTCCGGTGTCGACGCTGCCGTCGGTGTACCGTCAACCTCAACGCCACTCTGGCCGTGACGAACGGTATGCGGGTGCACGACCAGGCCGATCGCATGCCGAAGCGCAGCCACATGGACGGGACGCGGAACAGTAGGACGCCGACCCACCGTAGCCCGACGATCGCCTTGATCAGGCCCCAGAAGAAGGACGCGGCCGACCGTTCGGTGGCGGCTATTACGTTCTGGGGCTCGAGCAGGCGACCCGGCGGCGGGGACGTACGCCTGTCCAGCAGGTAGAACGTCGAGGACTTGGAACGTTTGAAACTGTTCGACGGCGAGACGGTCGGCGACGGAGTAGAGCCGAAGCCCGGCGTGTCTCCGCCGCGCGGGTTGTAATAACGATCGCCGGAAATCGGCGCCTGGCGAACCGTGTCCGGCATCGTGAACACTGAACTGACGGACATTTACTACCCGTGCCGGTTGTCGGGCCGGCAAAACCGGCGAGCCCGCGCATATAAAAATCGGTCGATTTGACGGTCCAAGTTCCGAACCGCATATTATACGATATTGTGTATTTATTGATAATAATAATTTATTTAATATTATTAATGAGTGTTTTAAAGTATATTATCGGATTTTTATTGTTTTATTGCAGACCGTTTGTGCGCTCAACCTTTGATTTGTATAGCGCTAAATATAAACGTTGATATCGAAAACAATATGCATAAACGAAATTATCACGTTTTACCCGCGGTCATACCTACCGGCGTCGTAATTGGCACGTAATCCAACCTTTAATAATTAATAACACCTATTATAGGAGGCACCTACGAAGTCGCGTCCAATTATTCGTATATAAAGATTAACACCTATATACGTTTTACCCGAGGGCAAAACTTTTATCGTAAACGTTGTGGTATTCGTGTAAATATAAATTGTAGACTTTATGCGGCGAGTATTTAAAAAGAAAAAAAAATACAACATCGTAAGTTGTAGAGGTCAAGTACGATATTTTTTTTAATTTTCTGAACGATGCGGTTTTTATTGTTTACTCGGATCGTTTCATTCGTTGCGATCGTGTTTATTTGTACGGTTCAAACGTGATGTCCGTCATGTACACCTCTCGAAATTAACATCATGTTTGTACAGAAACACCTATCAATGTGTACACACGCGTCGAACGATATTACTGTTATTGTTATTAGGTAACGACATAGAGCCATAGTCGCAGATCAATTGTTCACCGGTGTGTGTAATTTGAACTCGACTAATTATTTGTTGTTGTTTTTTCCCCCTATCGATAAATAATTAGGTAATAGCGAATAAACGCCGTCCGGATTTCAATGTAATAATGTGCAACAGATACTTTTTTTTTTTATTATTTATTGTTAACACAAATATTTTGATACTTATAGGCTATAATAATGCTTACTTACTCGTACATAGTATTGTATTTCGATAACGGAGACAAATAGACGGTTATTGTAAACCGTCGAGATTAATTATTGATTATGAATTATGAATTATAAATCGTATCAATTGAACGGGCTTTGTTATACAACCAAAACAAACCGTACATTACGAGCGATATTAATAAAACGGTACCCAAAAAAAAAAAGTTATCGGCGCGGTTCGTTCTACAGATTTCCCTCTATACTGCTAAAAGAATCGTGAGTTCAGCGTAGAAAAAAAATTGTCAATAGCATACAAATCCGTATGCTTCCAGGTTTCTGAAAATTCTGAAACAACAATACGATGAGACACGTGTGTATAGATGCACAAAGTTATGTGTTTACTACTGGTTAGGTTGGGTGAACTGCATTTTTCACGTTTTCTAATATATTATGTACCCGAGGCGCCAAATTATTTAGACATTTTTCGAAATATTTTACGTTCGCATACTTAAATAGTATATGTCGCTCAACTGTATATATTTCGGAACGTACAGTATGATTACTAATTACAATACATACCCGCATTGCCGGAAATTGCAGGGGGTGCTTAGGGGTCAAGCCTGCTCAAAAAGTATAAACGGAAAATCAGCCCTCCTCAAATTAGTAATGAGTAATTTGAAGAGAGACTAATTTCTCTGTTTATTCGTTTTAAGCGGGCTTTTGACCCCAAAAGCTCCCCTCCAATTAACGCCAATGCATGCCCGATGCATTTTAGGCATTTTAGTTTTGTATAATTTACGAAATTAATAAAACAGTTGTGCATAAAATCAGTGTTTGGAAAATTAATTTTAAAAAGAAATGCATTCCACATTCACATTCACGTTTTATTCTAAATAATAATAAAAAAAAACACTGCAAACTGCATATTTTTCCTATAAATCGTAAACAAAAAATGTGTCTTATGATTATTACTATATTGCTATTAATTTATTAATGTTCACTTACCTACTAATTAATTTTTAAAAAAAGCTGACATACTTCGCACGATGAGTGGACCACGGATAGTTGAGAAGTTGGGAAGGTGGAACATATAATTTTATTTTATTTATATCTGTAACCAACAATAAACCATTGCTAACGAAAAACAATTCTGGGCGGAATTCGGTTATACATATTTAAAAGACTGTAATATTTACGATTTTCGTCAAAATTTAATACTAAAATTCCTTTAAAAAAATTCTATATTATACTCAATTTTTTTCACAACTAAGTACAACTTACAATGAACCTCTTATCCAATTTACAAATATGTCTTTTTGATCCAAAAACTTTATCTACAATCTATCTACCAAATAAAAATTACGTAAAAACTCTCAAATTTAAAATGTCTAAAATAAATAGTTCAAAAATTGCTCAAATTTTTTGAAATTTTACCTCGTCTATAAAAAACAAATACAAGCTTTCTGTCCAAATTTTAAGTCTCTACACATACTTTTAACTGAATCACAACAAAAAACAAAATTGAAAACAATACATTTCGTAAATTTTACCTTTTTTCCAGGCTTTCCCAATTATTATGGAAATCGCTTGGAAAATGACTTCCTAAAATAAACTAATGTATTCATAAGTACATTCTTTTCAAACACTGTACAAAATATAGGTATAGCCGTATAGGTATACATTAATATTCATACGCATTTAGAGATTTCATTGATTCATTGTCAGTATACGAGTAAGTATACGTATTTTACTTTTCAATTCATAATATTATGTATTATACTAACAGATGGGATTGAAATAGGTACAGTTATTTATTATTATTATTTTTTTAATCTGATGACAGTTTTACAAATATGTATAACGATTTAGATATAGTACAGTATTTTATAAGTGAAAAAGAAGAAGAAAAAAAAAGTACAACAATCCATTAGAGCAAAACTGCATTAAAAATAACACAGAAACGCATTGCGTGGTCCGATGACTAACAGAAATCTAGTAGACTAGTATTTAAATTAATTAGACGCATAGTAATAGTTCTTCAAATAGGGCCGTAAATTAAGTAATAACTTTTGTTTGGTACTCAAACGAAATAAAAAATTGTACGGTAAATTTCCGACGTATTCCCGTCAATTTCCCAGCATAAATGTACGATACATATTTACGTTTTACTATGCCAGTAAAAACGTATAATCTAATATATTTTGAGAAATATTGGAAATGGCGACAAATCCTAGGGATCATTACAATCATAATGAATCTATAATTTTGTTTCATTCTTTAATACGTCGAAAATATTAATTTTTGCTTTTCCTGTAATATACCTTTTTCGATACACAACAATATAATGTGTTACATATTTATTTGTTTTCAGATAATTTCCGACGTAAATATGGATAACTACGGACACAGGTAAGATCAATATTACCTACCTAATATTTGGTATTTTTTCCTATGTATTAGGAAATAATTTAAAATAACACAGTATTACCACATATATGTTTTCTATTTGGCATTAACACTGCATTTCCAGTGGCGGTTTTCACGAATAGTCTTTACTTATTCGTTATTGTTGCACGCGCAATGCAATTTCTCAATGCTTTATATACCTAATCGCTTCCTGCTGTCAACTTTCAAAACTTTTATGATTAATATTGTGTGTCTAAAAGGCCGAAACTATTTCACCCACATTTTTCTTAGCGAGTAGTAAAAAATAAAAATAAAAAATAAACAGCGCCTCAGTATGATGTTACGGGTTACCTTGTCACGTCGTTTAGCTTTAAACGCCACCACGATAGAATATCCAATAAAAACAAGGAAATTATCTGATCATATACTACGTAATCACCCTCGTTTATTACCATCGTCGTAATATTTTACCCCAAATGAAAACAATCAATGACAGAAAAACGTTATGATTTAATGCCGTGCCGAAATATGCATAAGTCATGCGATCCGTAACTCCGCCTTTAGGGTTTACTGTCGTGTGTCATGGAATCCGAAGTGTCACGTGACGAGAGCAATTTGTCTCCGTATCTGTCGGCGAGATCACGGTTACCCCTTTGCCTACCCGAAGACGCCAACATGGAGATGGCACTGGCACCTGAATCCCCCAAAATTGAACAACAGTCGCAAAAGACACTCGTTGTCGAGGTGGTGTCCCTAAGGCCGATCGAAAAGTTCCGCAGGGCCGTTGCTAAAATGCCTAGGGTAAGTATAAAATATATGTATTTACAAAACTGTTATAAAAGTTCAATGGCTTATCAATTAAAACTCTATAGTGGCCTGTGCCGTTACTACGTTTGACCTCGAAAGTATTTAAAATTTATTTTTGTTTTGTAGGTAATTAATTAGAAAGTTTTTTTTTTTAATCAGATTTGCAAATAAACTTTTCTATGGTGATGGTGAAACTTTGAAGTATTTCTTTCAGTAGTTATCTGTAATAGTCATTATTTTAAAACAACTGCACAACAAAATATGCGGAAATATTTGTTTAAATACCTATTTATAAGTTTAAAATGTACATTTTCATTAGTTCTCCAAGAAAGAAACCGCTACGCAAGGGAAATCAAAAAACGTCCCGAAATTGGGCACTGAAACTATAGTTCGATTGGATGGAGGGAGAACAAGTTTAAGATTGCCGTCGACTAGTCGTGCACAAAAATCTGAACCAATGGATTTAGCTCGGGAGAACCAGGTGTTGCACGAGCGCCTGCGGGAAGAGGCTGCTCGGTATGACAGACGTTTGGATACTTATAAAGTAGCTCAACAGAGACAGGCTGTTCTTGTGAGCAGACTTCAAGCAAAGGTAGGTTATTAATTTTTACTCTGTTTATTTTAACACTACCTATATTTAATGTCGTTTTTAAATTTACATTTAAATTTCAGGTAATGCAGTATAGAGAACGATGTTCCGAGCTAGAAAGGGAGATGCGAAATAGTATTCCAGCAATTGATAATGTAAGAAGTTATCGCGATTCCACAAGAGATTATCAGTCAATGGATTTAGATTCTGCATTACGCGCTCTAGAACAAGAACGGACCAAGTACTAACAAATCATATTTTTACTTAAATAAAGAATAAAAAAAATGAATCTAACAATATATAAAAACAAATTTTAGATCCGAAAAAATCATAGAATTGAATTCTACACTTCGAGAACAATTAGATGATGCTCAAGTAAGTAATGAGACGTTGTCAACAGACTTGCAAAAATTGACCAGCGATTGGGAAAAAATGAGAGACGAAATGAATGCTAAAGAAGACGAATGGAAAGAAGAAGAACAAATGTTTAATGAATATTATTCGTTAGAACATGGTCGAATGCTAAGTCTTTGGCAGGATGTAGCTCAAGTGAAACGAATGTTCACTGATATGAAATCATCAACTCAACAAGATCTCAATAAAATCCGTAGTGAACTATCATTAGCATCAAATGACATGGTTACTACTTGCAGTGGAATAGTTAATGCTGTTAAACGATCAACTTACGCTGAGGTATAGAGCAAATTTACTATTAATTAATTATACATTTAATTCTTATGTTGTCTATTTTATTTTAGGAAAAACAATATGAACAACTTTTAAAAGAAAACACAACTCTACAGAATAAAGCTGAAAAGCTGCAGAATGATTATGACACTGTTTGCTCACAGTTGCGCCAGAAAGAAATGCAACTAGAAGATCTTAAGGCCAATCTATCAGCAATTGTAAGTTTATTAGTATTCAATTATTCATTAAAATATAATCAGAATATCTGATGTCCACATTGTGTCATGTAAAATTATCACATTTTATTAGTCCTTACAATATTCTTATGAATAGTTTTTCTACTTTACTATTGTTTTTAAATAAAATTGTTGGCCTTTATAGGAAGATAAATGTATGGATGCTAATAAAAATGAAAAGGAGGCAGATAATTTGCGTATTGATGTTGACGTATTGATGTCTGGAATGCAGGAAATAGTTAAAGTGTTACAACAAGACAAAGATATTATTAGTGAAATCAATAGACTTCCAGCTCCGCCTCATGTTCATCTTAGCACAGGAATTATCAAATCTGATGCAAAATTTAAACCAGGATCTGCCACTAGTAACTTTGTCGATAGTACTTTATCAGCCGTTCAGTCCATTATATATAGGTATCAGTCAAACATCCATGAACTACAAGTTCAATTATCTACTTGTGTTGATAAAATGTCAGAGACAAAAAAACATTGCGAACAATTAGAAGTATTGGAAAAAGACTTGCAAGTAAAAATTGAAGAATTGAGTAAAGAGTTAGACGAGTGTCGTACTGTCAATAATCAGTTGAGTCATGAACGTGATTCAGTTGCAGAAACACTTGAAAGACTACGAAATGAGGCTCAAACATTGCAACAAAACAGAATGCATGTCAGCGCTGTGGTAATACACTATTAAATAAGATATATATATATATAGATATTATAATTTAATAAACTATAAAATAAGAGATTTTCATACATTTTCAACTTTAGGTAGAAAATATGAACTCCGATTATGATAAAATACAAAAGGCTAATAGTAAATTACAAAAATTAAATGACACATTGGAAGACGAAAAAATGTTTCAGCGGGGAGAGATAGATCGTTTATTAAAAGAAATTGACATTAGAATGATAACAGAAAATGAAGTACAAGATAGATGTAGCTGTTTAAAAGAAGAATTGATTATTCTTAAAGAAGAATTGAATCAAGTTTATTTGGATAAAGAACTTTTAGAACAACGTTGTCTTGAACTTGAACTTCTGCAATCTAAAATGGAAAAAAACAAAGGTATAGTATATAATATATAATTATATACAATAATATGTTAGTTATAATTACTGGGAATAATATAGAACACTAATAGTGTTATATCAATAATGTTTTGATTTCCAATTTGATAACCATAATTGTAATGAACAATTAAAATGTCCTTAATTTATACATTAAAATATAATGTGTATAAGTATAACCTGCCTTGAAGAAACCATCACTATAACTTTACTTTGATAACAAAAAATTACTATTATTAAATTATTAATTCATTAACACAATATTGTTATAAGTTATACTTTTGCATTAATAAATTACATTTATGAAATAATTTTAAAATTAGTAGTAATTATTATGTATTACAATGTTCAGCTTTAAATGTAATTTTATACTAATCTTAGGTGATCTTGAATCTGAGATGGAAAAAATTGCATCAGATAGAACCGATTGTCAGGAATCATTAGCCAAGGCTGAATCACTTCTCTTGGATGGAAATACAGACAAAATAAAATTACAAAAAGAATATGAACAAATATGTGAAGAAAAAAAAAATCTACAAATTCAGTTAGATGATTTGTCTAGTGATTTTGCTGCCCTAAAAAAAGAACTACTGCAAATGGAACAAGATAAACAGGAGTTAGAATCAGAGCGGTTAAACACGACTGAAAAATGGAAAGCAATTTCATTGGAAAAAGAAAAGGTATGAATATTAAAATTATTTTTTAAATAAAATTACTCAACCATCTCAGAGTTACAATTTTAGATTTAAATTTTAAATTATATTTCAATAATTTGGTTTGCTCATTTAATTTAATTAAAATATATTTATGTATATTTTAATTGAAGTAGAAGTGTTACTGTCAATTTAAATTTAAATTTGTTATTTTAGTTTTAAATTTCGAGATCAATAATTATACTTAAAAGTAAAATGTTTACATCAAAATAAAATAGATAATTTATATATATTAAGAAAAATACTCCTGATTTTCTATATTTGAAGATTTTACTTTTTACTCATTTATATTTGAAAAATGTATTACTACTACCTAATCATATAATTTTTAATAAATAGATAACCGTATAAACATAACTGTATTGGATATTATTGAATATAAAATAATAAAATACAATAATTATTAAATATATATATTTTTTTTAATGTGTATTTAGTTAGAGAATGAATTAGAAGAACTTTTTAAAGATAGATCTCACTTAGAAGACCAGCTAGTAAATGAAAAACATAAGAAACAATCTCTCAATGAAGAGTTAATGCGCTTGAATCAAAAGATTGATCACACAATGGACTCCAACTCTAGAATAAATAATCAATTTCAAAATGTTGTAAAAGAATGCGAAGAAAAACAGGTGTGGTTATATTTATTATGTATATTAATTAATGGTATTTTTATTATTTTTCAAAGGAATACAATTTGGTTAATTATATTTTTTAGATCGCATTAGACAATTGTGTTAAACAGCTAAATAATTTGGAAAGACAATTGTCTTCCCTTTGTGGGGAGAAAGAACATCTTGAAACAATGTTGTATGATGTTCAAAGTAATTTTGAAGTGTCTGAAAATCGATGTAAACAAATGGAACGTGAAAAACAAGAGCTACTAATAAAACAAGTTAGAAATTAAATCAAATTATATTATATAATATTGTCATTTTTAATTTTTATATTTATTTTTTATAAATTTTATATTTTTAATATTTATACTTAGGAATCAATGAAAGGTGAAATATTTCGTTTGTGTAAAGATATAGAAAGTTGTGAGCAAGCAGCAAATCATACAAGATCAGAACTTCTAAGTCAATCTAAAAATTTAGAATTAGAATTTCAGCAGACTATTGAAACAATGAAAAAGCAGGCAGAAGAAAATATTAAAAAATTAACATCTGAAAAAGTAGATAATACAAATATTTAATTTTTTCATTTATATTTTTATAGTTCCTGTAATAGATTATTTGGTTTTTTTTTCGGATTTGTAGGAAACTCTTAAAGTAAATTATGAAAGAAAAATTCAAGAAGATTTAAATCGGTTAGGAAAAAATAAAGATTGTGAAATCGAAAAACTAAAGCAAAAATTAGAGGTGTTACAAAAAAATATTGACACATTAACCCAGCAGCATGATGAAGCACTTCTAAGAGCTGAAAATGATAAACAACAAACTTTACTACTAGGTTTATAATATAATATACTAAGTTACATAAATATTAATTGAAATAAAAATTATACATGTATATTTTCTTTTTAGTTCATCGAGATCAAAAAGCTATTGTTAGCAAGTTAGAAAGTGTTAAAAAGGAATTAGAAGGAGAAAAAGAAGGCTATGAACGTTCTTTGAGAGAAATGCGTGGAAAATTAGAGAATGAAAAGAGTTCGGTGAGTTCATTGCGTGAACAATTGGCTAAAGTGAAAAATGAATTAAATGAAATACGTATACAATCTGAAAGTGAAAAGTGTCAGTTAATTGGACAAATAGATGAAATTCAAACAGAACGAGATAGACACATACAAGAATGTATGGAAATAAAATCTCAACTTTGTATGGCAGAAGATAAACTGGATAATTTTCAAGCTCATTTGAATGATATCAGTAGAAAATTAAAAGAATGTCAGTATTGTTACTATTTATTTTTTTAAATTCATTCACTTAATTTAATTTTTTTATGCAGCTGATTCTATTGCTGAACACACTCGAAAAGATTTGATGGAAATCAGAAGAAATTTGAATGAGACTAGTATAGAAAAAGAAAAATACCAAATTTCAAATAGAGAACTACGAGAACTTATTAAAAAATCTGAAACTGATAAACGTGAACAAGGAAGACACTTAGAAGAAGCATTACAAAAAATTGCTGCGCTTGAGGATAAATGTACTCAAGTTGAAGGAGAACGTGCACGTTTAAATGCTGAAACTAAAGAAGCTTGTAAAAGACTTGAAGAATCTGAAAAATCTTGTAAAGCCCTTCAAGAAGATCTTAAACGAGCAGCTGTTACAGGAGAGTCTCGCAGAAATGAACACAAACAATTACAAACAAAATTGGATGCTGAAACTGAAGAAAAAGAAAGAGCATGTGAACTTGTTCAACAACTTAGAAGAAAAGTAATATATATATAATATATTTTTAATTGTCTACAATAATTAATGTACTGTATTTTAGGTAAATGATTTAGAAGGAGTTTTGGAAGGTTATGAGCAAGAAGTGATGCGTTTACGCCATCGTGTTGATGAAGATGAATTACGTTGGAAGACTCGTGAACAAGAACTTCTTGATCGTCTCGAGGATGGAGTGAGCCATGAGCGAAAACTAGAAGATCAAAAACACAATCTAGAAGTCTGTTTATCTGACCAAACTGTTCAGATCCAAGAACTGAAATGTAAATTGAATGCAGCAGAGGGCCGTATTCGCTCTGCAGATACTCAACTTGGAGATTTAGAGCGCACCAAACGTGATGTGGAGAGTCGACTAAATGTTATATGGTCAACACTAAAACGAGTTACGGGTATGCAAGCAGATGGTTCTGTGAGGATAAGAAAATGGAGTCCTAGTAGAAGTAAAAATATTTATTTTACATTTTTATTTTTATTCTTACAGCTTATCATACATATTATTAAATGTCAAGCATATTAAACTTTTTAGTTTTAGAACAAGGACCTGAGCAAATTCGTATGGAAAGTAAAATAGTAGACCCTGAAGTAGTTAAAAAGGGTGTAAGAAACTTGATGCAACAAGTTGCACAAGTAGAAAGAGAAAAAGATGATTACAAATCTCAAGTAGCAAATATGAATAGACAAATTGAAGAAATAGGTGATATTCATAAGAAAACTGACAACAAATTAAATTCAACCATTCAGATTTTAAGAAAACTTCAAGATGAAAAAGTCGAACTTGAATCAAAGCTTGGCCAAAAACAATCTATACTCTTATCCCAAGTAAACATAATTACATTTCATTCTAGTTTGCAATGTGTAGCTTATAAAGTATTAATAAACAAATTGTTTACTTAATTACAAATCTTTGATCTAGGCAGCAGAAATTAAAGAAAAGTCAAACGAGATTAAGAAAAATAAAGAACTATTGACTAGTCATGAAACCCTCATGCATGCTGACAAAAATGAAAATATTCAATTAAAAGAACGTTTAGAAAAACTAAAACATCATTTGAGTCAATTAGAAGCTGAAAAAAGACACTTACAAGATGAATTAACTCAAACCGAATCAAAAGCTACAAAATTGGAAATACTTAGAATTGGACTTGATGGAGATTTGCAGAGGTTACAAATGATGTTGCAAGAAAAGGATGGTCATATACAAGTAAAATAATATACACTTCAGTTTTTTGAATTGATTTATCTTTATTTATTTAATTGATTTATCTTTATTATATTTTATTTTAGAAACTTGAAGATAAATGTGAGAGTCATTCTAAAGCTTCTGCTGCACTCGAGGAAAGATGTGTTTCATTAAATGCTGCGATTGAGCGTTTAAATGCTTCATTAGCACAGGCTACTGCTAATGAATGTGATTTAAAGGCTCAAATTCAGGCTCTTCAAAGGTCTTTGCATGATGCTTCTATGAGTTCTGCTTCACACAGTGACAAATATAAACAAGTAATTTTTTCATAATATTTCAAAAAATATTTACTATTTTATTTATCAAATTTGTATTTATCATTATAATGGTTTTAAATATTAATTTTTAAATGTTTAGTTGCAAAGATCATTACAAAATTGTGAAAATGAGAAAAAAATTGCTTTGGAACGTCTAGAAGTAGCACAACACAATTTAGCTGATTGTCGCAGAGACCAACAGTCAGTGAATGAGTCTATTATTAGACTTCAGATGGATTTAGAAAATAAAGAAATACAAAAATCTAATTTAGAAGCTCAGTTAAGAGCTTTGGGAAACAAATCATTGCCAAGACAATCAAATAAAGATCTCTATGATGATAGCTCAGATCTAAGATTTAAGTTACAATCACTTAATGATAAGGTACAATCATCATTCATAAATAATATAAAAAATAAGTAATAAAGTATTAAAAGTTGGTTTTATGTATTAGGTGCGTATATTAGAATCAGAAAAACGAAGTTTGGAGAAAAAAGCTTTATCAAGAAGTAAAAGTTTTGAAAGGGTAGATTATGAAGGAAAATATAGTCATGGTGGTCGCTTTTTAGAAGAAAATAGAGATTTGAAAAATAGATGTGATGATTTAGAAAGAAGATTGTATGAAAAAGAAATTGAATTGAAAAATCTTAAAATGTCTTCTGATTACAGGTAATAATAGATGAATAGTAAAATTAATTAATATTTTATGTTAACTAAAAACATTTGATTTTTTATTTCTTCTAGCTCAAATATACCTGTAAAACATACAGATTTAGAACGTTATCGAGCTGGACAGTTACAAGCTGAACGTATGTTAGAAGCGCGTGAACAATCACATAGACAACAAATACATAGATTAGAAAACCAAGTAAAACTGTTTTTGATAGTATGTAAACTTCAAATATAAAAGTAACAGTATGGCTATTTTTTTTAGGTTGCGATGTTAAGGGATCAGTTGACAGAAGAAACTAAGAGACGTCAAGCATACATAAACAAAACTGCCAAAACTAACCGCGAAACTTTGGCACTGAGACAAGCATTAGACAAGTCATTGTCAAAAGTTGCTCAAGATCCATCACCAGATGCTACTTTATTGAAACACGAAGCACGCACTTTGCATCATGCCATTCCTTTGCCTAAGTAGATTATTATTATTAATATACCATATGTTTCTCATAACAATGCATATTATGTAGTTCCTATGTTGTATGGAGAGCACTCTTGTAATTTTAGTAATAGTCGTATCAATCGTATACTAATCGTTGATACAATTGCATTTCATTCATCAAAATTCCTATTATAATAATATTAATATTGTTATACAGATTTTTTTTCCTGTCTTAATTGTTTAATGCTATTTATTCAACGTAACCGTAATTAATAAAAAAACAATATATAAATATTATAAATATATTAAGAATAAATAATGATAGTTTAGTGAATTATTACCTAATATTAGATTATAATTGATAATTATTGTTTATTATACATAAATAGCTGAAACTAATATTGCACAGCATATTTTATATTTTTTAAACTAAAATATTTAAATAATTTTACAAACATTTCAAAAACATACCAATAAAGTAAGGGAAAAGAAACAGTTTAAATAATGTATTTTTCATTTGTGTTTGTGTTGATGATATAATTGTCTTTAAAACAATCATACATACTTAATCGTAACATTTCTATACATAATTAATTTAAGTTAATCTTTTTTTTATAAATTAAAAATACTATAAGTATAGGTAATGCTTAAACAATGCATACATTTAATTTTAAGTAGGTCCACATTTTTATTTACTTACTATACATATTTAAATCAAAATTTGTTGTTTTCTTCATACATTAAAATATATGATTGTATAACACAAAACTGGTAAATTTGAATATTATCTCGGACTTTCTAAAATAATTTACTTATGTGTTCAATAAACTACTAATAGTTGTTTATTTACAACTTGTATTTTTCTTTGTATGTTTGTTACCTCAAAATAATACAAAAATTGATAAAATAATTTAGTTTTCACATCCCATTCACAATCAAAACTTAAGATTTTGCAATCAATCTTTGATTATGTTGTACTTGTATGATAGTTGTATGTGAACAATTACTTTCTGAAAGAATATGGTGTAAAAAAATGATTATACCATAAAATGTATAATATAATCATATTTTATTATATTTGAATAGCATTTATATTTTCTTAAATTATAACAAATAATATTTGAGTTACCTATACAACCACTGAACTTTATACTGTATAGAGTTCAGTGCCTACTACTTGTATAAAACAAGATAGTTAAAGAATAATAATTATTAATATTATGCATTTTATTTTTTTCACAACAGAAACTTATTTTAGTTAAACTTAGGTAAAAAATATAAATTAAAAAATAATAATATTATGTTTTTGTGAAATATTTCACTGTCAAACACTAATGGTTAGATATTTAGACCTATCTAAAGCAAGAAAGTCATAAAAAAGGTACCAGATACCTAATATATCTGATAATTAACAATGTAAAGGTTAAAGAGAAGAGTACAATTGTAAGGAATAGATCATTACAGGTGTAGTTATAGGTTTTAGCAAAGTCTTTTTTATATTGAATTTATAAAGTAAAATTAAATGCAGTAAGTAAGGTGTCAGCATCATAACAGATGAAAGCTATTATTATTGTTCACATGGCTCTGCATCGGTGACAATTGATTCATCTGCAGAGTTATATTGAGACATTTGAGGCTTGTCTAAAAAGGATGGGTCAGCAGATTCGGCCAAGTAAGGTTGTTGTCTAGTGAAGTAAGATTGGGGTAACTGATGACTTTCGAGGTAAGAATGAGTTGGAGCAAAGTCATATTGGGACCTTGCGCCGGAACCACGTTGAGCATGTTCGGCGTGGAAAGTTCCAGATGATTGGGAAGAGTAAGATGGAGTAATTTCGGACAAGTAGTTTTTATATCCGGGGGAGTAAGATTTATCAGAATAAGACTGAGAGTCATATTGCGGGATAGCAGTGGCAGCGGTTGAATAGTATTGCACAGTGGCACCGCGTTCCGCAGGGTAGCCGTAACGTTGTAGCGTAATTGGCGTATTGGCGTATGATTGATCGTAGGCGGACGGTTGGCCGTACGAGTACTGAGATTGTAGGGACCCGATAGGAGTAGCGATGGGAGAGGGATGGATCACGGTCGAAGCGGTCTTGGTCTCGATATACCCGCCGGTATTGGCGGCATACCCGTGACTGATTAGAGGAGTCGCTTCTTGTCTCGCCTGGTACATCGGAGCTCCGTACTGGATGAAATTGGGGTCTTGCTGCTGTAAGACGATCGGTGCCCGGCGAAACGATGCGATGCGTATCGGGGGTGCAGCGGGATCGATCCTGTGCATCATGCTCATGGACCAGGCCACGGGACGGGTGATGGGCAACTGCGACGGTTCCGCCGTCGGGGTGATCGGTGACTCGCCGTAATCCTCGTGACCTGCGTAACGCGAGATGGGTTCGGTGTTGCCCGCGTTGTTGTCGGGCATGTGGTACGGTTCGCGGTCGACATGGGCCTCGAAACCGGTGGACGGATGAGACTTGTACGTGACCGTACGCATTAGACCGTCCGCGTCCAAAGTCTTGTAGTAACCGTGTAACTGGTTATCGTCGTCCCTGTACTCTTGTTGTTCCTTCAGATCCTTTGTGTTCAGATCTTGCACTCCGTACGCGAACTTGTATGACGGTTTCGCCGAAGCCAACAAGAAGCAGCTTGTCGCCAACACCAAACAGATCTGTAAATACGAGCAAGTATTGGTAAACAATAAGGTGCGGTTCGGAGCATAGCATTAATATGCTAGGCGTGAGAACAACGGGTTAAAGATGGCTGCCAATAGCGAGAGATGGATGGAGAGGATTGACGGTTGTTGCGATGAAACACGAAAAATAAAAGTACCTACACTTTTCAAAAAAAAAAAAACAAAGACTGAGACGTATATTATTAATCACACAATCTATTTAAGAGTAAAACAATCATGTAAAACACTAGTTTTATTTTTCTAATCCGTAACGTTCGGTAAATGAAACAACAATAATAGTCACGTTAAGAGCTTAAAAGTTTTGTGTCACAATATTATTAGCAAATTTCACGAGAAATCTGTTTTTCGACTTTTTAAATGCCATCCTAAGTATCTATTTCGAAGGTATTACAATATTTGAAGTTTTTCGATTTTAAAACCGATTATATTGTATTGTAAAACGTGCGGAGGATCAAAGAGTACCTACCTATTTAAAATAGATAGGTAATAATGGCGTTTTGTTCATTTGATAGAATCGAAAAGTTGACTGGAATAAACCTATACTTAGTTAATATTATAACTGTTATCAGGGGCCGTCTTGACGTCTTTGAGGCCCTGGGCAGTGGTATAATGGGGTCCCTACGACCTGGCCGGAGTACTATTTTACTAAAACAGACAAACAGAGTGGTGATAGGTAAGATCTTTATCAGAAGGTAAGACATAATAATTTATACCATTATATACCATTCTTTAAGAATTTAAAATAGCTGTGACACGACGTTATTTTATAATTTGTTTTATTATTTTGGTTGTTATTTTGTTCATTAATATTGATAGTCACGTGTTTGACATACCTGATCTAAATTAACTCGAATTTTTTGTAGCAGCTTTAAAATATGAGTATGGCCAAGTAGGGTTTATAGGCAGTAATTTTCCTTTGAAATTTTTCTCGAAATAAATTTGTTTATCGGTAATAAATATCGGTTATCGGTCGGTGATCTGGCAATAATTAGGAGGCCCCATAGATTGCGGGGCCCGCAATAGACACGTACCTAAAATATCCAATTGGAAAGAGGTGCCTGATTGTTATGAAGAATTGGGCGTACAACTTTTGGTCATTTGGTCAATAGGTATTGATAAATATTATAATGTTGACATATTTATGCAATGTAGTCCGGCCAACGGAAAAGTACCGATGTAAGTATCACATTCCCGTTGTTTTATCCCTTGATCAATGAAAATTTCCGAATTTATTGAAATTCGTATGTTACGTGTATAATATAATCTGTTTTTAATACAATAAATTTACGTATAGGTACTTACTTGAACACCGGTCATGGTGGCGGCCGTTGTGGGTCAAAAGTAATATTATTTACTATATAGGTAGGTATACCTTATATTGTTGATCAGCGTTCACAGACAAACTCCTAATGTGCTCGGATAGACCTCGTCCCCGTGTTTTTATACCACCGAAAAAAAAAAAAAAATATTAAGAAAACATCAATCGGTGGCGTTTTGTGGGAGACTTCGAAAAATACGACCTTGTTGGCCGCCGACAACAGAAATTTAATAGGTATAGGCGGTATATGATCGCCAAAAGCGTACCATGTTTACGTCTAGGCTTAACCGTCTATTGTAAACAAAATATGTTAGGTACTTGGATAATTATCATTATTTTAATCTTTGTTTTTAAACGCAACACATAGGTAAAATAACGAAATTTTCCATTTTACATAAAGTAGCGTGGCGAAGGAGCTAATCGAGAGACGGCCGCCTCTGAATTTTTTTTTAAGGGGTCTACGTATGTGCCTATTTATATAATACATGACAATTTTTAAGAAAGTGTTAAAAACCCAGTGTTAAATCCTCGAATATAGTAAATGTATAGCCTGCAATGAGTGAGTCGGTAAGTAGGTAAGTAGCCTCTGAAAATATTTGAGTTCAGCTAATTATTTTTTTCGATACAGACATTTTTATTGAAATACTGAGAGTTTGGCATTTAGGCGGGTGCGGTTTACAAATTATAAAACTATGATATAATAGGTTAGTCTCATATTACAATACGAGAGAATTCAAATCGAGATCATTTTGCTTCGTACGTATTCAAAGAGTCGCAATCGTCAAATGTTTTTGTTGCTTTATCGCGAGACAGACAGCGAAAACAAATGTTGATGACGCGGGCAAGGCGCACATTAAAATGCCGCTAAAGGCGATCAAAATTCAAAATTGTGTTGTAAAAACTAGAATGTACGTGATTGTTCTTTTTTATTTCTCATCACCCGTAAATAGGTATTGCAATTAATTTTGTATATTTATTATTATTGAAATGGCGTGTTGAAAACTATCAATTTTAACGGTGTCGATCCGATCGCAGTTTATTATATTAATTATGTGGGACCTATAGGTGCCAGTTACGGCATAATATATATTTTGTAAAGATGGTATTTTCGATCCGAAAAATAAAACAAAAGCGTACCAGTTCGATTTGACTACATCGTGTCTAACCCCAGGGCCGGATCTAGGGGAGAGGGAAGGCGGTGATTTATCCCCGGGCGTACAACTGTCCAGGGCGTATTTTTTCAAGATTTCCAAAACTCCGGTTAAATTTAAAATGTGTCATTAGTATAAAACAATGTTTTTAAAAAAATTTATTTTCGACATTACTTGTGATTTTGAATAATGGCTATATAATTATTGTGTTATTTTATTTTTAACCGTAATTGCATTGATTTAAAGCCGGTCTCACACAACTCGTGTACTCGGCGATGCTTTACGGGTCGTGTAGGAGGCGTTTAATCGTCAGGTCGGACGGTTATTTTTACTAGCTAAGGTCACTCGCGGTTTCCCGTCGTTGTCGGATCCAACACGAGGTACTTAAGTGCTCATAAGAAATGTGATTTGAGGGTTTCCCCCAAAAAAAGACAATTATCTGTTGTCTAATATCGTTATTTTGGCGGTAATAGTAGTTAACAGTCGCACATCATTCCCATTTCCCACACCTAACCGTGCACTTGGCGATCGCGCAAACGCAGTATACTGTCAATATATTTAATATAGTTCTACTTAATGTAGATTAGTCGAATAGTTTATAATATAAACTAGTCACAGACTATTCAAATGTACACTGACGACCGTTGTACCTATTTGTGGATTTTACCGTCGTTATCGTGGAGCTTCCCACATGCCCCGTCCTTGCTGACCACTAACTGTTCTGGGTGTTTGCGAAAACGAAGTAAAGGACAAACAAAGTACGCACGATGATCGGCCAGTGCACGAGTCGTGCAGGAGCGACATAGCCGTCAAACCAAAGTACTCGGCGAACAAGCGCGCGGTTACGATGCTCGCCAAATACGCGAATCGCGTGGGACCGGCTTAATATGTACTGATACGTACGCATCGGCGCGGCGTGGAAAAACCCATCCGCCACGGCTGTCGGCCGGAGCAGTCTGAGAGTAAATTATCGTAGATATTGAGTGCGAGGGGGAGCTCGTTGCGCCTGCGCGGTGACTGTCTGTCGTCGTTCTAATAATAAAATATTTGTTCGAAAAACCGGTAAATTAAAATATTATTGAAGTTCGTTATCATTATAATATTCGTGTGTGTGTGTGTTACACCGTATTATTTCCGTTTCAATATTTCAAGTGAAATCCAACACACGGCGCACAGGATGTACTGTACAACAGTATTAATTAGTTTATTAAATAAGTTTTCACCGAATTTCATTTTAACTTTGACGCCGCAACAGTTAAAACCCGTCAGTGCTCGGTCATTAGTCAGGTTAGTAAAAACAAAATCAACAATAGGCACTACTATACCCCGACTATACCTCCGTGGGTTTGGGCATGCGGTCTACAGTTGACGTTAGGAAAACTTGTGAACAGTGTTTGCTATTAATAGAGACCGGAATTATGGGCATGAATTTGTCAATTGATGGGGGGGGGGGGCAAAATAATTTTCAATTTTTAATTTCACTATCCAATTAGTCGAGGGCGTGCTCACGAGGGGAGGGGGGATGGGTGATGAGAGTGTCATATCCCGCCTCATGAACTTTTTTTTAATGCATTTGCTCGGAGTTCCTTGGTAGTTTCGGTTTTCTCGGGGGAAAAAAAAATAAAAATAGTACACAGTTGGTTTTAATTTTTAGTCGTGTTAATTATTATCGTGCATGTAAAATATATCTAGTAGATGCTATAGTTACGGTAATTATTTTAAATTTTTTACATAATTTTTTCGGTTTTTTACATTTAATGAGATCACAAAGACGGTTGATTTTAATTCAGTTGTTGATAATTTTACCGCGATCAAAGCCAGAAAAATAAAGTTTTAAGCATTAAAATTAGCCTTTTTTTATTTGAAAAATGTAGAATGTAGATATTTTAATATACGCATTTAAACCATAAGTATTAATGTTATTGTCTTAAAATTTTCAGTATTCAGTAATATTTTTGTTCCATTGTACATTTTCCGTACCTAGGTACTATACGTTTTGATTGTAACGAATATTTAAAATTTATAAATATTGTTCATTTATATAAAGCTTTTTATATTAAAAACAACAATCAAACACTTTAGATTTGTTAATAAATAATTCACCCGTGTTATTATTACCGATAATTATTTTTTCTAAACTTGAAACTTAGAAATATTGACCACAGATTTCAGTTTCAAATACACCATTAAGAAGTGCTTCTAAAACTGTTACTTGTTCGGTATAAAATTTAAAATGTTTGATTTATAAGTTAAAAACGATCATTTTATTCGTCCTGTATATTGCGAATGGTTTTATAAACGGTTGGCAACACCATTGTGTAAGTGTGCTTGATTTTTCGTGTAAAAAAAAAAAAAATAATAAAATACCGAATGACCGTTTCTCTGAAATGGACGTGACTTTTTCGTTTTCCCCGGGTGTTAAATTATGAAAATCCGACCTTGTCTAACCAACATGTCCAGTAAATAACGCATCTAATACAAATTACCAAACGACAAAATATAACAACATAATTATGTACATTTATTGTGGATATATACGCAATAATAGCTACAGGTCAATCATAATAATAGTTAATATTATGTAAAATATATTTGTTTTTTTTTTTTTTTTTTACTTATTAATGGAATTCCGATATGGACGGTTTAGGCGTTCGAAAAGTTAATCAAATAGTCATAAAATAACTCATATATGTACCTATATTAGAGCGCAAAAAATTTCACGCGTACACGTTTTTACGTATACGAGTGAAATTAGCGTTCAGTTCTATAAAACCGCGCACCTACTTGAAAAATCCGTGTACACGTCCAGGTAATTACTCGCGCGTATATTCACATTTATTTTGAGTTCATAATAATGTTAAATTTTTTAAATTTAACAAGAAAATAAATTGAAATTATGCAAATTCCACAGTGCATTTAATACTCGCACTGCAGTACGTTATCGTCTATACAAACATCCGCGAACACGTAAATATCACTAAAAACACGTAAACACGGATAGTAAATTCACGTGATTACACATTTTTCATTCGGGCGTGTACGCGGACTCCGTGCGTAATATCAATTCACGTTTTCAATCGAGACCTCTGTTATATTATGCAAATTATGAGACATCTACCGCAGTGTTGCACTACACCATTTGCGCTGTTACTATTATTGTGATTATTTGTTTGTCACATTCGCGTAGATGTTTAAAAAAAAAATATATACGCGAGTCTTTTAAGTGTTATAGCCGGATATAGGTGCCGCAATGCAGAGAAACGGACGATATTCACCGTGGTTAGGCACCTATGTTCTGCATACCAGTAAATAAGCGTACGTATTTTTACATTCGGTGACGATTTTCTCATGCGAATGTCGTACATTAGAAATATACCTACTCAATTACACCATCGGCAGGTACCACGCACTACTATACATATACCTACGTGTTGGTATATTAACATTAATTGCCTATTATGATTTGTTAAATAATGTTCTCTTTCTGTTTTCTAGTTGAACAGCTCTCCAAGAGTCTTTGCTGTCAACATGTGTTCCTTATCCCATCTGTCTCTGTAATTCTCCATCTCTACCACGTATCTCTAATCAAATTCAATTAATTAATTTCCCATTTTACCGGTCTTTTTTTTAAATTCCGTCCAACCAACGCTTTATGGGTCTCCTCTTGGTCTGATTCATTTACAATTTTATTGAGCTTGTATAGGTATTAAAAAATCTGTTTTATATTTTTAAATATGTCAGAAAGACTGTGAACGTTGACTTATGGCACCCACTTAATAAATTGGCCGTGAAATAATGTTCTCAAGGAAAAAATGATTCAAAAATTATTGAATAATGCAGTTATTACAATATGACAAAATCATCATATCCGTATTGTAAACAACACAATATAAGTAGTATTCAATTTAAATATTGATCGGTAGAAATTAAAAACTCTGCAATACAGTTACGGGAACATTCGACGTACCCAGTAGGTATTCAGACGTCGGCCGGTACCTACGTGTGGTTTCTATCAATTATATCGGTTATTTAATTAATGAGGTAACTTCTTACGTTTATGCGAATATCGATGTCCGTTATCGAATTGTAATTTATTTTTTTTTTTTTTCCGTATATCTTCTAATTATTATTGTATTGGTTTTATTATCGACCGCGATAAATTAATTCATTACAGTATGGTAAAAATTACTAATTTACACGATTATAATACACCGTATTGTAGTTTCATCATGGTCACATGATGCAGTTTACATAACTAAACACACCGGGTCACGGGTACCACGAGTATCATGGATATATTAAATTTAAACAGTCAACAAATATATGTGGATTAAAAATTGCCCACAATTTTATTATTCAATTAGCATACACAAAACAATATATAGATATAAATGCCAGTTTTTCGATAGACGCTAACAATAATATAACGTTTTTAATATTAATACACCTCCAAAAGTTCAAAACACATATGAAAAATATTAAAACAAAGATTTATCGCATATTGAATAATCAGTCATTGATTTTTACAAGTTTGTTAGTATAATTATATTGTATATTATGTTGTTAACTCTGAGTATTCAAGAGTCCTTGCGGCATAAACAAATATCGATTATTGTAATGTATAATCATATTACCTACATAAATAAAACTAGATCACCTTTTAATAACCATAAATACTTATACAATAGTTTCAAACCTTTAAACGAAATAATTAAGAGTTTCAGTAAAAAACATAATTTTTACTAGTTATGTATATTATGACGCATTCAGACATTGATATAACCTGATTGATGGAACGTTGAATTTTTGGAAATTATTGATGTGTATTGTATAATTATTGTTTTTAAACTATGGCCTCGCTTGTGTACCAAATCAAATGCCCGTGGTTGTAATCACCCATCATCATCGCTATCAGAATGCGATGTCTGTTTTTTCGTCTATAATTTCATCTGTGTAATATACATTATAGACATTTTACAATTTTTACAATTTTTAGGTGTATCTGAAAAATTCGACTTAATAGTAACGGAGACCCGCATGCTGATCACGGGTGTTTTTGTCGAGTTTTCTTTTATGTATACATAGGCACCTATATAAAACGACTGTTTTCTTTAAAATCGGGTAACCATTAGAAATAGAGAAATAAACAAATAAAATTTTCAAATTAGAAAACCAAAAAATCAAGTGTTAAAAACCGTTTAGGGGTTTAGTATTTCGGGATAAAAAGTTACCTAAATATGTATGGCCATGTCTGCCTTCAGGATATGTTAGCTATTTCCCTACCGTCTTTTCATATCCCCGCGCTAGGTTCAGCGATTTAACCGTGAAAGGGTAACAAACTGTTATATTACTGACATATTATGGTATTAGTCGATTTGTTGTTTATTATTTTACATTGATGTTTGCATAATATTTGTATCAATACATATAGTATTTGGTATTATTTATATTGCGTTATTTACGATAGTTTGATAACTACCTATTAACATCTGTCTAGTGTATGTTTACGGCGGTACTATATTGAACAACCACAGAATAGATGAAATCTATGTCATTTATTCTGTGAATCTATTCTTACCGAATAACCGTTGACTACAACACGTTTTTTTTTTTTTTTTTAAATACGCGAATAAAAGATAACTAAAAAGAAATGTGTACGAGCGTATGCACGTAATGTCTGACCGATTATGGATATCCAAATAACGTTGCTTAGCATTGGTTCAACGGTTAAATATTTAATCGAATAGATAAATAATATATAATATATTATTATATTGTATATTGTATATTGTTTAAGTTTTCCGATAACTATAATATCCGGTTTTCCGGATTTTTCTTATTGTATAATGACGGGCGATCCGAACCACAACCGTCGCGGTGGTACTCGTAATAAAGAAGTGCCCAAAGCGAATATCACGACTAACTCGGCCTCTGCTCGCGATAGTGGCGACGATTTATTGCTAATGAAAATACCGTGTGCTTATCAACTGATATTTCTGTTGGAAAGCGCATCGGAATGTTCTAAATACATAGAAATATACAAGGAAGCGGTGAATCTCAACGTCGACAATAACTGCGCGCGTTTGTACGGCGATGCTGGGGATCGCGCGGTCTGTAACGCGATCGTCATCGATCACAATCAGCTCGTAAACTCGTTGAGCCACCAGTGTACAGAGAAGGATGAGAGATTTCGAATGTTGCACGAACGAACCAAAATAGAATTATACACCAGCGGTAAAATCTCCGGGAAACTAATGGTGCAATACGTACGTCAGTCGATAATCGTTGCTCTGGAATCGTTGCGTCACAAGTGGACCGAATTCGACACCGACAAACACGCGTACCGACCCGAACTACTTTACATAGTGATGATCAATTTCTTCGATTTGGAGTTCATAATAGAATTTATTCAAATCGAACAAAAAGTGGACGCGATAGTCGAGTTGAAGTGTAAGAAAATCGCCCAGGTTCGTGATAAATTTGTTTCGAGGGCGACGAAAGCCGAGCAGGCTATTGTGGCCGAGAAAATTCGACAATTTTGGCAGAATTTCCATCACGGGTTGAATATTGATTCGAAAATGGCGTCCGAGTTCAAAAACGTCGTGGTTTACTCGTACGAATCCAAATACAACGCGCACTACGAGCCTCCGGATATCGACAAAATCGTCACCATGTCCAGAAATTATGTGATGCGCGAAATGAACCGAATACAACAGTTTTTATTGAACGTCAGAATCGAGTACGAAAACTGCGTGAAAAACGCGAACTCGATATACTCTTTGCAGTCCACGAACGAAGATTTTGGGCATTATTACGAATCTTATAGCAACAACTTGAGCAAGATCCCGGACGAAGTGCTCTCCGTACCGGTAATTTTAGACGCGATGATTAATGCCATTAGCCCTAAAAACATCGCGGACGAATGGATCGACATTTGTTCCGATGGGCTGAAAACCGAAAGCGAGGAAGGTTGCATGAATTATCCTGTTTGCGTACAATACGGAAACGAATGCGGTCTGACTGTGAAAAAACATAACTTACGTTTCACAAACTATTTGGATTCGACCACGAACGTGTTGTACGCCAAGTGGAAGAAATTATTGTGGGGTAGGCGTCCTTTGGTGCCGTTAGAGACCGAAGCCGAGTACGACCGTATTATCCAGGCTATCAAATGCCAATGCGAAGAAAACACTGCCGGCGACGACGTAGACCTGCAGCTTTGCGTGTTGGGATTGAATCGGTTGAGAAACAACCTGGACGTGTTCAGAGGCGAAAGTATCGATTTGTCGACACTGGGAATGATGACGCGGATGACGCTCGAGCCGAAATCATTAGAACCGGTGTGCCGTGTGACGTTGTTGCAATTATTGGAAAGCGAATCCGAAAAATTCAAGCGAATGAGTTACGCTTATTTCGTACCGGAAGACGTGCTGTTGGTGATATTTTATGACTTCCAAGTGGCCGACTCTTCGACGCGTAAACGTTTGCAAAGATTTACCGTCCCGCAGTGGCCGGTTTACATCAAGGATTATTTCGATTATTACCACGGCAAGAAAAAGCCGATAAGTTTTTACGCCGTAGACGCGAATGACCTGTGTTCGACTTACGTAGAGGAAACCGAAGAGCTGCGTTTCGGAAACGACGGTCAGCTGACCATTGCCAAGAGAAAATGGTCATTCGAAAAGGAGTCTATGTGTTTGATTTACAAAACAAAACGGTACGAAATCCTCAGAAACGTTGACGGCGGCGAAGACGACGACGATCGTTTTATCATACACTGCAGTAGTACGGGCAGCGCATACTACGTCAGCAAATCGCGGAGCAATGTCATCGGGTGCGTGTATAGAGCAACGGACGGCGCGCTCAACGAAATCGTTTCCGGGAGCAAACCCGGCAACTATCTGGTGCGGCAATCTAATCCGAACGCGAGGGCTAGTAACGGACAATTAGAAACGTGCCGGAGTTATGACGGTAACATCGGCAACCGGAAGGTTGTCGTCGAGTACGCGGATAAGAAGACGGTTACGCATACGACGACCGGCCGGGGCGAAACGCCTGCTGCAGCGGCCATCGGTGTTCTAAAACCGTCGGCGTCCAAAATGCGAAAACCGTCGGTAGTCGGTGCCCCGACACCGCCGGAGAATTCCGGGACAACGTCAAATAATGTCACTGCATCGCCACCCACATCACCGCCCGGGTCGCCGCAGTCGGCCGTCGAGGGTTCTACGAGAAAATCCGTGAGCAATATTAAGTCGACGAAAAGTAAGATGAAGCGAGTGGCGTCCACCCGGAAACGGAATTCGGCGGTTAGCATCGCTGTATCGAGAGAAGACAAACCTTTGAAAACCGTACAGGAGGATTTTTCCCCGCCGTACCCGCCGGTGGAGTACTCCCGGGACGGGACTAGGAAAACCTTGCGGTTCGACGACGGCACTGAGATTTCGACCTACGTCCAGGAAGTGCAGCGGCCGGAAGAACTGTCTGACGATTGGGTTGTTATGGCCGTTACCGGGTACGAGTATGTACACCCCGCGTACCCGTCCGTGACAACGGACGAGAGGGACGGGGCGATCAGCGTCCAGGGTCTTTTCACGCGTTCCTCAGACGGCGGCCTCAGCTTGTCGATCCCGGGGTCGTCAAGTGACACGGCCGGAGTCGCCCGCGTACAAGTCTCCAAAGACTCCATCGTGGTGTACGGTGGTGGCGACCGGGTGATCGCGACGTTCGGTTGGAAGGGTTCCGAGTCTAATCTGTTCGAGAAGCGCGACAGCCGTGGGAACGTGCAAATCACGGTTCCGGACAGCACGTATAGTCCGTTTGCCTCGGGCATTGACGACGTTACGAGTTTGATCCCGCCGGCCCGATTCGACGCTCCGTTCGCGTGTTTCATCGTGAAACGCGGTATTTCGGGTTTCAGGGTGCTCGGAACAGACGAGCACGACAAGTTCGTTGAAGAGATGCGAGGCCGGGCCGACGCCGTATTGGTGCGCGAGACCCCCGAAGAGTTTACGACGGTCTTCGGCGCGGACGAACCGACCGTCGCCGTCACCGCCACTCCTGTAGGTTACGAGTGGCTAAAAGTCCGTGTACCCAACCGTGACGATCGCGGGACTGCCGTCCCGAAATTGTTGGTGTGTAGAACGCTAAGGAGGGCTAACAACAATTACGGTCCAGTCTTGACCTGTTTGCGAAACCCTCCGACTTTGCAGCATCTGCAGCGGCGGTCGGGGTGTACTACAGCAGTGGTACGGCCCCCCAGACTAGTCGTCCGCTCAAATTTCCCCAGGGCCGACGCCGTGTGCGCGATGTACGCGACGGGTACGTCCCGGTACGGTCAGGAACGCTCCGATGTTAAGGCCGTATTGGCCGGTCCGTCGGTTAAACGTGACCGTCGAGAACAAAAACAGCGAGACGCGCAAGAAGCTCGTATGCGGTCGAAACGCAACGAATTTATTCCGTACTTCCAGTGCGACCGTTACGGTCCGTTGAGGGATTATTTAATCGTCAACAATCTGTCTTATAATAAAAATATGACGGGACCTAGGTACTAACCTAGATAAATAAATAATATAAATAATACTAACGCTAATTTGAGTTAAATATTTATTCTTGATATTCATAAAGTTTAATTTATGTTTTATTGATGGGGGGGGGGGGGTTGAAATTATATGTATTTTCCCTCGCAAAGTGTAACTGAGCTAATATTCTTCAAATTTAGATTTATAGAGAACTACAAATGTTATATGAGGTGGCCTAATCGACAATTATTTATTTGAGATTTTTAAAATGCAACGTGGCCCAACCCACATTAAAATGTCAACAATTTAAGGTTTATGATTGTTTTATACACGGTTTAAAAGGATGTAATTTATAAATATTTAAGTGATTAGGTACATTGATTTCTTTTAAATTAATTGTATTTAAATTTAAAAAATAAAAGTATTAAGTCAAAACTTTGATTGACCGTGTTATAAAATTTCACTTTTGTGTGTTAGACCGACATGTTTCTACACGCCTTATATGTTATTAGAGCAAAAACGAAATGGGCAATTGCCCCCCCCCCCCTTCCTAGTTTCGTTATGGTTGGAAGTATTTTTTAGATTTTTAACACGCGTGTCTGAACCATAGTGTAATAATTATTACTTTATGGTCTGAATACAAATGATAGAGATTTGACGGAATCTCAAGGCCGGATTTATATCAATATTTCTATATTGTGACGGAGGTACACATTTACTTGACATTTAACTTTATACTTCGATAAAGAAAATTTATTTTTTTTTTTAAATAATAATTTAATAAAGTCTTAGATTCCTGCAGATTTCCATTAGTTAAAAGGATTTATAGAACTAGATCTGTATAATTATAAAATAAATATAAGAATAAATATAAAAAAACAAATTGAATTGTTAAAATAATGATGATATTTTGTCAAGTTTGATTAACACCATATTTATTAAACGGGTTAGTAAAATCCTTTAGCAAAGTGCAAATAATTGTGTGTACATTTTCTAAATAGTAATGACATAATAATTTAAATAGCTTATGTAAATATGGATAGTAAAATCGCCAAAATCATACAAAAAATAATAATAAAAGTACCTATGAATTAGTAAGTATGACAGTAAAAATAGAAAAAGAGAGAAAGCATAATAATTGTGAGAATTATTATTATAAAAAAAAAAAAAAGTAATAGTAACAACCAAGAAAGATGACGCGAAAATATAGTGACATTAATTCAAACAAGTATAATATGTAAGGCCACAAACATTCTGTCTGAATACATTACGTACCTGACGTAGAAAACAAACCAACACGATCCGAAACACAGTTCGCCAATGTCCGTGATTGGCTCTTGGGAAAAACGAGATGGAATTATAGTCGTTTTTATAAATAGGGAACATGAGATTAGTTTTCTTAATTCGCGAGTGAGTATATAAAAACCAATCAGAAATAGTAATTCCGGAGAATGAATAAAACCACATTTTAATGAGTCATATATTATAAACATAATGTCCGCAAAATTTCTCATCGAGTCGCAAGACGTAATCGCCATTTGGGTAATCAGCGCGTTATTTTGAAACATAATAATTTTAAACATTTATACTGAACATTTTCTATAAGATTTATATGCTAAGACCAGACGACCAGTGCGGTGACCAGACAATTGAACCAAACTCAAGATTGGACCTAACCAGGGAAAAGTATAATGTTTTCAAAGCATTGAATTTTTTAAAATTAATCGTGCTTCTGTATATGCTTCTAATAAATCCCGACATCTTAAAAGCTTTTTTAATAAAAGTATTAATGTGGATGGAAAACTCCATGAAAGAGAATCTCCGAGTTTCCAATTGAAGTAACTCGCGTAACTGAATAATTATCAATCATATAATTATAGGTGATTATGTTATTTATACGTGAAAACGTGATAACACTGCACTTATTTATGTTTAATGGAAAGCGATTAACACTCCAATCAACAAATTTATCCAAATTTGATTGTAATTTTAAAGCGCCATTTGGAAATTTAATAAATGAAAATAATTTGGCATCGTCGGCAAATTAAATAATGTCGATTGAGCAATCAAAAATAAAAAGCAGATCATTAATATATAATACAAATATTGGTATGGAATTAGTCACAGAACTATTAATAGGTCTTTAGTAGGTACACAGTTATTCCTAATTATTACTATTATTATTTATCAATTAATATTAATCAATAATTATAATTCGTTATCAACTGTTTCAGAATCTTTCTACTGGTAATAATTCACATTGAAATGATAAAACGGGATAAATCATGACTCATTTAATTCAAACGTGGCAAATGTATAGTGTACTCTATGGACATTGGACATCTATTGAATTTCAATGGCTCCACTCGTTCCGGGTTCTTTTTTTTAATCTTTATCATTCAGCTGTTATCAATATATTATTATATTAGTATAATTCTTATCAATTGTTCACGTTTGAATATTTTTATTAAAAATCAGTATTCAGATTTCAGGTACCCATTCTTCTAGTATACCCACTAGTGCCTATAATACTGAGTAGTTAATAAATACATAATAATATTTTGTAAACAAATTATCGTAATGTAATTAATTGATTACGTACCTACGTATCGTCGACTTGGCAATTAAACATATTTATTTTTTTCTAACGTTTTTAGTGTTTTGGATTGAACTTAAAGAAGTTTACAAAGCCCGTTATTGATTATTTTGTTTGTTATAAGGTAGCCGTTTGGCTATACATTTTTAACAATGTCAATTATCGACAAACTTGCAAGAGCTCTAGACGGCCTTAAATCAAATGATTTAATGGGACGGTATGTACCCAACATAAATGTATTTATTTTTTATAAATCATATTCTTAACTTATTTATTTTCAAAGGTCTGGAGAGAAAGAGAAATATTGCCGAGTTACTGCTGATTTAATTTGTGCCCCAATTATTATGAATTTTTCATCATTTCCCGATCTTTTGCACAAATCAATCGATAGTCTATTTAAAATGTGTGATCATGCCGAAGCTAATATAAGAATGGTAGCTGAAGAAAATCTTAATAGAGTTGTTCGAGTAAGTTCGAGTAATATTACCTATATAGATTTTAGGTATTATACATGTTATATATAATATATGTCTTTCATTCTCATATGTTTAGTGTATGATTGACTATCGTAAAGTAGAAATATTTGTCGAATTACTAAAAGAAATTAAAAAAAATGATACTGTTCGACGATTGAGAGCTGCTTTATTAAGATTTGGAAATATATGTCATCTAATCAAGTATGTAGTTTGAGATTTAGTGTATTAATATTATTAATACTGATTCAAAAAACAAATAAATAATATTATGTTTATTCCAGTCCACCTAGTCGTAAAAAATTTGTTTTGTTTATAATACCTTGTATAAAAAAAATTGCTATTAGAACAGAAGATCAAGTTGCTGAAACATTAGCACAAACTTTTCCAAAAATTATGGAAAGTTTAGGGCATATAATGTCCGATAGTAACATAAAAGTGAGATTTTCAAATAATTTTATTTACTGTTTAAATTATTTTTTAATATACATTTTTATACCTAACCACATTTTACAGATGTTGTTGGAAGCTTTCGTTAATAATCTCGTTACAGATTCTGCAATTATTCGTAGATCTAGTGTTACTTGTATAGAATCATTATGTCTTTTCAGTAAAAAACCAACAGTTTATTTAAAACATATGTTGCTTATAAATTCGGTTTTAATTTATGGTGAGTTTTTAAAATATATTAGTATTTTAATTATATTAATATATTTAGGTAATTTTTAAAGATATTAATAAATCAATGGCATCAGAACGTGCATGGGTAGAGAGTTGTGTGATTATTGGATTATTAAACAGTGTCAAGAATACAATGCTTTATCCAGAACATATTTGTGGTAATTCATATGAATTCAAACTAGAATCAAAAATTCTTCAAAAAATATATTTACAGGTATCTATTTGAATTAATTGATTTTGTTAATTTATGGAATACTTTTAAGTGTTCATTTAATTAATTAGAATTGAAATAAATCTTGAAAAATAATAATTTTCACTTTAATATTGTTTAATGATTTTTTCAGATATTTAGGTTTTGTTGTTTTACAATATTGCATCCAGATTCCAATATAGTAATGTGTGCATTAGAAACATTAACTCAAATGTTTGTCTCTTGTCCACATGATACATTACAATTATTAATAAAAAAAAAAATGTTAAATCAAACTAAGCTTTACGAGACTGAAATTGGTTAGTTTACATTAATAATAGTTATGTTATTCGTATGTATAATTGTGAGTAGATTTGGAAATTATTATTTTTCTTGTAAATAATTTTAATTTTCAGGCTTATCTGCAGAAATAACATTTTTACTTAAATGTACTTTTAATATGTGTAATATATAATTTTTATTTCAGTTAAAATGCAGACTATGGTAAATTCTATAAAAATACCTAGAACATTAGCTCAAAGTTTACAAAAATCATTAAACTACAGTTCATCTGAAAGTATAGAGACTTCATTCGTTCAACTTTCCCTACCAAAATTTGAAGACGAACCAAGATCAGTTTCACAGTCTATGGACTCAACTAGACCTTCATTATCATCAGCTAATTCAATGACTAACTTGTATTCAGAATTTGGGGATGATAGTTTGAGTGAGGTTGATTCAATTGCAGATAATGTATTTTTTTCAGAATATGAAAACACTACTGAATTTGATATGCAAAGTATAAATTCTGAGCACAGTTTTCATTCAGCTTCAGGGTCAGTTTTACAAAAAGTATGTTAATCTAGCTTATTAGTTTTTTTTTTTTTAAAAAACTAAAATAAAATAATATTTAATTACGATTGATATTGATTATTTTAATAGGAATTAGAATTTTTAAATCATATTTGTGAGGATATTCCTTTGAATGTGCTTTGTATGAAAATCACTTCACATTTCTTAGCACCGGAAACTAGTAAATCTATCAGAACTGGTATTAAGACATCAGCTTTTGGATGTCTTACAGAAATGTTGAAAATTGATCCAAATTTAGCCTTTATCAATTTCAAATCATCAGGTTAAATACCATTTTGTTATAATTTATAAAATGTGTCATCCTTTTATAATCAATTCTATAATAAATTTCTGTAATTATTATTAGATTTGATTGAAACAGTACTTGATGTTTCAATTAGCTATACTACCCATGAAGATCATCTCTTAAGAGGCATGGCTATTAAATTAGTTGGCACATTTATTGAAATAATTCTTAAAAATAATTTTGGCGAGTTCAAAATACAGAAGAATGTAGATGGTCATTCAAAAGTAGTGATTTCTGATCTAATTAATATTATTGCACAGGTATACTTTAGATATTATGATTTTATAAAACACCAGTCAACCTATAAACTTATTTGATTTTAGGGATTGAAAGATGATTCTTATGTGTGTGTTTGTCATTCTCTCTCAGCTGTATCAGCATGTTTAATGCCCCTTCTAAACAGCAATGTTTCTAATAGTGCTATTCCTTTACTTGAAACTATATTATCAGGATTAAGTTCTTATTGGCTTGTTAAGGTAATTATTTTTTTTTTACAGGATAATTTTCATTAATTTATTCTGTTTGAGTTTTAATGTTAACTAATTTAATTTTTTGAAACTTGTACTCTAAAGGTTAAATTATTAGAAATCATTGGAAATCTTTCTTTTATGACAGTCTATTTTGCAACAAATAGTTCAATGTATCAAGATAGAATTTTGGATCGGATAGTTTATAAATATCTTTATGATAACGAGCACAGTGTCAGGCACGCAGCTTCTAAATGTTTATTAAAGTATAGCTAATTAAATTATTTTATAATCATCTAATTTTGTTTTTTCATTCTTTATATTATTTATATTCTAGTATTGTTCATAATTGTTATTACAAAATTGACTATATGCAACAGGATGCTATTACTTCTTGGGTTTGTTCAAATTCTAGTCTACATTGTTCTAATTTGCTTCAACTTCAAAATTGTAAGTAGAAATAATGTTTACTATATACATGATGTTAATTTTTACATTTTTTTTTTTTTAAAATGGTTTGATTTTTAGACAAATTTCATAATACGTTTGTTGAAGCTTCACTATCTCGAGTAATAAACCATTTGACTAGTGATCTGATTAAAAGTCAATCAGCAGTAGTTGTAGTAAGTCATTTCAGAATTAATTTATATTATACTTAAATGGTGTATAGTAATGATTATTTATTTAAGGCTGGTTGTATTGAAGCACTCACGGCTTTGTCTAATAATTTTAAATCACCAGAGTATTCAAATGTTTGGAGATGTTCATTTATTAAAGTATCTAATTCAAATCCACACACAAGGTAATGTTATAATTTCTATGATTACATTAAAATTAAACATACAACAGATGTGGACTGAGAAGTTTAGTTCATATTTGTTCAATGTATCTATTCAATTATTAGTTTAGTTGTTTAATTATGAATGAGTAAAGCAATCTATGATAAAATAACTTAACTTTTTTTAAAAGTGTGAATTTAAAAACCAATTAAAAAAACAAATTTATTAACCTATAGTTAAAATAATAACTTTGAACTTTGTCAAAGCAATGTTCTCAAGTGGAATGTAATCATTTACCTAACATGTCTTGTCAGTTGTATATTTTTTTTTAGTGCATGTTCAGGATTATTTACTTCAGTACTTTCGACAATGACATCAACTACTGCTGCTTATGATTTAGAGATGCATTGCTGGATGCTAAAATTGTCTTCAAATTTAATAACAGGTTTTTTTTTTTTTAATTACTAAATAATATAAAGGATTTTTGAAACATATTTCTGTATACATTTCAGAATTAATTCATTCTTCACAAACTATTAGCATGATGGAACATAAAATTGACTTTGGCAAGCATAATCAATGGCTTGAAGATGATAAAGTTAGCTATTACCTAGTGTTTAATAATATATTTTAATTTTTGATTAATAATTTAGTAATCATTATATTATCTTTATTTTTAAGTTATTAACATATATATTTTTTTTAGTTAAAGAAGTATTATAATGAACTATGGAAACATGTTTTAAAATTGTTAAACATGTTTCGAAATGTAGTACTAGATTATAGAGAACCAACACATGCTCCAATCTCAGTACAAAAGCCAGGTTATTCAGTTTTTAAAATTATAAATTTCTTCATTCTAAAAATAATTTATAATTTATATTATTAATGAATTTGGTACTAAAAATAACAAATCATGTTTATAAAAATATTCTCTTTATTTAGGAGAACCCGAAAAAGATAAGAAGTTTGTAAGAGATACACCTACGCGTAGTAATTATTACCATAAATTACAATCTATTGTAAAATCTTCATACAACAATTATAAGGTAATGAAATAATTAAACAAAAACAAAAAATTATGTGTCATAAATACTCAATTATTTTTTTTAGATGTCAATTGAAAATACAAGAAGTGAAAAATTCATCAGGTTCCTTGAGTCAGTTTTATGTACATTAAAAACATTATTGACATTTTTAAGTTCAACTGAATGCCAACAACACGTAGAACGTATAATTCTTTGTTTAACAGCAGTATTCAATTTAACACCTAATTACAGTTCCAAAACCTTAGCTGAAGTATGAACTTTAGTCATATTATAAATTTAAGTTATTATTCAAAATTTTTAATGTTTAGTTGTTTAAATGTTTAACATCAAAGTATAATATTCCAACAAATCAACAAATGTTTAATAGAAAAGATTCTATTCTCATTAAAAATGATTCGCAAACACTATGCTTATATACTCAGGCTCTACAGACACCTTATGAATGTTTGTCAAACTTTATTGATGCTAAAATTAAAGTGTCTCAACATGCGAATAAACGTTGGGAAGACGAAAGACACCATAAGACCACAACTATGAGTGGAAAGTTTTATTGTGGGAGTACTGAAAGTTTAGATTTTTCTACAAATCTGAAGTGTTTTCGACCATTAATCATTAAATGTTTGAAGGTATGTATGATATGTATAATTGTATAAATATATGATTAAATGGCTCAATTTAGTTTAGTAACCACTCGATACATTATTCTTAACTAATATAAAAATAAAAATAAAAATTTGTTTAAATCACTTACTTTTTGCATGAAAATCTGCATTTTTATAAATTTTGTTTTCAACTTTATGCATTAAGTTTTTTAATTATATTAATTATATTATAGGAATATGTAATTACTGGAGATACAGAATTACAATCTTCAATATTGGGTTTACTCATGGTGTTACTTCAAAGTAAAGTCAACTTGAATGTAATTGATCCAAAAAATGAGTTTTTGAAGTTTGTTTTTAACCAATTTGATTATCTTGAAAATGGATTATTTAGGTAATAATTAATAATATTGAATATTATTTTATTTGTTTTAATAATTAATTGGTATTTTTATATTATAGAAATCCAAAAAATATTATTTCTTCTATGTTTCAATTTTTCATCAATTTGTCTGGAGATAAAAGCCAAGCAAACATAATTTCTGAAGCTATCCATTTATGTGATGGGTTAATGGCTAGCGGTTATCCACCAGAATTTTATTGTATATTTATATTTTTCAAACATAGAAGCTGCTTTTTTTTATTAAGAATGAATAATCTATTTAAATTAATATGTTTCTAGGCATTCCAGCAATATTACCAATTGTTGAATACGTGTATGTATTAAAATCTGCCTTTATGGTGAACTCTTCTGATTTAAAAGAGCTTGAAGCGCAAAGAGAGATGCTGTTTGCAATGTTGTTGAGGTTGTGTCAGTTTAACGAAGTAAGTGATAATGTGTTTAAATAATTTATTGGATGTGATATTTTGGTTTAATGTATTATTTGTTCACGCAGGTTGTTAGTATTCTTAGTCTTGTAATAATGGAAGGTAGTGAAGAAAAATGGAAAAAACAATCCAGACAATTATTCGATACTCTATATACGTCTTTAGGCGGCTGCAAAATTCAAGCATCCTTACCATCACTGATTAATCTGTTGTTGACATTACATCCATCGTCATACAATATTCAACAACAGCTCTATGTTATGTTTAATACATGTTATGATGTAGAGGTATTTATTATTTGGTATATAATTTTAAAGGCTTTTATAAATATAATATATCATTTTTTAGAAATGTACCTTGGAGCCTTGGTTGAATACGGTTCTCTCCAACTTAATTATAATTCTCATTCAAAAATCTGAAGATTTAATTTTAGTTAGAATTTCAGAATCTGATATTTCAATTAGCTCAAATTTATTCGAACTTACTACACAATCAGATCCTTTGAATGCATCCATATTGAATAAAAATAAATTTCCTGGCGAAGAAACATTTTCCAAGTAAAATTTACTAAAACTTATGTTTATTTTTGAGTATAGTAATTATATGTATTGTTATACTCTATGCTTGTCTGTGTTGCAGGTTTTTGTTTAGGGTTATATATTTATCTGTAAATGATATCATATTATCTCTCAGTCATCCTCAACCTAATTGTGAGAGCAAAGTGTGTTTGCTTTCGGAATTTTTATTAACTTGCCAATATATAGTGCAGTCTGGTAAATGTTTTAATTTATTTAAATCAATCATTACAAAACATTAAGTTGGTTATGTTTACAATAATAATTATAGCTTGTGTGTGTTATTTAATACAAAATGTATGTTGCTTTTATTTTTTAGGTAATTTTCCAAAAGTTGTTAAATGTCTGCGCAATTTTTTGAATGACCCAGTATTCATTACACTTCATAAAAATGTCATGACTTTGTCAATGGTTTATCCCTTAATTGTATTGCACTGGGTACAGTTAATTGGCTTTCTAGATTATGAGGATATTGAATTTTGGACATCATTACTGAACACAAACTCTACAAAAACCCAGTTATTATTTTTAACCTAATGTTATGACACAACTATATAGTACATACATAGTGATCAATCCTCAATAACACACTCATTATCCTAAAAGTTTTTACTTTTTTGATGAAAATTAAAAATTTTAACACAAATATTTATTTCAACTACATCCTCTTATTTATAGAATTTTTAATATAGGATGCTATATTAAAATCAAAATTGGGTAATGGTTTTATCCCCAAAAATAAGGATAACATAACCCAGCAGTAGTAATTTTAAAGCTACTATTTTCAAATTGTCAAAAAAATAAAAAAAAATAATAATAATATCAGTGTCTTATCAAGGATTTATTACCCTGTATGTATATATTTACATTTCTATTTATTTTTTCCTTTTGTATATTTAGGTCTGGACGTTCTTTTTATTTGAGTATAGTTCAAAAGGGATGCTTCTTGATATTATGTGAAGTATTAGTAAGCATTGATGTAACAATAATTTGTCAATTCAATATTCAAATATATATTATGTTTTTAGAATAAAAATATTAACTCAGACAATAAGTTATTGAAATGGTTTTTGTCAGATTGTGTTATTCAATTATTGGAAATGGGAAATGAAACTTTAACTCAAGGATTCCTGAACTGTATACATAAAGATCCCAATTTAAGTTTGATGCACATAACAGCTATTAAAGAAAAATGCGTTAAAGACAAAGTATCTAGTTGATTAAAATATTAGTATTTAATTTTTTCTATAAAACCAATTTAAAACAATTTTTATTTCATCAGTTGGATTTGACTAATGAGCTACTGAGAAGTATGAACGAAGCACATCCTGTTCATTGTGGAGAAGTCATAAAATTAATTTTACCAACAGTATTAGAAGACTCACACTTGGCGTTATCACAATTTGCTAGTTCCATAGCAATCAGGTATTTACAGTTAAAATTGAAAACTTATTTAAAGTATTTACAAATCCATTAAAAATAATCATTAATCTTGTTTATTATTTTATTAAAAAAAATTAAAAATGTGATTTTTAATAAGAAAAATGGAGTTCCTTCTCGCGTTGCCTATTGATGAAAGTTCGATTCAATTGAGCAGAGAAGAAACCTTACAAATCTTAGAATATTTTAAAAATTCCAATAATTGCATACAAAAGTAAGAAATATTTGTTTCAAATTAAATTATTGATGCTTATGAAATATATGTATGCAATTGTTTTATATTATTATTAAGTAAATGTTTCTCCGCTTTTTCAGTCGCTACTGTATATTGATATCATTGTTCAATAAATTTGGTACACAGTGTTATGATTTTACAAGTGTTGAAATAGACCAGAATAGACCTGTTAATATTACTGATGTAAAAAACATTTTAATTAACAAAAATTGGTTTTTTGATCAAGTTAAAACCAGGTAATTTGAATACTGAATAAATTGTTCTCTTCTCTAAAATGTTTGTATATTTTTTATCATTTTTATGTGAGTACGTTGTCTTAATGGTCAGTTTTTTTTCAGACATTTGATTATGTTCAAATAATTTTGTTTTACTTCCATATAATAGCAATAGATGAAATAAAAACATTTTATATCTATACTAAGCGTCCTAGTAATAGGTTTTTAAAATTTGTGACCATCTTTTTGATGACACTTTTACTATATTTATTTGTTACATATCTGGTTTCCTGTATTGTATTTTTTCTTGTTGAGCACATTTACTTCAATAGTAACTTTGTAATATTGCTTTACACTTGGCTTATTAGAGTGAAAATAATATTTGGCAACTAATAATTATTTTATTTTAAACAACTTTTTCCTTTGCATTAGATGTTGTCGTAATGATTGCTCTAGTTTTGAGTCAGCTAAATTGTTGGTAAATTTGCCATTGCAAGATGCCATCTCTATTATGCGTTCCGAGGATTTTAATAACGATATACTTCAACATTGTTTCACAGTTTCAACTCAAGTTACTATTGAAGTATGTATTTGGTTTATTGTTGATTTAAAATTACAAACAAATGTTAATAAAATATTTATGATAGATGTGGAAATCCTTATCAGAAGAAACAACACACTTGGAATTATGCCCATTATTTGTAGCTGCAAGATTTGTTTTGGTGGAACATGTTCAACAAACATGTAGTTCTTTGCCTAGATTTCATCAAGTACAATTAATGATTTTATAAATTATTGTACATTTTTTTATAGTTTGATCTGATATAAACCTAATATGTGTGTAGATCTTTTTTCCAATGACCAAAATATTAAATGACAAACAAAATTTGTATAAGACACGTATATCTCAACTGTTTGATGACAGTAAATTCATTAAAATGATATTATTTATTACACCAGCAATATCAAAATTTTTAGAATGTGTAAAATTTTTATCAAAAAAAAAGACTAAAGAACATATTATTTTAATGGACTCTAACAAAACTCTTTTAAAATATACAGTCTTACTTTTTGAAGTAAGTAGGTGCTAATAAATATACGGTTTCAATTTAACAATGCCTGTAAATCATATATTATAGGTATTAAAATGGAAGTTAGTCAATCAATTGGCCGCTACAAGTAGAATACAGTTGCTACTTAAGTGTGCATATAACATTTTAGATGTCTGTGGGTTAGCTAATGAATTATGTTCTACAGAACTTGGATCTATTGTTTCAGCGTTAGTTTCTGTCGTAGAGTTTATTACAGAAGACACACTTTTGCTCATGAACAATGATTGTATGTATCATGTAAACAAATATTATATTTATTTTTTTTTGTCATTACCACTTATTGTTTATTTAGATTTTACAGAAACAACAGATTTAGTTTCTATTTGCCGACATATTTCATCTTTAGTTTCTTGGGTAGAAAATTCTCGACCAATGTCATCAAATTTTTATTTGAATAAATTAACATGGTAATAATTAATTACATCAATAAAATAATGCTGTGTCAGTTATGTCATTTGTTTATCTGTATTTGTGTTTTGAATTTAGTTTCATTATACAAATAATAAGTCGCCATCCAATGGTAAATGGATTTGTGCGATTCCCTCCTGGTGCATGGAAAATGTTGCAACCACCAGCCAACACCATAGATTTTAATATACCAGCAATGCCTATTGATGTATTACAAGAAATTGATATACTAAAACAGTTTGTGTCTAGACTTGGTGTAGTCGGCTGGAATAGTAAACAACAATTTGAAGAGACTTGGATGACTTTGTTGAGTGTGTTGGTTCCATCTAGTGAAACTGACATACCTAAAGAAGAACTTATTTCTCGTATACAAGTAAATTAGTTTTATGCACATGTTTAATAATAGGTTTTTAGATCATTTAAACTATTATTAACGAAAAAAATCACAATTAAACTAAAATGGCATTTAAGTGTTATAATGTCATCTTAAACATAATATTAATATATTATGCAATTCAAATTACTCAAATGTTATAGGCAAGTAGTGCAGCTGTAAATGGAATATCACAATTGTTTAGTCAGACTTTGTTCAAAAGTTATCCTGGTGATACCACCAATGATAAATTCTTACACGTATCAAGAGACATTCCACTTGACATGTCTCACCACAAGTAATCCTTTTTTAGAAAATAAGTATAAATAATTGTTTTAAATTTGATATTATAATTTATTATGAATTAATAAGGTGGTTTAAGAAATTTGAAGAAGTTAATGAACTAATATATTCAACATTTTGTACGTTTAAAAGAACAGCTGGTAAAGAGGCACTATTGGATCGTTATGAGTGCAGAGCTAATATCGAAAGAATACACAATCAATATCGGTTTGTCTTTGTTTATTAGTAATTATAAAAATTGTTGTTCAATGATAATATTTAGTAGTTAATTTTAAAATTATTAACAGTTATAGTTATCACCAGTTGTCTGTTAAATTTTTACAAATTTCAATATCAGATCAATGGAAATGTTCTAACAATATGAATCAAATGAATTCAAGTAATATTCAGTTTACATACATCTTAGGTATATGAGATATTTTTAAACTAGTTATTTGAATGTTGACAGTGTTGGAAATAAAATTACATGAAAGGAACAACATTTTAAAAGGGAGCGGATTGGATCTGAACTCTTGTATATTACTATTGAAAGAAGTGTTCAACCAGTGGATAGAGTCAAAGGTTTATTAAATATTTTAAATTTTGAATGAATAATAAACAATAATATAATAATTAACTTTTTTCTGTACAGACACGTGGTTCTCTATCACAAATTAATGAAATGATCAAATGTCTGCTTGTGATATCAGATTTGTTCACTGAAAAAGAACACTATGTATGGATGCTCAATGTGTGTCTGGATTTGTCGCAAACACACTATCATGAAGATTTATTGTTGCATCAGTATGTTATTATTGCTGCAGCTAAATCAATGGCTATTTCTAGAGTTGAGGTAGTATAAGCTCATTTTGGAAACTGGTGTGGTGTTTAATATTATATATTGATAGGATATGAATGTACGAGAAAAAGTATTGAAATTAATTGACAACAGTCTCAAAAGTAATTGCCGTTTGACACAATTAGCCGCTTTGCACGGTTTACTTTATTTGTTAGAAGGCTGTTTGATCATTCATAATTTCCTACCAAAGAATTCGGAAATTGTACAGATAGCTGTGGATTTTGTACAAAAACATCTATGCACTGAATATTCAATGTTGTATGTTGGTTTTATTTCAATGCAGTTATTGTGTTTTAAATTTTAAATTTTTTCTTTTGTAATACCAAGATATGAATGCGAGTGGCAGTTGTGTGTGATATCAATAGCATTTTATCTAGTAGAACATGGGTCAGATAACATTGAAGACTCATTACTCATGTCACTAGAGGGCCTCACAAAATTAGTGTCATCATCCCGACACTTTAATTTATACCAAGCTCTCATACAGGTTTGTACTGTACTCTTTAATAACTTACTGCGTTTAAAAGTATCAATATTCTTATAGGTAATTGATTTTAGGGCTTTCAAAGGATAATATTTGTAAAACACTCAAATGAAAATATTATGGAACAAATCACAGTGCTGGCTATGGATAGATTATCAAATGCTCCACCTGGATTTTCCTTACCAGCATTGCAATTGCTCTTGTCATGCATTTATGCAGGTATGTAAACATTTACTATTTTTATAGAGATATAAAAATCAATTGTATGTCATATACCATTAGTAATCCAATTTATTTGTCAATAATAAAATTTTGATAATACAATGAATAACCATTTGAAGATTTACCTAATCACTTGTTGCTTTATAGCAACTTAACCAGATAGTACTTAGGTCAAGTTTATTCACTATATTAAGTATCAGTTTATTCTTATGCTAATTTTCAATTTTTTTTTTGTTTTCTTATATGGTATTGTTTATATATTTTACATATTTAATAAGTTAAAATATTGTAAATGATAATAACGTTTAAATAGTAAACAATAAAAAATTATATTTCATACTGAAACTGCCCTGTCAAAATGACCATATTGAAAAGTCCAGCTCCAGTTCTTATGTATGTAATGATTTTTAAATATATTTTTAGAACATTGTAATGAAAATGTCGAATCCGATATTGATCCAGATATGATAGTTGTCGAAATGGAAAAAATAAGTGTAATGTTTGAAAGGTAAATTTTGATTTTGTTCTATCGATTTACTATTAAATGTATACATTTAATATTTAGGATAAAGAAAGGGTGTTTACTGGAAGTAGAAGTAACCACTACAATAATGGCTAAAGTGTTGACTGACATATTTCCAGCATCATATGTACTTATGAGGGTTGTTGGTGAATTCCTTTCACCCAATCAACCTCACCCAACGTACATGTGCACAGTAGTTAATCAGGTTTATAACTTGATTTTATATAGATTTATTTAACTGTTACAAAAAATAAAACTAAATTATGAATTAATAGATTTTTGAACAATTGATAAAAGAATCACAACTGGATCTCCTACAAGATTGGGTCATCACAACACTAAGCAACTTTACTCAAGGCTTACAAATACCAATGGCAATTTATTGTCTCATCAGTTTTTTCATAAGTTCCTCTACAAATAAATGGCTAAGAGCAATGTATTTTCAATTATCTTAACTGTTGTAAAATATTTTCAGTTTATTTAGTATACTAAATTATGGTTTTTTTAGTTTTCCTCACGTGAGGTTAAGACTTGGACGTTACGAGTATGAGGATAGAAAGTTGTTGTGTATTGCTGCAATGGATTTCTATCATAACGTAAGAATATCAAGCAATTTCTTGAAGTATTTTATGTTTCAATATTTGTTATTGTTATTATTTTCATTAGCTATCAAATGAAACCCAAAGGCAGTTGTATAAAGAATCATTCCAATCGTCAGTGAAGTCAAAAAATCCTTTCAAAGATATTATATACTGTTTAGAATAATGTTAAGGGTATATTAAGAGTGCTTAAATTAGAAACAACGAAGCTCCTTTACCAATTTTTCTCATAATGGTGCATGTTGATCTAAATTATTAAGTTTTATAAATTATTAACTTTATAGAAAATTTGTTATTTTAATACTGATATAAAATATAATGCATTAATAAATTTAAATATTTATTTATTTTGTTCAAATAATTTATTAAAAAATCCCGAAGGGCACTTTATTCCCATGTCTATAACTTGCTGTGAAATGTTTATTCCCAGCGGTGCTCTGAAATAACACATAATTTATTAGTTATTGTAGTAAGAAATATTTTTAAAATTTCAATTCTTACTTTGATTGTATATCGATTGCATCTAAACTATCATGACTAAAAATATCCAAGTTTTTGTTTAATTTTTCTATTCCGTTCCAAGCTACCATTATCCCATTATCTGTACAGAGGTTGGGTGGTGGAATGACTAGTTTGAAACCCATTTCATTACATAACACATTCAAATGTTTTCGTATAAACATATTGCTAGCAACTCCACCAGATACTACCTGAAAAAAAAAAACACCAAAACCAAAAAAATTGATATTTGATGATAATATTTTACACTCACCAGAGTTTGGTTTGTCTCCGGTAAGAGTTTTGACCGAATAACAAATTCAATACCTCTCTGTACACGAGTACACATATGCTTAGTTAAAGCATATTGAATACTTGCACACAAATCATTCATTTCTGGTATAATTTCATCTCCTTTTAATTCTGAAAGCATTAGTGATTTAAAAAAAAAAAAATAAAATCTGTCTTTTAAACAAAAATCATGTTTTACCATGTTCTTTTTCTAATTTTATAATTTGCGTTTTTATGGAATTTTTTAATCCAGAAAAACTGAAATTACAATCTTTGTAATTTGTCATAAATGTGCCCAAATCAAAAGCTCTAGGATCACCTTTCTTGGCGGCATTTTCAATTGCTTGGCCTCCACAGCAGTTCCTAAACTCCTTCATATTTTTCAACTGCAGCCGTCTAGCAGCCTGGGGAGTAATATATAATATACTTTTTAAACAATGAAAGTGTACATCTGAATAATATTTAACAAGGGCAGTTTATGACAATACCTTATCTAGAGCTTCTCCAGGAGCATCATCTATAGACTGCCCTAGTAGTAGAAATTCATTAACTTTGTTTACAACAGCCAACAAACAATGTCCACCAGATACAAGTAAGACCAAAAAAGGTAATTTTAAATTCTAAGTAAAAAAAAGAAAAAGAAGATTTGATAGTTAAATGTAAATATTAAAATATTAAATTACAATATCATTAATGAATATTCAATAACTTGATCAACTAGTCTTGAAGTTAAAGCGTGTGCTTCCATATGATGAATAGGAATCAATGGTTTAAATGATTGTTTACTCAATCCTTTTGCATAGTTCATTCCCACTAACAATGATAGAGATAAGCCTGGTTTTACAGTGACAGCAATAGCGTCCAAGTCATTCAAACTAACTTGAGCCCGCTGTAAAGCCTGAGTCACAACATTGTCTATGTTTTGTTTATGTAAGTCTCTGGCCACAGGTGGAATTATGCCTCCAAAACTGCAGAAACGGCAATTACATTTCAGTGTCATCTGGAACAGTTGGCGGTTACATACTCGAGGTGTATTTGCTGTTGAGACCGCAGACATTCTCCAAGAATGTTTCTGTCACTGTCCACTACTGCACACCCAGTATCATCACAGCTCGTCTCAATGCCCAATACTTTGCTGTACGTTCTGTGTATATTTTGGACATTCTGGTACAACTGTACACCGTACGATAAGCGTAGTCGACGGATCATCATAGTAAAACGACACGAAATCGGAAATTCTAGAACCAATGATGAATTTTGAAATTCAATACTATTTCTTTGAAAATGTCATCGTTATAATATAGAATTAGATAGTAGTAACCGCGAAGACGACTATTATTACCTGTAGAAACAGTTAACAAGATAACTTCTTTGACAAAAAGAAGTATGTACAAAATCTTAGACACCATATACTTACTGTGATATATAGGTCCGAATTTCGATTTTTGAGATCACTGTTTTATATTCAAAAGTTGAACTTGATGGACCTATCTTATCAGTTTATCAACAGTCGGTAAAAAATTTAAAAAATACACTTGATAAGTAGATAATATTCTTCTATTATCTATGTGAATATGTGCTTGTCTAGCAGCAGCTGTTTGCTTATTATCAGCTATTTATTTTTCGTTATCATTTATCAGCATTATGCTTGTGCAGTTGTGCATAGTTGGAGTTGCTTTTGGCGACGTGTTTGACTTTTTAATGCTAAATAGAAAGTGATTGATTAGTTCAATTTATTCGGTGTCATTACAATCGTAAAAATATAAAATTTAAAATCATTATGGAAGGCACCAAATCCATTTTAAAAACGATACCGCTTTTGAAAACAAAAGCTGGACCCCGTGATGTCGATTTATGGCCTCAGAGACTCAAAGAAGAATATCAATCTTTGATCCAAGTAAATTCAAATAATAAAATAATAATATTAAATTGCATATGACCCTTTGAGACGGACACAATTTCATTAATGAATAGTTGTTTTTATTTATTTTCAGAGTGTTAAAAACAATAAAGATAATGACAACGATTGGTTTCGACTCGAATCAAATAAAGAAGGAACCAAATGGTTTGGAAAGTGTTGGGTGTTTCAAAATCAGCTAAAATACGAGTTTGACATAGAATTTGACGTAAGAATATTATGTTTTATGTACATTTATTCTCCATAATAAATTATTTTCATATTACTTTGTTTTAGATTCCAGTTACATATCCTACTACAGCACCTGAAATTGTATTACCTGAACTTGATGGTAAAACAGCCAAAATGTATCGAGGTGGAAAAATATGTTTATCAGATCATTTCAAACCATTGTGGGCTAGAAATGTGCCTAAGTTTGGTATCTCTCATGCATTGGCACTAGGAGTAAGTTTTATTTTTTTATAAAACATTTAACTAAAAAAAAATCAAATCTTTCAGACACTATTAGTTTTAAAAATTAGATTTTTTTTTTTAAAAAAAACATTGTTCAGAGTATTAAACCTATTCTCATGTCAACTGAAGAATTTTAACACAGTTAACAAACTTTTAAAAGTATATCCAATATTTTGTCTGTTTCAGTTGGGCCCATGGTTAGCAGTGGAAATTCCTGAACTAATTGTGAGAGGTGTGGTTAAATACAAAGAAAAAGATGACGATAAATAACATTAATTTTTTTTACTATGGGCCGTGCGTTTTTTGGATATACATTGATGTTATATTAATTTTTAAATAATTGTTTTATTTCCTTTTGTCTAGCCATATTATCTGATTATGAATGTGATTACTAAGTGTTATAATATATTTTGATTTTAAAATGTAAAATTCATAAAGACGGGTTGTCGATGAGAATGTAATACTATTATTGTATCCTCATTGGCAGTCAAATGAAAAATGTTGTATTTAAATAAAAATTATTTTATTTTTTTTTATAATTCAGTTTTATAATATTAATATTTATTGAAATTTTAATAATGTTTCACTATGAATATAAATGCCATTTTTTAAAATTTGTTTTTCTATTGATTTACGTAATTATAAAATAATCTAGGCATAATGATTTCATAGAATTACAATATTTTGGATATTCAGACATTTACTCTTGTGTTTGACCAATAAATTGGAAGTTTCCTCTATTCCTCCCCATTTACAAATACCAGTGACAATTTCGTTAAATTTTTTTCATTCAATAAATGATGATAGTAAATTACAATAATGGTAATGATCACAATAAAAGTCATAAAAATAATGTTATTTAATTAATACCTGTAATTAACGATAAACCATTGACAAAACAACTATTTTGAGCGAAGTTTCGATTATAAACGTTTTGAAAGGCTGTAGTATTTTCAATTTTTATCAAAATTTGATTTTAAAATGTACGGAAAAAAAAAATACTACATTAAATTTATTTTATTTTTTATCACTTAATACAACTTATAATGAACCTCCTATCAAATTTTCAAGCATTTTTGACTTCTGTGAAGTATGACAATTTATCTACAGGGTACCTACCAAATAAAAATTATTTATAAAAATATCGCGAATAACTTTTCTACCATAAATCTTGCTTCGACAGTGCGGTCATCAACAAGACAACAACTGTACACCTATAGACGACCGTATCTATAGTAAAAATCGTTGTCTCGTTGGTTAGTTTTTTTTTGTTAATTTTCTTTGGGACATTTTTAATTCCGGGGAAATGAGAACAATATAAGGCGGGTGCCACTAATATTATGAGCGTACACGCTCATACTCAGAAATCGAACCTGAGTTTCGACCGCCGGATTGTTGCTCTTCCACTGGGCAGCCCGGTACCTACCCGATTTCCAACACTATTTCCTGCCGGACTCGACCGATTTAACTCCGTGTCCCGGGTCAGAGCGGTTGGTGGGGTGCGGTGGCGGCGCGAACTATTCTTATGCGTGTTCGTACGATCTGCATCCACATCCGATACCCGCGTCACACCCGCCAATTCGTATTAAAATTAAACACATTTGAAACTTCATCCGCATCTCTGGGCGCAACTAGAATTGTACCTTTTTGGATGGAATTCGATGTGCCCCAGTTGTCGTCGCAGTCATTTATAGACGCGAAAACCATTTTGCAATAATTAACATCTATAAAAACCGTTGATTTTATTTATAATTCGGTTTATTATCGACTGTCGATAACTCTTCGATGTTTAAAACGCGATTACGCGACTAAGCACACGTTGTGCACTCCATTAAGCGTGGGCGATATAATAAAACGTACGTCAACACTTGCTGCACGAACTATTTACCCTAACACGGTTTCATACCTTTGTTATTTTTTTTCCGAACCACTCGCGGGTCACGGCCCGCCCGCCCCGATTTATGGACACGGGACACTTGACCTGAAAATTCGACGTCACGCCGTCACCGGCGGAGTGGTTGAAGGGAGTGCGGTCGAAGCCTAGAAGAAACGATGCAGTGGCGGTAGGGAGCCGCGTAACCCGACCTGACCAAACGTTGACGCACGAAAACCACTCATGATCGGTGTCTACGTTACGCGCAATGTTGAACGTTCTAATCTGTATCGATTCGTGTCGACGAATAGCCAAATATTATCCAGTATTAGTTGCACGTCTTGGGAATGAGTACTGCGGTCGTCGGCACAACTAGACGGCCAACAACTTTGGGGGCGCTGAAATTGCGGACGCACCAAAAACCTACGGGGGTCGTGGCGGGTTATGCCACCGCAATACCCTTTACAAGATCGTTACAATGAGCGATGTTTTGCGTACGCATTTCGTTTAAACAGTATTTTTCATACACACACGTCTGTTGGAAATACGCATTTTGTTCTATCAATTAATTACGAAATACACGGATGAAATATTTAGTAATCACCACGATATAATTAACATTGGTAAATTATTAATTACTGTGAAAAAACTTATTGCGGAAGGGGGAGGAGGTGCTAAGACCCTCCCCCCCCACCGTCACCTAGTTGCGCTCGTGGTTATGGCATAGATATATATACATATGTTCTATACGTTTATAATACGTCTGTGAAGTATGGGTTTTGTCCTGTGCGGTCCTCAAAATCTTGATTAAGTACTTATACCTAATAATAATATTCAAAAAAAAAAAAAAAAAAAAAAAACGAATGTATTCAAGTGTGTTTAATAACCTCCTTGATTTTAGTGATATTTTGCGATTTTGATAACAACACTGCATTATCACGTTTTGTTATGCATAAGGCCGGATTTAATTCGACTCGAGTAGTGCGGATTCTTTATTTGAATATTACCTACCGATTGTTATATTATATTATAATATATTTTTATTGTCTGATCCTCTCGTTTTCAGTCTGTGAGTAAACTAATAGTAGTGTTTTTGCGTCTTAATCCGATTAAAACACTTGATAATTAATATAGCTATAGACTCTGAAGAACATTGAAATTCATTGTATCAAGTGTTTCATTTCAACGGTTCATTCAGTGTTAACAAAATGGTGACTACTATAACTTCGCAAACGGAATTTGACTTGTTCAAGTATTTATTATAGTTCAATTAATTCAATTCGTTTTTCAAATGTTACATACATTTTATCATGGTTTCAGATCCAATGGGTTGGCTGTCGTTCATTTTTATGCTGATTGGTCAGAACCATGTCAGCACATGAATAACATTCTAAATGAAATTGCTTCGGATAGTGAATTTCAGGTAAATATCAAAGAACAGAATTCAATTAAATGAACACTAATTCCTTTACACGCGCTATTGTTGGAATTTACTGATTTTAAAACGTCACAGATGGATTATTACTAATCGCATTTCTTTGTTTTTCATTATTAAGGTATTATTACTTTGCAGATTAATTAGTTTTTTTATCATATTTATGCACCATGCGTACCATGCATGTATCATGTTTATCGTTCAATTACTTTAGTGAGCATCAGGAAAAATCATGTCATTTTAAAACTGAAATGAATACATTTCAAATAAAATTAAAGTTAAACAAAATTTATAATAAACAATGTACATTAAACAAAAGAATAAAAAAAATAATTTATCAAAAAGTTTTGAACTACATTAAACAAAAAATTTAAATTGTTAATGTATTTGTGTAAATAAAACGTATTAATGTTATATTCGTATGTTTCAGAATGTTAAAATTGCTAAGTGTTTGGCCGAAGATTTACCCGAAGTATCAATAAAATATGATGTATTTGCTGTGCCAAAATTTGTACTGTTTCGTAATGGTGACAAAGTTGATGTATTAGATGGTGCTGACCCAATACAATTAAATAAAAAAATCCAAGCTTTGGTACTATTGGATAAATAAGAAAATAACAATGTTGTTAATATTTTATTTTTAATTACCTGTTTAGCTAACCAAAGGTAACCAAAAAGAACAAAAAGTAGAAGACATAAATTTGAGACTAAAGTCGTTGATAAATTCTGCTCCTGTTATGCTGTTTATAAAAGGATCCAAGTCCCAACCAAAATGTAAGTTTAGTACAGAAATCATAAATTTGTTTAAAGAACTAGGTGCCGAATTCAGTACATTTGACATCCTGGAAGACCAAGTTGTACGGGAAAAATTAAAAGTTTATTCCAATTGGCCGACCTATCCCCAAGTAAATTTATTTGAATTATCTGTGCATTATAATATGTAATTATTATTCTACATATTCGCGTTTTGCATAGCTTTATTTAAACGGAGAATTAGTTGGAGGGTTAGATATTGTGAAAGAATTGCTCAAGACTGGTGAACTAAAAGACCTATTAAAACTGGGAAAGTCCAACCTCAATGACAGGTGATTTAAATACTTTATTGATCTATGATTGTTTAACATTGAAATGTTTTTGAATTGATTTTAGGCTGAAATCACTAATTAATAAAGCTGATGTTATGGCATTTATCAAAGGTAGCAAACAACTGGCCCGTTGTGGATTTAGCAACCAGTTGATTCAAATCCTTAACCAAACTGGGTAAATGTCAATTTTAATAATTTGCATGTTTAAAAAGACTGACATACTTTGCACATATATGGGCCACTATAGGTGAGAAGTTAAGAAGGTAGAGGGGATGCATATCTGTACGCAACAATTAACCATTACTAACGAAAAAAAAAAAATTCTAAGCAGAGTTTGGTTAATAGTGTTGGCTTTGTCAACAATATATGTTATATTATTATTATGATATAATAATTACATATACATTTTATATTTTCTTTATTAATATTTGTTTAATATTGTACCTATTATCCTATATTTTTTCTCCAGTCGATACCATTTATTGAAAAAACTCCTGGGAAAATCAAAATGACTTCCTAAAAGTACCACCTTAGGCAGATTTCCTTATAGAAAAAGTGCCGGTTGAAAAGTTTTCTATAGAAAAAAAATAAAAATCATTGTAAAACTAATACATTCCTCGCTCCAGTCAGAATCTAAAATACATAAATAAATTTGAAACAAATGTGTGTTTGGATTAGCATGTTGGGCACCGGCATTATGACAAATACTCAAAACTCAAATTTCGTTATTCATAAGCATGTATACAGGTGGTAGGGGTCTTACAAGTTCAAACTTAGAAAAAATTCTTTGAAAGTTATAAATTGTATAAAAAATTTCGTATAAATACAATTTTTTAAAAATAAAATGTGTAATTTATTTACATCATTTATTGAGAATAATAACGGGTTAGTAATGGTTTATCTGGAGTTGTGTCATCAATAAGAATTCAATTGTGAATACAGTAACAAATTACAATTTTAAATTATTAGCACTGATACTGACACATAAAGATAATATACCTGTTACCTATAACCACTTATATTATACAAATACATCATTTATTTATTCGGTGTTTGACATTTGATAGTATGGAATATTGATGGTATTAAATCAGTTTTCCTGTACATTGTGATTTAATAGTGAATTCTAAAATCGAATTGTTTACATAGTTTAAATTTCTTTACAAAAATCAATTTAATTTTCTGACTTTTTATTCGCTTAAAGAAATGTTATGTTCAAGTTTTAAAATATATATATTTTTTCATATTATTATAGTGGTTCAAAATTCAGTCTAAAAATGCATGTACAATTTGTTATGTTATATAATGTTAAAAGTTACAGAGAATCCAACAAATATTGTGCTATTGAGTTTATGTAAAAGTTCAAAGTTTGAAATTGCAATTTTTGTATGTTTTTGTGCTTGGTTATAATGGTTTCATTTATAAACAAACCTTGTTTCCAAATAACCAGAGCAAATCGCTATAGCAATCTGTAGAATTTAAGATAGTTGTATTATAAAAAAATTATGGTTATTATTAATCCATGTTTTTTTGTCCAACAGAATCGATTATGAAACATTTGACATTTTATCTGATGAAGAAGTTCGACAAGGTTTAAAAGAATACTCTGACTGGCCAACATATCCACAAGTTTATGTAAAAGGATCGTTGATTGGTGGTTTGGATATAATTAAAGAATTGAAAGATTCTGGCGAATTAATCGCCACTCTCAAAGGAGAAATATAAAGAAGTTACAAAATAGTTGAGATAATTAAAAAAAAAAAAAAAAAAAAATGAATTAATTAATTTATCTCGATTTGTGTAGTTTAATATGAAATTATGGTATCAAATTAGCATACAAACTGCAGACCTAAGTACTCATAAATAGTATCTACTATTATTTATATTATGTTTAATTAGTTTGAATAAACCTGTTTCAATGCCAAGTATGATTTTTATTAGCTATTTGTTACCGATTTTTATAAATATGTAATTTGCGCAAATCTATTTCAGTGGTTTATGAATTGAAAAGTACAAATGTTTTCAAATAATTTTATTCATAACAACTGCTCACAGACATGTGAAACATATGCATTAGATTTATTTCAAGTATTAATATTTTTTTTTTTTTTTTTTTCTAAAACGATTGGTCGAGGATTAATTTTATTTTGAATAAGCTTTCTCTTCGAGTGTTGTTGTTAGCTTTGGTTCAATTAAATAAAACTTGATCGCCATCGCCTTTTTTATTTTTTTCGCCGTTTCAAAGCAGATGAAAAAAAAAATACCTTTCCAAAATTGAAATCAACTAAAGAAGTTCAATGTACCGTGTATACATATATATATATATATTCCATTTGCATTTTTATTTAATCTTGCGTGTATAACATACGGAAATAACACACTTTTCTGTCAGTTATCAATTGTTGCTCGTAAATCGGAAACAAACTGTTCGATTCGCGTTTCGAAAATGCCACAACACCTTTTTGGGCGGGCCGGATTTCGGAAACCCGCGGCCCCCCCCCCTTTGTGCGCGGATTTCGCGTCGCCGCACGCGATACATTCGACTGCGAACGGCGCACGAACAGCCGGACGACGGTTTTCGCGGCGTATCCGTCCGTACGCGCGATCGATTCGCCCGGTCGTGCGCCGAGTCGGCAACCCCGGCCGTCGTCAGTTTCCGAGTCCGCGGTCACCGCGGTGGCCCGAGATTATTATTATTACCTTTTTTTGTTTTTTTTTTTCTTCCCTTTATCAATTCAAGTACGCGATACACGACAGCGCCGCGCGGTTTACCGGTTGAAACCGCCGACGAACCGGGACGGCGCAGGGTGACCGGAGCCGGTTGCCGTCGTTAATAATCGCGCGGTCTCGAACCGACCGGTGAATAATACCGCGCGGAGCAGTGGATCCCCGTGTGCCGGTAAATGGCGGCGGGCGTTAATGTTAAACGACAGTGTACCCGGACGTTTTATTCACATAACACGCGCACGCCGCACACAATACCAGCGTAATCGATGACACGTGAAACGCACGGGGGAGAGAAAAAAAAAAAAAAAGGAAAAAAACGTACGCATAATAATAATAATAATAATAATAATAATAATGTACACGATAATAATAATAATAATAATAATAATAATCAAATTAAATAATATTAATTAGTCTGTAAATTGTCGGGGCGGTTTATTTTTTTTTATATACATTCAGAAAACGTCCGCTTAGGGAAACATTTTCCGATATTTTACGATTGGTGCACGACGCATTGTCAAACAGTAAAACGGTACGTTACACAAATGCGCGCGGCGAACGGAAACGCGAACGCGGACAGACTGCGGGCGGGGCGGCGGATAAACGCGTCGAAATAATTGACGACCGCGCCGTTTCGTGTCGGCCCTCAACAACTACAACAACAACAATAATAATAATAATAATAGAAAACAACAATACAACGGTACAGTTTTTATCGACGGGTCCGGCCGACCGACCGCCCTCCCCTACCCCCCCCACCCGCGGACGAAAAATCGCGTCTCGCCGCGGACGGGAAATATCTGTCCGTCCGTTTCGGTTGTGACGTGATACAAAACTCCGAGACGAGAGCGATCGTTCGTTTCTTCGGAAACTGTTCGGAATCTAATAGAATAGACGAGAAAAAAAAAATAAAAAATAAAAACAATATTTAAATAAATGTTCGGTTCGAAACGCGTTCCCCGAGAGTGCGAAACGTATCGGACGTGTCGCGCGATTGTTATCGTTACCTACGTAGCCCGGGGATTAATGTCGAACGCGTCAACGCGACCGCTCCGGATTGCGCAGCTCCAGAGGGGCGCTCCTCGGATTTGGCGACCGCGAACGGGAGCCGACGGTATTGTTAACAACTATGTCGATAATTCGTATAATCGGCGGCGGCGAAAATGCAAAAACAATAGTAATAATAATATAATAATAATAATAATAATAATAATAATAATAATAATAATAATAACAACAATAATCGACCAATCTGACGGTACCGCCGCGCCGATCGGTACTGGTAACCTAACCTAACCCCTAACGACAGCACGCGGTTTCGCGGTTTTGATTCGAAAACTTTTATAATTTTTTTTCCCCCCCCCTGTCCGCCGTTCGGTATATTATAACAGTATGATTTTAAGCTCTGATCTTCCTCAGGTTGTCTCTGCCCCCGAACGACCGGATCGATTCGAGCAACGTCTCCCTGGGGTCCGCCGCCGTTTCCCTGGGTCTCGCGGGTCGGCCGCCCGCGGTCAGCTTGCCGTAGGTGAAACGCTGTCGTTTTTCTTCCAGGGCTGCGGGTTTCGGGTCGGCCGCGCGGCCGTTGCTCAGTTTCGCCTGGGCCCGAACGGCTTCGGACAGCGCAGCCAGCGCGGGACTCGCGGCCGTGCGCCGCTGCAACAGCCGTTCGGCGTACGGCTTTTTCAGTTCTACCGATCTCACCACCGGCGGCACCCTGGACGTCGCCGCTGTCTCACCGTCCGTCTCCGGCGTCCTTTTCGGTTGCTCCGTCCGCTGTTGCTGCTGCAGCTGTTGCTGATACCTGCCGACCACGCCCACCACGTAGTCTCGGTCCGTCTTGATGCTCACCTGCCGCCTGGGACGTTCGTTCCACGTGGACAGGCTGATCTTTGGCGGTCCCGCGTACGAGTATTTCTTGTCGTCCGGAACTTGTCTGTCCGCCGCCGGCCGTTCCGCGCGATGGTCGGACCGCGAAAAGCCGGCCCTCGAGCACGGCGGGTGACGGTCGACAGTTTTCCCCGTCGCCGACGAGGCGATGTCGTCTCCGAACCGATTTCCGTCACCGTTTGCCGGACACGCGACGGATGGCACCGTTACAGTCGCGTTCGCGGGTACGCCGGAAATTCGGCCGAAACTATAACGGGAAACGGGGAAAAAAACAAAAATAATAAATTAAATTAGAAATCGTCGCCGTTATAGTAATATACGGAAGCATCGCGCGCAAAGAAATCTATCGCCGTGTTCGTACCTTTTGTCCTCGTCTTTTGCTCGGGATTTGCGATCTTCGATTTGGGGCAATATCGATTTTAAAATCTGAAAAACAATTCGGTCAAGCATATATTTAGATACATATGTTAAGGTCGATTTGACAAAATTAATTTCTAATTTCTAATAATTCTGGTAGGCGATCGGATTTTATCCGAAAATCTTTTCTCGCGAAAAACGATTCTGAACGGAGTTCGATTAAACGCCGTTTTGCAATGCCGTGGTTTACACGATTTTCGTTCGAATTTAAACTCGAAATGCTTATAAAAAAAAAAAAAGTCCGTCAACTGACACACACACAAAACACACGTCATAGTAAAATGTTGCGCTCAGATTTGGCAATGCTCGAAACGTAAAGGTATCACTTAGGCTGTTGACGCAACTCCTCGATTGCCGGGTCACTCGGAACTTATCGCCGATGCATTACTTTTAAAATTACTTAAGTAAACGGTTACAGTGATTTGCTCCGGAAATCAGTTTTGTTTCCTGTTAGCTCCGACGAGATCAATAGAAATTACCTGAAGGGAATGCAGTGGGGAAGTCTGTTCCAAAGTGGGTTCGATTTTTTTCGGTACTATTTCGTTCTCGCAATCGTCTTGGCTACTTTCTTGAACGTCTGCAAATGAAGAAAAAAAAAAAAAAAATCAACTATGCACGTTGAACGCGTCCATATCAATACTGATAAATGATCGTCTGATGCGGACAACAACTATGTATATACGCAATAACATAGTGCTGCTATTAAAGCGCTTGTATTATGACCAGTGACGGATTTTCAGCATTTTTCCGGGAGGGGTTCCGAAAAATAACACGTATTTCAACGGCGTCTATCGTTAGATATCTCTTTTTTAGATGACATGTCATTGAAATTATATCGATGTCTTGTGTGGGAAGGATCAAGATCAGTGTGTGTATGTGGGGGGGGGAGGGCGCATTCAGAATATATGCGCTCCGTGGCGAAATAATTTCATCGCTACTCCCTCCCCTCCTACTGATTTTCACCCACTTATATTTCATACGTTTAACTCGTGTCGCATTCATCTCGAAATGATTTTACACGATGATTTGTCAACACTTATTACTTGAGGGCACTAAGTGCAGGCAACACAATATAGAAAATAGTCTATACAGAAGGCGACCGTACTCGACATAAAATTACTCACGGTCCTTTTATACAACAATTGCCTATTACTTAGCAAAATAAAACCATGGATTAATCTGTCTGTTAATAAATGATGCTATTAAATGATCGCCCACCCCTAAATGCGCCACTGTTCAAGACCCCCTCCCCCCTCCCTCGGATCTCCCGTAAATCCGCCAGCGGTTACGACCAGAGAACAGTTTTTACGGGTGCTGCCATTTTGCGAGTTTTCTAACGTTCTATAGCGTAAACGCCCGTGGGTTGTGCACAGCTAGCGCTATTAGTTCGCTTATACGCCACTCCTACATACATAGTTGTATTTACAATTGTACGGCTCTCTTATCGAATACAGGGCGATCAACATAACAGTATGTCGAAAAGTATTGACTTTTTTCGGAATTCGGTTTTTAGGACATTTGAGAAGAAAAATAGCTCACAAGTGTTACGTCACTCATTTTTTTGTCGTATTTATTTTAGATTCTGAGCGGGCCGAGGAATATATTGGTTTTACAATGGCTTTTGGTTATTTTTTTGCTGTGAACAACTTTGTTTGATTCGATTTCTAAGTGTAGCACTTTTTTTTTTTGAAAGGAAATTTGACTGGAGTAGATCATTTTGTGATTTTCCCCCCTGCAGGGGTGTTAATAATAAATGGGGGGGGGGACCGGGAAAACGAACGAAATGTATTATTTTCAAATCGTAAATATTACGGCCTTTCAAAACATATACCTACAACCGAACTCGTCGCTGAAAATCCGTTTAACGTTAGCAACGATTAATGTTTACGTATAAATATGTATTAAATTTCCGCTACAACAGCGGCTCACAAATCGTACGAAGCGCGTCCGTTTTTTTTTTTTTAGGGGGTTGAAACCGTTATCTGATTTCGATTTTCAAACAGCGACCTGTATTAAACGATAATTGTCATAACCAAACGGAGTAATACGTTCAAATCAATTTTCGTGTTGACATTTTTAATTTCCGTCAGCGTCATTCCGCTTTTATGCTTCGGCGGGGGAACAACAGTGACGGAACATCATTTGTGTGGCGGCGCGTGGCGTTTAAACACCCGCTCTCGCCTCGCTTAAAACTCAAAACTGAAATATCCCGTCAACGGGTTGACGAAAGTCAGACGTTTCAACACCGACGTGTATTTAAATTACGCACTGAACTCCGGCTGTTCACGGGAATTGTGTACGGCGGTAAAGATTGCCGTTTGAAAATCGAAAGTCTGTAGGGTTTCACCCTCCTCCCCCCCCCGAGGGGCGACCGAAAATGACCGTAATGTAACGTTGTGGAGCCACTCGTTTTTCCGAAACGGCCCGAGAAACAAATTCCGAAAAAAGTTCGACACGATTCCGGGACAACGATCAGCGCCTTGCGCGTTACGTCGACCGCCCCGTGCACGGCTGCAGTGCTTTCCGGCGCTACTAACCTTCCGTTATGTTGTCCACGCTGAACGATCTTTTTACGAACCGGTCGTCTTCGTAACCGTCGAGCCGTTCGGTAGAATAGGTCCGTCCGATGTAGTGGTGTTTGGCCAACCGATTGGACGGTTTGATGTTGCCGCTCAACAGACTTATGTGCGACGTACTCCGTTTCACGGTGACCGCCAGATTCGTTCTGTCCATGCTGAACGACTTGTGCCTGTTGACCGGGTTGGACGATCCGGTTGGCGGTCTGTTGTACGCGGGGTTCGACTCCCGGGCCATTTGCGTCGTCTTCCACGTTTTCACCGACTCGTCGCAGAATATTTCCGTGGGCCTGGTCGGGCCGCAGTCCTCGTCGTAGGCGACGATTTTGAAATTGTTCAGCTTGGACTCTTTGCAGGGTTCGGCGGCCGTCTTGGCCGGTTTTTCGTCCGCGTGCAGTTTTTCCTCGCAGCTCGACGGCAACGACGAATCGTCCGAACCGACTCCCGAGTCCTGCGGGAAACAGTGGTACTCGTCCCCGATGATTTTCTTCACGGACTCTTCGGTCAAGACGCCGCGGTCTTCCCGCGACTCGGCCGGCGGCGGCGGCGACGCGGCGGCCGCGCCGTCGCACGGTTCGTCGATGAGCACGACGTCTTTCAGATGATTGCCGATGGTGACCGTGTCGAACACGGTCACCGCGGGCGAACGGTCGTTGTTGTCGCGGAACGCCGACGGCGGGTCCGGCAGTTTGTACTCCCAGTCGATGATGTCGGACATTTCCCCGTTGTTTTCCCTGACCGTCACGATGGACGGCGTGTCGTATCCGCTGGTCGCGTCCCCGAAGATGCGATCGATCTCCTCGTCGTCCATGCGCAAGTCGTCGTCTTCGTCCGCCGTAGAGTTACCTGTATTCGGCACGAGACCGTGCCCACACAATCAATAGGAACCGATTAATATTTCCGTCGAGGATTTTTCCAAACTATATACTATTAGACGCGGTACAATAGTTCCCCGGACACCGTAAAACTTAAATAAAAAGAGCGTATCAAGCGGCGTAGAGATAAAAATAAAAACGAAAGAAGAACAGTTTAGTGTAAAGCACCTGAAGATAACCGGGGTACCGTGATAGTAGCGGCGGTAGTGGCGGCAGTAGTGGTGGTAGTAGTAGTAGTTGTAGTAGTAGTAGTAGTAGTAGTAGAAGTGGTAGCAGCAGCGGCAGCAGTAGTAGTGGCGGCGGCAGTGGCGGCAGTGAAACCGCCGTCAGCGGGTCGCGGATCGGACGGCTCCGCGGGTCGCTTTACCGCCGACGAAGATCGCGCCGGCGGTCTGGGCGCCGGCCCTTTCGGTCTCGTGGCCGGCGAGTATTTACAACCTACCGCCGCGACCGAGGGCTCGGTAGGCGTGGCGGGCGGTTCGGTCGGATCTAGATATAGGATTTCAATATATACACACACTACGTTAAATACGCAAGCGAGCAAGCAAGCCGGGGTTCGGATTGCGTACGTTGGCGGTTAGGCGCGAGAAGGAAAACGAAACGAGGAGACGAGGCCGTAGGCGAGTATTACACGGCAATAAGTAATATGAAAACAAAAAAAAAAAAAAAACAAAACGGTATTGCAAGCGCGTACACAAATATAATTACATTGTATTCTAGGCGTTTGTATAAATATATATATATAGATAGATAACAGTGCACAGATAAGTGTATACAGTATACGATCGTTATTGTTATTATTTATCGCGGGCTCTAAACGTATTCCGCGTTTTTGCAAGCCAAAACGTCGTTTAGATGTTCCAAGAACTTGTTCCAGGACTCGGTTTTGTATTTATTACCGCCGTCACCGAAAACCGGGGGGTCGCGGTTGCCGGCGGCAGGGCCGCGGCCCGGTTCGCCGGACACGAAGCTCAAGGGCATTTTGGAATATCTAAGGACACCGGCGGCGGGCCGTGGCGTGCGCGGTAACGTACCTCTATCTACATCGGAACGACTAAGCGACGACAACGAGGACGTGGCTGGGGACAGGTTGGGTTCGACCACTACGTTGTTGTTCAGTTCTATTCTGGACACGGTTTTCGATTTTTCTTGCGCGTCGGCCATGCGCATTTTCGCGGCGGCCGCGGCCGGCAGCGTTTGCGATTTCCGCTGTTGCGCCTCCTGTTCGCGTTCGGGTTCTTCTTGCGGCGGCGCCAGTTTGGGCCTGCAGTTGGCCAGCGGCGGCGGCGGCGGCGCGGCTTTCTTCTTGCGACCTGTGTGCACGCAACGCGACGGATAAAACAATAATATTATTATCAGCGGCGGCGGCGGCGCGCAGTTTTTTGTTTACACCGAATCAACGATTTAATTTCCCCCCCCCCCCCCCTTTACCATTTAAATTTATCGAATTTCCGCGGTGGTGTTTTTTTTTTTTTTTTTTTATATTTCCGAATACCCACCAGCCCACGCGTTTTTGTTTTTCGCACGATTCAGACATGCTTTTGTCGCGCCACCACCGATGGCGAGGAGCGCTCGTAGTTATAACGAAAAACTATCGACTTTTTGGCGGGAATTTCAACGCCGAAAGATAATTTATGAGACTATAACACGCCCATCTGTTTTTATTATAAATACGCTATGTTGTCCGGAAATCAAAAGTCGACAGCGGTTTGACCGATTATTAAACGTTTAGGGCCAATCAAATAAAAGTCGCAAACGATCGTAGAAAATCAAGACGCGGTACTATCACGAGTGTTCACTCTGTGTATAATATTAAACAATACAATTGCGATAATTTTTCACGGTCATACGAACACAAAGCTGGGCGAGTTGATTGATTTTTTTAAAAACCAGTTTGAGAAATTAATATATATAGCCGCCCCTCCGTCTCACACTCCCCCGCCCAAAAAAAAAAACTTTGTCTCAGATGATTTTAAAAATACATTAATTAATTTGAGCAAGCGAGTCATAAGAGCTCCGGAAATAATATAAACTCGAGTTAAAAGTTAAAAAACACGAACGCGATATTTTGTACCCCACTCGTCGAATCGATTTTTGTACAGATTCACTAAACGAGACTCGTGTGGGTAATTCCATAGCTATGCCGCATCATGAGTCAGATTCACGTCTTATTGTTACGCGATAATGACGATATTCACGAAAAAAGAAAAAATCCGTAATTTACGTCGAAAAACAAATGCGAAAAAACATAGGTAAACAGTTTTTGGGACGGTCGGACTGCAGTTTCACCTAAATTAAAATATGGTCGATTTGCATACGTTTTGAAAAAAACGTTTGAAAACACTAATTTCCCTTCCCACGTACAGGCTCTGACAATGATTCTAATCAATAGCGTGGTTAAAAAATAATTTTTTTTTTCTAGATTCTGAGTTTAACGAAGGATCCATTGGTTTTACAATGTGACGAGTTTTTTTTTTAGTCAGTTAAAAATATTCGTAGAAATTTGAAATTTTGTCAAACAAATTATATATCGCCTTTTATATTTTCGAGTTTATTGTATGTAGTTTTTACTTGGTAGGTACTATAAGCGGACAAAATTTTTCGAGCAAACAGCAATGCTTGAACATTTAGCTAGAGAATTATTGTAAGTATTGAACTGAGGGTCAAACAAAAAAATAAAAAAAAAATAAAATGCAACGCAGTCGAATATTTTATGCGAGTTAAAATTTCGACGGAAATCATTACAATCACGGCATTTCAAAACGTGTATAATCGGAATGCGTTCAGAAATCGTTTTTTATTAACAACGGTTTATCACCGGAACAACGGGTGTATATTTACTTGTATATGTTTCCTATCTGTCCAACACCTCACCTAAAACAGTGGCACACCCGTCCTAAGCATCAGCTCTATTATTTTAAACATTATATTTAATTAAAAAGTGTGTACGCTTGTAAATGAGAAGGGAAACGATGGTTTTTAAATGTTTTCTTGACCAGAGTGTAATTCGATTTTACCCACGCAGTTTATAATGCGTAAAACTCGTAAATTACTTTTTTTTTTTTTTGAAAAGAGTTAAATTTTAACCGAATAAATAAAAAAAAGTAAAAATTATCAATTCAAATAAACGGCTGCCGTGGTCTCTAACGTTCTATTATTATTATTATTTTTTAAAATTAATTTATACCTATTTGAAACTGATTGACAAGGATAGTTTACAGTTTTAAACTCGTTAAACTTTAGTAATCGCACCCTGCAGCTTTCGAGTGTGACGTACACCTAATTACGTATATCATATTATATTTCACTCACTTTGGATGGATATAAGCGACGTGGTCGAAACGGAGTGTTTTGATTGGCTTATGGTGTTGGACGCGAAAGGTATTTCGGTGTATAGGTTCTGGTTTTTTCCGCAACCCTGGAGATTGGTCATCGAACGCGATATAGTCGGTCCGGACGGTTTGACGGGAGACTGCAATTTCCCGGGCCTGGCCATCCCGATGCTGTGGAGCACCGCGACGAAAAATTAAAAAAAAAAATATCGATTATCCCGAATGTCCGAATCACCGTCGACATTTCGATACGAAAATATCTCGTTTTCGAATATTTATATATACGAAAAAAGAAAAAGAAAAAAGAAGCGTACCTGCAATCTACGGCGTCGCTGAGGACCGACGATTCGTGATATCCGCTGCTGTCGGAGCTGTTCCGCGAATGCGAAATGATCGTTTGTTCCGAAGCGTTTCGTTGTTGCTGCATGGTAGGAGGGGCGGATAAAAAAAAAAAAACAAAAAAAAAAAACGTTTAAATTTGATTCCGATCGCGGTTGTTTGTTTGTTTGTTTTTTTTTTTTAGAAAATTCGTTGGCGAGTTATATTTACCGACGGCGGTTTCGGGGCCAGTCTTCGTTTTCGGACCGGCCTGGACGGCAACACTTTTACCATCAGCGGACGACTGCGCGGCGTGTCCGAGGATTCGTCCGATCTGGTCGGGCTCAGACTTCTACCGCCCAAGCTGCCGCTGCTCAGACTGTCGTCGCACTGTACGGATAAAAAATAGACAAAAAAAAAAAATAATAAAACAATTATAGTGTATAGTAATAACTGTGTACGTTGGTTTTTTTTTTAAATAAAATATTCCCCCCCGCGCCGCCCATTCGAAACGTGCGTCTCCGGTCTAAACGACAATCGCCGCGTTCGTTAGATAAAAATTATTATTGTCGCGCATTAGGAATTCGCGAAATTCGTACGGAAAAAAATAAACGAAAAAAAAACAAAAAAACCGTCGACGAGAATTCCGTAATGTTATTACGACGTCGCGGCGCATTACAATAAAACGCGACGTACGCGCGTGCGGTTTTTTTTAGTTGTCATTGCGTTTTGCGTGTACGTTACCGAAAACTGTTTGGGCGGCCGGGACTGCATGATGTCGTCCGACGAGAGGCCGCCGATGAGCGTGCGATTGGTATTCAACACCAGCGACAACTGTTGTATTTTGTAATCGACCAGCGATTTGCCCAGGTCCAGCGGCTCGTTGAGTTTGTCTGGAATTCGTAAAAATCAAAAAAAAAATTTAAAAAAAAAAAAAAAAAAAAAAAAATCATTGTACGCCAGTAACGTAGTATTATATAGTAACATAACGATTGTCGCGGTTAAATGGCGGCGGCGGCGTGGTACTGCGTGAAAACTTCTGTTCCGTCGTAGAAAAAGGTTTTTTTTTTGTTTTTTACCCGCGGTCTACACGCGGCACAATAATTATTATTCCGTGACGGGGGCCGATAAGATAACGCGAGCGCTCGAACAACGCGCGGAATTTTTTTCGGGTGCAGACAATATTGTGTTCAGCGCACCTGTTCCGAGGCGTACACAATTTATAGGCGCGACCACGACAACGAAGAGGGATAAAAAAAAAAAAAAAAAAAATTAGAGAGAGAGAGAGAGTGAGAGAGATTTCGAACGGTTTCCGCGTGTTGAAACGACGGAGAGATTACGACGGACGAACAACAATCGCCCGCAGTCAATACAATATGGAAATTCGCACAGTTTTTAAACGTAAAATATTACGGTTTTTCATTAAACGTACCCGGACGAAATTTGAATCCGGCGTACGTAGCGCACGGACAGACGTTAGTATTCCCGAAGTGAAATGCTCGGCCGCATGCTGTACTCGAAATACTTTTCTGGACAGAATTACCAATAGTTTTTTTTACGTATTTTACTCGTTGAAAAAAAAAGAACAAAAAAAATACTTTTTCTCGGTCTCGTTTCAGAGCGTTAAACGTTTAACTTGTGAAGATGTGATATTCGGTTCAAAGCGTTTTCTCGAAATTTCCTCCGGCTAAGATGCAATGCGTATACAATTGCGTTGCCTTTAGCTGATATACCTGTTACCGTTTGATATTTATAGTTTCCTCAAGACACCCGAACTTCGGGGTGTTCGGATTATTTTTAAAATACACTATTGTTTTTAAAGTATTTCTGCCTGAGTCTGCACGCGAGTTTGAAAATTTCGAGCGCAGATTTATAACCAAATGACGAATACGTCTGCATAATATTGTTATTGTTTGTAGGGTTTGTTCGGCCTCCGGGATCACAGTTAAGGTCTGACGGCTCGTACCCGTCGCCGAAATCAGATTAGGTCCGCGTCCTTTGCGTAACTGTACGTCTTCACCCGTCTTTATCCTCAGCGGCGCAACTAGCGAGCGGCCGCCAGAAAGGACAAACGATAGAAGGTATAGTTTTTTTTTTTTTTTTTTCGAATTTCACAATATTTTATTATTGTTATTATTATTTATAATCGACGTCTATGGGGTAAAAGTCGAAAGGTTCGGAAGCTCGGGTGGGAGCCCAACAATTTGTATTCGACTTTAGGGTCCACACAATAAGACTCGAGTCGCGCCGCAGCTTATCTCCGCGGCCTTTACAAAGGCCAAAGGCAAAGTACTGTCCGATAGTGTAGTGTGTCCCGAGCATTTCGGCTTTTGTCAATACGCAAAATTCCAATCAGTCGTAGTTTTCTTTTTTCGGCGTGCGTATAAACGCATATTTTCCGCACAGAACCGCCGGACCGCAGCGTTCGACATACGAATAATAATAGAGACGATCGAGCGATGTTTACAGCCAGAGAAGTTTTGAGAAAATCTCCGTTAGATGTTAAATCCTAATCGTTCGCGACGTCGCGGGCGTGTCGAACAAGCGTCGTCATAAATCTTCCCGCGCACAGATGTGATACCCCCCCCCCTCCCGTACAGAGATCGTCAGCACAACGATATTTTATAATATTATTCGTATTTGATCCAATATACAAGCGACGCGTCGTATAGTTTATAAATACAAATTGTTATTCATCCTCGCATCGCAGCACGAACGGTGACGCCCGAGACCATATTTTGTCTGTCTCCACGCCTCTCTGTTGTAGTCTAATTCTTTTTAGATCCCCGTGTTTTTCCCTATATCCCGCCCCCGGCCACGCTCTCATCGCGCGTCTTTCATCGTCGCCTTCGGTTATACGTCTCCGCGGATATGTTCAATATCGTATCACGACATTATTCTTACCGGATCGAACGCATTTCCATAATTGCCCGTAAAAGACGAGGAGTAAATTGTGGTACACAAGGTGATTCACAGGCGCAACTGTAGGAGGTGCTTGAAGTGAGCTCGGCGCCCCCATAGTACTAATTGAGCGTCGTCGGTCTTAAAAACCATAAACAGTTTACAGGAAAACAGCCGTTTCTTTATTATTCCTGTTGGTTTTATTTTTAATCCGATGTTTTAATCGAAAATATTAACGGTGCATGCGGTTATTACGCGAGATATTCATTGCGGCCCCGCATCCGTACGCGGGCTATCGATTCTCCGTCCGTGGATTTTAGACCCAGTTTGAGATACACCTAAGCGTCAGTACCCAACCGATATCGATCCAAAAAACCCGTTGCGGTTGTAGTTAAACATATTTGTAAGAACAAAATATATTATTCTAAATGTTTATAAGTTGTTAAAAGTTGTTTTCGACAATGCGCCGTTCTAAAAAATTGGCTTAGAGCGAACGGCCCTAATAATACGCAATGACAGCGCTTCACGAATTTATCAATATCGACCCGGTGGTTTATCTGCGGGAGGACGACGGAGGGTTTATTGTCCCCCTCCCCCCCGCGAGCCGTATAATTATATGTGTGCATTTTTATTTGTTTTTGGTATTTTTACAATTATTTTGAATTTTTTTTTTAAAAAAAAACAACAAATTGCAGGTGCGTGGGGTAGGGAAAATTAATCCCCTCCCAGATCATCCTCGCGTTAAGGGGCCCGGGTTAAAGGGGCGCACGACAATCATCCGTGCGCCCGGGCGGCAAACGGCTCAGCACGGTTTTGCCAAATACAAAAAAAAAAACGACCGGATTTGTCGAACATTTTTCCACGGTCATCGCGTTGTCGTTTATCACATTGCGGAGACTCATAGTTTGGGCGCCACGCCCCGGCGTGAACTTTATTACGGTCGTAAATAAATACGCAATAATATTATTGCCGGTGTTCTTATCAATAGCGCGCGCAATCTCATGTACCGTAAATTATCACAGCTGACGTGCGCCGTTGCGGTTAACGCGGATAATATTAAACGGTATAAGACCGGCGTTTAGTAAAAAAATCGCCGTCTGCGTGCACCGCAAAATATTATGCTATTACAACGCGTTCGAACGGATCGAAATAAGTTTTTTTCCGCCGTGTTTTACGCAACCGGACTGACGTTTGAGATACACCGTGTGTATGTGTGTGTGTGTGTGTGTGTGTATTTTTCTGCCCCCTCTCCGACCCACCCACCCTCCAGCGACGCACCGACAGGTACCGCGGCTATCAGTAAAACTATTTATTATAAGGTCACGCCGCGTACAATAAACCATAATTAATACCTGTATATATCGAATTGATATCTCTAGCGAAAAAAAAAATAAAAAAAAAAATTGACTGCATTATACGATTACGCGGTTTACGTAATGCATACGTATATACACGACAGAATAATCGGGTTTTTTTTTTTTGAAAACATTTTTAATCAATCCGATTATTCGGTAGGCGCAGTAAGAATAATTACTAACCGGCACTCGGATAAAAGTTTTTGTCGGCATAATATTATATTATGCGACACGAGTGTTTTAGGTTTTTCGTTGAGAAAAAAAAAACGATAATAATAATAATAAAAACCCGTAATCTTCGACTATAAAATTTTAATATTTAAGCTGTCGGCGTTCGTAATTAGATAGACAATATTATACTCGTACAGCGTGTTCGATTTGAAGCGCGAGACGTGAAATATCTATCGAGAGGACGCTAATAATAATAGTGATGGTATATATTTTATCCGCGTTTATACCGGTATCGGTTTGACTCTGGGTGGCGACATGAAAAAGCCACAGAGCGATTGAGAAAAAAAAAACAAAACAAACACAACACGACAGTAACAACTGTCTGTTGGGAGGGGGGGGGAAATCGACGCGCCGAAAGCGATTTTTTCTGGAAATTTTCGTCGCGTCCGCGTTTAAATTCGATAATTCCGCCCTGAGAACGCGTCGCGATCTGTTTTCCCAGCAGATTTTCGAACGACGCAATTTCGCTCAGTCAGCGCCGGTACAACAATTACGGCCGAACCGTACCGCTCTTATGCGCAAGTGCCTAACCGCGACGAGAAATATGTTACAGAGTGGTTTGTGTGGTCTTGCGAATTAATTAATCATATCGTACCTGGTTTACGTAGCGTATACTTGGCCGAGTCGAGATTTTTCTCGAAACACACTTGTTTGAGAATCTGGCTGAGCTGCGTTTTCGGACTTATCCGGGCCACGTACAGTTGATTTCTCGGCAAATGCACCTGTATATCACGGAAACGAAAACCGACGGAGATATTAGCAATCGAAAAACAAAAAAAAAAAAAAAAAAAAAAAATCAATCGTAATGCGCCGTATCGATTAAATACGTGTATTGTTACAGGTACCTGTAGTCGGAACGTTTGCTCGAACGGTTTCGTTACGCATTTGACGATCGGTTGGTTTTGATACCTTCCGTTTTTGCTCGAGCTTTTGGGAACGATGTTTACTGTCCACGTATCTAGAGCACCTGTGCATCGCAAACGAAAAAAAAAAAATAATAAATAATAATAAGTGGGAGAACGCGATTAAAACCGTCGCGGTGTCAAAGGTCTGACGAACGGTGATTAATTACGGAAAATTATTTACTGCATTTGATTATTATTGCGGGTACCTATAATACGCGTATATTATTACACACTGCCGTAATTATTGAGACCGCTGACGGTTCGAAACGGGGCAAACAACCGTCTAATAATGTTTCGCACCGGGGGAACACGTACTAATTAACTGTCAATATAGGTATTTGTTATTCGAAAACGCGATTTGAAAACGACGGACATACTTATTGTTGATCTACGATTGTTCAACACTGAAATTTCTAATCGATTTAAATTCAGTCTGGAAATGGCTGTAAAATTTCGTAAATGTCAGTTTCAACAATTTGCGTTTTTTAAAAGACGGACATGCTTTGCACGTGAGTGGGCCGCTGTCGTCGGCGAGAAGTCGGGAAGATATGGAGGGGAAATTCAATGTATATCTATAAACGTGACGATTAACCGTTGTTAACGAAAAACGATTCAGTGTTGCTTTGTCGTCAACAATATATCATATTAAGGTAAAATAATTGCATATATACATTGTATACTTTTTTTTTTAATAATGGTTGTTTAATATTGAACCTATTTTTCCATTTTTCCTACGCTTTTTCTTATTTATTGAAAGGTTACAGGCAAATTTCTATCATTGTAAATCGGAGCGAAATCGTTGGTTGAAAAGTTGTCCACGGGAAATAAAAAAGAAAAGAATAAACATAGCCAATACATTCCACATCGCTCCGTCCAGAATCTAAAATTTAAAAAAATTCCATCCTGTCCATTGCATAACATAACATGTGAAATTTTAGAATTTCAACACTCGGTCGAAAACCTCAATGAAAATGTTAAAACCAATAAACCCGGACGATTATTGTATTTTTGTTCTATGCGGGCCTCAGTTTAATAACCTCAGGGTAATCGCATAGGAAATGTTACAGATACACCTCTGTATACCTACGGGATAATGAATTTTTTAACTTTTGTCTGGAACGTTAGTTTGCAATAAACAAACGGCATTGAATTGAAACCTTTACGGTCGAGAATTAAAATTACGTACATGTATTTTTTTTTTCAATCATTAAACGTGTGCGCAACGCAAATGGCAATGCGTATTATTTTTAAGATAATCTTCATGTTACGAATCGGGAATAGCGTTTTAAATTGCCCCCAACCAAAACATTATTTCACTTGCACATTGTCGGGGTGAATTTCGAGAAAACTTACCGATTGGCGTGCTGGGTTTGTAGGGCAAAACTCCGCGATCGCCGATGGCGTGTACCGCGTGACTCCCGGGCGACAGTTTGTGAGCAGTCGTGATCTGTACGAGAAGGTCCATCATCGGCGTGCTGGAAAACAAAAAACGAATCGAAATGTAACACGTTATTCCCGCAAATTACATTTTACGCCGAATCTTTTGTTTTAATCCGATAATATTATAATATACATATTAAAGTATAACGACCGACTCTGCGGGGAACAATAGATCGGGTACAACTATATAAAAAAAAAATCTGCATATACAGACGAGTGCACTACATCCGTATTGTGTGCGTGTGCTGGACCTGGCCACGGGCAGTGACACTCTATAATACATTAAAACGCTCTCTTATAATATTCCGCCGTCGTCGTCGGTATACTATAACGATTTTTCCCCGTCACAATGCGTCTTATATAAAAATCTATTATTATTATCATTATTATTATTATTATTATCATCGTTATTATCAAGTCTTCTCGACTTTTTGAGACGCAGCAATCTTCTCTCGCCGCGGTCGTCGTCCGCGACTCGGTGGCGCTGCTATGTTTTTTTTCTTCTTCTTTCTATCTATAGATAATATAATAAAAGATATGCGGAATGAAACAAATGCTGCGAGTAGCGGAAACGACGGCGTGAACGTTATATTAATAAGCGGAATGCATGACCGGGCGCGGAGAACCTGCGGGTTATGGATCGGGAATGAATACGAAAAGAAAAAAAATAGCTAACGGCGCCGACGGCGGGTGTGCCAATAAGGAGGAAGGTTGGAATGGCGTTGGACACATCATATATAGAGTAATTAAATTTATGTCTATACGAAACGATAGATCGTTATCGTAAAAACGATTCCGAGTGAAGTCTGGTTAAACATCACGTTTGTCCATGAAATGCCACGATTTTTACGATTTTCTTAAACATTTAAATTTTAAACGCTTATGAAAAAAAAATGACTATACTACGTAAAATGCTGAGAAAATAAAAATAACGACTCTCCTATTCGCCAACTACAGACCAAATTTGACACCATCAGAAACCACCTCTGAGGTTAATAGTCAGAGCAAGATTTCTTGTGGGAAAGACAGACAGAAAAACAAAACACACATATCATAGTAAAACTAATAAGTAATATAACTAGTAATATACATTACTCGTTTCGCTCAGAATGTTAAAAGATGCTAGAGATTATAGATGATATTTTGAGGATTTGTGGAGTAAATGGAGAAACGGTTATGGATAGGAAGATGCCTGGAGAACGAGACGAAAAGTAGTTGACCTTACTTCCGTGGGATTAATGCGAAGAAGAAGAGTAATGGCGCATAAAAATCTATTATCTATTATCTTCTCGATATTTTCGTTTTAAACGCGAAATTCTCTTTTCGCGGTCGTCGTCGGCGATTTAGTGGCGTCTAATATGAATTATGTAGGTGTTATTTCCCTCTCGCATTTAGACACTAAAAATCATAACATCGCAGAGATCCTTAAAAGGTTAAATTAGACATATCAAGCTTCACTAATGCCTTATAAATTGTGTACTAACCATACGTCAAATTCATACCAGATGTGACATTAAAAATATTTCATTGAAATTATGTACTAATTATACATTCGACAAGTCGCTCTGGTGAGCGTAGTAGAATATAATTTCCGCTATCGTGATTATTTTTTAATTTCTTCAAGCTATTTATGGCGGCGCGTCCTAAGTAGAATTTGATGCGCTCTAATCATGACATGATAATCATTCTGGGGGTTAGGCGTTCAAACGTTGTTCAAGTCAGGCTTCGGAAATATGCTGTTTTAATTTTCAGTAACAGTTAATTCAGTATCGACGATTCGAGAACACAAACAATACACACGACATGCGTATTGTTTTCGAGAAATGATGATTTCACATTTTATAATACACATCAATTAATACAATATATTATAGAGATAATAGTATGGTGTTGTATTGTTGTTTTAAAAATATAAATTATAATAATATACCGTTACAGATTGAAAATTGCGAATCATCTCAATAATATTAAAAGGAACTGTCAGAGTGGGGGGGGGGGGCGAGGGATGAGGAATACATGCTTTTCCCCTGTTAATATTAGTATATTAGGAATGGTAAGTGCGTCACGGAAAAAAAAGTTCAATTTTTATTATTTGTACATGATGATAAAATTCTAGGTTTATGATTTTACTAAGAACATCTTATTTTTCTTAAGTTATAAGCTATTCATATTTCGTATCGGAGATGTGTTTGGCTTAAAATTAAATTTGTATAAACATTTTTTCAACTGACGCATTTTCCTCCATACCAAACTCGGGGTAAGATAATTATCATAATATATATTTAACAGTTACTATATAGAAAAGAATTCGGAGTAATATTTTGTACAATATTTACGTAATTCAAGCTAAAATATTTATATTAGATACATTGAAATAATGCACTTACCTCCTAACCCTGAATATCACCTATATATATATAAATTTTAAATAATGATAATCTTGTTAAAATAAAAGTTTTAAAAGAACAGCTACATCTCTCCCCTACCTCCATGGCGCCACAACAAAATCATTAGACAGCCGTATGGGAATCGCAAATGGTTTTTGAATACTACGGAACGACCGATTACCATATAATCGACAATATTATCGATTCGAATTATTCGCGGAGAGAATTCGTACGTTTTCAAAGGAACGCCAATGGTCTGTAGCCTATATTATAAACACAAATACTATTTAGGTTAATATAGTCTACAGGGTTTTCGCAAGGTTACTGGTAGGTAACTGGTTACTGTAGATAAATATGTATTAATGCGGTATTGCATTGAACAGAAGTTGTACGTGAAAAATGTAATAACAATTATTGTAAGTATATTGCACATGTAGAAAATATTTTACACTGCAGTTGAACTTTGTTTCCAAGAAATAATAATCAAGTTCAAAGATTTAAATAACTATAAGTATCCAGGCATGATAATGGAAATGAATGAAGTTTTTTCGACTGCGGCCTATTCGATGTTATGAAATACGTTCGCACCTTCGGTCGGCATATAATAATGCCTATAGGTAAACAATAATAAAGCTAATAATAATCAATTCGTTTGTAGACTAGAAATGTTTATCGTAAAAACGTTTTTTAACGATCGGTTTATCTCGTATGCCGAGCTGGCGTTGCGCGTATTGTCTTGGCCAGGCCACGATCGTTGTAACGACGACGGTTATGCAAGCGGTCAATGCGATAGTACAGTTTTCAATAAATCGATGCCGTACTCGGGTAACGTGCATTTTAGTAATTTTTTGTTTTTATTCTTACTACTCCAAAAACAAAAAAAAATACATACGTATCATAAGTACATTTATTGTAAAACGTTACGACAATAATAATACTAGTAGGTAAAGTATTCGATAATAAATGTTTACGTCGTCGTGTGTTTGAGAAATTTAAACGCGAGACGGGAAAATAATCGCTTTATAAGATTACAACGATATTATATTATTATACAGGTATATTTTTTATGAACGTTGAAAATATTGTATTACTCACGAGGGTATTAATCGATCGTCGCTGTACCTATAATGATATTATGATATCATAACAATACGAAATTACATTTTTTAAAATTACCATGCTATATTGATCATCAACATAATATCATACTTTATCAAATACACACGTGTGTGTAGGTAAAATGTCAACACGACTATGACCGCTTTCTAGACCTCTGCCCGGGGCTCTCGGTCGTTTCTGTGTCCGGGGGGCCCCAGATTAATATAAAATATCGTCGCTTAACCGCTGAATTTATTTTGTACAGAGATGTTTAGTAAATACACAGTGTCGTTCAGATTTTAGTATTGCAAACTGCAGTAAAATAAATTGTTAATAATTTTGCGAATGTATGTCACCGAGAAATTCATTTCTGAAATATTATCGGATCCACAACACCAACTTCCGGCCTAATACCTCACGGATTTTCACGGGGCTTTTGAATTTTTCATCTACGGAACCCCTTAAAATAAACGTTCCAGGTGCCAGGCCGACACTCACTGCGTAGGTAGATGATGTGGTGTTAGGGCGGTTCTTAAAGTTCTCAACGTTTTTAGCATTTCAACGTAAACGTACGGGCGATGGTGAAAATTTCGTTCAAAAATAACAAAAATATTGTCGCCCGTTTTGTCAGTTCGTTTTACGCAATGGTTACTATATATCATATAAAACCGTCAGGACGATTTCGAGATCAACTAATTACGAAGTTTTAGAGGTCGCTGTGGACCGGCTGGCTGCAAATGCATTAAGAAGAAAACATTTTCATTTTTTTTTTTTTTAACGAACCGTTTTTGTTTTTCTCCCGGGACCGAGATTGAACATGCAAATGTATAAACGTATGATGTCGGAGTCGATATTCGACGCCTGCGATCATAAGTATCCGGCATATCACAATCGTTTCCGTAAAAATATTATAACATAAGAAGTAATGTGAAATAAAAAAGACGTCCTAGAACAATAGGGACGGGTGCAACCACCGTTATAGATAATTTAATGTATACTTGTAAGCAACGAAAAACCATTGCTCACGAAAAAACGATTCTGAGCAGATTTCAGTTGATAGTGATGCTTTGTCAACGATATATATATATATATGCCATATTATGGTAAAATAATTAAATAGATATTATATATTAGGTACCTTAAAGTACTTTCCCACACTCATTTCCTTATAGAAAAGGGGCTACACATGGAAATCCGAGCAAGTCTTCTGGTGGAAAAGTGGTTAACAGATTAAAAAAAAAAAAGAAAAATGAATAAAACATCTTTGTAAAACCATAAGCTTCTTCGCTCCACTTAGAATCTAAAACTATCGAGTGGCTAATAAAATCGGTTTATGAAAACAAATAAGTATAACAAGCTATATAACGATATAATTATTATTATGATACTATACGCATGTTTAACGTAGTTATTATAATCGTAAATACGCATGCAAGAATTGTACTAATTGGCCAGTAGGTATTTATTGTATGTTCGCAATTTTATATTGTGGGTAATTGCGATCTAAAAGAGCATCAGATTATTTTTTACGATTCGGTGAATACCGCCGTGCACCTATATGTTGGGCAATTAACGGTTATTATTTTTTATGAGGTGCAGCAGTCGTAGAAATCAATTTTTATCTCGGTAGTAGGTTTTCAAAAGGCGGAATGCGATTTTTTTTTATTTTGCCCGCGCGACGATAACAATTTTTTATACACAGACGATTACGATATTTATACGCACGGATTATATCATGTTGATGGGCCTCTCGTACACACAATTATTTGCTTTTTCCGTTCGTCTCGCGCGTAATATTACGGAAAACAAAGGCTGCACACAACGAATGTGACCCCCTGTATGTTGAGTTTAGGACGAGTAGGTACTTACTGCATCTTGGCCAAACGATTTTTTAAAAAAACTATTTTCATTTTTACCGCGAAAACACGCGTGTTTTATATTTAACGAGCTTTCTCGTAATTTTAATCATTAATCGTTCAATAAATATATTAAAAAAAAAAAAAAAAAAAAAAAAAAAACCATTAGTAAATTCTTCCTTTTTGTTTGTTTGTATAATGTATACAATAAATCCCTTGCCCTAAACTTGAATAGACAGTTGCAAATCGTTGAATTTCGAAACGCTTCTGTCGCTGAATACGAGTATTCCGCGCTTAACCCAACCCGACAAGTCAGTCGGTTTAGCGGTACCCACAAAATTACGGTCGATTTATAAATAGGGCAGAGAGTGTTATACAAATTCATTCAGCATAAAATGCCCAGTATGCGTATTATAATATTATAATTTCCGTATCTAGACATTTTATAGAATATCAGCGAAATATTATTACGATCGCGTTGAATATGCACGTATTGTTTGACTGCAATGGGCTGGACACGCAACGCGCGGGGAAAAGGAAGTCGGAATCGCGGAGTAACTATGCGGAATGGTGACAAACAGCCGGTAAAAAGCTAAAAGGGGGGGGGGAAATCCAAAACCATCGTAAGTTGATTCTACTATTAAAGTAGATGCGGAGAAATTAAGAAACGGGAAGAACGTACGAGTCGTATTACCGGCAGTGCGTAGAGTTAGAGGAGGAAGTTGTCATGAACAGCTACAGTTAAGCTTAGAACAGAGAGAAGAAAAAGAGTTTTGTATTTCTCTAAACAATTATGTTATTTTTTAAACCGATTTCATCGTTCGATAGTATTTTAAAAATAATTATATAATGGTGAAAAACCAGTTGCCTTCGGTTTTTTTTTTTTTTTTAAATTGAGCTAGAAATTAAGACGCGGTTTTTCGGCTATGATTAAATTCGTTTACACGTTCTATAAAATATCTATAAAATAATATTATGTCGTACGTTGTCCGCGCTGCAATTTACGTTAACCGTTGATTCTTTTGTTTTCTAGCACTCAAAAATCAACCGTCGTTTTATACAACGACTGAAATAATATACGGGAACTATAATCGTTAATCAGTATAATATTATTGGAATTATTTTTCTACCGTTTCGGTTTCGCAATTATCGGTTTAAACTCGTGTTTACCTATGTCTTAAAAAACCGAACGCGAACGCGTTTCACAACCGGTATAAATAATGATCGTACGTTTGATGGGACGGCTTGTTTGTTATTCTATTATTATCGTTATATTATTGTATGGTAGGCGAATTATTCGAGTGAAATATTGGGGTTATATACGTTATAAAATCGGTAATAATCGTCGGTAACAATTTTAATTATTTTATGTGCCCGGTGCGGTGCCGAGCGAACGTAATAAATCTCAATTCGAGCGGAAAATATTGCCGATTAATTTATTGCGTTTGAAACCCGACTGCATCCGTCTGTTTGTTTTTTGCAGTGTACTACGCGTCTCGGTCACGACTCCCGCGTCCAATAACGGACGATTAACGCAAAGTGAATTCGCGTGAATTACACGCGGGACGGAGTGGACAGTTTGACGCGAATTTTTTTTTTTTATCAACGAATCGTTTGTAGACATTCGAGACATTTTCGGCGATGCTTCAACCGCGTTTAACGATTGAAATCGACAGTAAACAATTTAAAATAATATTTCTGCAAACGAGCGTTGATCGCTTTTGAACCCGAGTAGTCGGTAAAGTATTTACGATGAGGGGAGGGGTGGGAGATGGCATCCCGGGTTAAATCTCCCAAAAACAAAACAAAAACTTGTCTTAGGATAATAGTGACGGGTGCAGCCACTGTTGTTGGTGAGAAGTTGGGAAGGTAGGATATAGAGGGGAAATTAATTTGTATCTGTATATAAGCAACGATAAACCATTGCTATCTATAAACGATTCTGAGCGGAGTTCAGTTGATAATGATGCTTTACGTAATGTCAACAATATATATATATGTCATATTACGGTGAATTGCTAAAATAATCATTATATATTTTCTTTAGTAATATTTGTTTAATCTAATACTAATTTTCCCATTTTTTCTACGTTTTTCACATTTGCGGGGAAAACTCTGGGAAAAATGACGTCCCTAAAATACCTTCCCAGCCAGATTTCCTTTAAAAAAAAGTGCCATTGTTGTAAAACGGAGCAAAATTGTTGGTAGAAAAATTGTCCACAGAAAAAAAATAATCATAATACTTACTAATATATTTCGTACATTTTCACGTTTTTCTCCGTTTTTTTCAAATTTTATGAAAACATTCCTGAGAAAATTGAAAAATGACCTCTCTAAAGTGCCACCCTAAGAAAATTTTCTTTCAGAAAAGAGTCTACATCGTATACATCATAGTAAGAACATGAGGCATGAAATACTCTTTCAAAAAGTTGCTAAAGTGATCGCGCCGTCGCATATTGCCATCCAATGACGATCCACTGTACTCTCTGCTTACTCACAAAACTACAAACTTAAAAGGTGATTTTTTTGAAAAAAATATGCGTATTGCACGACGGAATCGACTGTAACACGAAACTCGGAAAACCCTGTCGTGGGTATAATAATTATATTATTATCTAAAAACAAACGCCGTATATAAGGTTATATTCGTTCGATGTTTTAAGGTCATTTTTCCAATGTCGATTTCGTGGGTTTTTTTTTTTTTTAATTTTTTTAGGGTATCATCAACATCCGGAAAATATTATTATATGGCGTCACGGCGGCGGTGCACGTTCAAACGTATAGCAGATAGGTACTGACCTTCTCTCGACGCTCATCTTGATCACGGAACCGTTAGGCAGAATCACGTTCAGATCCATTGCCCCAGACAGCATGTCGGGAGGCGTGTCCTCTGTCACCGGCATCTGCAAGGACATCGTACGTCTGAAAAACGAAAATACCAAACGAACAATTATTTTTGGTAGGTATATACAGTGCGCACGTCACACGTTTTCAAAGTTTTTTTTTTCTCCTCGTACATGATAATATTATACTTCGTGGCTCTGAACGCACAATCGTCCCAGTATAATAAAAACAAATTTTTAAAATTCTCGTTTTCTGCTACTTCGACCGTGTGTACATATTTATTAGATATGTTATTATACACATAGATGATAAAAAATAAAAATAACAATTTACCGATGATTTTTTCGTTTTTTTTTTTTTTTTTCATAATTAGCATCGCAGTTTTACGATCTATCTCCTAATTACTACTGTCGTAAGACAAAAAACAAAAGAAAAATAAGTAAACGAAAATCAATAGTTTGTCGTTCGCGATTTCACACATATAGCGACATTGTGTTAACATTTGTTTTATTCATCCGAAAATTTTAAAACGTCACCGTTGGATATTAGACAGTTAAGGTTTACAATACAAAAAAAAAAAACAAAAACAAAAACAAAAAAAATTCGCAAGTTTCATTATATTACTGAGCACGAGTCCGACAACAAAGTACACAAACGAACTTGCAACGCGTGTCTGTGTTTGTTTCACGTGCCCAACGCATACAATGTCGTTTAAAAAATTTGTCGATATAAATATCATTATCATCATTGGTACCTTGTACAAATAATTCTCTTAGAACGTTCGTCGCCATCACTATGACGTACCGTCATTCTATAGTTCTACTCCCGGTCTTTGAGTGTCGACCAAAATTTGTCGTTTTAGTTACATCGGTATATTTTGGTATCAATTCAAATATGAAACGCCTATATGCACGAACTGTTGAAATGGGGAGAAATTGAACAGAAGCGCGCTCAAAAATGTACACCGAGAATGGTTATGGACAATTTTTTTTATCTAACCACCGAAATGTGCATATTTTCGAAAAGGATGATGGGAGGGATCGAATCCCACGAGTTCCTCCTGGAATTAAAATTTACCTCCCACTAAAGTGGAATACAACTGCCGCCATTGCTTTCAAATCTCTTCCAACCACGTCTATATAACCACATATCTCCCATGGTTTGCTCCCGACGTGTCTTGTTCCCTTCAGGCGTCCATTCCGGAACTGCTATTATGGTATTGTCATAACAAGATGCGCGTATGCCGTATGGTAAAAAAGATAGAATTTTTTTTTGTTTTTCCTCGTTGACGAACATTCGTACGGGATTTCCCCGTTTGTTAATACGAGTTATTGGTTTGCGGCTTAAAGAATTTCATCTAAAATAAACTAAAAGACAAAAAACATAACTATACACCGAGAGGTATATAATTATGGTGACAGTAATAATATGTAGTTGTTTTTTTTTTGGTCCTATCGTCAATTTGTTAACTTTTTTTTTTAGTTACATTATTAAAGCAAAGAAATAGCGAGTGATCGTGTATGACCGTAGAATGTGTGTGTACAGTTTCTATTTTTTTTCGTCCCAAAAACCGTTTTTAATGTTTCTATATTTTTTCTTTACATGTTTTGATATCTGCAGTCTATACATGCTTTTAGAGCCCGTTATGTAAAAAAAAAAAAAAAAAACCGACGTACCTAGTTATTTACCGTTTCACGTAAATCCTTTAAAGAACGTGCTCGGCCGGACGGTTCGAAAATTATATAGGTAGTTTTTTTTTAGTCTTACCAATTACAAAATTATTTCAGAATAAAAAATATATATATATATAAAAAAAAAAAAAAACAGATTTCTAACCCGCTCGATAATAATAATTCTTTAATAACGACTTTAGTCGTTAAATTTCGAATCACAAACGCGAACAGTGAAATGATGTGAATTTTAGATAAAAAAAAAAAAAAAACAACTACTACTATTGCTATGTCATTGAATAAAAATAAACAATCGGAATGACGATTAAACACAATTCATTTTCACCGTAGAATTCAAACGTAGCGTTTCTCAATAAAGCTGGTATAATTTTATGAGCAGATCGATTTCGAGATATTAACGATGTGAATTAGATGGGGGGAGAGGCGGGGTTGTAGTTCTAACGAGTTCTACTATACAATTGCGAAAACCAAAATGACAAAACTAAATTTAATTTTTTAATTTTTAGTTACCGAATCCGGAATAATATTTGCTCTGTTTATAGAAGAAAGTATTAGGCTCGCCGTTTTCAATATTCATCCAATTATTAATCACCGAAGTCAACAGAATACATGACCGCCTTCGATTTCTGCGCGGGATATTACGCGTGGAATAAAAACTAATTTTCGCGTTGAGCGCAAATCACCAACATTTCTGTAGAATCGTAGAGGTAGGCGGAGTATTGAGTTTTAGAATATCTATGGATGTTTTCCCATAATAGTATCACGAAATGTCTTCTAGCTGTTTTTAGTATGATCGTATTGATAGCCTTCAATACATTAACCACGTCTTAAAAAAAGGACGCAGTCCTGCGGTGTATAGCATTTATGCGCTCTGGGGCGAGTTTAAATTTTGCGCCCTAGATAACTAGTGCGAATTTGTCCCGGCATACATTTATTTTAAGCTCTTCTCACGATGCAAATCGTAGAGATTTAAAATAGCCTATCAAATTCAAAACACACGCCATATTATTAGAATATTTTTCCTTAAAACTCAATACCAATTATAATAAACGATACAAGTTACAATTACAATTTTGGCGGCCCGGGGCAGTTGATCTCCTTATAGCTATACGTATTTTCTGCGGTCTTACATTGTTCGTATGTAAAACACCACGAGTCGATAGTAAATCATTGGGTTTTAACGAGTAGAAGTATTCAATTTTAAATAAAAACAAAATAATTGTAAAAAAAAATCCCTAATAATATAATCGTACATAGTTTTAAACTAGAAATCGATTTCTTTCGCCTCGTTCCGATATTGAAAACTATTCAACTAACCTCGTTATTATTATGCTAATCGAAAATATAATGATTTCTTACGGGTTTGACGCGGTGGCCCCAAAATCCATGGTATATAAGTATGCGTTATAAACCTAAAGGTAATGGGCACCGAGACCGCGTTTATTGCGAATACGTGTTTTTGGACCCGCACATTTTTGCCCGCGTGTACTATTATATTATAATAGAGTGTCGTTATCGGCGATTCCGGTGCGGTAAACGCGGTTATTAAACGATTTTCGGACGTCCTCCGGGAGGATTGTTTTGCACGGGATAGATGGCGGCGTTGTCGATACCGAGTACCTATAATAATAATAATAATAAACGTGCGGTTCCGGTTATGATTTTATTCGGATTTCAGCGATGAAAATCTTAATAATAATATATACGAGTTCGCGAAATACGCTACCGGTACTTCTCGACCTTCAAGAGGAACGAAGGCACCGCTACTGCTGTAGCCGCCAACATAATATTGTATACTCACGACGAGTTCACCAAACTTCGCGCGGGGTCATTGCTGCCGTGCGCCTGCGAATACATTCGCTAATTGTCGCGTTGTTTTTTTTCTCTCGCAAAAATCGCCTCCGAGGCGTCCGAGGTGTTCGCGGGCTATTCGTCGTCGGACATCCGAGCGCTGCACGGTTCCGCGATACTATTCGCGTTTACTGCGGGAAATTTTTCCCGTCGAGCGAATGTCGAACTGACTAAAAATACACATTTCGCCGATACTCGTGCATAATTAACGTGATTTTTTTCGCGCAACCGAGTCGTGCACGGGTGGGAGTATAATAAGTATAATAAATTATAATACTACACGTTATATAGTATAGTCTGTACAGATACTACGCGCCGGCACGATTCAATTTCACCGATAATGATAAGCCGTACTGAATCGTCACGCGACCTTTACCCGCGGATTTGCAAGGCGCGCATTGTACATCATGGTAGGTAGGTACAGTGTTGACGGACGAGAAGGAGAAGGGGGAAAAAAAATGTCCGAAACGTCCGTCGATCGGCCACAGTTTGCAATTCGTTTCTTTAAAAACGAGCTATTATATTGTAGGGACCATTATTTTTATTTTACATTTAGGCGTGACCGAATATAAGCGGACGAATTTATCTCTCGGCCGTTATTGACAGTAGCTATTATACGTCGTAGGCATATTATGGTAGACAATCGACATTTTTAAACACATTTCGCGGATGTTTCGTAACATTTGACGTAAAGAACATTGAAATTCAATTTCGCGACAATAAGCTCCGAAGTATATTATGTTCGAACGCCACGTATTTTTTGAATTTTTTGCAATTTTGCCACGTTTATCGTGCGACCTTTATGTAGGTACTGCAGCTTCGGCATAATATATACGCTTTTTTTTCCTTTTTAAATATTATTCTCAGGTACTTATATTGACGAGAAAACAATTTACGCGTGTAAAAAATGACAGTAAATATATTATATTACCTGTATATTATTTTTCTGCGTGTTTGTCGATTAGTCATAGTTCATTATTTCTTTAAAAACGAGATACTTACAAAGCATTTTTAAAACAAATTTAAGTGCGACCAACAGTATAGAATTAATTTCGCGGAGCTACTGAATATCTTACCTACGTAGTGATAGTTCGCGCAAAAATGTCAAGTTTGGCAAAACACTCACTATACGAGAGAATTTTGTTCAGATACATAGTATTTTAGTTTTCGTCACATAAAAAACAAAAATCGTTTTATCGTACAAAAAAGCTGGTATACTGCTGATGGCGTGTCGTTGTTATGCGTGGGAGTTTGGAGAGTAGCGTCCATACAGTTATTTAATTTAAATTGGTAAGCGAAGAATTACGATTTTCGTCAAAAATGATGGATAGAAAATAAAGCACATATCAGTAAAACCAATAAATTTTTCGTTTCGCTCATAATCTAAAGTTTAACATGAAAACTTGAGAAAATGTTTAAAATTAAATACGATTATAATATTTCGGTTAGAGAATTTATATGATTTGTTTTATTAAAGTAGGCGTGATACCCGCATGATTTGTCGGCGTCTTTCAAATGTACGACATAGCAAATTTGCGTTTAATAAGGAATAATATTGTGCTGTTAGTTTTAATATTTGAGTGCATTGACTTCTTATCAAACTCAGAGATAAGTATATTATCTGTGCAGCGTTGGCTCTATTTTTTCGATATTTAAATTTTCAAGCTATTTATAAGCATTGAACAATTTTAATATTTCGCATATTCATATTTCTCTTAACATTTAAAATATCGCTAACGTTGCATCATCTTTAAGTTTGATAATAAGTCAATTCACCTTAATATAAAAAATATCAGAACAGTCAGAGTTCCTGTTGAACGCAAATTCGGTATGAAATATGTTTGGAAGATTGAGACAATACATGCGGGTCCTCATAAGAGGACAGCTGATGTATTAAACTGCACGCAATTGCTTCGTTAGTCGTCTTGAATATGTGAAAAGTAAATTTCGTATTTTTCGCATACCTAATCAATTCAGTTTTGTTCTAGTTATAATAATATTATATTAAGGCGGATATTTGACCTACTTAATTATTGCGAGATTAAAGTGCAGTATGTATAGTAGAACCTCTGCGTCCTACACTCCGAATTTTTTTTCACTTAACTTTAAAGCAAGACGTATAATTATATAAAATTTGATAACAAGTTTACAACTATATACGAGCATATAATATTATATTATCGAACAACGTATTAACATTTACGTAAGATATACTCGGAGGTTTTTTTCTCGTGTTGAATAAATTGCAAAACGAAATTTCGGTAAATTGCAGCGTCTTCGCTCTAACACCGAATTTATTTACATTGATGTATCTAATCAAGTCGTAAATACCGAATAATTATTACCTCGAATACGTCATTTTTTCGTACGTTCAAGTGTCTGCTGTTCTGTTGCGCGGATTTAAGCGTAATTTATAGTATATGTGGGTATAGAAGACCGCATTAAAAAAAAAAAAAAACAAAAAAACCGAACTAATTGAGTACATTTAATTTCTCGTGAAATTCCAGTTTAAATATGCATGCAGGTACACGCAAGGTTGTGCACTTGTGCAATACTGTTTTTTATTTCTGTATAAATATTTTTTAGCCGTAACGTTATTTGAATCGTTGGCAATGGATTTCGGTATTGCATATTGTATACTCTGCGAATGTTTCGGATATATCGTCTCTCTTGGGAAGCTTGTCACGTGTATACGTGCATACGTATGTACGCAGTGATATACCGCGATTTCAATACTCTAACGAAGATTTATTCAAAAGTGCCGAGGGACACGCGGCGGCAGCTTCGTTGTCGTCGACAGAAACTGATTGAGACGCGTCGAGTTGGTGTTCGGGGAAATAATAATAATAAGAGGATCTTTTTTATTTTTTTCGGTCGGTGATATCTAAAAATACAAAATAGGTTTGTCCGATCAGGACAATATTATGTATATTATTGTTTTTCGAATAAAACTTCGCGTTAAATTCGTTAATTATACGCGACCGGAAAGCGAATTAGTTTATTTGAATATTTACAAGTGCATCATTTATATGATGGAAAAAAAAATAAGATGCGGACGTGGCAGAATTCAAACAAATAACATAAAACCTGTTATCGAATTTCCGACGGTACACACATTTTTATTGCCACTCGAGAGCAGTCGAGTGATATGCCGTGCATTACAAATATTCGTTAATCATTCTTTCGGTTATCAATCGATTTCGCCGACGCTGCGCCGGTGGTTTTGACAGAGCGGAACTCCGGTAATTAATTTCGTAAATTACCTATCGTTACGCAAATCCGATTGATTCGGTATACCTGCGGACGAGAACGCAAACTAGACGAGTATCGTTTTAGAGTTTTCTGCGAAATTTCGTCGCGTACGTTGCGTATTTACTGTTCAGCAGTTTTCTAGATGTCGGTCAAACGGTAATTCGCTAGAGGGCAATGTTTTTTTTCGCATACCCTGCAGAACAGGTCGAGGAAAGTCGGTTTTTAACGCGAACAAAGTACATTTTTTTTTTTTCTTGCGAATTCAGTACTGTTCATCGTTGACTGGTGTGTGACTATAGCCCAATTTTTTGTTTAAATATATAGGTAAATCCGAAGAGTTTTTTTTTTTTTTTTATAAATTTTATATAATAAAACTATTACCCGGTTATACTGCTGCGGATTTACGTAACAACGACGACGACGGGAGACGAAAACGATCCGTTATCATTACCTATAGCTGCGTTTCCGCCCGTAGTCGATAGTTTTCTGTTATAGTACAAATATAAAGAAAAAAAAACCAATTGCAGCGGTATCACGGGGTGCGTTCGCGTAATATTACGTTGTTGTTGTTAAGAACGAAAACCTTCGAGACCGGAAAATATCCGTTCGACATAATCCATGACTGCGCATTGATATTACATCACGTTCGAGCTTATTTTGAGGGAAAATCGTTATTTTAAAACTATAAATAATAATATTTTTCCGAACGAAACTTTGCGAGAAAATTTACATACTCGGCGTGGTACATACCTGCCCGACCAACTACGCCATGGATTTTAGTCAATTTCAAAAAGTTCCTCTTTTCGAAAATAACAACTTCTCCCGTCAGCGGCAGCGGCGCGCATAGGAATTTCGAGAATACGTGCGGTCGACAAAAGTATGCTCGTCTTTTTTGTTTTCTTTTTAAGATGTTTTTTTTTTTTTTAAGGCTTCCCGTTGACACCGATAATCTACATCCACCCCTCACCCGGTCGATAGCGCCCGATATGCGGTCGCTGCAGTTACCTAGCTGTATATACTCGGGCGGTAACCTGTCTGCGCGCCACTTCCCGACCGTAGTCTCTCTTCTACAGATTATAATGTCAACTTACTTATTGCGTGTACCGTGATTATTATCCCCGTATGCGGATGGCCTTCGCACGCATACTTAAAAAATAAAATAAAAAAACAATGCGCGCGTCTGCATTTCGGCACCAACGACACAATGGCCGGTCGTAATAATTGGCTACGATGATTAAAAATGACGTACAGTCGCAATTGAATCCCATAACAAAAACAACACCTCGATTATAGGTTTAAAAAAAAATAAAACACATGTTAAAATTAATACGCGCGTCCTCCGTTGCAGAAATATCCAACGGTACGGTACGTATGTAGTTATTTACCAGAAAAAAAAAACACATGGATAATAATAGGCTGGCCATAAGAATATTATAATAAAAATGTATGAGCGGTGATCATATGAGGTAATGTGCCGCAGAGAACGCAAGGACGTATTTTTCAAGTAAACATAATAATACCACCGTAAATACGTCGATTTCAACAAAATAATATATTCGATTTTGATTGCGGACGACACTAGTGGTCAAGAAATTTAAAAATCGGTACTTAAAATATCGATTCGCAATATACATAATATAATTTCGAAAAGGTAAGAGAAATGATTTTGAAGTTTTCTTGTCCAAAAATAGTCGCGACTGAAACCGTTCAACGTGTTTCATTAAATGATTCTACAATTTTTTTCAATCATTTTAAATTAAGATATATTTGTTTATTCTTATTCTACTGCCATTTTGACAACTCTTTCATTATTGTCATAATCACTACCACCATCATCATTATTATCATCCTCATCGCCATCTCCTTCGTATTCTTCATTGTTAATATTTCCATTATTATTTTCTGTAAGAATTTTTTTTTAAATTTAAATTTTCATACAACTAACTCTTGTAGTCAAGACAAGTTCATCTACACTTAAAGATTTTATTTAAACATTTTTTGTTCTTCTTGGTTTAGATTATAGAAACTGGAATTTTAGAGTGCCGAAAATTTGAACTCGTATTAATAATATTATAAACAAAAATTACAATAATCTAATCCAACCAAGGAGCGTATAATATATTTTCAAACGTCTTTGATTATGAAAACAGTCTGTGGCGCACAGTACATTTTTCACAAGGGTGTCGAAAATATAAATATCTACGTATTCACCCGCCCTACAAGTCAAATATAAGTTTAGGCATAATAAAACTCAATTAATAAATAATTAATATTATACTATATCCACCCACCAATTTTCTGTCAGTTGGCAACCCAGACCCCCCTCCCCCCGGCGTGCGCCACTGAAAACAGTATATCCAGCGTTATTCATATTCATTTTTATGTTTTAATTTTTCTTAGATTTCATTTTCTTAAATTTTAACATCAAAATTTGTAGGTATGGTTTGGTTAAGTTTGGCGGCTCCGCTTGGGAGTATAAGCCGGTCCGGTCTGGTGGTGGCTATTTAAGAGATGAAAAGAAGTTAGCATAACCATTTTAGTTGAAGTCTACAACTTATATTAAAATTTTTTTTTTAAATATTACAAATAGTCACAGCTGGAAATTACAAAATAATACTAATGAATACTTTTGTAATAATGTCTTATTTATTTGGTCGCGCAATTTTGTGCTAATTTGTTAAAACTAGTTTGAAATTATTGAAATTCGATATTAAGTGAAAATTACGCGAACGCATAATGCAAACGAATTTAAATTCGTAATTATTGTATTTTGTAAAAGCTTACCTGATAAACTAGATAATGACCGGATATGACCAAATCTGAACATACACTGTTCGACCGCGAACAACAAACTAATAAAAGTGTACAATAGTTTAAATATTATCGTATTCAATTAAGCGCAATATTACGATAACCGCAGTTTAAACGTATTAATATATAAAATATTGTTCGTAAACAATATGTAATCAATAGATAAACATGTACTTAGACAATTCGATTTAGGTGAATAACAGTGGTTTTTTTTTTTACACTTTTGCCCTGGTTTTTTTTTTCATTTCTGGATTACCGTGCGATGCCGAATGTTTTACTATACAATGAATGATTCATCCGCGAGGTTAATACAAAAAGACACGTAATAGGCATGTTTTTTACTTAAAAAAAACGTGCGAAATCAAAACGATATTAATTTACGATACGAAATTCGCACGTTTATACTATACATCGTTAAAAAAAAAAAAAAAAACGACGAGTTGTATAATAGTAGCCTGTGAATAAGTTTCCGACCAAAATACATGTCCCCGAACAAAAACTTCATCGGGGCTTTCGCGAGGTATCAATTTCGATCTTGTCGGTGCATTATGGAGGTTAACTTTTTTTTTAATTTTATGGCATTATTTGTTCGATAATAATTAAAACAGTCTTATATAGTTTAGGAAACAATATTGACAGCATGAATCGAAATTTCTAAAAAAATTGAATATAATATTAAAGTAAAACTGAAACGATGAATCAAATTCATTCAAAAACCCTACGAGAAAATTGCTGGTTTCACGAGAAAATATTCACCGTGCATTACACAGATAATTGCAGGGGTTTGATGATATTCCGCAGGAGGAATTTAAAATTTAAATTTTCATACGACTCGCGTTTGAGCCCTACACGAAAGAAATAAAACCCGACTAGTTCTGGGACCTAACCTGACCCCGCTCGGTACGGTTTTCAAAAGTGATTCATCAGTCGCTTTCAGTACCTACCTAAACTAGATTAGGTATAGGTACCTAATTCATTATGGTGACGATAAACTACCTTACCGACGATGCCCGCCCACAACAGTGCGGACCTACAACGCGCGGTGTGAAAAATGCGAGGTATTCGTTTTTCAATCGAAACACCTATGCTTTAAATTACTTTCTTTTAGCACGGTTTAAGTGGATCGCGATCGATTTGAATAAATCCGCACGCGGTCGCCGCCACAGCAATTTTTATTGATAATATTATCGCCTTGTCCGAGAGTCGGTTAGTTTAGAATATTGCCGTAGTATATTATTATAATTTTTTTTTCGCGTTAAAAGAAAAAAAAAAACACACCATTACCGCCGTCGTCGTAATAATATTATTATTTCCGAGGACCCAGTGACCTGTTTCCCGAACTCGTTTGCCGGCCGGCCGCGCCCCGACGATACTGGTCACCGGTGCCCGCTATGCGCAAATACAATTCGTTCCCGAACGCGGTTAAGGGGCCGATAATAATAATGACGATAACGACGCGTCTGTAAATCTCGTTTTTAAAACCGTATTATTGTTGTACCATATTGCGCTGGAGAGCGGGCAATCGTGCAATATTTTGCCGTTCAGATTAGAAAACAGCTGCTGCGGAAAAGTCTGATAAGTAGACGAAATTAGCGGACTGGTCGTATTACAGTCAGATGTGAAGGTCTGTTGAAATTGATTAAAGAGATGGACGCGTCGAAGGGAAAAAGAATCACGTAGGATGAACTAGGCTGGAAAAACAGATCGCCAGCATCAAAGTGGTATTTGCTTCTGAAAAGGAACATGGACGGAGTGAAAATGTAAACCCATCTGAGGATTGTTAACGAGTGACAAAGAGATACACCCACACGCACCTTTTAGTCCGTTTGAATTTTTCTAAGCGCAATAAAACTGTACGAAATCAAGACGAAATGAGACTATATCAAAATCTATTCTGAGTTTGCAATAACGAATTACGTGAATTTAGGAAAAAATGATTTTGAAGATTTCAAAAAGAAGTAAGTAGAGAAGTAATGATGGTTTTCAAAAATACGAGAATTTGTTAACGACCGTCGATAACGAAAAACGATCCTGAGCGATTCAGATGTTCTTTTATGTATGTGCGGGAATTTTTCCGTCTTTCCTATATTTTTTCCTAATTATTATGAAAACCGTTGGGAAAATCCAAAAATGTACCAAGTAGATAACATTTTCTTTCGGAAAAGATATTACATTTGATATATCGGAGCAAAATTTTTGGTAGAAAAAGTTGCTCATGGAATAAAATATTCAGTCATGACGTTAAATTACGAATTCGGAACGAAATCTGTCGTAAAAAAATCACACGTTTTGGGAAAAATATTTATACAAATAGAAACCACCCGTGGAGGCCAAACTACGTTTATATAAAATTCATCGCGTTTTTAATAACCGCGTTAATGATAAGATGCGTCGTGTGTATGACAATAATGGTTTTTTCGTGTTGTGTTGTCTAAAGATAAATAAAATTAGTCCGTTGTTGTTGTTGTCGTCGTCTATTTAGACACTTAAATTAAATTCCGTAACGAGCATTTTTTATTTATTATTATTATTTTTTTTTTATTATTCCCGAGGCGAAAATAATAAATTGACGACGGAAACTCCACCTAAAATATGTGTTCGCGTACGTTATTGCAGACGTTATTAATGCTATTATAATAATACGGACAACACCGCAACTGAATGCTGTCGCCGCCGAGCCCTCGGACCTATCGCGCGTAGGAAGTAATAAGAATATTATTTCGACACCTTTTGCGTTTATCGGAATAATTACCGCGGTCCAGGCACAAAACGTTTTGCGTTTTATTTGTACAACGGCCAAGCCCAATACGCAACGTATAAGGACACGCATTTTTGTCCAAGATACATTTCCGCGACACGAAAAAATTTATAAAAAATACACGTACAAAGACGTTATTTATCAAATTTTAGGCGAGGCGAGACAAACGTAATATTATTGAATTGTATAATATTACACCTTTTGTCGGTTTAGTCAAAATCCTTCGAAAACGTTCGCACCGCCTCTGTAAAAGATTCGGATTTCCTAGACTCAATTTTTAAAAAAAAAAAAAATAAACTATTTTTCGTTGTTGTTGATTTCCGGGATTTTTCGGTTACACAACATCATGTACATCAGTAATAGGGGAAAAAACCGACAGTAATAATTAAATTTAAATTCGGTCGAAACGAAACGCGTCCGAATACGATCTCACCGACTTCCTACACACCCAGAACAGTTGTCTTCCCGCGAAGCACTTCTTTTTATGCGCCCAATCTTTGTTTTGTTTTTTTTTTTTATTGTTAAACGTATACCGAAATTCCTCCTGTCATTATCTATCTATACACGCACGCCTTTGTGTTTTGTTCATGATTTCGCCGACGTTTAGCCAATCTATAAAAGAAGTGGTCGCGGATCCCTATCGCCGTTAAAAAAAAAAAAAACCATTGCCGGATTTTTCGCATCACTGATACACACACCGCGGTGGAAATTAATTAACGTGCAGTTTAGCGTTAAAAATATAATGTTATCGTCCTCCGCGGGCCGCGAAAAAACCAAAAACATACCCGTTTGTTTTGTTAGGATTACGCGGACCGTGACTAATAATTCGGCCGATATACTAATAATAATGGATACGAAAACAATTTTATTGTGCGCACACAGTTAAGGTCTCTACGGCACACGCATAAATTCTACGGACACGGCCGGTGTACATCACGCGATTACAATAAATGGCGAACATCACGACACTTTTTTTATTATTTATTTTTTAATAACTATTGTTATTTAATATCTCTACGTGCGTACACGCGTGCGTGTGTGCGATGCACTTTCTCCCTAATTATTGACATAATAATATATAGAACGTACCGCGTGCCGCAGATGGAACTGCAGGCGCGATTTTGTATCGGCCAATTTTCGAAAACGTCCTAAACGCAAACACAAATTGTATATAATATTATGCACGTATACAGGGTGATACGCGAGTGACCGAACTATGTTATTAAGCTCGTGAATACGCACTCGTATAATTTCATATCGCATCATGCACTTATATATATATATATATATATATATATATATATACGTACAATATAAACGAGTGTCCGTTATAATATTATCTATATACCTATTATTATTATTATTATTATAGTTTAAACCGTATTCACGTTTTAGAATGGCGAGACTGCGTCGAGATTTATACTTTTTTTTTCGTTCGGAACGGTCATATTTTGTATTATTACATTTTCTCGCTGCAGTCGAATAACTCGAGCAGTATAGGTGTACCGTGTACGACAATTATTACCTTTGAGTATCAAGGGTCCGATAATAAGAAAAAAAAGTCGTGCTTTTTTTCAGACAAAAACGTCTTCGCTGTTATTAGCGTTTCCTACTTAAAATGTGTCTGCAAGTCGTTTTTCTCAAAAAAATAATAATAAAATAGTAATAAGAAGAATAAACAGGTCGACGAGTTTAATATTACAGAAACCAAGGCCGGTTTAAATTAAATCGTCTATTATTTTCGTTACAAACATAATTGGCATTTATCTTGAAAATAATAAACACTAGGGATAAACCCACCCCGGATACGGTCTTGACAGAAACAATGTTTTTTTTTTTTATCACGAGTTTCGGAGTATATACATATTTGTAAACGGAATACTTTTTGAATATAAAAAAGATAAATTAAATTAATCAGGTCGTTAAAAAAAAAAAAAAATAACAATAATAATAAAAGACTATAAGTCTATACGACAAGCCTCTTGTTTTAGAAAACCTATAGTTTTAGTACATATTTTGAAATGGCTTATTCGCTGGGTAAACATTGTGATTTGCATAAATTGAACATTTAAAACGGTTTAAATCTTTTTTTTTCTTTCTAAACATACACATAGTTTGTCAAGTTTTGCCCATAAAGCCTATAACTATATATTATAAAATATAGAATATTTTATATAGTTCCCAAAAGTGTCCCATAATCCGACCGGCTACAGGAGCCGCGTCTTTAAATTATACTTTCTTTAATAAGCTGATTTAACTTGCATTTAATTATTATTATTTTTTTATGTATATTATTTTCAACGCGAAAATTCAATCTCTTATAGCCTATTCTTTTTATTTCGTTCATATATGTACTCTCATTATGTTAAATCGCGTGCGGAGAACTCGGTCTATAACGTTATACTACTTTCTCTCCTCGTCACCGCCGCGGTTCGAACCAGTTTTATTAAATTTTTTTTATCGTTTACTTGTATTGATCGATATACATTTAAGTATATACGTACAAATATTACATTTTCAATAGGTTTTTTTACAATTTTTTTTTGTCCCAAACCAAAGCAGTTCCCATGCATTCGTTTTTAACGAAAATCAGTGGCGAATTCACTGGGGTGTAAACAATCTACCCATCACAGACCGCGATTTTCGACTCTATCCTAAAATATCATTATGGCTGATTTAAATATCCTTGTGTCTTTGATCAAGAACTTATGTATACTATTGTTTAGTATTTCCAAAATGTAACTTCATACCTAACCTGAATTAACATATATTCACCCAGAACACCAAATAAGTTTTGATTATAATATAAATGATACAATTCTATATTATTTCTCGTGTTTATAGGTTTGCGATTAACTCGGGCTTTGTAATCATTACCATCATAAATTACAACAAGTTACATAGAGAGTCACATATAGAGACAATCTGCTGTAGTGCTCTTAGGACATTGCGATTTATCAAACGTGTCTCACAATTCAGTTCTCATAAGTAGAATTCGGACTATAATGTTTCCTTTAAAAATATTCTATTGTCCATTTGTCCTTGAGTATTATGGTTCAATATTGCGGGGTCCTCTAGTAGCAAGCAACTTTATGCAACTTGCGAAAATTGCTCTACTTTGTTAGTTGGACTCTAAATATTTAATGTCCTCCTCATGATCACACGTCTGTTCTTAACTAACTCGACCTGAAACCCTGGGCATATTAGCTGATTGGAGACACGCAGCTAACCTTAATTTCTCGTTTAAGCTTTTATCGGGACGTATCAAATCTCCTTAAATACTTTCTAAAATTGTATTTGAAGTCCATCGTCGTCCGTCACGCCAATCAGTTCCTTCTCATTAAAATGTTTTATCTTCTTGTGCTCAAAATGACCAGAATTCTGACCGTTTTTTCTCATTGATATGTATAGAAACTAAGCGTTGTGATCTGTTATACTATTACGCTTGTAAATTAGGGGTTTAGTATGCAAAGTATTTCATGGGAAATTTGACTGTTACATGAAATGCCGAAAATCCTGTGACCTGTATACCAAACATTTGGACTCAGCTCGTTTATAATTAAAGTAAATAAATAATATGTGATATACTAGTATAACGCTGCTCGTGCTCGCATATCGCGCTCTGATTGGCCAAATAACAAATACACTGGAGGCCGTTTGACGTAATAATTAACTAATTGATCTACAAAAGGAGTTAGTATAATGTTATAGAGAAGTCGTTATAGCAAGTATGCGCATTGCACCGATTAGAGAAAAAAAAACCATTATACGGTTTTCGGCCTAGAAAACGGTCGGCTGAACACCACACGCGCACGACCCAGCGAAGACATATTATTTTGATGATCCGTGAAAGACGTTTGCTGCTATATACGTACACTACCGTCGTCGTTGTCGGTATAATTTGATTAAACGATTTCGAAACTAAACTAATAATACGATCGCGCAACGGGCGGCGATACGTCTGACCGACCGCGATGTCGACGACGACGTAAAAATATGCTAACTTTTCACTTTTCGCAATAGATATTAGGCATACAGAAAACGACAGGTATTATCAAAGTCACTGCGAGCATTGCAAGAACGTCATTAAGAATGTAAGCAATAGTTGTAGCACGTATCAAAAACTCACTACGTGATTTACATTGTCGAACCATCACAGAAGACTTTTGAGATTGTCATGTAGGGTCAAGTGGGCATGAATTGGTCATAGTTAATAATATGGCTCGAAAATGTAGATTTTATCGTTTGTTTAAAGTTTATACACCCGAAAGAAGATTATGTTAGGTCCCTGTAATTTTGGAGAAAAACATCGCTTTTTGACACCTTTCCGTGTCTCTAACCTAACTTCAAATCTCCTCGATTGACCTCTGGCTATTTTATAAGTTCACCAATTTAACCGATTGCCTCTTCGTTTCTTGACGTATGGCCAGCTCGATCTATTCAATCTATCTTTCGCATTATTCCTGTTTAGACTGTACTTCCTTTAGAAACTATATTATACTGTTTATACATTCATTCCTTTATTATACTTAACGGGTTGATTATTGCGAAAATTCAGAAATCCAGCGAATGTTTATGCACACGATTTTGTACTAATTACTTACGTTTGCGGAGTGGTTATTGTTGATGTGACCACATTATCATCGAAACAAGTAAAACACAATACATCAATAATGTAAACGCGCGCTCGGCATAATGCATTAAAAACGATTAGTATTACACCCGTACGAAATGAGGTTGTGAAGTCGTCGGCAAAAATGACGTTTCCGGAATTCAAAGACGATGACGATTATAGTTTACTGCAGTAATAATAATAATAATAATAATAACCGTACATTAGATAAAAGTTTTAATATATTATCGGTATTATTATTTATTACGCGACAGGCAGGTGTCCGACGGTTATAATCGACGTCCGTGCGTTTGTAATACGTTTCGTTAATATTTTGCAGTTCGAACAATTCTATCCGATAACCGCACAGCGTATTGCGGTATCATCTGATTTATTGCCAGTCTCGGAAATTTCATCTTAATACGATTGGTACTTTCACACACTCGGTATATTATTTCTATTGGAAATTTTTTTATGATTCGTAAGTCGTTGATATCGGTACCTAGGTATATTATTATACCGTTACGACGAATAATAATAATCAATGGGCATCCACCAAAATATTTTAACCGTGAACCCTCTCGAAGGTTACGACGCCCGCGTCGACGCTGTCACGGATAGTCACGATCGGGAGCGGAATGCCTATTACTTTATTAGAACTATTAAGTATACTATTCGAATTTTCCGATACGTATTCTTTAACGGTTTCACGACACACCGCGATTTGAGAAATTGTATTATTTTCAGCTAATACATTTAAATACCCAATGTGCCATTGACTAAAGAAAACAAAAACAAACAGTGACATCGTAAAACGTACCTATAGAAAACGATTTCATAACCAACGAATAGCGTTCGAAACGTTTTCGAGCGATTACGTTTTCTTTTGCGCGGTCCCTCCGGGTCGAATTCGATTCAATCTATTGCAGTAATCTCATCTAAACGTATTTATGTTTTGTTAAGATAAAACATTTACCAAACGAGTTAGTCATTAAAAATAATTCCATTATTATACCACTATCCGGTTAATATATATATATTATTTTAATATTCATATAACTCACTGGAGTTTTTAAATTTAAAACATTATTTCTTTTTCTTTTATACATACGGCTTTCGAGTGTTCATTCCAGACAGACATATATAATATAACGTTAGAACTTTTTAATAGTAAGTTTTTTTTTAAAATTATTGTTAAATATTTGTTCGCAATATTGGATTATTTATGATTTTCATCCCTCGTTTATGTTAAAACGTGTACTATAAAAACTTTCCGACCTTTACGTAGTAATCCATGTATAAATAATATATTATAATGTAATTGCCATTTTAAATACATAAAGGGGCCAGATTTATATTGGCGGAGTATGAAATAAAATCGTGGGGTAGCAAGGGCATTTTAAATAATAATTTTAAATCAGTTGTAATTTAATAAAACGAGGGAGCATTGGGTGGTTCATCAATAAGTAGAAATGCATTAAGTGATCAGTCGATAGTGTAATTGTATTAATGCGTTCATATAATGAAAAAAAATCAAGAAAATTATACTTTTTTTTTTTTTTTTTACAAATTTCCCATAGGGGTTGCGACCTCGATAAAAATAGCGGGTTAGCCGTTGATACCCCGCGCTACCCCATAATGATGCCTATGTAACATACGAGTGATCGTTTTTAGAATTTATCAGTATCTGATGTAAGTTGAACTTTTTGGTCGGATATCAGATTTAAGTGTACCTATGTAAAATTGTAAAATCAATGCTTCTAAAAAAAAAAAAATTTTTTTTCTATTCGAAAATCTACGCGATCCGGAGACGATATCTAGAACGCGGTATAATAATTGTCGAAAATCGGACGCATAAAAGGATACAAATTATTTACTGTGACGAGGACTAAAATATATAGCGGCGGAGCACAAAAACGTCGTAGAAACGAACGAGAATTCTTTAAATTGGATACACGAGCGAATCGATTTATGTATTATTATTATTACAATAGATTTATTTCGAATTTATACTATAGTTACGTTCGTTCGGAAATTACACGAAATTCGAACTTGAACTATTAAGTAATTCGTAAAAAATAAACACGAATAAATGTATATATAGGTACTGACTGTTACGAGCAAATCACACTAGTATTTAATCAATTTTGTTTTGGCCGATTCACGTTGTTGTATTATTGTAGGTACTATAATGTTTTTTTAAACGTTTTTTTTTTTTTTTTATTATATATTTCTTTTTTATTTTATAAATACAGAGTATACAGACTATACAGTAATACAGTTATAGAACGACGAAAAAATTGAAATATGTACTCGTTGGTTTCTTTTTTTTTTTTTGATATTGTTATTGTTATTATTGATTTTATAACTATTATTATATATTTTTAACCAATGTCGGTTACAGATATAGTACCTATTGTGTATTTATTCCGTTTAAAAAAAATATTCGTATGTTTATACCGTGACTCGAGTATAGATTGTATACATTACGTTACCGGTCAGGGTTACAGAACTCTGGAAGATTAGCGCTGCGGTTATACCGCAAACCGTTAAAAAAAAAAAACGCATTTTTTATTGCGTGCCTATATTATAACAGTTGTTGGGGAATAATACTGCGACGGAAAACAAAACCGATGCCCGGTTTGTACGGTGATTTGTCGAAAACAGTGTGATTACAAGAGATTACAATATTAATATTCGTTTTTCGCCGGCCAGCGTGAACGTGCGTAACAAAAATATCGCGAACTGACTATTCCAGTGGTTCGCTTTTTTGATTTTGAAATCCAAATTAGCGGCTCCCTTACGAATAACGATAATACTATAAATACATTTATTGCATTATACTCTACTATACCTACTATAGACGTGGCTTCCTTGATACTAAACCACGACCGCCTCTGGGAGCCGCGACGCACATGTTGAAAACCACTGCACCATTGAATTTAATGTATTCAAAGTGGCGCTTATTCACAAACCTTGAGGGTACGACGTCGCGCGTCCGACATTCGACGCGGTCTCAATGCAAATTTTTTAAACGCAATCGTGAACACGGAAACACGGAAATATTCGGATTCGAATTTCGGACCGTGTACGTCCGGAATTCAAATTAAAAAAAAACCACATAAAACCGTGTTTTTCCGAAAAGTAAACAGTATAACTCCCCGGAATCGGGGTATTAGGGAATACGCGGTCCGGATTTGGGTTTTCGTTAACGAATACGGCCCGGCCGCACACAAGTACGGTCCGGGAGGTTATAGTAATAATGTCCGCGGATTATAATATTATCGTTACAATATCGTTACGTTATATTATTATTATTGAAATCGTCGGGGAGTTTTGTCTTACATTTCACATACCGGTCACGTTTTCCGCCCGCCGCCGTATAGCTATTTAATATTATAACAACAATAATCTCTTTTTATTGTACGCCTGCGCTATACTACCGTTATTATTAAAAAAAAAAAAACCCGACCGATCCAACACACACGCGGACTGCACAGGGCGCTGGCCCGCACCGCCCGGTATAACCGTTTAAGAGGCGTGTCACACACACTATCGTCGTACCGCTGCGCTACCACCACTACCACTACCACTATACACTACCGCTACACTACCACTACACTACTTCTACACTACACTACTACTACTACTACTACTACTATTACTACTACTACTACCGTATACCATTCCATACCGGGCGTAAACAGTCACATCTATATACTTCCGAAACGATTCTTCGGGGTCCGTCGAGCGTGACCGCGCCGCTCCGCAATCGGATCGTTTCGTGCCTCTGACCACGTATACATATATATAATGAAAAAATATAAACGCATAAAGGCCTCGGGGACCGACACTATAGGTTGGCGTCCGGGTACGGGCATGCGTATAAATAATATAATATATGGAGTACCTGCAGTATACGTACGCACTTGTTACAATCGCGTCAGGCCGGACCCTTTCTCGACGAGCCGCACACGCGTCGTATATCATTGTCCGGAAATCGAAAGACTATGTAATACGCAGTATACGTTCCCGTCATTCACTCCTTCCCCCCTCCCGCCGATATTTTTATTACGGTTACGGAAACGCGGCGAAACTTTCCGTTTCCGTGATGGGAATTTTTTTATTTTAAATTACATGTACAGGCGACCGAGAATATTATTAGACAAATCATTTCCATAATATGATACAGAGCTTTCTCGCGGTACCGAGTCCGATTTGGGTGACGACGGATTCGAAAACGATTGTTTTGACAATTTTTACGCAAACGAAGCGAGGAACGTATTGGGTTTTATTATCACGTGTTTTGTGCCTGTAAACAACTTGTCTTTACCTTATAGGAACTTTTTTTAGTACTTTTGATCTATAGTTAGTGCAATGAGAAGGTCATTTTTTTAATTTTTTTTTTTTAATAGAGGTGGAAGAAACTGCTATTTTTTGAAAAATGTTTTTTTTTTTTTTAGTTTTCGGGTAACCTCGAAGACAACGAAAAAAATCCGATTAATAATACTTTGCTCACAATCTTTTTCAGTGAGCAACGGTTTATAAATTAAATAACTCCTTATGTACCTGCTCTTCTGGAACAGCGGCATATCCGTCAGCAGCATCGGAATTTTTTGCACGTTTTCTTCTTTATCATATATTTTCAAGCATTTCTTAATTAAATTTACGTTCAAAAAATACACCGTGAAAAGTCAACAGATATGTTATGAGTTTAGGAAAGTAAAAACCGTTTTTTTTTATTTAATTCGTTAATTTTTAATGTCGAGTAATGAACATAAAATTTATCAATATTCATATAATAAGATGCATATTATTGTATTTTCAAAATATTATATTTCTGGTGCTTTTTTTTTTTTTTGCTATTAAATAGCGATTTTAAGTTTTATATTTTTAACGAGTGAAATTTACAGCTGTAGATCGATTCCGATTAAATTACACGATCATGATTTTCGTGGTTTTAAATTTTACGAGAGTACGAAAAAAGAACCATAACGTGTTTGCAATAACGCGTTTTATTTATAGATGTACTCCATTTGTGAGCTGCGGGAGTGGTCTTAAAATTTTATAGACTCTCTCTGAGACCGCCGTCGTTGCGAATCGTACCCTAGAGAAGTATTGACCTCACCGAAGTTAGGTGTATTCCCAATAGTTTTCGATAAAAATAACCGTGAAAAAAAAAACAAAATAAATTTACGAGGATACTATGGAATAAAAAATGTATCGATTTTATTTTTCGTTTTAATGCGAAACGATTCCTACATACGCGACTTATTAAAAGAAATCATTTCAATTTTTTTCTATATAGATTTGTTTATAATTTTGTAAAATATTTGGATTATTTTAAAGCCTACAGTAAATCTTTTCAAAAGATATTTTTCGTTTCAAAATATAAAATTCTTAATTAGTAACTTCGAAGTATTTTTCATATATATACCCGTATATCCACAAGGTTCATTATAAATTTTAACGTTAACCATTCCGTATACGATTTTTTCATTTTTATTTTTTTTCTATAAGCATTTTAAGTTTGAATTACCTACTCGGTGAAATTTAACAATCTCACGAATCACGACGTAGCTGGTAATTATTATATAGTATTTATTTTTAGGTTTCTTTTGATACATAAAATTTCTAATTCCGTAAGTAGGCATTAAAAGACATGGGAAAAAAACTGGATTTGAGATAAATCGATTTATCGTCACCGCGGTGCACTTAAAAAATAGGTATTCAATATGTTCGTAACGATAAAAATAATACTCATGACAGAAAAAAAAACAACATACCAACACAACAATTATAGAATTTATATTATATTATATAGGTGCCCGTAGTACACAATAGGAAATGTTTTATGGTGATTATGTTACCAAAATTGGTAACCGAATACGTGAAAATAATCGAAAGGTCCGCGGAAAGAACAACAGAACATTTCGTCGTGTTTTTTGTAGTTGTTTGGCGTATTATGGTCGTATCAGGTGGACGTATCAGCCTAAATTGTGTTAATGCAACCCCAAAAAGGCATTTAATACGCCACATGCACATGCCTGGGTTAAAAATATTCGTATAGTGTGTACAGCGAAGAAATGTAGGAATAGTAAACGTTAACACGTCGAGAGCCACGAAGTTTTTGCCATGGATTACTTGTGGAAAAAATGGAATAATTCGGGGAAAACGATTGTTCAAATGACTTGGAATTACAAAAAAATCGAAAGCAAAAATTGTAAATAATTTATTCCGCTGCTTTGTGAATATCATAATAAAGTAGCAACACTTATTTGAATACGATGAAAAAATACAAAAAAATTCGACTTTTTATAGAGAATCGTCATTTAAAATTTGAAATCAAATACATTGTGAGACGTAAACGTGATTCTCACTATACGCGTTTTTTTTTTTCAATTTTGACGAGATTCAATATTTGTTGTTATATGGCACGATAAAATGAATATGTCGAAAAACACCCTCAGCGCTCAACGCGTTTTCAAATCGAATTTTTTCGAAATTGGAAATTTGCGACTTTGTACCGCTGCGTTATTTCCCCGGGCCTTTCGACCGCGTACACATACGTTATAATATATTGAAATCAATTTTACCTTAAATTCGCAATTTGGTTCACTCGTTCGGGTCCCGAATGAAATCTGCAAACACAATAATTAAGTATATTTTAATATAAACGAAATGTAGAACGAAAAAATCGAGAAATACGGTTGGTTTTAGATAAAAAAAAAAAAAAATACGAGGTAGATTACTTTTTATTCCAGTCGATGACTTTACACACGCGTATATATATATTATGCTAAAATAAAAATGTATTGTATATCACTACGTACTGTATAACACTATGCACTTGGCGTCGTATTATACTTTTTTTGTTGTACACGGGTATTCGATGGGAAACACGAGACGTTGCCGAAGACATTAGACATCGACAAAGACGATATTTTTTTAACGCAATTTCGGAGACGCTTACATTTTGGCGAAACACTCGAAATTGTGTACCGTTTTGCGGCCGAGAATCGTTTTCGATTACGTTCTGACAACGATTCCGACGATGAATTTTCTTTAAATTACAACCAGGGGGGGTTGTTGGTGAGGAGGCACCAACTTTCGAAATATGGTTTTAATTTCGAAGTGGTTATAATCGGTAGGTTATTATTGACATCATTGTCCTAGTACTTTTAAAAATAATAACAGTACGGAAAAACCGACGACAACGTTAACAACGACTGAGGAACACCACCGGTTTCGGGGACAACGAATAGAATTGAAATGTCGGGGGAAATATTTCGCGTAGTTTTTTTTTTTTTGTTTGATTTTCAAACGGATTGCGAGCAATGATACGACACTGGATCGCCGTGAATCAATATCGTAATAATAATAATAACAGTTGAATAACGGGTCCCAAGAAACGCGGGCGGGTAAAAAAAAAAAAAAAAAGTTTTCGACTCCGCCGTCGTCAATCACTGCGGCGATGTCGGCGCGCATTGCATCGGACGAACGTCGCGGCGTATATTTTTTTCATATATAATAAAACGCAAATATAATAATAATGCGTTATTGTTGCATGACGGTTTTTTTTATTTTTTTATTTATTTTTTTCCATTCCGCTGTAACGTTGGCAATTTTTTTTATCTTCATAAAAATCGATCGTGTTACTCACAATATACATAATATTATACTATTATTATGTGTATATACATACATACTCGTCGTCGTTCGTCGTACGCTAATAAGGAATACGTACGTACAACTGATTTTTTTTTTATTTTTTTTTTTTGTTTTCTCTTATAAATTCCGTATACACGAAACATTTCCGTCATGTTCGAAATCCTCGCGATTCGATCGAGAGTCTGCGCGGGCACGAATTCGTTTTACGTGCGACACACACATGTTATATTTTATACGTATATTCGTGTCATTTGGACATTTTTTTTTTTTTCCCGTTATCGAGTTAAGTAAGTAGGATAGTTTATACGTATATAGAACGAGGAAAATAAAATAATAAATTGTAATAAATTCGTAATATCGAAATGCCGACTTGTGTACTGTTGCTGCTGCTGCTGCTGCTGCTGCGGTCGATCGTTTATATTAAATCGATTCGTATCTCGGTTCGTTTTGGTCGCGAAAAAATAACCAATAGTAATATATATATATATAATTTTTTTTTTTTTTTTTTTGTAGTCCGCGCGGATACAATACAACGAAATCACATCCGCAGATATAGGTTTACTTTTTTTATAATAATAATAATAATAATATCATTTTCCGCGTGTGTCCGATAAACCTTGACCGATCAGTCGATCCAATTCTATTTGTATATCATACGCTATACATTTGTATTGTGTACCTATGTGTATTTCGTTCGTGACGTGTACTGCAGTGCGTACACGTTATACTGCAGAGAGATGGGCAGGATTTTTTTTTTTTTTTCCATCATCATTCCATATGCTCTCCGTCGTCGCATAACAACAACAACAACAACAACGGCAATAATAGGTAATAGTATACCGATAATAATGATAATGACAATATGTAGGTTTCTAGAACTGTATTACTTTTTTAAATAGATCCGACGGTCGTGTACACGTACACAGGCACCAATATAATAACAATATACCAACGTACTGGCGATGATGTGCGGTACCCGTATGCGAAATACCATTCCGAACGACGGCGGCGTCTCGTTTGTTATCATAATTTTCGCGCACGGTCGGCGTCCCGGATTTCGGGGGAACGCGGCGTTTTTTTTTTTTATTTTTATTCTGTTCGTCGATGTGCGTAATATATTAGGGCGCTCGGACCGTTTTTAAAGTATCAAAAAAAAAAAAACACGGGACGTTTTTACAACACGTTAGTTGTAAAAAACTCGCGCTTGTAGTCGTATACTTTTGGCCGGTAGGTACGAGAACGTTTGACAGACTTTCGGAAGGGGCTACGGGGACTACGGTAAGATTTAGCGGGTATATAGCAGTCCCTATTATCGGATCCGAGAAAATTCCAATCAACAAAAACACATTTTCGTTTAAGCGTGATAAAATTGTGCGCGAAGTTCAAATTTCGAAACAACTATAATTACTGTAATGACCTAAGTGTACGGATTACGCAATGATTAAAAACTAAAGTACAAATTTCGACCTACAACCCACCTACGACTGGTATTACTTAGGCATTGAAATTAAAATTGTTTATCGTAAATTTGTTGGAAAATGTAGATCGAAAAACGTAATTTGATGGATTTATCAGATTACGGCCAGGGCCAAAAACCATTTACATAATGTTAAATCAGATTCATATAATTTTATCCTCTAAAGGGTACATAATAAAATGTATAAAAAAAAATAATAAATAACGTTTTTATGAAATATTGGACATTTAGGTTTTTTTTCTAAAATTTCCTAGGACACGGGATACTTGGCTAAAATAAATGACGATCCTTTAAAATGCAGGACTTCTGAGCACCCTATAGTATAATTTGAACCGTCGACATAGTTTTTTGTTACTATACCCAAATAGGTATCTCCGTCATAATATATCCTATTGAAATATTTTTGAAAAATAAATGCACACGCCTATATTATATCGATTAACGTACGAGTTTGGTTTAATTTAATAAAAAAAAAAATCTTACGATGGTTTTTAGATTTAAGCTGTAAGCGAAACGGTGGCATTTCCGCTTTCGAAACGTTGATATTCATCGAATCCGGCCGACTATAAATCATTCCGTCCATCAATCGATTTGTGAATTAATCGAGATGGAATAATAAAAATTAAAAACCGAAAACGCATCGTTGCAGTGTATTCGCTAAAATCTAATATTATTATTATATTCATAATGTATATTTTAATACCCGGGCGAGATTATTTTAATAGATTTGTATATTTTTAATCCGACAATTAGAAAACACGTTTACCCATCAGGAGTTTATTTTAAAATAATAAAGCGGGTAATCCGAATTAAGTATTTTTTAGTATTATTATATTCATGTATACGCTATAAAATATCGATTTCTCTCGAGCGGACATCCTTGATAAAAAAAAAAAAACATCGAGAGTCGTCAATGCATTTCGTCGGTTTATTTTTCGAAATAAAACGCGCGTGTGCTTGAAAAATTCTAGAATATACGACACTGAACGCGGTACGGCACCTCAGGTTATAAATACCTATAAAAATACTAATACGGTTGCTCATTTGGGTATGCGCGCGTCGATATTATTTCAAAAGCGGTTAAAACATGTGACGCAATCGGCTGATGTGCAACGCGCTGGCCAATAATTATTTTATTTGAAATATCACATATTGTATTAACATAAAACCGTTGCCCCGCCGGTGAATTATTATGTGTATTCAATACGAAAACGTTGTGATTTCACCGAGATTGCGGAATTTGTATATTTTTTTTTTTTAGATTGGATTTATCCTGCCTGACCGTCTCTCGTATCAACTCCGTGTTCATAATATACAATTTACGATATTTTAATGAAAACATTTTCAATATGTTTCGCTGAACGGCGTAATATGCAGTCCGACGTTCGACAGTGTGTGGCGATTTTCAGATATACGTTTTGCTCTAAATACAAAAAAATAGTACTTGTACATAGGGAATTTTTAAGCTAAACGGAACACCGAGTGTGCGGGATTTTTAATAAACAGAATAAAACATTTATTTTTTTTATTTTTTTAGATTCGAGCGAGCCAGTCAAACGACTTATTCAACCCGTAATCACATTTTGTTTAAACGCATTTTAAGGAGTGTTAGATGCAACGCATTTCGTGAATCGTCATTATTTATATTACGCTCCATTGGAAATATTATTTCGGTAATTAAAATCAGACACGGTCAATTAATTTCCCACTTGACATTACAGCAGAATTACACACACCCACGACTCGAGTGAAATAAGTGAACTACTCTCCTCCCTTCCCCCCCCCAAAAAGAAGCCCATGTAGTAACAACAATTCACTCATCAAGCACTCTTGTTTTGTAATAGCCAAACTGAAATAGGCGAATAGAATAGTAAAAATTTAAAGATTTAGTATCCAACTGCTTATTATATTTTATTGTGTAAGTGGTTTTTAAATATAGTTGTATTGTCGCTAACAATGTTCAGACATCAAACATTGTACTTATATTATGCGAATTTATTCGCATGAGAATTAATCTCTCTGCACAAAGATCATCAGTCTTTATCACCAGTATGGTCATCAGTGACGTAGAAATAAATACAGTAAAGTAGTTATTAAAGTTAATTTGTTAATAAAACGAGATTGCAGAAAATAAGAGAAAGTTTATAAAAACTCATTAGGTAGGTAAATTACATTCTTCTTATTCTTGTTAAAAATTCTAAAATTAATTTGTTGCAGTTCTCAATACCTTCCTGCTGTATGTACATCGGTTCTTTTAGACCCTTTTCTTTATGCACGTATTTAATTATTTAGATTATATGATCTGCCGTTGGTATTTCTATATCCACACACAAGACTTTTTTTTGGGGGGAGGTTCACAAATTTAAACTTATTTACTAGTTTGATAGCCGTTCTTTACCTCATGCATCGGTTATTCATTTATGTAGTAAAAACATATTATAATATGCTAAGTTAAAACTAATAAATCAATTTAATATGTACCTGTAAGCAACGATAAACCATTGCTTACGAAAATACGATTCTGATCGGAGTTCAGTTGATAGTGATGCTTTGTTAACAATATATATATCTATATATGTGATTTTATAGTAACATAATTAAATAGGCTTTACATATTTTCTTTAATAATATTTGTATAATGTTGTAACGATTTTCCCAGTTTTTCTACGTTTTTCCCGGGTTTTCACATTTACTAGGAAAACTTTTGGGAAAATCAAAATTTGACTACTTTTAAGTACCTCACTAATGAAATTTTCTTTTAGATACATTGTAATCATTAAAAGCTGGAGCAAATTGCTGGTAGAAAGTTGTGCACAGGAAAAAAAAATTGTAATATTTTAGTAATATATTTCGTACATTTTCCCGTTTTTTTTTTTTTTTTTTCGGTTTTTCAAACTCGATGAGAAAACTCTTGAGAAAATCGAAAAATGACTACCTTAATGCACCTTCCCCACGTCGATTCCCTTTCAGAATAGACGCTACACTTAGAAATCCGCTGAGCAAGTCTTCTAGTAGAAAAGTTGCGTACAGATAAAAAATAAACATCTTTGTAAAAACAAAAGCTTCTACGCTCCACTCAAAATCGGAAAAGTCTTTACGCGAATATGTAATAAGTATACACGACGCGGAGTGGTGACGCATACGCGCAGACAATCGCCAATCTTTATCGTTTCTGCGGGCTAGACAGCTTATTGCGGCCGATGCATGCACGCACACGCGTGACCGTCGCCGTTGTCGTCGATAAATTACGTAATTACATAACAGTTAAGAATTAATTAAACGCGTACCATTTCGAATACATAATGATAATATTGTTCGAATTAATTTCCAGTCGTTAAACGACAATTCGCAGAGGACCGCGCCCTGTATGCGCCCGGCAGCTGTGCCGTACTTCGCCGCGTTAATTATTATTATCCGCTCCCGCGACTTGCGCGACCGCTCCGGATTTCATCAATCTTCCGGGCCAAACAGACAGTAACAACAATAACCGTTTCGTAACATGCCGCACAGAATTGACATCGCCATAATGCGTTTATACAGAGCGGCTGACTATATATCTATATATAGACGGTCATAAGATAGATAGTACGTGTCTAACGATTGAAGAGAGTGGATTTGCAGGACTTATTTCGATACACACGGTTTGATTAGTGAAAAATTCGAATTATATCACGTGACGAAGAATCGCTTTTCGTTTTGTCGGCGTTTTCATCAATATTCTACGTCTTTGATTTTTTTTTTTATTTTCGAAATTAACATTTATAAAATACACAATTTTTTTTTTTAAAAAAAAAAAAAGAAAAAATGTATTTCGGGTGATTATGCAAATTAAAAATCTACGATTTGTCTATGAAATACACTCCCATCACATAGACGAAGAGCCCACGACGTAAATTCAACGTCGTTTTCATTAAAAGATTTGATAATCTGCTTTATTTCACTAAATATTTCTAATTATGAATCTTGAAATCTGGTGGTGCTTGGTTGGCGCGCGTGGACAGGGCACTTAATTGAACACCGCTTAAATTGCACTGAAGTTACGTTAGTGATTAGAATTAAATGATGGCATAACTTGTCAAGATAATTGTTTACTCGACCACACCAAAGTAGTTGATGCTTTTATAGAGCCAGACAAAGTCAAACTTTCCGAAAATTGCACGTAACTCACGTCATTTTTATTAAAATCTATACCAAAACCAAATTATAACACTAAAAATGTAGATTACGAATACAAAAAGACAGGCTGAATATTTTGATATTTTACAATTAACAGAACACATACTTTACTTACATACATTTTTTAGTTCTTCTGTGTTTTTGAAATCTTCGATTAATATTTACGGGAACAATTATTGTTATCTATGGGTTTTTTTTTATTTTTTTTTACTTAATAACGCGGATTACTAAAATCCGCGTTATTTCGATAAACAAAAACAACTATTTTAGTCATCAAAATAAAAGATCTTTTGTTGTTTTTCTATTAGACAAATATTTCTGGTAGAAAACGGTAAGCGTAAATATTTAAAATAATAAAATCGTAGCACCGTAAACTTGTCAGTTGTCGTTTTTTTCCGGGTTTTCCTAATTATTAATAAAACAGTAAATAAAATCAAAAATCGAATAACGTAATCGCAAACCAAATTAAAAATTTAACAAAATTGGTTTCTTGTCGTTTTTCTATTTGAGCAATATTTATAAGTGAAAAACATTTGTAATAATGGAATCGTTGTTGCCATAGTTTTTATTAGAAACCCAGAAGGATACAAACATAACTAGCTTGTAAAATATATTGTAGTTGTTGATCAATATTATCAAAATCTCAAATATTCCCTAACGTATTGAATACTCTCTAAATTCTTGATTCTATGATTCTTAAATTTATGCTTTTTTTTATGTAAAATCAATTTTTTCCTCTGAATTTTATGTTTCATGAATCGTGAAGATGTCTTACTCTCATTTAACTGCATATTCTAGAAACGATTATGTAAAATCAAAAAAATCCGTCCTCTAGTAATCAATATATATATATATATTACGTTCAAATAATTACATAATATTGCTAGTAGTAAAATTGTCCACAAGAAAAACAAAGGCCGTAATATTTTTTAACTAATATCTACATTTCTTACATTTTCCCGTTTCACCTTCGGTTTTTCGCATTTAGTGAGAAAATTCTTGAAAAAAAACGAAAAATAAAGTACCTCCACCACCGGTTTCCTTTTCGAAAAGGTGCTACACGTAAAAATGGGAGCAAGTTCTCTCGTAGAAAAGTCGTCCACAGAAAAAAAAAAATAATCATCTTTGTAAAACCATAAGCTTCTTCGCTCCACTCGGAATCTAAAAACGAATGTATTTTTACTTTTTAAATTGTTGTGTAATCACTTATCACTAATCACTTATCGCTATTGATGATACCACAAATCATAACCGGATATAATCATCACGGTAACATATATTCACTTCCGGCACGCGCCAAACCACCTAATGTCCAATCCATGTAAATATTATCTATGGAAAAAATCCGTTATATTTTGTTTGAATTTGGGAATAACTATGAGGGCATCTAGTGTAGGAGTGTGACGACGGGTGGTATGATTTTACAAATTTCGTGCATCTATATTTCTATTTGATTTGTATTGAAATATTTCTAATGAAAGTAATAAATGTGATATGGATTCTTCTGGAACAACGAAACAATCGTTATTGTTTGTGAGTTTAAAACGGCCCCGTCGGCCTTCGCGTCGGTATCAATAGAAGATAACTAATGAAAAAATTATATTTATTGGGGTGTTGCGTGGAAATTATAAGAATATTCAGAGTACGACTGTGGCGGCTGAGCGGCAGTGTCCTCGGATGTCTTAAACTACTTCTATATTCGGCCCATTTTGAAATATTTTATTTGTAAACAATATAATATGCGTCCCTCGAACAGCGACCGCTCCGTTGTGTTCATTAAATTATTACCATTTTTAAATAGAGAACGCCAAGTATACGGCCGCATTCGAATATTTTATTCACACTGTTATAATAATATAAATAATAAATCGATACATCGATATTGTGTGTGAGTATAACAGTACAAATCCGCAGCAGAGAATCAGAACAAATTAATATCGATGTGATGCTACGATAATAGATACGAAAAGAGGATGACGATGCATTTTTAACGACTTGGGTTTTTGTTTTGATCGTATCTTGACGGTTAAGTGTTTTGAAACAAGAAGATTGTCGAAAGAACCGTTGACGGTCAAATATTGTAATCAATATATACAAGTAAGGTACTCAAAATGCCAGTTTTCAATAGAAACACGTTTCGTTCACTCCGCGGTGAATACACGACGAAAATGCTTTACGATAATTTCACCTTGTCACTCCACTATTAAACCAACCGCTTTGTCGAAGGTTAACGCCTAAAATTAACAAAAATTAATATAACTAACATGTTCTGATTATTTCATCGCTCTGGTAAACACACCTACGAAAAAACCGTTTAATTATCAGCAGCTCGTGTATTCGAAACGAATTATGTTTGAATTCATCGATCAACGTTTATATATTGGAGTAGGCATATATTTTATGTTATCATAAGAATCTTCAATGTTTTAAACTTACTGTTTAATGGAAAAGACGAAAAACACAATGAATTTTTTTTCAAATTAGCCATTTTATTATTTTAAAGTTTTCTAACAACGTTTTTTTGTCGCATTTGTATTGCTTGTTAGAGTTGAAATCAAATTTTAACGAAATTGTAAATATTACGGCCTTTTAAAACATGTATACCGGATTTCGCTACGAATCGTTTTCCGTTTAGTCTTTCTAATAATTACAAAAAACCAAGGAAGAAACGTAGGAAAAACGTGAAAGGTTGCGGCATAATTGCAGTTTCATTATTTTCGGTCTTTTCTTTTTTTGTAATGCGGTACGAAAAATAACTATAGATACCTTGTAATTTTTACAAAATAATTTTATTGATATTTTTGACGTTGTAAAATTGTCAAAATATCATGGCGATTTTTGAATTATTTAATGGCGTTTGATATTTTCCAGTGATATTTTGGGTTTTCTGGGGTTTCGTGTGGATAAAATTGCCTGGTCAAACAGAAATGCTTTAAAATTCAATACGACGTTAATTTATTATAAGTCGTACTGAGTGGTAATAGAAAAGCCGAGCTTAATGTAGTGATTAATAGGCATTTCAAGTTAAAATTTTAACGAAAATAGTAAAAATTACGGCACTTCAAAACGTGTTTAACCGAACTTTGTTCGGAATTTTTATGACATACACAAGTGTATATAGGTATACACGTATTTACGATCGATAACGATTTTCTTTTCGTTTTCTCTTTTTATTAAACGGCCAAGGCACAATAATATACCGGAATCTCAACGTATACCTATTTATAGACGGTCGTCTCTGACGCAAGTTCATTTCTGAACCAATTATCGAACAGTTTCGTTTCCCGAGAAGATCATACTATACTAGTGTTATGCTCAGTGATTATAGGAATTTCGCATTTTTTTATGCATTCTATTTTTGACGTGTTAAGTTTTCGACGAGATCCGCTAGTGTTATTTTATTGATTTACACGACGGGGCAAACGACCAAGTGGCGCTCATCACCGTCAGGTTTTTTTTTTCGCCGAGTTATTACATTCAGCTTTCCTTGGACGATTGGATTAAAAAGTTTAACAGTTAAAACTTAAAAAAAAAAATTGTTAACGTCGGAAATGTCAAATTACCATAATACGGGGGTGTCCGGCCCTAACAACGGCAATGTTTACACATGCGAATGATTTTCTATACTTATTTTTCACAGCAGAACACGCAATTCCACGAAATAGCATACCTGAAGGGTTTTTATAGCCCTCGGCTGACCTGCGCGGTGTAGGACCGTGACGTATAATATTAGCTATAGAGTTTTAAAACCGAAACTTTATACCGTACTGAACATCGATCGTGTATACAATAGTGAAACACAATTTTCGTAAACATTTATCTTGGTATTTGTTTTTTTCGATTAATATTATGTCTCGAATATGTCGTCGTAATAAAAAAAAGTGCTCGGAGAACTAGAAAATTATTAATATCACTTAATGTAGATTCCCGACACGTTTCACTAGTAAAAAACTAATAAATATTTACTAGATATACGAGCGCGAATATTTTCTCCGTACAGTGAGAGGATTGAGTGGTGAAGGAAGAATCCGAGGCATACAATAATTGTCGAAGACCGAGTTTAATAATTTTCTGCAAACTATATATCATAAAAACAAGCGTCGGATAAAAAATGTTGTTACGGCGGTAATAACGTAAGGGAAATATACTCTGCAGAACTATGATTCTATGAAGGAGAACGGTCAAAAGACGAGAATTTCTTTTGAACCATTTGCCGCCGTCGATCCCAAGTGACTCGGCGTGTTCCTACATATAATCAATTTTTATATAAGCACGCGGATGTAACTGTCTACAAAGTTAAATGCATAATTTATCGTTCTGTGTTTTATTTTTTTTTTTATATACCTGGGGAAATCAAATGGTCTTTTTTTTTAAAGATCGAACATTTTTCAAAATGTACCTAATAATTCGGTATAGTCGTTGGAACGTTCGAATTTCTCTCCGCGCAATATTTTCGTCGTACACCAGCCTAACAAACCGTGACATTTCTTTCCTCTTTCTGATGTATTTCCGTGCTTAAACCGAGACGAGTGCGCGGTGTTGCGCGCCGGCGACCGAACAACGGAAAACCGCGTTAAACTACGCCGGAAGTAAAAGAAAAATTCGATCTCGCAACCCTGTCCGTGCCGGCACGCCCGCTGTTCTGCGAGGTGCGCGAAAAGACACGGAGTACACGGTTAACGGCAATATCTCTGCGCAGAGCCGTCTCCACAGACGGCGCGAAACTTCGTTTCGGTTAGGCGATGCCGCGAAGAAATTACGCCGGACGGCCCGAGCAAAACCCAAAAACAACGAGCCGTTTCGAACCGTCGGCGCGACAACAGTCGGCGTCGAAGTTGGGGCGTCGTCACGTGCACACGACTACCGGAACGCGCCAGATGCGCGCGATTACAATACCGTGGCGTACGCGCGGAACAGAATTTTCGAGTTTCAAACACCGTGCGTGCGCCATGACGCCATGCCGCGGCGCTTGAAGTTTCGCCAGAACAAAAAGGTTGCAACGTCGTCGCGGAACATCGGTACACGTTGGCGCGTATCGTTCTATAAGTCTCGAGACATTGCGGCGCCGTTGTTTTTCGCGCACGCGTCGTACGCACGGAAGAACAACGCGGATTTGGAAACGGCGCTGAACAACCGCACGCCGAGTGTTTTAACATTACCGGTGCTTTTGGACGGGATCCCGGCGTTCGTATTTCGTCGGCCGACTTCGAACGTAATGTTTCCTTAATGACGCCGATTATATTGTTATGAATCTCTATCGAAGGTTTCATAAGCATATACGCAACACGAAAACCGTTTGAAATGCACAGTGACGGCGCGGCAACATCTGTGGAAATAATCTCTTTTTCCCATGATGCTTTGCATTGTTCGAATCCGAGTCGTCCGGAGAATCGCACTGATAGAAAAAAAAAAAAAAAAAAAAAAAAACACTTTCTTCGACTACGCGTATAGCGAGGAGCGATTCCGAGCTGTGGGAGACGCGATGTTCGATTCCGAAATATCGTGTGTATTGTTTTTAATTGACGCGCCTTGTTTATAATGCGATATAATGACGTTTAACTACCTGCACGTATATTATAAATACTGTATTTTCTCATAAATTTATTTAAACGGTAAGGTATTTATAAAAAAAAAAAAAATTAGTCGAAATTAGCGAATGAATGAACAAAAAAAAAAAAAAAAAAAAAAATCTACAAAAACTTGATTACTTAGGAACACATAGCGAACTTGTGTAATGTTATGTTATTCTATGTAATTACATTACAGAGAGAAAAAAAAAGTTTTTCTTAACAACAACTTAAATACTATCACGATAATTACCATTGTTGTTTAATAAAACACACACACGGTTTGAAAAAATACATTTCTGTATACTTAAAGAAATGAAATGTATTTTACGCGGGCGGTTTCTTTTTTTTTTTTTACACTATCGCATAGAACTACGCACTGCGTAATACGAACTCGGAATAGAAGAAAATATTTACGAAAATGTATTTCGTCCATTAATCTGCGCGCGGCCCACACAGTGTGTATACATCGCTGGTAAACATATACTGACAGATACAGAATACAGTTTTGAATTATGGCGGGGGTATTTTTTTTTTTTTTGTGTAAAACTTGAGTCTGGCCAATACAGTGGGCGTATAATATTTTCACGTCTATTCGTGTTTTTTAAATGCGAAAATTCGATTTATATAAACGATACATATATTTCGGGGGGGGGGGAGGTGGCGGGGTACACTTTATCCGGTATACGGCATATTTCATCTCGATAATAAGACATCGCGTATCACGTAGATACGAATAAACGAAGTGCTCATAAATTACTGTTATACCCTAACCCTAAGTGCCTATTATACCTATTACACTTGTAACGGTTGAACCCGATAGCTTATTATCGTTGGGGTCGCCGTCATACATTTAAGTCGTTTGGCGTAATCCCGCAGAAGCACTTGCAATGTCACTGTATTATTATTATTATTATCATTATTATTATTGTATATAGTGCCAGCGTCCGTGAAGCTTAGAAATTTTGCACGCTCCCGTTTGTATTTGTACATTTTCTTTTTTCGTTTTCGGATTAAACGTATCACGAGAAGCCGTACGGACGCTAAAAACCTCGTTGCGCAGATAGAGTTAGAATGTTTTTTTTTTCTAGTACGCTGCCGACGGTATTAAAAAAGAAGTAAGTGAGTAAGTGAGTTTTGCGAAGCTATATAATCGTGTTTGAATTTATTTTACGATACCAACGAGCTGAAATTCTTTTATATTATTATTTTTTTTATCGTTATAATATTGTTGTCAACGAACGCATTGAATCGTCGACAGTGTGTACGGCTCGTTTAAATAAAATTATGCAAGACGGCGTAAATACGAGTAGTTTTGGACGGACATTGTAATTTATACTGCAACTTTTACCGTGTCGACGGTTTTACGGCGGTTTAATAGATTTCGGTTTATTATTCGTTATGACGTTATGATAATCTGGTATTTTCACTAACGCTGAACGTTTCCTGAACACATAATTTAAGCACTCGTTTAAGTGTTTACTTAAAAAAAAAAAATAATAATAACAACCTATGTTATAATATTAAATAACATTTTACGATTTAAAGAAACTGCAGAATATAAAAAAAAAAAAAATCAACTAAAATGTTGTCTACAGAAATTATAACGATTTAACTATATACATGCATAGATTTGTCAACAAATCACTGTACGCGTAATAGTTTAACTGTTAGGCGATTTACTCAATACTTATTATTATCTAATAAGTAAAAAGTTAAGTGGGTTTCCGAGATTTTCTGGATTTTCTTATAGATTAGGTCAATTTGGCCCGTAAAAATAAATAACAGTTTATAATAACGGCGAGCGATTAGATTTTGTAACTTTACATAAGAATTCTATGTGAAAAAAAAAAAACGATTTTCCAAACACCGAGATTTTTATTATACACAGTCCTGAATTTTCTATGAAATCGTATTGCGTAATAAAAATACATTATCGAATAATTATTTATTTTTAAATTAATTTTATACAGCTCAATTATACGATTTTATAATATTGAATTATTATTATTATTATTATAATCGTTATTAGTTATTTACATTATTATTACAGACGAATCAATTAAAGTTTATATTTTATAGTAATTTACGTAGGCGTTTGAAGATTAACTCGAAGTTTAAGTGTCTTTTTATCGTTAAACTCGTTTAGAACCGCTCGCATTTGTAATACTTGCAGCCACGGGATGGCGGCTACCATACAGGCGCGCAGGAGGTATTGTATGTGACCGGGAGGCAGCGATTCGTATACATAAAAAAAATACCCGTAGTCTTGGGTCCGTTCAAAATCATCCGAAAAGAACGTCACGCCAGATATCCGTAATCCGATACGAACAGGATTACGGGAGGCGACCGAGCGTTCGGAAAACATCATAACGCTAATTGAAAAATGTCATTATCAAAAAAAATAAAAAAATACCAACAAGGTATATTCCGATTGATATTCTTCGACCACTCGTGTATAATATTGTATTATAATGCCTAACAAAGAATTAATGTTTCGATAAGATGACGGATCGTGTACGTAAACGCGCGGCGTGCACAGCCTGTGTCCGCGGAAACCCGAACGGTTTCCGCTACTAAAATATCATACATCATACTACGGACGATACCTACAATATTATTGTACTCCGGAGTTTATTTAAATCCGAGGCCGGGATCGATTCGTTCACACGTATATTTCGTATCGCGCGTCTGAACGTTATTACAGCTGCGACGTTGATTACACTCGCACAATACGCCCGCGGACTAAAACCCCCGAAGAAAAAAAAAAAAAAAAAAACTTCGTCTTTCACCAACTAACTGTTCACCGCGTACGTATTATATTTATACACTGTGGCCGCGATACGAATGCGCGTCAGACACCCATACCGTATATATAAATGTACACGGCGTTGTCTAATACTCATCACGTTTCTGTAGAGGTATTAATTTCATCCCGGCGCGCAGAACGTGACCGGGTATCGTATTCGTTTTTTTTTTTTTCTAAATACACGCGCATACATATATTTATTATATTTAAGGAGAGTTTCTTAAAATCAATTTTAAGACGGGTACATCTAATATAAATACAAATCTCGAAAACCTATACAGGTGTTATGTATAATATATATGCGGTACACACACTTACGGAAACACTCGCGGTCCGCTCGGCTGGTAGAGACCACCGTGTGCCTAACGCGCGAGCATATATGCGTATACGTTTCGAAAATTTTGTATGCGCGCGTGATCGTTCGACGAGCATCGCGTCGAAACGAAAAAATAAACAACAATCATTTGATCACGCTGTTCGCTTACCTGAAACAAACAGAAAAAAAAAAACTATAAATAAACCGGTGTAAGCAACGGGGTTGGGGAGGGGGGTGATGGTGGTGGTCATTAAACGTAAATCACAAATGTTTCAAAAAAGTTTATTATCGTTAACCATTGAATTACGTCAACCGAGTTTTATAATTACTTCTCCGCGCGATTTAAATTCAATTACAATTATCCCGCCTAACCTAACCTACCCCGCCGTTTTGATTAGAATCGCAAATTAACGGCTAAAATATATACGCTATTCCACGAGTGACGTGGAAAAAAGTGACGATATTCTAGCTTTTTTTAGGACGCACTATAATGTATTACACTATAGAGTATATTGACTTTGAACGCATATACAGACCACTCACCGGTTAGGTAGGCACTTGTAATTCTTGTACATTCATTCGATATGTTTCTATCCAATTCTGATGTACAGTTAATTAGAAATTACTGATTCACTCGCTTCGTCAGACCACAAACCGAATCAAAAATACCATTCGAGACGCTTGGTACCCCACGATTCAAATAACCCGAATACCAATTAGAGGGAACTTAAGCGCCCGCGTACTATTGATTAATATATGATCGTGTACACTCAGTGTTTACTTGAGAAGGACTCGATTGGCGGAGGAGTTCAGACGAGTTTCGAGGTGATATTTCCTCCGAGCCCCGCCTTTCCTATTTGGGCCGACGACCAACAACTTTATCATATATACACATATATATATATATACATTTTTTGTTTTAGAATTTTAAAGTGTGTAAAAAATACAGCATATTCGAACTAATTCATGCGCGTACGAATTGGAAAAGTTTTAATAAAAAAATATTTACACACAGAATACTTAAAATTATTAAAACAGCGATATGAATATACTTTTCGATTAAAGATGAGTCACGAACTATAATAGATAATCGCGGGAATAATTTTAGGCATTGGCGAATACGCGCATTATATTGATTTATTGGATAGGCACGCCGTTTTCTTTTTAAACGTATGCACACACATCATATTATTGAAGTATGTTATTTTTAATTACGCTCTCACGACGTTCTGAAACATTGTAATAACTTCGCGTACATCACACAGAGGCGAACAGACTGTGGTTGTTGATTGTAAGCCGCAAGTCGAAACCGGTTTCGAAAATAAAGTTCGTGATACGTTTGTGAAAAAAAAAAAAAAAAATACTAATATAATAAGAAGGTATTTGAATTTCGTATCGCGTTCGAATTCGATCAATTATATTTACAATGCGATTTTAAAAATCCGAAAAAAATACCGTTTGTAAAAACGCGATAATGAATTTCGTTGTTGACGACGAAGGTTCTGGATATTATTAATACATTTTTTTAACAAGTAGTCATAAACGATTGTAGTATAGAAGTATATAATAATAATTCGTCACTGTCGCCGCAGTTTACACGGTTACATAGGCTTTTTTTTTTTTTTTTTTTGCTGTTAACCTACGTCTAATTGTAACACAACAAAAAAATCGACTACCAGCAGTTGTACACTTGTTTTTATTACTATGTATATAAAAAAAATGTTGTTACTGTAAAACCACACGGTGTACACGTTATACAATATTAATAATTTAATTTTACGTCCGGTTTTTTTTTTACGATCGTTTTAGTATTGTTGTGAGTATTGTAACAAGACGAACACAATTCGTATATTTTACGATCGAATCGGCAACTCCGCTATAAATCGTTCGACTCTTTTTCACTCGGCCTACAATCGTTTATTATAAATGTATCTTTCGACTTTTTTGAAATTTAATACTCGGTTTAAAGAAAAGAAAAAAAAAACGTTACGTGAAAAATACGAAAACCGTATTATTTAATCTCTATGATGATTATTTGTTCGTTTTAATGTGTACCGTCTGTAACTCAAATCGAATTATAATATCATTACAAACAATAAACGCGCAAACCGAAATGTTTTTTGAGCCATACAGGTAGTATGGGTATTATTGTTATTATTGTTATTATCATTGTTATTGTTTTAAAGATCAATTGAACACCACCGGTATACGTTATGCAATATCGACTATAATAACATCGGTATGTAAACAACGCACGGCTGAACAAACTTTATCGTGTAAAATAATATTACTCTATACTGCAGACAATAATAATAATAATAATATGACAAAATTTAAATTGAATGAACCCGTAAACGTTGTGCACGTTCAATATACCCAATATGTGTGGGCACGTATATTACATTAGTACTGCGGTGTCGGCACGTTGAAAATACGTTATCGTAACATTTTTAGATTCCGAGTGTACCGAAGAATATATTGGTTTTACCTAAGATGTTTATTTATTTATTTAATTATTCATTTAATTTATGTGAACACTTTTTCTACCAGAAAGCTTACACCATCAAGTATAGCACTTTTCCTGAAAGGAAGTGTTCTCTGGGTGGCACTTAAGAGAGGTATTTTTTTTTTGAAATTCTCAATTTGTAACGAGGAAAACCTGGTTCTTTAGGTTAAAAAAAGATTAAAAGATTAAAAATAAGGTTATTGTCATTGAAAACCGTTTTTATATTTTATTCTTTGTTATCATTAAGTTTTTATTATTTTAATATTTTTCAAATAATCTTTGCTGCCATCGAAACGCACATTGTTGTAATAATTTTACCATAATATGACATAATATATACTGTCGACAAAGTAACACTATCAACTGACCTCCGTTCAGAATCGTTTTTTCGTTAGTAATGGTTTATCGTTGCTTACTGATATACATTAAATTCCCGGCTGTATCCTACCTTCCTAACTTCCCACCTACAACAGTGGCTCCACCCACGTGCGAAGTATGTCCGTCCTTTTTTTATTTATAATATTATATATATATATATATATATAATTTTTTTTCAATATACTATATCGAACAAATAACGTATAAACTTTTGGGATTGATCGGTTTTAATAGGCAATACGTTTTAATTTACAATCAAAAATCGTGAATTTGTAACGAACGTATATATTGATATTTTTTTAGTTTATTGCGAGACTTTCGGGGTGGTTTTTTTTTTATAGTGGAAAGTTCAAATTATGTATGTAACGGTCGTCACGGCTGTTTTTTTTTCGTTCATTAAACAAATTTTTGTTTTTTTTTTTCCGATAAACTTTAAAATATGTACATGCATATTCTAATACAAAACTATAATATGAACGTGAAAGATAAACGATTTATCTAATCAATATCTAGTCCACTATATGTTTTGAAAATTTGCCAAACGTAATAGTTCTTTTTACACAATCGATACGGTAACATCGCTAACTGTGATAATACACATTATGGTGCAGTATACGTATGTAATTACAGTTGGATGAGATCATCGTTTATTATCGTGTACGTTATAATATTATATAGGTTAGGTTAGGTAAGTGATGCACACCTATTATTAAGTACCGCGGTATAGTATTTGTACATTATAGGCGCTGTTCGAAATAATTGTAGGCTATTTAATTTCAGAAACAAAAAAAAAAAAATCTCTCGCCTTAAACGTGCGGATATTATACCCAGGAGAAAACCACTTCGAGAGCTATCATACTCGTATATTATTATATTATAATAATAATACCGACGTTGTCGACGGATTAACGCTGTATAGGAAACAATGTATAGTTAGCGTATAATAATGATAATGTGCAATCCGTGTACAAATATATACGCGTATAGTGTGTACTACAAAACTAGGTGACGTTAAAACGGGAGGGGGGGGAGAGAGGGGAACGGGCAAATAAAAGCAAAGGACGAACCGACAGTGCAGATAGTTATACATATTGTATTTGACTACGCACCGTGCCGGGTTGGGCGTTTTACGATTGTTTTAATGGAAACGTTCGCGTTTGTTATTTCATTAGATAAAAATAGTCGGCTATAGAGTCGCTCAAGGGTGTTTTTCTTTACGATTGGAATCTTTAAAGAGAGGGAGAGGGGGAGAAATACGATATATTCCATAATATATTATACGTTCGAAACGGCCGAACGATCTCGCGGATAATTGTACATTACATTAGCAATATAACAATAATAACATGCACAACAACGAAACGGTACAGGCAGCCGTTGCGGTAGGAATAACGGAAATCTCGGATCTCGTGATGGCCGATGCATTTTTATCTATTCCCGTATGGTGATTATCGCCGCCGCTGCAGAGACCGCGCAGGGCCGTTCTCGCAACGTTGCACGCAGAAAAAAAAATCCTTGCCGCCAATTATATTTATTATGTTTTTGCGTATTAAAAAGTATAATTAGATATGCACAATGCCATCGGTACATTATAATATAGCGAGGGCGCCTACTGAAATAACATACTGTTTTCGGTCGTATGTTGATTTTTCTAAATCGCCTCCCCCCACATTATCCTATCGGTAAACTTCTCTGATTCAGACAGATATTTTGCAAGTGTAACCTACACGTTAAAGTGCCTCAACGCACACAGTTTTTGATGTCGCTGTCTGCCTCACGGGTGGTATAGTAACGAAACAATATGGTATTTCGTACGCCAACGATTGCGACTCTTTGAGCGTAGGGGGGCAAGGGGGAACCTATATTCGACTGCAAGGCTCGCGTTAATTACTCTGCTTCGTAAAATATTGTACATTGTATAATTATGGTCCGTTTGCCCCGACCGGAGAGTCGAGATCGTTTAGCTGCGAAATTATTGTTACGTTAAACGCGGAGAGACGGAGACCGTTTACGACACGTCCGAATAGATGCGTATTTATCGAAAAACGTACGATCCATAGGTAATTAAGTACGAAATTAAGGGTTTTTATTTTTTGTTTTGTTTTCAAGAGACAAATTATTTTCGTATATTTTCTCGTGTATATACACGCGGGTATCAGTCTCGAATCCGCGCTAATAATGTAATGGCAGCTATTATGATGATGCAGCGGCGGTTAATGGGAACACAATTAAATTAACGAGTACATTATAACGGTACACTTACCTATACATTATAATTACGCATATTTATCTAAAATTTAAACAGTTGCTACGCACGACTGCAGTATTTGAGAGCACCTATATATATTTGAAAGCATATTTTGCGCTTGGTTTCCGACGGATACGGGACGCGTCCCGAAGGAAAACGTATTTTTAGTATCGACGATATTTTTTTTTTCATTCATATTTGTATCGTATACACACATTCGTAATTGACGTAAATACCTAATGAAAACAAATAAAATGCAAATATTCCAGTTGTAAACGATTTACGTATTTACCGGCATATATTATAATTTTTCTTTTCCCTTTAACAATAATAAAACTGTCGACCAATTGGACGGAGTGTTTATTGGATTATATTTTTATTTTTTACATAATCGCCAATTGTCGTCACCGCGAATCAAACACAAATAGTTTTGTATATAATTTAAAGAAATATATGTTTTATAATATTTTTTTTTTTTTAATACAGATACATCCACTCAACACGATCGTACAGGTCTTCGTAAATTAACACTCGGAATAAATAATAAAATTAGTCGATTTTAGATACCTATACACATTAAATAATTTTAACATTCAATAACAATAAAACCTTTCAACACGGTATTAATTTTGTCAAACACGCACACCAATTCGGAAATATTTACATTTGAATTCGAAAAGGATTTCAAATATTTCGACGATTTTTCGCCAACTATATAATACTACTAAATAATAAACTATATAATAGTAGTTCAATAACTGTATGGATAGCGGACTGTGCGCCTTGAGCAAAAAATGCTCAGACACAAATGGATACCTATATCTGGGAAGAAAAAAGAGATATTTCTTGTTTTTTTTTTTTTTTTTTTTTTTTTTCCGAAAAGCAGTGATTTATCGTAAATAATAACGTAGATAATAATATACGGTTTCGAGTTGAAAATATCTTAAAAATAGACAAATCCTACTCTAAAAATGTATAAAGTTCTAAAATACGGCTTAAAAATACCAACATATGTGGAATAATATGTTGTGCATACAGAATCGTTATGCTTAATACATTTTGGTAAAACCTAGCTATTTTATTTACGACAAACTGATAAAAGTATGTGAATATTCGCTAAATCGACGGAATACACGGGAAAAAAATCTTGAAAAATATATTTTTCACTTCCCGGATGATCCCGAAGTTGTTTTATTTCATCGTACGGGTGAAGGCATAGAAGGCGCAGTCCACTAAGTTAACTCCGTTAACTGTAAACGGTTTCAATGCGTTTAAAAGAACAATATTCTTGTGTATTTCATACACTTGAATCAAAATAATTTGTTTACATTAACATTCAAAGGAATCTAAAATAATTTCCTTCTCGTTTCTCAGCTCGTTCCGTATCTGCGCGTTATTTATACTTCTAATCTTCGCCGGCGTTTTTCAATACATGTTTTGATACCATTATAACATTATATGATATCGGATCGGATATTTTTTATTTTTTTTTTTCACAAGCTCGGCCGCAGAAAACTTCTTTATGTATTATCGCCTACGAGACAATGCGTCCGTAATTACTGCGAGAGTGTATACAGTTGTTGTTGTTGTTGTAGGTATATCGTACGTGATTCCGACTGCGGAGCATATAATAATAATATAGAAAAACAAAAGGATGACCGCCGTCGGAGTGAAAAAGAAAAAAAAAACAAAAAAATACCTCGGTCGAACCAGCTACTTCAGTGGCTCCGTCAAACACAACAACCAGTTCTTATCTCACGGATTCCCAGACACGACGTAGTACCTGTACCTAGTAGCCGCGGCTGCTGTCCTGTACCGTTTGTGGCTTTCCGCCGGCCTTGACTTACGAGGGAGGGTACAATAACTACTACAAATAATAGTAAAAAAAAAAAAAAAAATCCATTCCAAAAACCACTTACGATTTTTTTTTTTTTTTTTTGTACACCTAACGATAGTTTGACGTCCCAATACGTATAGGTCACTACTATAATATATTGTTACGCGGACGAACGTGATTTTTCGATATTTTCAATTTTGTTTATAATACAATATTATGCGCACAGCTATCTTATTCGGGTTTTGTTTCGATTCGCGTTCGAACATTGTTTATACTATTACATTAGGACAGTGTTCGATAATATACATTTTCGTTTTTTTGTTTAAAAAAAAAATTAAAAACATACAATATACATTGTATTATATAACGTTGCCCAATTATTATTACTGAAACAAATCGAATAAATTACAATTCATTATGTGTAAGTTTTTATACTTAACGTCAAGTAATTATTAAAATATTAGACTTAACGTTTTGAAATTAATTATTTATCGAGATTATTCATTTAAACGAATGTATAATACGACTGTGGGCCGTTGAAGGTTGTTAGGTAGATTATCAATGCACATAATAATAGCGTATATATTTATATTTTATTTGCGTTTCTATAACCGAATTGACGGAATTCTCATAGCTACAGATACGATTCGATCTAGAAAAACTAGTTTGATTGTAATTTTATACTACCGTCTATAATATTTTATGTATTATACGGACATTCATTATTATATTACGGAATAAAATTGATAAAAAGCCGTTTATAATATCATAAAGTTTATTATGCTGCGCGATCTGAAACTAATTAGGTATGTAGAATATTTATAATACCTACATTTTGAAAATTAATATACACAAAACATGAAATTAATATTATATAATTTATAGATATTTTATGATAATATCGGTCTTTTTTTCCGTATCAAACATTACACATTTTTTATGCGCGACCTCGAGTCTCTAAAACCACTAGTTTTGACATTAATACCTTCTGCAGTTTCGATAAAAATTTGTCGCGAACTTAAACGGGGCCCGGTATCGTATTTTGCAAATGATTTCTCCGAGTTTTGAAACGTTTAAAAACGATTTTTAACATTTCGATTACCACCCTAAAGATATACGATTTTCCGCCGATTTTCTACCCAAGACCCATTAATGATGAAGGGTTGTGACAGTTTTTACTCTGGTGAATATGACTGCGGGAATAGAGATAACACTCGTTGTTAACTTAATATTTTTCTATCATTTCACACCTATCATTTCGCTTTTAATTGATAAACGCAACATTAATAACGTTCTAGTAGCTCGCATTTAACTACGATTTTTAAAATTTATTTAAAATGATGTTATAATAATAAGTTAATAAAAATCTTACTTTTTTTTTAAGAAATCGTAGAGTTTGTGATAAAAACATTGAAAAACGGAGTTCCATGCGAGTTGTAAAACATCAGGTCGGTACGCGGGATTCGTAATTCCGAAGGTTCGAAATTCGGATCACAGGCGAACAACAATCGATCAGCCGATCGAGTGTTATTTCTATATTGTTCTGTGTTATTACGGAGGTTCCGTTTTATAGAAATTCGTACGATAATATTTTTCATTGAGAGTTTAGTTTTGCCAAACATTATTGTATAACTGAATGACGCGGGACAGCGATTTCGTTCCAGTGATTCATTCTGTAAGTTGTTATATGACGCGTAAGATACGATTTTCATGCGGGCGCAAAAAAAAAAAAAAACCGGGTATCGAGTAAAACTTTTCGAATCCCAAAATGAATAATTCATTGCCGTTGTTGTCGTTGTTTACACAACGTGAAATATTTTCGCAAAAATCATAATACCAATAAGATCAATATATCGAAGTATAAATAATAAGCGAATACTGCAATGAGATCGAAAAAAAATAATACATGCTATCTTAAATTGACCGACTGAGCGCGTGTGTATTTTTTTTTTATAAAGATTATTAATTATCTGATTGTCATGTAATAATATGACCTAATTTTAAAAAAAAGAAATTACGATACGTTCAAAAGGAGGTTCGTTCATGCTCTTATATTTACTGCTCAGTCTGACAAAAGTAACGCGGGAAACACAACGAAAATATCCGTACTTAAATCACAAATTGTAGCGTTTAATTTGAAATTGGAGTTTGAGTAAAAATAACGATATTTAAAAAGGAGAATATTTTCGAGGGGGCAGTACGTCGCTGTTTTTCTAAAATAACGTTAAGCAAAAAAGTCGCAGCCGTGTTAGTTTTCGATTTTTTTTAAATGGCTGTAACTTTTTCGTTTGCCGATATTATTCTTTTAAAAAGCAACGCGTACTACCCTCTCGAAAATTTACGCTCTTCTTTAAATTTCGAATTTCAAACGCCACAATTTATACGTCTTGTAAGGTGTTGTAATTGCGCTATTTTCCGCCGTTCGGTATGCGATACAATAAAAGACACGGTTTAGGATGGAAAATTTCTAAAACTGCTTTATTCGACTCTATTCATTACTATGCTTTGCTAACTTTGTGGAATAATTATAATTGTTTTATTATATTTTGCGACGTGGACGGATATTATAATACGAGTATGACAGCGATGATGACGACGACGGTTGAATTAATATATATATATTATAACCTTGCGCTATTGATGGTCAATCGACACCGCACGCTGCATTATAAATAAAACGAATACTGGCCTTGCCGGGTATTATTCAATTTGATAACGCATAATATTATCGAGTACTTAAATATACGAAAAAAAAAAAATTATAATAATTAAAATAATTAAGTCCGAATCTATTCGATTGGACGTTTTCGAGTACTCCGCCAGTATAGTGTCGTATTTCGATATCTGTACGCTGTTATTATTATGCGTAACTGTGTATGCTAAACGCGTAAAACGTCATCCCGCGACTTCGAAACGCGACCTCTTTTGTCGAACGACAAAACTGCAATGTTTTCGTCGTCGTAATAATAATATTACTGCATTATAATATTATTGTAAAACGCGCCGTCTCTGTTATTGAACCGACTTGTTCCGGTCATTTTCCGTATACAGGTATGATATTATTATGTATTATATACATATACTGCAGTGTCGTTTCGCCCAGTCATCCGGGCGATATGCCATCGTTTAAAAAACGATATTATTGTAGTAAAAAAAAAAAATACATAAAAAGATACAAAAAAAACAAAAAAAAAACTATAGTATTCTATGGTTTTCTAATAGACGTCGCTCGTCGGTCTTAAACATTAAAAAAAAAAAAAAAAAAACCTTGAAATATAATAAATATCGGATATTATTTAGTCGTTTCAAACGGGAAGCTGAAATAAATTAAAAACTTTGTACGCGTCGAATATTGCGTTATTTAATCGTAATTTAACGGTTATTAATTTCGCTTTTGATTTTTTTTTTCCATGATATTGTAAGATGACGGATGCGACACAACACCGATGCACGTATAATAGTATCATATTGAAAAAACGCAACGACGAAAAACTTTTCAAGGTTAAACGACATTTGTTCGGAGGTTCAGGCGAACGCATAATGTTATATTCCCGTCGTCTAAACGTCACGACGACGGCGTCAATATTATTACAATACTATTATAATATTATAATTACGGTAAAACTAATTTTCTTCCCACCACCCCCCACCCCGCCTCCGTTTCTTCTGTAAAAACGTTCGTTAGAAAACACGCGTGAAAAAGTCAGACCTCTCTAATATAATTATTATTGTTTTTTTCAGATTATAATTTATAAACAACAGCGTTGTCGGTCGGCACGGCGAGTATTTTTCCGTTGCATAACGATATAATCGCGCGGTCAAAAAGTGCCGGGGAGAGTTTCGAGATTTTGAAAAGTTATTGTTAATCCCGGGACTCTTACCTGTACACTGTGCCGCATTATACACATTGTGTTATTATACCGGTATATTATAGCGAAACAGAAGTTTATAATAATATTAATAATGCATATTTTCTATGCAACGACTTCCGTACGTTTTTTTTTTTTTTCTTCTTCCAAAGCCTTCTAACATTTACAAAATATTACCGCATATCGTGCGTTATAACCTACGCGATAATATCACACACTCGAATGCGATTCTCGTCCGCGTAACGTATACATTATTTTATTTATGCATAGGTGTATTGCGAATAAACATTATTGTCTGATGTAATGTACACGCGTTTCAAACGCGCCGTCTCGACGATAATAATTAGTCTGAAAAAAGGCACGCGACATGTTTCGCACGGTCCGCGGGCACAGGCCGTGCAACTGTCGCAGGCGGAAAGTTACAGCGCGTTACGAATTATTTATACAGTTAACAGTATCACCGCGGTGGGTGCCGAAAGCAATGGCGATTAATCATCGCGAATAAAAACGCATCTGAGCGGAGCTCGGTCGTGTAATCGGAAAACTAGAAAAAGAATGTTCGAAATTCGAGCTCGAGTCTCCGCAGACGATTAGAAATCCGTTTCCCGATGCGTTTTCGGACTCGCACGCGTCTGACCGCTCAGATTCAAAATTCCAGATTTCCGCGCGCGGCGAATATTATTTCTCGTGCTTAGGCGACGACAAGCGAAACAGTTACAACGAGAGCGTACTTTCAATCCGACGTCAAGTTAGAACAGTAAATGCATACCTTGTGTATACGACGATTGTTGTTGTTATTATTATTATTATTATTTTTTTAAACGAATCAAGCTCGTAGCACTTGCAGCAGTTCTCGCACCGCCCGCGTTATTATTTCACACTCGATCACGGCGTTTTAACACAACGTAAATTATCGAGTTTGACAACGATTCGGAACGGAATCCCGCGGACGCGTTTAAATTTGAAAAGTTCGTTGCGAATGTTTCTGTTCGAAATATTCCGGACACACAGATCCGCGGCGCCTTCGCGAACGTACCGTATAATGGCCGTAAACGCGTATCAACTGCGCCCAATAACCCATTTCAGATTGTTATTCGAAACCACTCGAGTACGACTGCGATTATAATAATTATATTGCCGTCGTAAATTACATAACGTGTGCTACTGTACGTCGATTTTTTTTATTTTCTTTTCCTTAGGCTCTGTCAAAAATCGAAAAGATACGAGTAAGTATAACGTATAATTACGCCGATTTACGGGATTACGCGACAAAGTGATATGCATCCGTAGGGGATTACGATATATATAGACAATAGTATACATGCGTAAAACCGAATTATCGATTGTGCGTAAGTGCTACGGTTAATGTCGTTGTATACTTGTACGTGTCGCGTATAAAAACCGATTTTGTGCCGGTAGTTTTAGTATTACGCCGTAACATTATAGCTTATTATCAAACGCGAGGGTATAACAACATACCGTTTTGCATTGCATTTGGTTTTGTTTTTGTTGATATTTCGATTCTCAAGCGAGTTACGAATATGACGTGACGTATTATACGATTTGAAAATCATCGACTCTCGCTGAAAAATCGAAATACCGAGAAAAAACCGACGGACAAACACAGACAGTATAATGTTTTTACCTCCGAGTTCGATAATAGGCCAATATACACTCTATAACAGTAAAACTATAACAGCACGAAATCGGTTAAAGTGAAAATACAACGGCGCTAACCGTATAATAAATATTATTATGCAGGTATATTTTTCGTCTTATCTTATTTTTGCGAAATTTTAGTTTTATTATTATAAGCACGCCGTACGGGAAAAATCCAATATTACCTAGATTTGAACGATTTACGGACTCGTACATGTCGTTAGACGGAATTAAGTCTGTATAATTCAACGTTTTTGTTTTGTTTTTTTATTATATGTTATATACCCATATACAAGTTTGTCTGCGGCGTTTTAAACTTGAACATATCTACCGTCATGTTATTATTATGTACTTACCGGACGGTCAAATTTCAAACTTTACAGCGAGTCAATGACTGTGCGGTAAGGTACGTCGAAACACAACCCAATAGTGTACATCAATAATCGGGTAGCGTTTCGAATACGAGCATACAACATCCCGATTCGGAATAATATTGATGAAATGTTGAAAACGAACGGGCGATACTGCAAAAATACAGGTTATACTTACATAGTTATATATTATTATTGTATGTTATTGATGGGCGTCGCCACCGCAGCCGTGGCGAACTCACAAGTGAAAATTTTGATTTTGCCCGTAGATAAGAATAGCAAAACTTTCGATCGAAAATTACGTAAATCTCGTTGACATTTCAACACGCGGAAGACGGGTGTACCTCTCCGTATTATTACAGTTCGCTATACATGACGAACGAACGAACGCGGTTAATATATTTACATAATCGTATCGAGATTATAATATATTATGTATAATATGTGCGTTTTGTAAAAAAAAAAAAAAAAAACCCCGAGAAAAACGGAATGACACTCACTAGCCGCGATGCCGACAAAGCTGTTTGAGTCTGTATAACACGACATTTTGCCGGTTACACATATTGTAATAATGTGTCCGTATGTTTAGTATAGTTAAAAAAAAAAAAGATATTATTTTTTATGCGTTTACGAATTAATTGTTCGTCTAACGCGCAGTTAGAAGTTAAAACGTTTAAAAACACTAAACGATGCTCAGGAAAATACTGTACCTGCGTGGTCCCCGAGGAAATATTCAAACGACAGCTGCGTATATGCAGATTTTACTCAAGACTTACTGCAACGTAGCGATAAATTGTACGTGTATAAAATGCAAAAAAAAAAAATGTATTCGTTTACTTTTATGAATATAATATTAGAGTGGTTCTTATTTGGGCGATGGCGGAATTTTTTCTTTGACGCGCCATGACGTTATTATAAACGAATGAAAAAAAAAACTGTTGAACCCTAATTGAGATTCCTAGGACAACCCTTATGTCCCTCTGTAACGAGGTAAAATTTCTCATTTAAAATACATTAATTTTTTCGTTGGTTCTGAATTTTGTTTACATATGGCATAATAATTGGTTGATGAAAAAAATTATTCTTTTAGGAATGGAAATTATCGAGGTTAAGGTACTTTTTAAGAGGCTGGAAAAAAAACGTTTATTAGACATCCCGTGTAACTTTCTTACGAATAGCTAACGAATTTTTTCGGGGCGTCCACCATTACCCAAACCAGACCACCCTTATACATATATTTACTTAATATAATATACGATGGGAATGGAATTTCAAAAATCTTCAAAATTATAAAACTAGGTGTAGGTACCTATATATATAAATATATCTGCGTGATAATATAGATAATAATATTTCAACGCACTAATAATAATTTTAGTTGTACATTTATAAGATGGTTTTTTTTTGCGAAACCGAAATTGTTTGCGTTTTTAAATATATTATCTAAAACAGGGTTTTGAATTTGTTTGGGTCCACGGCTCTTTTGATTTTGAAAACCAAATTAGCACGTCCCTCACGAATTATGATAATAATAAAAATAAAAATAGACAAATATACCGTACTACTGCAATATGTTTACAATAGAGGCGTCGATAATAAACCACGACGCCCCTGGGGCGCACAGGTTGAAAACCACTGGTCTATAAATGTCGATAATATCGCGTGTTAGTTGGCGAAACGGTCCGTTGCGGTCGGTTCACTGTTCGGTATAACCTTCCGGGATTAATCGATCATCTGCAGGGATGTTGCGGAAGTTTATTAACGAATTATAACCGCCGAATTTCCGGGCACCGAATTTCTAATATAATAATAATAATAATAATAATATACGTCATCTCTCACCGATGACAAACGATCGATTTTTTTGTTTGTTTTTACTCGTTTTAAACGTTTTGAATTCAATAAAGACTTTTCAATAAATTAATGTATGTATGTAATACAATATTAAAATTATAGTCTCTGCAATTTTTCTATCGTAATAATTATCTATCTTAGACATTTTTTTTTTCTATGGTCCCTCTTCCCTAAACATTACAGTCTAGTGCAGAGGCGCCAGGTTTTGAAAATGTCATGGGGGCTTATTATTTTATAAAAACAAAACATTTATAGTTTTACTTAAATCTTATCATATATTTCCTAATTTTGCATCATGTATTTTATCAACATGAAAAATCATAAGACAAAAATTAAAAAATGCCCGACACCAGACTCCTGTTAACCAAGACTCTGGTTGATTACCAAAAATCTACACTTTTTCTTTGCTATCGATATCAAAAAAAAAAAAAAAAAAAATTATCTTTCCCAATTAATTTGTTATAAATAAAATTAGTATTTTGAAGACGTACATGGAAAATATTGATTTTCTTTTAATAACACGTGAACCGTGGGGAGCTGAGCTCCGTCTTATCAAGCTCATGATGGGGACTGTGTCCCCGGAGCCCCCATTGTACACGGCGCCACTGGAATCTAGTGTAACACAAGACGTATATTGTGTATAAACGTCGTTCCGTTTTCGAGGATTGTACGCAAAACACATTGCGTTCTTTTTCTGGGTCAAATCGTCAATTAGGATTCGTTCGACGATAACGCACCGCCGTAGGTAAATATTTATCGCCGGCGGGCGCGTAAAAGTTCATAATACGAGTACATATCATATAGGCATCGGGTTTTGTTTTTCAAAGGACGACCGCTGCAGTTTTCGTTACGACATTCGTTTCAATTATGTATCGCAACGCTCGACCATCACCGGCAAAAAATAATCCTGCGAATTTTTTAAGTACACAGTCGTACCTATCTAAACACACTCGTGTATAGGTAAGGCGGGTGTCTTTATACATATACCTATATATATATATACACACACACATACACGCACAAGACCTATCCGCAAGATGAAGATGTGAAAGGAAGCGAATTATTAATCGCCGATAAAACCGCTCACCTGCAACCACATCGACCGGTTTTTTTTTTCAGACATGTGTGTTCCTGATAATATCCCGTCGTCGTCGTCGTTTCGGTAACATACCTATAATACGAGCGAACCTATATTGTGTGTGTGTGTGTGTGTGTGTATGTACGCGCGCGCGCGCGCATGTGTAGTACACGCGGACTTTGTAGTCTACGCAGCCTCTTCGACCGGTGATAACGTATTTTATATTGCGAGACCGAAAAGAGATGGTTGAAATTATTTATAATGATCCGGCGGCGCGCGTACGAAATGCAATAATAATTCATAATTCGGTATTACACGTTTTTTTTTTTTTTTATCGTGCGCGAGTCGTCCGACGAAAACGTACCGCCGCCGCCGTCGCTAAAGATTGTGTTTGGATACGATAGACATCGACTACTATACTATTATTGTACGTACTGTTATATTGTATGCGAAAACGCACGTACGGTACCCGCGACAATTGATTTATGAATCGAAAATTCGCGTATAGAGAAATCGTTTTTTATTTGTTCACTGTAGTAAAACATAGAGATTAAATTGTAATTATATCAACACCGTCGCGCGTACCCGTGGGAAAAAAACTGCACTTTTTACGCGTCTTCCCCGATGGTTAGTGTTTATTTTCTTATGATCGTTTAGAAATTATATTATAGCGTTCGATTAAAACGTGTTGTTGTATTGTAAAATTAATTATTTTTTCCAGGCTTTTTTCCATAAAGCAAGTTCCTCGGTCGCATTCGATACTTTGTTCGTATGAGGTGTGGAACGGTTACCCGGGGCGGCTTTCTCGATTTAACGCGTATCGGTGGAGCACTATGTGTTTAGCACCTGTACTGTTTTCTTTATTAATAATTTCACCCGGATGAGCTTCCCTTCTGCTCATAGGGAATGTGTGTCTGATGATACCGGAAGCGATTTCAGTGAGGTTGACTTTAGCACTAACCAATCGCATAACACTATTTAATTTTATATCGAAATATTATAACATAGCTTGGTAAAAAAAAAAATAAAATGCACTTTTTACACGTCTTATTATGGTTAGTGTTTATTTTCAAATTTTCTTGAATCGTACACATAGCGCTTGATTAAAACGTGTTTTAATTGTAAAATCATTTTTTTTCCTTTTTAAAAACAGAATATCTTTCGGTATTTTCTACCTCCGATTCTTGTAACTTACCCGAGGCGGTTTTTACATTCCCGTCTCGCCCCCGATTTATCCTAAACCCACCGTGGCTTTCCATAGACTGTATAGTTGTTAGATATGTAAGTATATATACACAATGTATCATTGATCCCAGAGGAGAAGGGCTCAAAAAGGATTGTGTTTTTACATATATATTGCCGAAGAAATTTGTAATGGGATAATGAGGGTGGGGCCTTTCTTTTCTTACCTGGACTGCTAAATACCCAAACACGTCTCTGCCAATAGGTAGGTTAGGTTTTCATAATATCGTATTTTTTTTTTTCAAAGGTGGGGATCCCCAAACATGTTGCGTATTAGAGCGTTCATAATGATTATAATCGAAAAAACACATTCTATTAAAACCACCGCGTACGGCTAAGCTAATAGGTTCCTCGTTCTATTCAAAATCCGAAAAAAAAAAAAAAATAGAAATCCCGGATATTCAATATTAAATTTCTGGACGTACACGAACAGGTACCTGCATTACGCATAATAATAATGTAATGATGACTATTTTTTTTTTCTTCACTTCATTGTGCTAGTGCGCCTATAGTGATGGTTACTTGTGTTATCGATTTTTGTTTTTTTGTATTAAATATCCTCGCGAAAGTACCTGTGTACGTCTTACAATGCACAGTCGATTATTATAAAACGCGCGGTCATAACAATATAATAAATACCTATATTGTTTTCGGCGTATAAATATTATTCAATTTGCAGTTATAATAAGGACGGGGAAATAACGCCACGGCATACAACGCTTTTTGCGATATTACGCGGACGCATCCGCGACTGTAAAATACGTATTTTTACGGATAACACCTAGGTAATAAAACAATAATAACGATAACGAAAATCTCTTCAAAATGCGATCGTGTCCGTGTCATCGCGTCACCCGTGTCCGTCCGACGTTCCGCCGGCACGACTGCATCGCCGCAGATGCGATAATAATAATACGAAACACAACCGATACAGCAATAATAATAATAATAATAACAATAATGATAATATGTATATACGCGGTATATCGAATTTTTATATAATCCGGACTTGTCCGAAAAACAAACGGACCGTATAAGTGCGACGACGCGGACGGAGACGAAAAAAAAAAATATATATCTATTATATTAATAAGAAAATGCGAACGACCGCCGGGCCGCTGTTAACGGAGCGCGACTGACGGTGGACGAAAAATAAAAAATAAAATAAAAATAAACCTAAACGACGACGATGGCGGAAGGTCGTCAACACCGCAAAAAAAAAGTACAAAAAATATATATAAAATATAGCAAACACATCGCGTGCTGCCGTCCCTATACTCTCGGTCCCCACTGACCGTTTCGGTGTGTTACGCGGAATGGTTAACATTATAATAATAAATTTATTTTTATTTTTTATTTTCACCGTGGTTTTTTTTTAATATTGATTTCTTTCTCCCGCCCGGGAATACGCATCCTCTTTTAATTATGCGGTAACGAAACGTGCGCGCAATTCAGAGAGACGCGGAGGGTAGAAAAAAAAAAATCGTTTTCTCCTTCTGTGTACCCGTCTGTGATGCATATACACATTATACTATAGGTACCTAGGCTCGTACGATATTATTAAAACCACGTCAAAAAGTGCACCGAACCCGACTGCCGATGCACATATATACATGCATGCAACTATACGCACGTGTTGAAAAAAAAAAAAAAAAAAAAAAAACTCGCCCGACACAAATCTCAATATTATACCTGTATACTAAATATATCATATTATCATGCATTTTGAATATTATAATATTATTACCTATTATTATTCCGTGGCGTTCTGTCGTTCTGCCATCGGATACGTCATTGTCGGTATATTTATATATATACAAAATACATACACAGACGGGAAAAAAATTAGTATTTTTACGGGCGATTACAATAATTTCGAATGTTCCTGTTGCGGTTGCACTTGCGAGCAGGTGCTCATCCGATGCTAATTTGTCGAAATTGAAATTCGTCTATAACTATGTATACTATAATCCGGATCAATCTGGTCAAATACAAAATACATAATGGAAAAATGGTATCAATCCGTATAATCCGGATTACAATAATCAACCCCGATTAAAATTACTAATTCGGATGGTTGGATTAATCTGGATTACCGGATTATTCCGGACGGATGAACGACGATTGCTGACATATTTGATAAATATCTGGTACCATTGACATTGAATGAAATATTTTTCATAGTTTGTCTGCACTGTTTTGTTTAGCTTAGTTTTATTTATTTTTAGTTTTATAGGATAATTATTATATATATATATTAACTATTACACTAGAATCCGTTAATCCGGATTAAACCGAATCCTTTATATATATATATTTCTCAATCCGAAATCCAGATTGATCAAACTTGAGCTCAGCACTACTATATATAAGAGTATAACATGTATTATTAGCAACCTAATTAATAGACTGCAAGAAACGATAAATCACTGCAATCAGAAAACAATTCCGCGCGGAGCTCGGCAAACTGTTCGGGCTATATTGTAATAGTATGAGCTTTAATAACAAGGCGACCCGGAAATCAACAAAAATTATACCGATGTATTGTTATTTGTTGTGGGCTTTTAAATTTTTTTAAACCTATAAAATGTTTTTAAATAATATATATATGTCAGCAGGATGAAAAATACGTGCATCTTTTTGAGGTTCTTCTGTACGGGAAAAAATCGAAGCGTCATTACTAATCGAAAAAAATCACATCTCAGTAAAACTCAATAGCTTCTTCGCTACACTTAGAATCTAAAAAAAAAAATTAAAATAATTATGATTTTCTTCGTCACTTATAACACAGCGCAACAATCAACGCCTATTATTGTGTAATTATACGCACGTTTTTATCTGTTAACGAACGCCCACCGATCTGCCGCAGAGTGTCGCCTCTTGTTACGATATTCTCGGATATTGTTTGGGTAAAGGTGTTCATTATTTATGCACATCTTATTAACGACGAATATTAAAATGGATACCTACAGACGCGTTGTCAATATTCGGATTTCCTAATAACATTTTGTCGCGGACGAGAAACGCGACATTTTCGTTTAACTCTATTATATCCAAGTCCGTACAGTTAAATTTGATTCGATATCTTGAGAATTATTACGATAATATTAATACGGTGCACAGGTACTTTTTCGAGTTTTTTCCTCGTTCGCGGACAGCAATTTATTCGAGATACGTATCGAGTTTATCACGATCGTTCATCATTGTTAAATTGCAAACATTATACGCTTATATACCTACTCGTGTAACTCCGTTTTTAAATTCCCCGGTTATTTCCGGTTTTGAACTTAGTAAGTAGGTAAGTGTACACAGAGAGATTACAGGCCATCGAGTCTATGGTAGGTTTGCAAATTGTATTCATTTTGAAATTACAATATAATGTGTTATAATATTAGCGTAGGTAGTAAAATTACAGTTAAATGTTAACGGAACAAATATGTTTTGACTAGTCATTATATTTGTGTATTATACATACAATAGCACTGTTGTAGGAAAATACTAATTTCTCATACATAAATTAGAAAAAAGAAAAAAGAAGATTTAGTCAATCTTATTTATTTATTTTTTTTTTTTAGTAGCAAAACGATTTAATTTATGTGATATGTAGTAGAAATTAATTAAAATCGCATATCCGTATACCGAATCAGAACACTACATTAATTATTACAGAAGCGATAATTATATCGAAAATTTAATTAGATATTAGGTTTTCTTCATAAACGAATATACGAATTAAATTGCTTTCAATTTTAGTGACATCATAGTGTTTTTTTGTAAAACCGGATATTGAATAAAAAAGGGGGTAAACTTTAAACGGCAATAACTTAAAAGAATATTTTTTGATTTTACCATAAATTTAGTACTAATATTAACTTTAAGTGACCTACTTAGTGGTTATACTAACTAATTTAAGCGAAATTCAGCTAGAGTCTAGTTTCTTCAAACAATCGCACCTTTATGTACTTTTGCTAAACTTCCTCCATCGTTTTCGAAAATTTGTAACATATACATAGCTAGAAAATGTATTACTAATTGAACGATATTTTAAACAATGAATGTTAAATTCGTATTTTGTTTTCCGACCCAGCCTGCAGAACTTTTTTGAACGTAGCCCGAGAGTCCAAAAATGTCGCAGACCACTGAGCGACTAGAATGTCGGTCGAAATAAGGAACTCAAAATGTACAATTGTTTTTATTGGCTAAACATTTTTTTCTATCTATCATACACCTAGTGTTAACTTTGAGTATAAATGTATACTAACTAATCATTTATTAGTATTTGCCAAAAAAAAAAAATTAGATATCCCCCCCTCTTAATGAGATTGGGAATCAGTTAACAAAATTGTCTCCAATTTTGTAATATGTCAACAATTACTGTTTACATTTTAATTACCACCTAAATGCCATTAGACCTATCTACTGCCCAACACTCATTTTAGGAGAAAAAATACTGCAGTCATTTTGGCGGACGAATGTGACATTTTAGATCGAAAAATCGGCAAAAAATTTAAGAACAATTGGATTTGAAAGATTTCAATTTTGTAAACGGAATTCGATTAAGTAACACGTATACTATAGTATAGATTATGGCGGAATATCTATAAATATCTTGTTTTTTTCTCAGCTGTGATATCGATGAACAAAAATACAAAAATGAATATTTTTCTATTATCATATATTACATTATTCTTCATCCGTAACACATACAGTTTTCGGAATATTTGAAATCGCCTCCGTCTAAACCTATAATTATTTTAAACTTGTTATATCCAACTCAAATCCGTTTTAAAAAATTAAAATTTCGTTAAGCCCGAACAATCCAATACGGTTTCGTCCGGCCTGTCTCGTCTAAATACCGCATTTCTTTTTTTTTCGATAACTGCACAATCCCCTAGTGAAGATTAAATTCGTCAGAATCGAATCAAACCTTTTTTTTTTTTTTCTAGCGCGTTGTACTAATTCGTAACGTAAAATATTATGCCGCCAATAACTGTACAATACACACGTGTATCGTATTTTGAAGTTCTACTGCGCACACGGCCGAGAATACTTCCCGGAAGCCGCATAGATGCCGTCGTCGGTACATACCCGTGGCAGCTGACGTCGTCGTTCCCCGTAGATGGTTTTACCGCGCACCCGATACGGAATTTTTAGAACGTCATTGTCGGACGGAGAAGTTGTTCCGCGAGTATAAAAATACACGTCTGGTAATGCGCATCGCGGCGGCGGCCGCCGAACGATGACTAACCGTATACGATGCCCGTATAGTATATAATATTTTGTATTATCGGCGTCTGTCCGCGCGCGCATAAAGAGGCCGACGGTTTCCGGATATCCTTTCGTGTTATACACATTATTATATATATATGTAATAGATACAAACGAAAAAAAAAAAAATAGTAAACCACTACGGTGTGCAGTAGGCTGCAGGTATACCCGATTTATAGACATAAACGTGTCCGTACGCCTTTGAGATCCGCGAGTCTATAAACGATATTGTACGGTGTACAGGTATATTATCTATAGTTATACCTAGTTTACAGCCGATTCCTATTTTTACTTTTTCTTTTTTTCGGCCGCTTCAGACGACTTCGGGTTTATTATTGTTATTATTATCGTCGTCATAGGGTATCAGTACTATATCACATTATTATTCATTGACACACGCGCGCTTTGGGCACAAGGTGAATGAACACTATTGTTGTTGGCTGATATAGGTAGTGTATATATTATTATTATTATTATACTATCCATCACACACACACACACACACACACACACACACACACACTGCTGCAGTGTTCGTTTTTTAATAGACAAAAATAATAATAATAAAAAAAAAACATACACTGTTTAAAATATTTTCGCAGCTATATAGATACGAGAGTGTATATAAACACAATAGAGAATATTCGTCTTCTTCGACCTGTTTTCAAGGTTTCTCTATATTTCAGAATAGGTAGGTATATAAAATTTAAAAAAAAACGAATTCAAGGTGCACTTTTTTTTTCATTATGCAACACCGCGTCGTCGTCATAATCTCGTTTTAATAATATAACATATTATTATTCATTTGGGTCATCGACAAATCCGGAATCGATTCGACGTTATTCGACGCAAGGACAAAAAATTATTGTTCGATTCAAGAGGACGCGTACCACGTGCGTTTGTTGGCTCTGCGTCTTTTACGAACGCACGACACAGCGAATTTTCGTTCGGCGGAACCCGTTTTGCGATTTTAGTTTTAATCATCCAGAGTGGTTTGTTATCAAACGTATTGGTTTTTCGGTATTTATCTTTAGATTACAAAAATTTAAAAAAAAAAAAAAATCCCAAAACAGAATATTGTTCTATTCCTTTGATTATAGGCTAATATTCACTCTGATATTAAAACCGACAGCACGTCTTGCTGTTTGTAAGACGGAGACAACAAACGCTATATTTAAAATAACTATTAGAAAACAAATATTCTATAGATATACTTACAAGGTATAATGTTCATTTTAATCGTATAATTATATATATACATTTTGTTTTATCAATAATGCCTATTTAGTGAACACATTATGGCGTAAGCAGTTCAAAAATAATATCAGTTTAATGAACCTTAACGATAACAGGTATAGAGAGTAGAAATTAGTGAATATACTAAATAATGACGAGATAAAAAAAAAAACATCCATAGTTATAACGAAATTTGCGATTTACGTTGAACATGTTATGGTTCTGATTGAAGTTCAGTGTACGTTTATCGGAGAAAAAAAAATTATGTACGGTCACGGACAGTTGACAACTAACCTAACCTGACCTGACTTAATTTCGGGTGTTGGACATATTATTTTGTCTTACGCTCTCCTGCAGTGATTTTGTACGTTATTGTTTTGGATTTTAACTATAAATTATTTAGAGAACTCCGTCTGCAATCTCTAGCCACGTCTTGTTCACACTTTCCATCGTCACCTACCAGTATACTATACCATATATTTACCATTATTACCGAAAAACAATGCCTATAGTTTAATACGTTTATATATTGGTACTCTCGTTGAAATCGTAAAAAAAAAAAAAAAATAAAATAAAAGAAATGATTAATTTGATCGGAATGAAAATCGGGAAATTATAATCATGCCTATATTAACTCAATGAACCAACACCGTAACTACTGTAATGCCAACCTAACCTCACGTAGAGCGAAAAGGCAATAATCCGGTGTTCTTGATAGGCCTGCACCGGCCGAGCGACCGAAGCAAATTGTCTATAGTTGCTTTTTACAAACTATAGCAGGCGTAGTATATGTTGTTACGTTTATTAGAACTTATTCGGAATTCATTTAACAATTGTTAATTAATTTTATACAATGAAAAATTAACGGTATTCGCGGCCGTAGTACGGCAGCGTAACAGTATATTGAGATTGAAAAAAAGGAGGGGTAAAAAAAATATTAGAGGTAGGGGAAAGCGGACGTCCTTTGCGTGCTCGTTATAACCACTATAAATGTAGGCCGTAATAAGTGAATTCAAGTATCCGAGTTCACCTCGCCTGTATAATATGTTATTTCACCAACTTATTTAATTTTCACTTTCGGCGGAGAGTTTTTGAAAAATACGAAAACTGTTTTAGGTGGGTATGCAATATGCATGCAGTAATACAAAACCTCGGAGTCGTTCAACACTTTATCAATTGCACTTTTACGCACATGGTGTAAAAAGGGCCTCGCCCGTTAAATAAATATATTGTTAAAATAAATAAACGGGTACCTATAAAAATGACGATCATTTGATAGAATAAACTCGTATTATAATGCCGTCCTACGCACGGATACTCGAAAACAGATGCTTTCGAGTCTACATAAGACGGAATGTTTCGCAGCTGTAGTGAATTTTTTCCCGAAAACTATCAATCGATTAAAATCGTTTACCACCGCAGGAGGCCGGCTGGCCGTGCACATTTTATGTTAATCGTTTTCGTCTCGATAGTTATTTTTTAAATATCGTTTTTTCAAATAAAATTTAGTGGCATATTATAATATAAGACTGGGTATATAAGACCGATGAACCGCACGTGTATCGATTTTCTTCCCTAATTATATAGGTGGGTTACTCGGGGCACTTTTAATATACATTTTTTACGAGGTTAAAGTATCGGTGGGGTGTTTTGTTAAAAAGGCGTATTATACTACTAAAAATCGAAAAATACGTTTTTGGTACCGAAAAATCGTAAAAATTAGGAGCATAAACCGATAAAAGGGTATATTTCAAAATTAGGTTGGTAATGCTGACTGAAAGATATCCAGGCGCTCTTTTAAAATATAATTAAATCAACGCCGATTTGTTAAAAGGGCGTTACCCCATTCAATGCATGTAGTACGTATACTTTGTGCAGTACGAGTAATTTTATTGTTTTCCACGATAAACATCATTAGAAACTATTTTGCTGTTTTCTTTGCTTCTTGAAAAAAAAGTGAAATTTGATAGACGCCCTTTTAAAGAAACACCGTTGATATTATATTATTTGTACGTATAGACAATAATGTCCATCGCTGCGTTTAGATTCTGAAGAATTTGAAAATCGTAAACTCTAGTGTATTATATTACTTTATCGTTATGCAAAAGTTTTTAAGTCAACATTTAGGTTACAGCCTGGGTTATACAATTATTAAGTAGGTACCCATATTTTTTTATATTTCGCGGGGCGACGAGCGTGGGTGATTATAAACGGTTATTAGTTTTATTTATTGTGTATTACACTAAGCCACCGCAGATAATGGTTATAATTATATTAATGATAACCAAGGCCGTTTTTTATTATTGTTTTTTTTTTTTTGAAAATATATACGAATTAATTCGGTTAGAACAATCGTTTCTCGAAGAAAATTTTATAAACAAATTCATTAGGCGTTCGAGTCACCGAGGGCCGAACAACGTTCGTTTTTTTTTCCGCTCGAAATTACTGAACGAAATACTTTTAATTTTTATCAACTTATTATACTATAAGTTGTTATTGTATTAATTCAAATCAATTTTGATATTTTAAGCTATTTCGTACCTGATTTTCATAGTTTGCTTATATTTACTTTTTTTTTTTATATATTTTCGAAATGTTTGTAACGAGGTTTGTAAGTTACTAACTGATCCCGAAATGACCCCCCCCCCCTTTCTATGATTTTTACGTAATTTCTCCTTCGTATTCTATTATACGATTCTTATTCCTTTGTTTGTGTCATCCTGTTTACTCATATGGTCGTGTCGATCGTTGCCGGGCTTAAACGGTTAAATTTAAAAGTGCTTTATTGGTTTCGTTCATTTCTGTAGTTTATTAAAAAACGCATCTTACTAGTTTTTTTTTGTTGATTTTATTAAAGTGCGATAATTAGTCCAGCCGGACCCTGGGCTGTTATAAATTGTTAAGCAACACGTTTAGCTCCTGTGCTCACCGGGTAATATTATTATTATTATACACCCAATATTATTGTATACGCGAAGTGCACAAACGAACATAAAATTACACGTACATAAAAGACCAATAATAATATTAAATAAACCCGTACGATATTGATAATAACATATCCGATAATGCATGTATAGGTATGGTATAGGTACCTACTGCTATATATACCTACAATTCATAATATCCTATAAGCGCATATTTTATAATTTATGTGGGTACCTATATATTATAAAGAGATAGTCTATCGGTATAATTCTATATTATTAATACGTCCTATCAATATAATAACAGCAATATGTAATTTTTGCAATTTCGCAATGTCGCGGCTTTATTATTGGATATTTTTGCGTATAAACCTACCGCGTATTGTGAACGTATACAAAGATAGGTATCTGTTAGTAATATTCATATTATTATTTTTGTTTTTTTAGGGTTTTTGATAATACGTATATATATATATATATATTAGTTGTTGTAGGTTATCCTGTTTGAGGATGTCGTTATAATATTATTATTTACGTTATCTATATTCAATTATTATTGTCTCGTGTACAGTTGGACGTAATATTGTATCGGACAGAACCAGAAATAATAATAATAATAAAAGAAAATCCACGGGAATTCGGCCCCGCTGTAAAAAGAAATGAAATCTCGGGGAAAAAAAGCTCGTATTCGGTTTTGAAACATATAAAATCTGCAAAATGTTTTACTAGTTTTTTTTTCTTTTTTTTTTTCTATACAATATAACGAACCAAGAGTTATCAATACCCGATATCGGTTAGCGGCCAGAGTAAAACACCGTGCTCGCGGCGACTTTGCAAAATCCCGTTACTTAATATATTATAGATACCTATGTAATATGTTTATCTCCGCGATCTATCTCGCGTACTGAATATTGAATACAAATATTATACCTACTCCAGATTTCGCGTCGGAACACGAACACTTTTACAATAATATACCGGCTATATATACTATACACTAAATCTAAATCTAAATAAATAGAAAAAAAAAATCAAATCCAGATTTTAATAATTAACGACGACCGAGACGTTGAACGTACGTCATTCGAACGTCGTCGGCTATTTGAAAATGTATTCGTCACAAGTTCACAACGACTACAATGACCACCGTGCCACCGAAACGGCAGTGTTCCTACATCGTATGGATAGTCTAAAAAACATATTCAACTACAATTCGGCTTTAAATCAAAAAAAAAAAAAAAAAAAACAAACAGAATATAATATTTTATAATCTACTGGTTGTTTATAATTTATAACTCTTGATCGAACCTTCGTTTTTATCGCAAATGTTTATAAAATACGAATATAGGTTGGCACCTACTCGGTCGTTTAATATTTTAATTAAATATTATCTGTACTTGTACGGTTTTAATGCTATGCTGCTATGCGTATCTTATTTGCACAATACTACTATATTATAAGACTCGGGCACTCGACTGCGAAATGCGTCACGGAATAAACGAATTTAGAACGGACGGTATTGTGCTAAATTTATTTAGTAAACTAGTAAACGCGATAAATTTTAAGACGTATTTAAGGCGCGTATACAACGTGACGGAAAATAAACCGCCGGAATGTTGGAATCCGGAAAATAAAACCAACAGAGTGTATCGCGGAAAAATAGAAATCAAAGAATGATATGGAAAAAAATAAAAATTGCCGAGGTCTGCAGTTCTTCCGCCGTACGTCTGACGAGAGAAAAGCGTCTTAAAACATAACCTTTAAGTATTCCGATATCGCTTCGTTTGAGCACTTCGGGCCGCCTCCGTTCGCTCACTTGGCGAGCTCGGGTCGGAACTCGTCGGAAATAATTCTCGATTTGTAATGCAAAACCGGGTCGGGCGGGTCAGAGGAAAAAAACGTTTTAAGGAGAAATTATCACACCGGGAAATGTGCCGATATTCATATCGATTCTTAGACGCGTTTTGCAAAACTACCTGCTGGGAAATTATTCTCCGTTCGGTTCGCTTTGCGGATTTCCACCAACGTTCTGACTCACCGTTTTTAGGAAAATTACCGGGCACCAAGACATACATATTCGCCGCGAATACTCGGCATAAACAACAGTATTTCAATAATGTAATACACGGATGTGGGTATGTCTACCTGATAATATTGATTATCGGCGATTATCTAAGAGGTATCTCGCCCGGAGGTATCACGATTACTTATAATAGTCATGTCGGCCGGGAATATTATCGTTAAACGATATTGCGCCGATTATTATTATCGCATCGCTAATATCGTTTGTTAAAAATGCAAACAGTGGGTATATAATGTAGGTAGAGGTAATCCAGCCATACGCCGGCAATTGAAATCGACTGGAAATATAACGCAATGAAAACTGCTGGGGACCGAGATTTCGAAAAATTATAAATTCTGCGCAGGTACGCGATCGAACGGCCGGAAAAATAATTGAATTTTGCGATTTTTTCGTAACGCGACCGAGACACGCTGGACGCCGTTTGGCCACGCGTTGATGTTTCTCGCGGGGCGCTCTGCAGACCTGCAGCACGCCCACGCGATTGGAAAACGATTCATTTCCAAAATGTCGTTTGCAACGGCAAATTTTCGATAAACCTCGGAAAACATAACGTTACCGGTGATCGAATCGGAAGAATCGGAAAGCGAAATAATAAGTCTCGAGCCGACACGCGGGCACGTTTGCCCTTAACCCCGGCCCCGCCCCCCTCATTCTCCTTTACACAACTTTTCGATCGTAATATCCAATTAATTTGTTCGGGACAATATTTAATTAGTAATTCTACAAAAGTACGACCGATAACGCCAACTCTCGCGCAGTTTACGTTTTTTTTTCGGTTTTATTTTGTTTCATGCGAACTGTATCGTTAATAATATTGGGTATACACGGACGTTTGGTTATGTGTACACTTAATTCGTTTTCACAGGGGAAAAAAAACCGATAGCGTTCGGATTTCGGTTAAACCGTTAACCTTGTTATCGCGCGGGGCGAAAGTGCGACGCGGAAAACAATAACTAATGTCATAAACATTAAGACTGAACACGACGATATTGCTGATTTTATTTATTTTTTTTCAGAATGAATTCAAAAATGCCACGGCGTTGAACGCATCCGGTTTTTTTCCCCGTCGCAGAGGAAAACTCTCCGATCCGACCCGACCATCGCCGTCGCTTCGCGGAGTAAGAAATTTCGGATATTAGAAATCGATTGGCCAGGGACCGGTTGTAAAGTGGGTTTATTAGGCACGATACGGTTTATAATGCAAGCACGCGCGTTTTAGGTAAGCATGCCTGCCCCGGCCATGTACCTACACGCACACTATTATTGTCGAATCGATAACGATTTCGACAATCGAACGGACCAGTTTACCGGCGACGACCCGAACACAACACTGTAACGCCGTATCGAGACGCCGCGGACCGTGCGAAATCACAACACTACCATCGACGATGATAAATATTGTTATCTCGTCGAGCGCAATAACAATGCGTGTATACAGGTGTTGATAACGTACTTTTCCGGGCTTTCTGAGATCGTAATAAGCAATACGAGTAATGTTGGTCGTCGACGAGACGTACGACGTACGTACTCTTCACCCGCCGACGGCGGGCCGTCCGATCGACGGCAATTAACATTAGAACGAACGGGTGTACTAATTTAGGGCGGAGGGGGGAGGGTTATCCCAGGAAAGCACATGGGTTCCGGGCGCGGTAATTTTTGTTTAAACGTCAACCCCGTCCCGCTGCAGTTTACACTCGGAATGACAACGGCGCAGCTCGAGATTCCGAGGGGTTTTTTTTTTTTATGAATAACGGAGCTTCGAGGAACGTACGAAATACGTCGTCAGGTTTCTAATCGGCCGGGGTTCTCTGACCGCGGAGAGCCAAGGGTATATAAAAAAAAAAAAAAAACACTCGGGCACACGTGACATTCTAATGATACGATCGGGCCGCGTCGTTCGCGATTATTGCGATTATATATTGCAATAAAATAACTAAACATCCGGGCGTACGGACGTAGTGGGTCGAAGTAAAGACAAAAACAAAACGATCCGATAACGGTTTTACGCGGGAGTTTATTATTATTTTGTTTTCTTTGCCCTACGTTCGCGTAGGTATTTTCGTCCGTCCGGCGGGCGAGCCGTCGATAAAAAACGGACGGGCCGGCGGACATTGAGTGCCCGTTAACGTTTTGACAATAAGAATACTATATGTATTTCTGTCGGCGGAAATGCGATCTTACCTACCTTCAACACGGGAACATGACGGCGGCTGCCGTGTGACAATAATCCGTTAATAATAAACACGCGGCTGCGGGGCGAAATCCGACGGAAACGCGTACTGAATCGTAGAGCACTGTACGCGCGGAAAACTTGACGGCACGGGGCTGAACGCGACGGACTTTTCGGATTTTCACATAATAATTGTAATAGCATTAATCGAGTAAACGTTTGCGTTGATATCGTCGGGCGGATGTCGGCGTTATCGTCGTCGCACGGGATGTACTCGATGTACAATATTAATTATTAATTGCGTTCGGTTGATATTTCGATATTCCGGGGAACAGACGCGACGGGCGCCGCGGCCGCGTACAGGAGAAACCGGTAAAAAAACGGAGGAGCGCGCGCGCGACGTCGTACCGACCGTACTACTGGCGCACCGATCGCGGAAAACGAAAACCGAACACGACACCGACGGACGACGCGACCACGACAACAACCACACAGATATTACCACGGAATACCCGGTCGGCGTGGAGCACGCGCACTGTCGAGAGAACGGCGTTCGACTGGAGAGCCACCGGCAACGGTGAATACGGTTCCGCGGCGGCGGCGACCCGACCGTTTTTAACGTACGCCGTTTCGCCTCTCCGGCGACCGCTTCTTCTTTCGTCGCGGCCGCCGCCGCCGCCGCCGCCGTGTCGTGTTCGTTCAGCCGCCGTCGTCCGGCCGTCCGGTGTGGCGCGTTGGGCCGCGGTTCGTTGTGACGGACATTTCGTTACGACGATATTATTACCGTTGCCATTAGCCGCGTTTCGCCGATCGACCCGGTACGGTATTAGGCGCGTGTTTCGGCGCGGGGCCGCACCCGTTTCGGGTCCCGATTCTGAAGACCCGTTCGGGCAAAAAAAATTAAAAAAAAATACTGCTTTTATACAGCCCCGTTCGGACCGGAATTTTCCTTATTGCAGTTTAACTGAACGTTTATTTAGCGAGCCTTTCTGTAGTGGCATTTTATGTACTTTTTCAGTATAGTATTTTTTAGTACGTTGTCTTATAAGACATTGACGCGCAGGTGTCTATTTAATACAACTGGATTTTTGGTACGTTTTAAAACTAAATCGATGCACATAAATTGTATGTAAACCTAAATAATTTACTTATTACTTAATTTAAAAATTGGTTTCGTAGTTATTTAGTTATTTAACGAGCCCTTATAGAAATTTAAACGTATTGGTCGTGCTTCAACCGTTTTGACGATGCAACTTTCAGTACCTGAAACAGTTTGCTGCGTTGCTTGCTACTTGGTCGGCTTTGGTCGGCCAAAACGTTTTGTTTACTGTATAGTATTTTTATTTATAGAAAATGGACGGAATCATTGAATGATAGTCGATCCTTATCAGTGGATTATTAGTAACCGAAAACAGTAAACGTAGTTTTCGATTGTTTACTGATTCCGACAACCCAGTTGGTAATAAAGTACTTTATTATCTATGCCCGGTTGCTGAAAAGTGTATTCAGCTATCATACAACTACTGTAAACTAGGTCGTCAAAACAGTTTGTTCACTAAACTAGTAACCAGGTAGCTCAAAACTGCATCGCCAAAACACACCCCTATTATCACTTGTCAGATACACGGTCAATGATTATTAGATTTGTGAAAACGACACGATTGTCGGAAATATCATTTTTGTTCGATAACAAACGTATTGTTTTGAATTTTCGATTATCATGCCTTAGCGTTTATTTATTGTTTACGTGGATTTCATAGGGACCGGTTAATAGCGGATTTTTACATAAAAAGTACACATCGATAACCAAACGTCGTAACCGATAATTTTGTTCGGTTATGATATTATTTCAGTTTCTCATAACCGAAATCCCCGGAACGACTTGCATATAAATTACGATAACCGGTTGTATTTTGGTCGTTCATCATAAAACTAGAGCCAATAATTATTACATCGGTAAAAACGGCCCGAAAGAATTATAAAAAATCGTCGAAATTTCTGGTTTTCTAATAAGAAAATATTCGGGTATGGGACATTCATCCGAAAAACGATAAGAGAAATAACGATAACGGATATCGGTCAGAAAGCGTAATTTTCAAACTGGTATTATTAAATTTGTATTATTCGAATACAAAATAATATATTAAATATTAAAAAAACAATTTTAAAAAATAAATACAAAAATATTGTTTTTTTATGATTACCATAGAAGCTAATCGAACGGATGAAATTCATCGAAAACATACCCCGATTTGTTACTCGAAACCGCGTCGGGCAGGAGACTTATTTCGCGCGTATAGTGTGCTGGTCTCTACAGAGATTTATAGATAATGTTGTCTATAACCCTCGCCGATATTTGACCGATGGGTTACCGAAATCTTATCAGAGAATACCGAATTCATGGTAAAAAAAAGGTGCGTATGTTAGTTTCTACACGGCGGAAAAATTATAAAGGTTTGTAAGTTCTTACACAGTGAAAAAAAGTTCAAATGTATATCAAATATAAATTTCATAAATAAATAGACGATAGAAAAATATGAAAAAAATCGCATAATGCACTTCATAAAAAGATAGGTTAGTTTATGTAAAACAAATATAGATTTTTTTTTTTAAAAATTAGATGTTTTGTACATGCGTGGCATTTTTAACTATAGTGATAAATAATGAATACACCTACTGACATTTGAACATTTTTGTACCGTTTAGGAACATACATAATATGTAAATTTTTCTATCCTATATAGGAACTAATGTATGTATTGTTTTGCCTGCTAGGTCTCGTGTAGAAACTTACATTCGCTCTTGCCAGAAGCGGCTTTGTACCGTTAAGTTTTATATTCGATAGCGAATCAACTTATGTTATCATCATATACGTAAAGATCTGACTAATATCTGCGCCACTGCAGCGTCGGCTTTGATAGTTTGATTTTCTAGCGAGATACAGGCATTTTATATCGTGAAAATATCGTGTCGTTTCGCACACTCGTATCTCACTCGAAAATTCATACTTCGAGAAAAACAAAACCGATGTCTAGTTGCGCAGATATCTTTTAGCACGAATTGTAGTAGTTTTACCTGTGCAACTCGTTGTCATTATTCAATAATCGTCGACCGTCGTGATAAAAATGCGGTTCCCAAACGAGTGGCAGGCAGATACGATTGAACGGCGTTATAATATTAGATACGCAAAAATAATAGAATCGAAATCGTTTTAAATGTTTTCATACCGACGATATTGTTTTTAGATTATTATTATTTTTTTTTTTCAACAGTTTTCCCGTCGGTCTAATTTTCCATGATTTTCGGCACCGAATGTACGGTGGTCAGCATCATAATACCGTCGTCGAAAACCGCGACCGTTTGCGGACGGATATCGGCGGTTGTCGGACGCGAAAAGCAAACACGTTTCCCTCTTTATTTTACAGTCGCGTATCGTATTTTCGAGCGAGCGAAAAACGATACCTATTTCATTACAACGATTTCGTTTTTCTCGACATCGCGTGTCGTACGATTATTAGTCGACGACGAAAACGACACGGGACCGTCGTCCGTTAACCACCAGGCGCAGCTGCGCACCACTTTTTATTGTTCCGGCATTGCCTTTTCGTATAATATTCGACACCTACAACAACTACACGATACGCGATACAGTACAATATTATACCTCAAACAATACACACAAATGCAGCCGTTGCGCGACAATAATAAAACGCGTACACTCGTTTCCGTACGAGTGCAGTCGTTGACAATATATTAAATATTACACACGGGCGATGACGATAATATTTCGATTGTTATCGGACCGTTATAGACGCGGTGGCTTTATAACATTGCGTTTGAAAATATCACGGCGAACAACGAAAAATTATCATATTATATAGGTAAACACATACATACAAGTACTGTGTTGTGCATTTGTGTTTGTGTGTGTGTGTGTGTGTGCATACGTGCAGTTACGAACGCATCATAATCGGATGACCTGCGTTCTTGACCCGTGTTGGTTTTTTTAACCGAAATCAATAAAATATTACGGCGAAATAATACTACAATCGGAAAAGAGATGTTAGGTCAGATATTATACGCAATTTTATTCGAATGTTGTTAATGTTTTTTATACATTTTTATTACTATATGCAGGGCGACCAATACGGATTTGATTTTTGTATTCTTTTTTTCGTTAAAAGCTTTATTCTAATAACACTATTTTCAAATGTTTACCTCAATATGCCCAGGTTAATTGCGAGTATATTATAGACTTTAGATTATAAAATAGAAAAACACTTATAAATATAATATCGGCAAACCGTTTATATGAGTTTAACAGTTTACAATTTAGACTGGAAGAGTATAGATAAGGGTGATTTACTTTACATTCATATTTGGTAGTTCCTATTCGAATTTGTGTTTACAGAGGAAAAAGGGGGTTGTTATTTGAAATTCTAAAGAGTATACACATTTAAGTCTTCTTAGGGCATAAAGAGTTGGGAATAGTGTTAGAACTTAATAACTATTTCATGCATAACGATTGATAGAACAGTTTGTTTCGACCATCGAAAAATCAAATTTACTTAAAATTCTCTGATAAAATCGCTGTATTGGTAACGAATGGATCACTTTGTATTCGATAGATACTCGATGACGATGGGTATATCGAACGAATTACATCATACGATCAATTTTTTTTAATTATTTTCATTTGACCCTCATTATATTGAATTTCGTATAATTTATTGTATACATATAGATTTCAAAACATGCGTATGCGCATCTCGTCGAAAACGTTTAAAAAAAAGAAAATCCTGTAAGTATATTATTATTATTGTTTTCGGTGCACGTTGATTAACTCGTTATGACGTCATCCGTGCGGGGTCTCAGGAATTTCGAAAAAAACGGTTAAAACCGTTGAAACCGCCCTACGGAACGCGTATTGGGGGACAGGTGATGCATTCGGGTTGTTGAATAATGGAGGCGGTGGCCGCGGTTATATCGTACGTATAATAAAGACCGTGAACGAGAGGAGGACGAGCGGACCGGACGATTATTTTATAATAATAATAATAATAATAATAGTTATACATATACAGAGTGGTCCACAAACATATACATTATATTACTTGTATATACATTATTTTGAAGAGATGGGATAGAAATGATGTGTTTTACACAAGGTTACCTAAATACATAGTTAATCCACCAACAAGACTGGTCGATTTTAAATAAATAACAAATTTCCGCGGGTCGTTCCACATTGTGATAATCACCCTGTATACAAATATTAATGTAGGTATATATATTAATATATTTTAGCTAGGCGAACCGCGAAGATTTACCCACTTGAAATATTTAGGTATCTAGTTTTACACGTATAGGTATACGGTATTTCGGTCGGTAAATAATATTCGTAATCTCGTCGGAAGTATAAATTAAAAAAATACACATCTTTCGTCAAAAGTAAGTAGGGCTCGAGTCAAATTTCGGCATTTCCCCCCCCCCCTTCTTTTTTAAATTTCAATTGCATATGCGCGTATACATTATCAATATTTAATTTTT